AGGAAATTTCGTTGCCCAAATCTGAAATCAAACTCGATATCGAGAATGCGGACAAAGACCCCGAGACTTTCCTGTCCAACTTCTTGTCAGCACGAGCCTGGATCCCCGCCGACAAGCCAGAGCTGCATCCATTTGACTCAGATGAGGATGACGATGTCGAAAGGGCGGAAGCTATCGAAGAAGCATACAACTTCCGCTTCGAAGACCCCAACAAGTTGAACGAGGTGATAGTCACCCACTCTCGTGATCTCACCAACAAGCAATCCGTCCGTCGCGAAGACAAGAGCTCCCGTAAGAAGATTCGCGACGCCGAGCGCGCACTTAAGGATGAGGAGAAGAAGCAGCGCGAAACTGAGAAGAATCGTCTTCGCAAACTGAAGACTGAGGAACTCCAGAAAAAGGTGGAGCAAATCAAGGAGGTTGCGGGACTCCGTGCCTCACACTTCACGGACGACGACTGGTCCCGCTTCCTGGACGCTTCCTGGGACGACTCAAACTGGGAAGCGGAGATGCAAAAACGATTTGGCGAGGAGTATTACGCCGGGGAGGAAGGCGAGGGCAGTGACAATGAGGGAGACAAGAAGAAGAAGCATCCTAAGAAGCCTACATGGGATGACGATATCGATATCAACGACTTGGTCCCAGACTACGAGGATGAAGAAGCGAAGCCCACACTCGAACTATCAGAAGCTGAAGACGAAGATGACGACGAAGCTTCCGGATCTAAGAAGAAGAGCAAGGCCGAAGAGAAGCGGATCCAGAAACGTGAGGCCCGCAAAGACCGTCTTCGCATTGACGATGCGGTTGAGCGTAACCTGGATCTCGACATCACCTTGCTTCCTGGAGCTACAAAGAAGAACGCCACACAGTTCCGCTACCGCGAAACCTCACCGCAGAGCTTTGGTTTGACGGCACGGGATATCCTCATGGCGGACGACACACAGCTCAACAAGTTCGCTGGTCTGAAGAAGCTGGCCACCTTCCGCGAAGAAGAGCAGAAGCGGCGCGATCAGAAGAAGCTGGGCAAGAAGGCCCGGCTTCGCGAGTGGCGCAAGGACACATTCGGTGATGAGAATGGGCCGGTGTTCAAGTTCGGTGGGGATGTCCAACCTAGTGAGCCCAAGGAGGCTGCTGATGAAGAAAAGGTTGATATTAGAGAAGGAGATGGCACACGTAAGAAGAGAAAGAGGTCGAAGAAGCATTAAACGTGTTGCATCTGTGAATCTGCCATTGTTTATAGCTTTTTTCGAATCAATTTATGAGACGAGCCATTATCTTTTCCCTTTTGACTTGAAAGGCCTGCTCGGGCACGTTAAGAACGATTCCTTGAAATAGTATATCTCAATTGTAAATCATCATCGTGTCGAAATAAGCAAAGTGCAACTAAAAAGCACGCAAATAGTACATATGTAGTGCTGGGTGGTGGTACTACCAACAATATATATTTGCAGCTTTTCGAGAGAGCTGGAATATAAAACATAAATTGCCACTCTAGTTTGTCGCCCAGAGGTAGAGATATTATAACCACCTACAGATCTTGGAAATTATGCCGAGAAAGATTTCCTTGCAATCTATTTGTTTTCAGGCCCATATGCATACCTGTAAGACTCTGTAGCTCCCAAAGCGGAAAGCTCCCATGCGATACGGGCCCACTCAGGCGCTAGCGGTTGCCGGGGTGAACCTCGGGGAAGTTTTGATTCTAAGCTATAGGAAGCTCCTAATATTGCTACTAATAATTATGACCTAGGCAGCTTGGAATGACTTGAACGTACGGAGTCCGAATAGACAATTTCCTAATTAACTTGAAGTAAAGTGGAGCCAATTTTATGTTATTTATTGGATACCTGGCATTAACATGTGAAGTACCTAGGTACATCGTCCATGCGGCGATCCATCAGCTTAAAGTTTGTACCCGCGACATAAAAATAGAGCAAGGAAAAAATGTCTCATATCTAGTCCAGGTATCCCTCAGATATCTGTTGTATTACCGCAAGACTTGAGAGTGATCACATTTGCTCAATTGGCTTATTTATACTCCAATGCCTTAGATCATCGTACTAGTAAGAATTGAAAAGAAGGAATAAGATTGTGAATGTAGGCGTTGAGGAGACCTGGGGAGAATCCACTCGCCCGAGGACAAACAAAGGCTACTTACTACACATATGTTGTACTAGGAACATCGGGTCTCTTTGAGATAAAGTTTGAATGCCCAGCTAATTAAGAGTGACACGTTCAAAATATTTAAAAATCCTTCAACCCCAGAACACAGGTCTACAACATAGAAGGGAATAGCGACGTCAGTGGCAAGTCCGAGATATAATTTCCATGTCCGGTTCGCCATCGGATACCGAGCCAGCAAAAAGGAGGTTGCCCCGGGAGTGGAGGCCCGGCATTGGACAGGGAAATATACACCGTACACCAACGGTAACATGCACCGGCGCTTGGGCCGTTGCTCGGGACTACAGGATGTCGTTGATCACAGTGAAAAGATAGGAGATTGAGTGATTCCCAAAGAAGACAAAAGTGAATTTATGGAGTGCTGTATTGTAAACAGAGACATTGTCCATTTAGTAGACCAAAAAAAGACCCCCATATGCCCCTAGCACCGTCCAGACCCCAATATCAAGACCAGCTGGCCAGATTGCAGAATTTTCAGTGGATCGGGAGATATCGGCAAGACGCAAACCAATACAGCATAATAACTGTAATATACAGTAATTTAACCCCCTGGGCTTCCTGATTGGGTCTTAGCGCCCGGCGGTCGAGTATTTTTTTTCTGGCCCCCCTTCCCGCCTTCTGTCTTCCTTTTTCTTCCTCATTATCCCTGGTGTCTCTTTCTTCTTGACACTCTTTCCATCTCCTCTCTTTTTTTTTGCATCCCGTTTCTTTTGCACAATCTTCAAAATGGGTTCCGGTGATGTTAACCAGGCCGACAAGTCCGTCTTCGGCATGCCCGTGAGTGTCTCCCTGTGAGCCTGTGAGAGCTGGCCTCGATGTCGCGTGAAGATTCAAAGCGATGAGATGCCCAGCATCAAATTATCATCGAACTTGATTTGAAGCGCGACATCAAGGATCGGTCATCGCTATCTCAATGTGAATTGAACCGAGCAACAATGCTAACAAACTTTTCACAGGGCTTCGTTGTCGATTTCCTGAGTACGTTTCACGTTTGATGCTTGCAATTATTACCAATTGCTATCAACAAAGTCTCGAATTTCAATACTAACTATGTATTAGTGGGTGGTGTCTCCGCCGCTGTCTCCAAGACCGCCGCTGCCCCCATTGAGCGTATCAAGCTCCTGATCCAGAACCAGGTTGGTTACCACCCCGTCCAGCACCGATTGGAATGGACCAGAGGCAGAAGATCATGCTTAATTGTGATTTGCAATTGAGTGTGAGATCCAACATTGGACACGAGCTGTGTTTCGCATTGATCACAGCTTGTGAAAAATTTTCTCCCTTGGCCCGTGACAGTCGGCAGCTGAATATTTCCACCAATTCAGCATCTAACCAGACTCGATCAATAGGATGAGATGCTCAAGCAGGGTCGTCTCGACCGCAAGTACAACGGCATTGCTGACTGCTTCCGCCGTACCGCCGCCGCTGAGGGTGTTGTCTCCTTGTGGCGCGGTAACACTGCCAACGTCATCCGTTACTTCCCCACCCAGGCCCTGAACTTCGCTTTCCGCGACACCTACAAGTCCATGTTCGCCTACAAGAAGGACCGTGATGGATACGGCAAGTGGATGATGGGTAACCTTGCCTCCGGTGGTGTACGTATCTCTGAAAATCTACTCGCGCTTGGATCACAGCTAACAACACTTCTAGGCTGCCGGTGCCACTTCCCTTCTGTTCGTCTACTCCCTGGACTACGCCCGTACCCGTCTGGCCAACGATGCCAAGTCCTCCAAGGGCTCCGGTGAGCGCCAGTTCAACGGTCTCGTTGATGTCTACCGCAAGACCCTTGCCTCCGACGGTATTGCCGGTCTCTACCGTGGCTTCGGTCCCTCCGTTCTCGGAATTGTCGTCTACCGTGGTCTCTACTTCGGAATGTACGATTCCATCAAGCCCGTTCTCCTCGTTGGTCCTCTTGAGGGCTCTTTCCTCGCCTCCTTCCTGCTCGGCTGGACCGTCACCACCGGTGCCGGTGTTGCCTCTTACCCTCTTGACACCGTTCGCCGCCGCATGATGATGACCTCTGGTGAGGCCGTCAAGTACTCCAGCTCCATGGATGCTGCCCGCCAGATCGTCGCCAAGGAGGGTGTTAAGTCTCTCTTCAAGGGTGCCGGTGCTAACATCCTCCGTGGTGTTGCCGGTGCCGGTGTCCTGTCCATCTACGACAAGGCCCAGCTCCTCCTCCTCGGCAAGAAGTTCTAAGCGATTCGCAGAAATGTGAGTCTCTTGCCACTGTAGTTATACTGGAATAGGGGATACACACCCCCAGTGTAACCACTGGGCGTGGAATTCGAGGATGTGGATGGTCAAAAGATAGATGCGTCAAGATATGGGTCTGAAGGATCTTGAAGCATAGAATGGTCTAATTCTTCCCTTTTTGTACCCAATGTACTTTACTGCCTGCAAACTCTTTCGTTTTTTTCAACTTTAATCCATTGTAAACGTAAACAATTCTAATATCAAGATACATCAATTCCATGAGCGAAGCCTGTTTGTTTTCTTTGGTTATTCTTTGAGATCTGAACATCTCAGGGCTGTATGCTGCTGATACATGCTTTTATCTTCACATGGCTGAAAGAACATCAAGCAAATGGTCAACAATTCTACGGATAGCCCCAATGCCTTAGAGCGTTATTTTGATTCAAATAAACTTCACTGAAGCCCAGGCACCAGTCAAAAAAAGAAAAAGAAAAGAAAACCGTCCCAAAGCGGCAAGGCTCCACAGCGGCAAGAGCCATGACGTCTAAGCTCCTTGGAGCTACAAGCCTCTTCACTCCCCTTGACACTCAAACCTCACACAACATATCAGTCTATCACCATACAAAATGTCTGCCCCATCAGGAATCCAAACCTACAACTCAGCGCCCGTGAACCCCAACAAGCAGGAAGAAGGCACGCACACAACAACCTCGCAGCCCGAACTCGCCACTGCAATCGAGTCACTAGCAAGCGCACCCTCACAACCTCCATCAGCACCCGCAACAACAACAGCAACAGCCACAGCTCCCTCCAACCCTCCAATCTACACAACCGCCGAGCCGGGCTCGGCACCAGCGCTCCAGCCAGGCGCCACAGCAGTGCAACCACCCCCAACAGCAACAACTGGCTCCGAGCACCCACCACCAACAACCTCCTTCCCCGAGACAGCAACATCCACAACCCAGGCCCCACCTGCACCTCAGCCCGGCGCCTTCCCAACACCGGCAACAGCAACATCATATACAGGAGCAGCAGGAGCAGCACCCCAATCCTCCTCTCCAATTCCTCCACCCCCAAAAGCCGGCGAGGCCATCTCCCAACCACCACCACAACCAGCCCAGCCAACCCAAAGCTATACGCAATCTTACTCCTACAACGCGCCCACCCTAGGTGCGCAGACTACATTGCCAAACTCGACCTCCTCACCTTATTCGTCTGTGTACCAGACGCACGCCGGATCGCATGCTCGTCCGCAGACGCAGAATCTGCCGCTGCACTACGGTGCCGGGTCTGGTGGTGGGGCGAGTAGTATCTTCCCCGAAGAGGAGGAGGAGGGCTTTATGGGTGCGGCGAAGGGGTGGATGAGGTGGTCTGGGAATAAGTTGGCGGAGGTTGAGAAGGGAGTTTGGAAGAAGATTAATGATGTTCATGATTAGGAGGATGGGTTTGGGGTCAGGTTTATTGGGAAGTCAGTAAGGTTGGAGCTTGTCGTATGGGTTTTCTGGGTGAGGGTTTGCATGCGGTGGGTTGAGCTTCTCTTGTGTATCAGGTATTTGGGTTATGGACTTGGAGTTTGTACTTTCCAAGGTTATTTGGAGTTTAGATTGAACAATATCTTCAAATACCAAATGCTTTAGTTTGACTTGCCTTTTCAAGATGAGTGGTGGGAGTATAAACTAGTTCTGACTACGTCAAGCTTCCTGGTAAGCTCTGATATTTGGACTCAATGTGAGAACATCCAGCCCACGTCTAGGATGGTGTGGATTCAGATGAGTATAGAGTCACATACTATGGACACTTAGGTTACAAGCGAAAAGAACAAAATGGCAACTGAATCGCGCAGAATTTGCGACTTGTTGAGTTTCTAAACTAGCTAAGTGACTATGTACTTCCATCCCATCCCCGGCTGAAAAGCGTTAAGTATTCAGCCTCGAAAACCGAAGCCGAAATCTCCAGGGTAATGCAAGGATGACGAAGGCGCAATGTACAACGGACTATGCGTAGAGCACATAAGGAGAAACACAGACAAACACAGACAAAGAGAGAGAAAGAGAGAGGAAGAGAGGAAGACAACTTCTCAGTTGGATCAGTGAAGATGACTGAGATTCCATACAAGTCGGAAGGGCCAGTGCAATCAATAAAGACGACCAGAACCTCACTCCAGATGGCCGAGATCTTCCAAGGATGATTGGGGAGTTGGAATCGAAAGCCCATAAAAAAAAGAGACAAAGTAGAGTATTAGAAAGGCCCGAAGTATGAAGAAAGAAACATAAGGAGTCTTGTAGCAGTGGTAGCTGACTCGACTTAATGCAAAGATAAACGCCAGAATGAGTAGGTGACAGACAATAGTACTGTGAGCCAACCCATGTAAAAAAAAAATAAAGAGAGCGGAGAAGAGAAGGGGTATTTGGAGTTGTCATAGTGGTAGCAGTGACGGGACTGCTACCCTGAATCGTCATGACAAGTTGTTTCGTAGCAGGCATAAGAGAAAATTGAAGACTTGAACGCCATCTTGGAAACCCAATACCACAAAGGTCCAACCCAACGCCCATCAAACAAGGTAGTTGCACTGCAAGCTAGCCAAATTTCCTGGCTTTGGATTTTTTTTTGAATTGCCGAAAAGCCATGGCACGCCAAGAGCGGTCCAGACCAGCTTCGACGGCCTTGAATGTGAAGGGGAAAAAAATAGCGTATCCCGTAAAGAGTGAAAAGAAATAAAACGCCGATCATGATGAGGGTGGGGCTTTACATGGAGCCCAGGCACAGGAGCGCCTCCACAGCGGCGCGTTCCTGGATGTCAAAGGTGCGGGGTGGCAACTTAGCCGCAGTTGGACAGGTAGCGGGGAAAATCCCAGAAGGTTGAGGCTTTGCACGCGCAGCGACATGGCCGTTGATGAAACTCCCGTTATTGTTCATCGAACGGGCGCGCAAAGCGTCGGCGCCAATTTGTGCCCAATCTTCCTCATCGGTGTCATCGCCTTCAACCCACTCATTTTCTTCCGTCTCGTCGGGAGCCTCCGAGGAAGAACAGTACTCGCCGTCGTCACCATCGAGTGACATTTTGTCGGCCTCGTGCTCCAGCATGCCGAGGTCCCCGTGTATGCCGTAGTCGTCGGTGTACGAGAATGCCGTGGATTCGGCAAAGCTCATGCGGTATGGGTGACGGTTGCCACCCTGCCAACCCGACTGGCCCTGAATCTGTAGGCCACGCTGCTGGAAGGAACCTGCAACACTTGAGGGAGGCGACGACGAAGCATTCAAATCACGATCGTGGGCAGGTTCACCACGACGTCGCGCGTCCCAGCGGCCCCAACCAATCTTTTCGAACACCACGTCGCCTTGAACACCACCCGCCTCTCCTCCGTTTCCTCGACCTTCCAACGCCGCGACAACCAGTCTGCGTGCCTTGGCTGGGGGAATATGCGAAAAGCCAGGGACCGAAGTTGTCAGATGACCCATAACGTGGCGGATAGCTAAGGGCCCCTGCTGCAGTAAGATCTCAGGGAGATGATACTTGGAGAGCATGGCAGGGGTGATTGCGCCGGTACTGTCGAGGTCATCGACAGGCAGGGATACGTGATGACCGTTGGCGTGTTCCGCATCCTCGAGATCGATATCGGAGTCCAACTGGGGGACAGTCGACAGCGGCGAGCCTGGGGACAGTGTCGCTCGGTGCTTGAAGGTCTGAGGAGGGAGGGTCGGGGAAATAGAGTTGGGTGGCGTGGGCAGCATCGCAGGTTGTCCGGGTCGCGTGGACACACGGCCGCCACTCAGGCCAGAGCGACGCTGAGGAATATCAACCGAGGCAGTCTTGCCAGCAAGAGCCATTGCAATGCTGGAGTTTGTTTGGAAAGCCATGGTGGGTAGAATATGGATTTGTGAAAGGAGAAGAACCTAAAGCGCGCAACCCGGGGTATATGAGTCAGAAGACCTTCTAATACGCGACAAAGGAAGTACCACGGAAAGATCGGGTGGCAACAGAATAATTTCAGAGTGAAAGAGTCTCAGAGTCGAAACAAAGGAACTCACCTTTCACACACAGTGACAAAGAGACACTGTAGCCGTGTAGCGAAGTTGGGGCCAACTTTGTTTAGGGCTTGGGGATCCACGTAGGGGATGCGACGCGGCAAGGAGAGATAGATAGTCGCGATAAGAGCAGATTCCAAGGTCGAAGAGGTCGAAGAGGTCGAAGAGATGGTCAGAGGTCCAGTCCAGTATGGTTAAGAAGGTAGAGGGAAAAGATAAGTTGATGTGACGCCCTGGAAGTGACTTGCACCTTTGTACTTAGCAGGAAGGCCCAAGTATGGAATCAGGAAGGCGCGTGGGTGGATTGATTGGCGCCTCGTGGGACACCGGGTGCTTCCGGCTTTTCTCTATTACTATACAATTATAACTATTTACTATTAAACTACGACATTATTACCCTCTATTACCCTCTATTTTCTTTATTTTCTAACATGTTAACATGAATATACATTCTACACCCTCTCCTAAATGTTCTACTACATGTCATCTTCATGTTCATTCATGTTCACACTAAATATCCCTGAGTCGATCCAAGGAAATCCTGTTCCCTGTACCCCCACTGCAATGATATCTGAGTAGTAATAGAGAAATAAAAACCCCTCATGCCAGGTTGTTATCGGCCAGTCATGGTGATCCTAAGTGCTCGTGCGTCTTTAATGAACGCTTGCAGCGCTCCAGGGCGTAACCCTATTTTTTCGTATCATCGGCTGATAACCGTCGTTCAGGGCACGTGGATCATTTAAAGAAGTTCCAATATTTGTGTCGGTGGACACTCTTAATATTGTAGATGTCATTCTTATTCTAATTTCTGTAACGTTCTGATCTAGAAATTGCCCCTCCATGGTGTAACTTGGCATGAAGTACAAGATAGAGTACTTTGTTACTATGTAGGGTATGTGTGTACTAGGTACATCCACTTTCCCCTCGGGTCCCACTACAATCTGGGCTCTGGCCCCTTGACGTCACTTGTACCGGTGACATTCCTTGGAATTGCGCAGTTTCTTATATTATTCTCATAGTATAGTCTACTACGTTGTATATATATCCCAAGGAGTATACATAATTATAAATCCTATAATACAACATTGAATTCGCCCTTACAATCCCGACTATGCTGTCCACATTCACCTTATCTTCTTGGAATGTAATCCTGCATAGTTGACACCTGTCTCAGAAGCCCAAGCACCCGTTGCCCCGTACAAATACATACTATGTAGGAATGCATAGCCCTAGTGCGAGGTCCATGTACGACATACAAGCCACTTGTACACTTGTATTCCGTGCACTTGTCTGTGGGTTTATTAGGGTCTGTGTGTTGGAAATTGTGGGCTTGCTTAATTCGGTCATTAATTCCCTTTCCCCCTCCTATTGTGCGGGAAGTAGATGCGGGTGACGAGCTAGCCCTGCATGTCCCCTTCTATACCATTCTACCATTCCATACAATTTAAACCCCTCAATGGTTCTGCAGCCGAGGACTTTACTTGCCCTCCTGTTGATCTCCGAGTTGTCTGTGCCTTGATCGGTTCCTGGTGCCGCTTACCCTGTTTTACCCCGCGGCGTTCGAAATCAGCTTGATTCTGCAGATACTACATTTTGGTCATGCATTCCTTGAAATTGTTGCTTATAGATAAGTCAGACAATATTTAGTCAACGATCTGACTCAGACCAGGAGGGATAGGTCTTAGTTGCCGATGGCCATTTTGACTCTGCGCTGTACATTCTATAACTTCCCGTCTCGGATTCCGAAGTATGAGCGCACCCCACGTCTCCCCCTTCAATTCTTTTTTCCCAATGCCCTCCTCTCCAACCAAAGCTTTAAATCAAAAGATCCCTCACTCAGATCGCGCATATTTCCCATGAAGAGAAACGCGTACCCCTCTGCCTGAATTGGAGATTCGCCATCCGTATACCGAATTGAGCAAGGAACAGTTGTATAGCTAGGGCCCTCATAAGCCGCTAGTTTCTCTGCGTCCTCAATTGTCGGTACCTCGTACACAGCCCCAGTGACAGTATCCCCGGGATCACCAGAGAGCAAGGCTGGGTAGTGTCCCCAAAGCTTACACTTATAGCCCTCGATGTATGCGGGTCGCAGGTGGGAGGCCTGTTTTAGGTCTAACAGATCTACGAGTAGACTTTGATCTTGGAGTGAGCCGTAGAAAAAGTATGGGCCTGTTGGAGCAGGGCCTTGGTTTTGAGGTCGGGGAACTTGGGATGGAAAGAAGTGGCTGGGAGATGTGCTTCGCATCTTTAGGACTGCGGGTGATATTTTTGAGCGAGGATTCTCTGGGGGAGGTGGGGGTGGAGGAGGTGGTAGACTGTCCCTTGATCGCGTTGAGTCGGCCATGACTGGGGTAGTATGGAGCATCAAAAATCTTGAGCGCTGTATCTGTGAGATGTTGTTACATGCAACGAGCTCGTGTCTTAACCCTTTGTGGGGAAAATCCCTGCCTATGCGGGGGATTGCAGATGATTGTACTGCTATGTACACACATTGTTTTGCTATGATTTTAGGCAAAACAAGCTTTATTTCCTATTAAACTACGATTTTGAAGAAGATGAGGTTAAACTCTTATGATCGGATAAATGGGGCATCTTCACCTACTCTATTACGGCCATTTTCCCGACGCGGGGTTCCAAGTGCCTAAATAATACGATATTAGACAATTAGCCAAAATAAATAAAATTGATAAATAGGAGCATAGAGTGTTTTCTGGTAGTTTAGAAGGGGACTTTCTCGAGTCATCAGATATTTGACCACAATGGTCTACTATGGGTTTATATTTCTCTGTTTGGTAATCACTGCAAACGCCCGGGCAGCAGTGAGTCCCAAGTCTTTGAACTCTGATATTTCTATTCTCATCCACAATGACCTGCTAGGTATGCATATCCCCTGAGATTGGGATCTGGAATTGAAGACTGACGGTTGAAACAGAAAGCGAAAGTCCTTTGTCAGGCTCAGGAATCCTGGTGCTCGATGCGAGACCATGGCAAGAAGCCACTGAAAGCTGTCAAAAGATCGGAGAGACGCTTTGGGGCACTGATGCCAGTTACAAAAATATTCGAAGTGACTTGAACTACCTTGTATTTCAAGGCAAATACACTCGCAACCAACGTTTTTGGACTGCCTCAGACCATCGCAAACCGTCGACCATCGACACAAATGGTCGGGCCAACAAAGCCTCTGCGAACGAAAAACTACCCGTGCTTTGTACACAAAATGCTCCCTTATCCAACAGTACATTCCAGGATACAAGTGCTCAGTGGCAGGTGACTGTCCACTCCAACGATGAATATCTCACTGGGTAAGAACTAGTATTCCCAGAACCTTGCAACCTACTCTAACAAAACATAGATTCCGAGATCGATTCAGTTTCCGCTTTCTGGGGATTCGCTATGCTAAGCAGCCACGACGATGGGAATATTCCCAAGTATATAAAGGGACTGGCAAAAAGGCTGCTGCTCTAGACTATGGATCTGACTGCATACAAGGAACTACAGGTTCAGAGGACTGCTTGTTCCTCAATGTTTGGACTCCCTATCTTCCCAAGAGCAAAAAATCCCAAAAGAACCATCTCAAACCTGTGATGCTTTGGATTCACGGTGGAGCGTTTACAGGCGGCACTGGCAGTGACCCAACGTTCGACGGCGGCAATCTAGCCTCGAGAGGTGATGTTGTGGTCGTCACAATGAATTACCGTCTGGGAACATTGGGATTCCTCGCACTAGATGATGGCAAAACCAACGGGAACTACGGATTAGCAGACCAGACCACGGCGCTGGAGTGGGTTCGTCGGAACATTCAGGACTTCGGCGGCGATCCGGACAGGGTAACCATCTTCGGCCAGTCGGCCGGTGCAGCTTCAGTACGGGCACTACTTGCTTCCCCTCCAGCACGAGGTAATTTTGCTGGTGCAATTATGCAGAGCAATCTTGGTGGCTTGGCTTATGGCACAACCTACTCGAAGTACTATACCATCGCGCAGGAGATGGACGTTGTGGGGAATGCCATTCTCAACGAGACGAACTGCACAGATGCTGCTTCACCAGTCGAGTGTTTGAGACAACTCCCCGCATCGATGATTGCAAATCTCGCTGACTCGGCGCGGTATATGGTTGTCGATGGCGTCTACCTCCGAAGCTCGGAACTGGATTTAACAAACCCAGCATCGACTGTCAATGTGCCTTTGATGATCGGTACGATGAGAGACGATGGCGCTGCTATGATCGGCTATCCTGCAGTGGGAGAAACTCTGAAGTCCTTCCTCAACGAATCCGGCCTGCCTGACTCAGTTGCACCAAGCCAACTCTTCCCTGTACCATCAACCGCCAACGCTACACTCGATATCTTCAATACCTCCTCCCGCATAGCCACGGATGGAATTTTCCGCTGCATCGACGAAGCAACTGCGCATACAGGTTCAAGGACACATTTATTCCCCGATATCTTCTACTACGAGTTCAACCGTTCATACCAAATGCCCGGCTGGTCACCCAATGCCCCCGTGTGCAATGCTCCCATTACATATGAGTTCCCAAATGGCGATCCCAGCCAGGAGTACTTTAAATGCCACTCTGGTGAGCTGTTCTACGTGTTTGGAAGTTTCCGTCGTCAGGATTTGCCGTTCCGGGATGAGTTCGATCTACCTTTTGCGCAGTATGTGCTGGATTCTTGGGCGAGTTTTGCGAGGATGGCTAGACCTACTCCTGACTTGGCCTTTTTGAAGGCAAGAGGATATGACAATACAACCCGGCAGATTGAGGCAACTGGGCCGTGGGAGCCGTTTGGCAAAGAAAGACAGCTTCGGCTGCTTCAGTGGCCATCCGGGATGAGGGAATTGGATGAATTGGAACAATGCCGTGCGTTGAAATTATCTTTGGATTACTTCGACTCCTAGATTAGACAAAATGCATTGGTGTTTTCAAATTGGCTATGATCGACTTTGGTCATACTAGATTTCGTAGACAATACTTGCCCGGGGAGGATTGGCGATGGTGGGAAGCACAGAATGATGCGGAGGGCGCTATCGGACAAGTAATGGGACGGGGATTGGAAGAGGCATATGAGGGAGTCTACATCTATGAAAGAACACCATATTGTAAAGCTCTTCAACATGATTACATGAGGGAAGACTGTTCCCAGGAGAGACCTATGCCACGCAATGAATGATCCGCCAGGGGAATGGACGGACGCCATGGGTTGAGAAGACCTGTATGCTTTCTCTCTCTCTCTAGCATTATTCTCTCTCTTCCCTCTCTCTCTTCTTAGCTAGGAACAATCAGTGGTTCTTTTCCAACTTCCATCAAACATAGCTCTTGTATTGTGATATTATTCAAGGAGAGAACCAATATATTAGACATAATTGTCGACCGATAAAAATTACACTGAAGGGACATTTATTTTTTACAACATAAGGAATATATCGAATCCATCAATATGATAACGACTTTCATTGAAGTTACTGAGACAATATAGTATACAAATCTCTAAATGGGTGACTATCGGGGCTAATATTTGTGGGTATGTCCACTTCCGATGCTATTCCGAAGTAAACGTACGACTTCGAGTACTAGGCCATGTACTTTTTCGGATCCAACAGGACTTCACGTGGATCAGTATCTAACCTTGGTATAAGTCTAATATCACACCCATTGGTCCATACAAAAAGCCAGAAAGGAAAACTTCGCCATATATAGTCCTCGATAAGATCGGATGTGCCCCTTCCGATGTTTCCCCTCATGATGAAATAGACATATCCCGCAAGGACTTGGGATCTTCTCTCTACTCTTTCCCACTTGCAAATATTTCTCCTTGACTCACAAAACCAGAATGTCTTACCAAATCGCCTACGACAAAACCCGCGCACCACCGCGCGGCGCCGCGTTCGTCGCATTCATGGAAGACTTCTACCGCGTTAGCGACACCGAGTCCTTGCACGAGAAATACGTCCAGAGCTTCACCGAAGATGCGACACTCATCATGGGACCTAAGGAGGCCAAGGGTGCAAGCGGTATGGTGCTACCCGATTCCCACCCTTAAACATTGGTGAAGCTATATAGCCGATCCAGATCCCGATCTCCATTTCGATCCAGAATATACATCTGCATTGGGTTGTACTCCAGCTAAAAAGACCAATCCATAACAGCAATTCTCCCCCTCCGCCATGGTCTCTGGACACACGTTGCTTCACGTCGACACACGCCGACGCAGATCTACTTTGGCGGCGACGATGAGATCATGTTGTACGGTGGCGTGAACTATAGACTCAAGGCTGAACCCGATAATGAGGTTTATGTGCCTTGGGCTGGACGGGTTGTGTTCGCGCCCCAGAAGGGAGATGAGGATATCAAGATGCAGTTTTATCAAGTTTACTTGGTGAGTACATCGTTGCGCTGCTAGCTGTGTGGTGCTGATTGATTCTTTCTAGGATACCGCGGCTCAGTCGGGAAAGAAATGAAGTAGATTAAAATGCGAGCTAACTTAGATTTGTCTTGTACATATATAAGAACGAGAGTTGCATAAATTCAATAGCAATTATTGGATATAAATTGGGCTTTTGGGAGAACGTCGATCTATATATCATGTGTGTAAGACTGAAGATCTGCCGGCTAAATAATACCAGACGTCTACATCTACATCTACAACAGAGAGAGAGAGGACGGAACAGTTTTGAAGTGTTTAGACATGCTCTTTATTTCCAGGAGACCACGAGAGAAAAAAGGGACAAAGACGCCGTAGGGTTGATCGGGGTCAAAGAGGTGAGGGAGATCATAAAAAAACATGTCAGGGAAAAAAGATCCCCTCCCCTCGACAAGAGAGAGAGGGGAAGCATTGTGTAGAACGTCTCGTCCGCTCTCTTCTCTCGTTCAAGTCTCCGGATAATGATGCCTCATCCTCATGCACTCTGCACCGCCCATATCTCTCTCCGCTAGTAGCCCCGTCTGGTCGTCAGAAAAAAAAATATGGAGTGGAATCAAGAAAAAAGAAACAAACGTAAAGTCGCGCACGGGACCGCAAGCTCCGAATTTTTATTTTTGTGCCGTCATTTCCAATATCTTGCCGCCGTAGCGAAGACAAAACCACAAAAACAAACGACTTATCCCCGAACTATTAAAAGCCCATCGTTGCGATACGTTTATTCCTCATCAGACTCCTCCTCCTCATCGACGGTAGTCTTGGCGATACGGTCCAAATCACGCTGGCCGCTCTGGGTGATGCGGCGGCCACCCTTGTCCTCATCGGTCTCGAGGACACCGATCTTCTCAAGAGCCTGGAGGGCCTTGCGGTCGACGGAGCCGGAGGCATCGACGTGGTGGGCGGGGCGGGCACCACGGTTCTTGGTGGAGCCGTGGACCTTGCGAAGACGGCCGACACCGACGGTCTTGCGCATGTAGATGTGACGGGCACAGGCGGCGGCGCGGACGTAGAACCTTTAGAAAAAGCAAGCATGTCAATTGTTTGTTCGAATGTTGATAGTTTGATATTTGATGCGGTCGTACCAGTCAGCATCCTGGGGAGGAAGCTCGTTGGAAGCAGAGGTCTTGACAGTGTCAACCCATCCGGGGATGGGGAGCTTTCCCTGACGCTTCAGGAAAGCAGAGTAGGCAGAGATGAACTTCTGCGCCTGTATGGGGGAGAAAGTTATATGTTAGTTGTGGCTCATCAAGATATGCGTGGATCGGTCAAAAGTCTGTGGATTTGCAGATGCGTCGGATTCGTTTCTGGAAGCATTTCATCATTCATCGTGTGGAGCATTTCGCTAGCATGCAGTCGTTGTGTCGAGTATTCTATAGAGGATACCGACAGATAGACGAATCTATCAAAAATTCGCCCCTCAAAACATGCATGCACATCTTCAATAATCGACATATTTCCCATAGGCAATAAAACCATTCACCCATTGCGTGCTTAATCCGAAGCATTTCCATCTTGGCGATATGATCCGACCGATGTTGTGGTATCCGTGCATCCAGAAACGAACCGTCCACATCACGCAAACCAGAGCTGGTGACCGATCACCTAAAAATCGAGCAGGACACTTACGTCCACATCGCGAACGGTAACACCACCCATTTTGGCGACTTGTCGAGGGGTCGAAGGGTAGGGATTAGAGAGAGAGAGGCGTTGGGCGTCGAGGTGGGCAGGGTCGAAGTCGAAGAGTCGCTCAAAATTTCAAGACACACACAACTCTGGGCGGGTTGGGTCTGTGTGCCGTTCGCTTGTCCATTTTGGGTTAGCCGTACCCTAAGCTGGGTCATGTGATGTGGCCAAAGTTGTGCCTGATTAATAAGGCTCTACATAACACAACACCGCTTGGGGCCTGATATTCCAGGCATAAATTATTTGACATGACTACAATTGATGAAAGATTATTTGAAGATTTGAAGAGCTCATTTCTCATGTTCTAATCATACACCAATTAAAATCTATTCCATGGCAGTTGTCATTATTCGTAACTTTGAAACAATTAAAAAATGTACTCCGTTTCCTGATGCCTTGATCCATAGTCTTCGCCCCAGTTTCAATGCCTGAATCATATCCAATTACAGTGTAGGCGCTCTCTTCAGTCCAACGCAATATCTCACAAATAGAGTGTCAATGAAATGACCATGTCGGATACCAGGAGGTCGGCACCGGTTGAACTCGTCAATGGCATCTTGCACACCGAAACCAAGATGCTCGATCAAATAGCAAACGATCATAAACCCAGTACGGTTGTAGCCATAGTGACAGTGAACTCCAACCACTGGACGTGGCAGAAGCTTCTCTCCCTCCGTACGCTGCTCCATCTTCTCGTCAATATCCTTTTGAATGCTACTGACCAGAGCGATAAAGTCGCGTGTCTCGTCTGGAGTCGGAGGAATCTTGGATATAGTCGGGTGCTTGTAGTAGCGAACCCCACCCTTCTCCAGCTCGGCCGGATTATAGACCGGACTTTCATGACTGATGTCTATGACAGCGTGGATGCGACCACGGTACTTTGCCGAGAAAGTCGCAGGGTTGTGTTCCTCGTCAACCTCGCGCAACATCTTGAGCGCGGCAAATGTGTTGGCAATTCGGTCTGAGACTGGGGCAACCTTCTTCCATTTGGCGAGGTTCTTAACATCCCACTTTCCAGATGTGTTCATGTGCTGTAATTGCCAACCCAGACCGAGACGCTTGTCGACATTTGACGAGAGGAAATCCTGGATAATCCCTGCAAGAGTGCGATAGGTCGCCCGGTCGTAGAGTAGTGCATGAGATGCGGGCGCTGGCAAAATTGCCGATTTGACCACTCGCTTCCGCTGGCCAACCTCTAAATGCTTCTCGGAGACCTGTACACCAAACACCTTTTTATTGACGAGATCGCCGACTGGAGGTGATAACTGGTCGTGGACTCGCGAAGCATCTGGGATGATGCTGCTATCGTTGGTGACGACCGTGGTATGGGCTGAAGCATCGCCGAAGAATTTCAAAAGCTTCTGCACCTCCATCGGTTTGGTCACAGCATCCGTCTCTCCCGCGACCAACAGAACTGGCATGCGAATTCCCGCCCAGACCTTTTTACCAGGGAGCCCGCCAATCGGGTGGCCGCAATTATCGTAGGTGGGAAGTGTGCCCCACGCCATGCGTCGCCAAACCGGCGTCCGACTTTGCTTGTTGAAGCGCACCTGGAGATTTCGTGTTTCCACGTCGGCAGCGACGCCGACCATCCGCAAGACACTAGCACTTTGTTCGCCTCCGCGTCTGTCCCAGCGACGCCAAAGATCGAAAATTAGATCAGGAACATAGAGTGCTCGACGAAACTTGGTAGTGTCTTCCGCAGATGGAGGCTCGGCTCGAGGGCACACAGCAATAAGGCCGAGGATGTGCTCTTTCACCTTTGCACCAATGGGCGACGTCGATGAAGCCAAGAGAGCGGATAAGGAACATCCGAGACTGTGTCCTACTAGAATGACTTCCTGGCCAGACTCCCGGTCCCGGTGCTGATCAATGGCTTCAGCCAATAGTTCGGACAGAGCCTCCACAGTGTATGCATTCCAATCTGTAGGCGCAAATTTGGATAGTCCACACCCGGGCAAATCAATACCAAAACATGAAGCGACATTAGACAAACTGGTTAGGAGGTGGTGGAATTGTGCAAGGGACCCACCTAGCCCATGGACAACCACGACCAGTGGGACAGGAGTTGGTTCGGTCGGGAGTCGAGCTAGGTGTGGATGTGGGCTGTAAAAGGTGCGAATGGTGGGATAGGTTGCGAACGAGGTAGTGTAGGAGTTGTATGTGGTGAATTTCCTGAGAATGCCTGGGTCCGTTTCGTATGCTGCCCGAGTGTTAATGAAGGCCTTTAAGTGGAAGATGAGCAATTCACCTACCATCAGAGCTTTGCTGCTGGGTGTCTGACGGCCAGTCTTCCTTCTTGTAGTTGGGATTGGTTCCATGTCGCAACGATGCGTTGCTATCGTAGTCTTCATCTTCATAATCCTCCTCCTCCGAGGAGCTCAGAGTCTTCGAAGATTTGATCGACCTCTTGCGAGAGGCGGGACGTTGCGCACGAGAGGCCTTTGACCCTGAGCGCCTGCGCCTCACCAGCGACGACAACACCCCACATCCAGTCATGGCGACCACACAGGTAGTTAAGAACACAACCTGACCCCAATTCACATTGCCATTGCGGTAGAGGCCGCGGAAAGAGCTGGCGACGGAGGAGAAAGAAGCGTTTTGGGCGGCCGCGCGCACCGAGTGAAAGAATCGCAGGACAGGCGCGACACTTGAGGGTTTGGATTGAGACGTTAACGAGTCGTAGAGGGCGGAGATAGCGTCGGGCCCCATGATTAAGTACCGGAGGGGCGTTCTGGGCGCTTTCAGAGCCCCCCGATAGTGATTTCGCCAAAAACCACGCGATGGCGCTCCCGATTCTCTTTGGATATAGAGCAAATAGCCTGGAGACCAATGAGCAAAGCTAGATCGACAACGTTCAAATGTGTTGTGAGGATAAGAAAAAGTACGGAGAGTCCAGCTTCGGCCACTCACAGCCTCGGAAGGAGCGGCGTGGGGGTGAGTCATCGTTATCTATTGGCCCACCCCACCTGGGCGTTCTTGTAGTCACAAATTTTGGAAGGAACTTGCTTGATTATGGCATTTACTATGGGCGGAGAAGTACTTTTGGGAAATTTTGACATACTTAATACACTATTACGCATATCTTCCAAGGTTTAGCATAATTTAGCCTTCTTCTTTTTACGTAATCCCTTGCTTCTCCTAACTATTGCCTCCTACGATGTACTATGTACACTATGGTTTCCAAGATGTCGGTATGGGACTCCATTTCATAAGTACCTCCGGGGCCAGCATGGGTGGTTTCTTACTTACTACTGGCCAATTTCAAGCGGGGCCATTGAGATCATATCGAAATCGAATGTTTATCCCTTTTCTAGAACATGGTAGATCATAACATCCATGGATCATTTCAACTGCCTCGAAATACGCTATATACATTTACACTCAGGTGGCATATCATAATGATTCATTAAAACAGATCCGTCATGGCTCCCTGTGATGCATCACTGACCAATCGTGCGTACTTGGCCAACACACCGCGAGTAATTTGCGGTGAAGGAGGGGTCCACTGACGCCGTCTCTCCTGAAGCTCCTCATCCGAGACATCCATTGAAAGCGAGTTGGTCTCAGCGTCGATGGTGACGACATCCCCATCGCGGACGAGCGCAATCGGGCCACCCACGGCGGCTTCGGGCACAATGTGGCCGACAATGAAACCGTGGCTGGCACCCGAATACCGTCCATCAGTAATAAGCGCCACGTTGGTCAACTTGGCTCCCATCAGCGCGGCACTGGCCTTTAGCTGTTCCGGCATTCCGGGCCCGCCCTTGGGGCCCTCGTAACGGACAATGATGACGAGGTTCTCACCGCGCGGGATACGGCCTTCGTTCAGGGCGTCGTTGAGTCGGTGTTCCTTATCGAAGACACGTGCCTTGCCAACGAACCGGAGCCCTTCCTTGCCGGTAATCTTGGCGACGGAACCGCCTGGTGCAAGGTTTCCACGTAAGATCTGCAGGTGCCCGCTCGCCTTGATTGGGTTATCCAGTGAGCGAATCAGATCCTGGCCCTCAGTCAGGGAGGGGAATGAGGCGACATTCTCAGCCAATGTCTTGCCCGTTACAGTAGGGATATCTCCATCGAGCAGACCCGCTGCGATCAGCAACTTCTGGACAGACGGGACACCTCCGATTTCATAAAGATCGGCCATATAGTATTTGCCACTGGGTGAGAGGTTGGCAATGAAGGGGATCTTGTTGCTGACCCGTTGGATGTCATCCAGCGTCAGGTCAACACCAGCCGTCCGAGCCATGGCCAGGAAGTGGAGAACACCGTTAGTGCTACCGCCCAGCGCCATAGTCATGACGAGAGCATTTTCAAAAGACCGCTTGGTCAATAAATCCCGTGGCTTTATGTTCTTCTCCAGGCAAACCTTGATAGCATCCGCAGCACGAACACACTCGCGCATCTTGGATGGTGATTCAGCAGGCGTGGACGATGAGCCGGGTAGTGACAGACCCATTGACTCAATGGCAGTGGCCATGGTATTCGCAGTGAACATACCACCGCAGGCGCCGGCGCCAGGGCAAGCATGCCGTTCCAAGTCATCCATGATCTCATCTTGAGACTTGGTTTGATCGCCACCATCGTCGGGCTGGCGCAGGGTACCGTAGGCATAGGCACCCGCAGCCTCAAAGCATGTTGAGACATTGATAGGTTTCCGCAGGTGCTCGGAGTAGCCGATTCCAATAGTTCCGCCGTAGATCATAATTGAGGGACGGTTGTGGCGAGCCATGCCCATTACGACACCGGGCATATTCTTGTCGCAGCCCGGGATAGCAATACAGGCATCGTGGTATTGGGCACAGGTTACGGTCTCGACACTATCGGCAATGACCTCTCGGGTCTGGAGAGAGAACCTCATTCCTAGTAAGGGTTAGCGACCTCGTTTCCTAGCGGTGAGAGATGAAGGTTAAACCAACCTTCACTGCCCATGGTAATTGCATCCGAAACACCAATCGTGTTGTACTGCCACCCAAGCATTCCCTGTTCCAAGACAGACTTCTTGACGGTCTTGGCCAAGTCCATCAAATGCATGTTGCATGGGTTTCCTTCCCACCATACTGAGGCGATACCGACATGTGGGCTCTTGGCCATCGCTTCCTTATCTGGGACACCCGCGGCATAAAGCATAGCCTACAGCGGTCAGTAATGAAGCTCACTATGAATTCTTAGTATCAACCTACCCGTGCGCCGGGGAAATCATGGCCTTTGGTGATAGTGTGGGAGTGACGATTGAGTGCGGGGGAGCCATCCGGGTGCTTTGCATCTGAGGGCAAAGAAGGGAAGTTGATGTATTTGGCCTCACTGAGAGTGCTAGGCACGGTTGGCTTTGAGGAATCCATGATGATATGTGAGAACAAAAACAAACAAAAAAGAGATTGTAGAGGCAATTGACTTGAATTATAGCCCGCACAACCTCGGGAGCTCGATTTCGCACCGATGTCCGACCCCAGGACCCCACGTTCATTGTCCAGTCAGATGCGGCCGATTTATGAGCAGATCGGAGTTGGGCCTAGTTTCCAGATCTACATATAAGGTTGTATATAATTAGTATTATGAGTTTGTATATCAACAGTTAAAGTTGGGGTTGCTATATTTACTACATTACTTTATTTACAGTGTACAACATAGTACAGCAAGGGAGAGGGGGCTCTCGCCACATCATCCATCCATGGATGGCACCAACGTCATACATATGCTATAAAACCAACATCCCCCACCTTTAGCTCTACTTCATTGTAACCTATTTTTGAATGAATACTGGATTAACCATATAATGGCCACTGACGTGAGAATCGCCCAGGCAATAGGGACGCTTGGCTGTGCAGTGGCAGCAGGTAAGTAGCACTACGCAACAGATGACCAGACACTCACAGTGTACAAGGCGGCATTGCCACATTGTCCATAATGAGCATTCCGAATATCATGCTTCCAGCCCGTCGCCCATCCGGCGCGACACTGCCATTCCATGATACCCCAGGAACCTCGACCGCCCACATGACACACCAGTGGTTTGCTCTGTATGATCGTGGCGCCAGGATTTTCCCCGGTATATCCGCAGCATCTTCACTCGCAAACCTTTATGCACTCTGGGAATTACGAGGCTCTCTTACCCCTGGCCCGGATATCTTTGGGTCCAGCTGGTCCACATGCTATCTGCTTGCTGTGGGAGTTACGATGAGCACTGTGCCTTTTACGTTAACGGTTATGAAGAAGACAAACGCCAAACTGAAGGCTCATGCAAAGCGCGATGATGCGGCCGGCGCCGAGGGTACTGAGGGCATGGTGGTCAGTCCGCAGGAAAAGGCGAAACGGGCTAGGGAGGATAGCGAGGTGGTTGAACTTTTGCAGCATTGGGCGCAGTTGAATTTGATCAGGGCTGCCTTCCAACTTGTTGGGGCTGGCATTGGGTTCTACGCTGCTGTCTCCAGCTGGATAATTCCTTAAACGGGAATGCCAGAAGTTGTGGCCGTTTGGATTTCTCTGCTGTTTGTTGAATTAGTCCTGCGTATGATTATGTGAAAGGAAAAACCTGTCTTCAAGTATGGGTATCTTCAAATTTCTATCAGGGTTGCAAGTTGTGTATGTTCTGCGGATTCCCATGTAATTGTATATTTATAAACAAGTCGGAGAAGAGAAGGCCAGTATATACCCCAAGGGCATCCAGAGTGCGAGACGTGTGCCTCAATATTACTGTCATGTTGAAGCAGGCTTTAGGTCCTCATCTTCGTTCATACCTCTTGCGCCATCGTCTTCTGTAGACTCTTTCTCAATGGTGGACCATTGCTCTGAATGCTGCAGGGCTTCATCAGCGCTGATCTCCTGCAACGGGCTGGATTTGTCCGATGAGGCCTCTTGGTGAAGATCTGTCCCACGGGTTTCGCCATTTGGTTCCCCATCAATGGCAAAGCCAACGATCTTCCCAGTGCCAGGCTGCGACCGTGCCTCTTCTAGCACATCGCCATTCCAAGGCTGGCACTTCTTAACAAGTTCACCACATCGGAGGCAAGACCATCCCTGACCCTCTTCTGCTTCGACTTTCTGCACAATACAGACGAAACAATAGATACAGCCGCAAGGGACGGTCTCGTATGGGTTTGTGATATCGGTTTGCGCCGATCCCACAATACCTCCAGACGCAGAGGCCGCCATTGCATCACTTTCTGTCGTTGTAGTGGGGTTCTGATCGCGGTAGCAGATAGCACATGTTCGCTCTGGGAGGAAGGCCAGTTCTCCTTGTTTTTCGGCAGGCTCGTCGTCATCCCCGCTTGACCGGACAGAATTGACCATTTTATGCCAGGCACGGGCGATCCATCGCCGCCAGCGACCAATTCCAACAAGAGGAAGGAGGAAAAGGAGGAATTCGGTAAACGCATGCCAGACTAATTGACGGTTTAGATATTCAAAGGATACTTCCCGGCTAGCTTGTGCAGACGGCGGAGTAAGGCGGATGCGAAGGATGCGATCGACCAAGGTACGGTATCGGCCATTCACTAAGAACACCAGGAAAGAGACGAAGGCGGCAATCGAGTGTGAGGTCGAGAGCATGTCCGTTAGTCGTGACAGCATTCGGATGTCCTGTGATGGCTTTATAGTATCTGTCAGTACAACACTGCCAACATAGAGCAATATGTCGGCAACTAACCTCATCATATCCACCTTCTTGTCCGACCAACCAGCTTTCCCACTTGTCCCAAGCATATCGCCCTCCAACCGTCAATAAGCCATAAACACTTTTCTGCCATTTCGTTGGAGAAGAGTAAACAGGTCCTTTGCTTCGACTATCGGTGTATTTGAGGCCTTGTAGAGCCGCACCATATGATGCATTGTGATCCCATATTGATAGTTTAAAGAGGATAGCTCGCAACGCGAACAGAATCTCGTGTGACCAATCTTCGCGCATTTGAGGCTATTGTCATTGTCAGCCACCCTTATCACAACACTTCAGACATTCATTCGCCAAGCATTCAGACATACCCCGAAGTATTTAAGGGCATCCCCGACCTGGCCCTTCATCAGACCAAGCAGCTCCTCATCCAACAATTCAGCATCCACCTGGCCCACTCGAAATGCGGGGCGCGTGCCATCCCGGCCCTTGATAGAATTCCATATCCGCCACCCCGAGCTGGGCAATCGATTCAATGGATATGGCAGGCGCTGGACGGTGGCCGGGCTGATCGGCGAGGCCCGCTGTTGTGCTGCATGGCGGGCGCGCGATTCGGCCTCACGTTGGCGACGACGTTCAAGAACCCGTTCTTGTGCGGCGGCGAAGTTTGTCGAACTCATCGCGAAATCATGACGTGTTTGTAAAGGATAGGAGGGAGCGGGTTGGGGATTCTGGAGAGCACGGGGAAATGGGTCCCGGAGTTGCTCATCGACCGTGCTCGGTTTCCCAGACGGACGAGCCGAGGTATGTCACGTGACTTTCCCATTTCCAATCCTCTTTTGGATACGGAGTATTGTGAGTGAAGAAGTATAACTATAAATTCTTAGTGACATAAGTAGGATTCTAATTTGTACATGCCTAGGTACAACGTTGTATTGGAAAGCGTTGTGGTGGGCTCAGAGGGCCCTCGGAGATACCCTCATGCATACTAACCTCAGTCACTGAATTTGATCAAGGCATCCATGACCAAAAACTTATCATCAACTCAAGTGACCGATGAGTTGCACATATCGCTGGACCCTGGGTGGAATTGTTTCACAGATATCTGGGCCGCCAACATAAGCCATTTCAATTGATCCATGCAAGTCAGCCTTGTGCATGATTTCTACGAGGTCAGCCGCATTGCCCAATAAAATCCATGATAGGTGATGTCGGAGGTGTCCTTAGCATTGAGGTCAAGGACTAATGATTGGTTTGAAATGGCGGGCCTAATTGAAAGCACTGCCCAGGTGCTTTGCTGGCATGTTTATAAATCAAACCATCGTCCAGTGCTGAATTGGCCTTCTGGCTAAACCTGCGCTTTTGCTTGGCTCATTATTGTCAAATCTATCAACCAGTCCAGTATGGCGACTACAGTGAATGAATCTATCGAGACTCGGCTGTTCATTGACGGCGAGGTATGGACTAACTTGTTTATTACCCTAGGACTGCTATTTATATACCAAGCATGCTTCTTTACACTGACATTTCTAGTTTCGAGCATCATCTAGTAACAAAACGTTCGAGGTGGTATATCCATACACCAAAGAGGTCGTTGCGCAAGGTGTGTCCCATTCTCCGCAAAAGACCAACATACTGCTAACATCTACTCTGTTACCAAAGTCCAAGAAGCGGACATACAAGACGTAGAGGATGCCGTTACTGCTGCCAACGCAGCTTTCCCCACCTGGCGTGATCTTGGCACTGATGTGCGCGGCACATACCTGCGCAAACTATCCCAGCTCATCTTGGAATCAAACGACGAGCTAGCGAAGCTCGAGACCCTCTCCACCGGCCGACCGATCTCGCAGTTCTTCGACGCTAGGCTAGCAGCCGAGTACTTTGCGTACTTCGCTGGTGGCGGTTGGTCCGCGCAGGGGACGGCCAGCCTCAACACACCGGACCACCTAAATCTGACCGTCAAGCAGCCATATGGGGTAGTAGCACTTATCATCCCGTGGAACTTCCCGCTTATCATGTTTGCCGGGAAGATGGCGCCGGCACTGGCGGCGGGAAATACAGTTGTATTGAAGAGCAGTGAGAAGGCTCCATTGACGGTTTGTGCAATACCTGTTGCATATCACTTAACCATGCGAACTGACACTCGGCATAGTCTCTCTATGTAGCCAAGCTAGTCGAGAAAGCGGGCTTCCCACCCGGAGTTATCAACATCATCTCTGGGTTCGGCAACCCTACTGGAGCGGCACTGTCATCGCACATGGTCGTCCGCTGTATCAGCTTCACCGGATCCTCGGCAACAGGCCAGAAGATCCAGGCAGCAGCCGCAAAGTCGAATATGAAGCACGTGCACATGGAGCTAGGCGGGAAGTCACCGGCGATTATCTTTGAAGATGCGGATCTCGAGACAGCCGTTGCGCAGACGCAGTTCAGCATTCAGTTTAATAGTGGACAAGTGTGCGTGGCGAACTCACGGATCTATGTTCACGAGTCAGTGGCCAAACAATTCATTGAACTATTCCGTGAGAAGTTTGCTTCTGTCCGGATGGGTGATCCACTCGATCCTGCTACCTCGCATGGTCCGCAGATTGACCTGCTGCAGTATAACCGGATCAAGGAATACCTTGCTATTGGAGAGAAGGATGGGACACTCAGTCTGGGTGGTGATGCAAATGATGGGTTCTTTGTGCGACCGACTATCTTTGAGGGCGTTGCTGAAGACTCCCGACTGATGCGGGAGGAGGTCTTTGGTCCGGTGGTTGCGATCAATACCTTTTCCACTGAGACTGAAGCGATTGAGAAGGCGAACAATTCGGAGTTTGGCCTGTACGCTGCTGTCTTTACCAAGGATATTGATCGTGCCATTCGTTTGGCTAAGGCTCTGGATGCGGGCACTGTTGGGGTGAACTGCACTAGCCCGACAAACGCTAAGGATACTGCGTTTGGTGGGTTCAAGATGAGCGGGAGTGGCCGGGAGGGGCTTCTGTATAGTCTTGACAGTTTCCTTGAGACTAAGAGTATCCTGATCAAGACAGCACGTCTGTGACAGATAACTGGTTTAATCGAAGGCATGGTTGATATTGGATATGTGATTTCTGGATTATAAAGAATCGAGTACAATAAAATCATGTAGAAGTACCTGGCTCTACCGAGGAAGACCCAGTGTTAAGTAGTATCTGACACCCAGAGAGATAGAAAAAGGTGACTAGCTACATAAAGGGGGCAGTCTCTGGGAGTTATGGTCTTTCTAGTAGTCTTTTAATGGGAACAGCAATGTCAGAATGATAGTTCATTTGAATTCATAGCTAAAGATTAAGATATTGGCCTCCAGATAGAGATCACTGTTTGTGTTTTACATCTCCGAAATTTGGAGACAACATTCCTTCCCAGTCAATCGGGACCTCGTTTGCAAGTTCCCGGATGATAAAGAGTCATAGGACCACAGCCACACCCGGCCGACCAGTAAGAATGGATGAAGAACAGCTTAATCAGAAGGAGTAGGCAGCGATAGCCAGCAGGACCCCGAGCATGACAGTAGAGATAGGAGCCGTGGCAGCCACACCAGCGCCTTTGTGGCTAGAGTCCCCCACTGTAGAGTTGGTCTTGGCCGTGGTCTCGTTTGACCGCTTGGCGGTGACCTTGTCGTTGTAGTGAGTCTTCGCATTCCAGGGGTAAGGCTTGGTGTCGTATGTTGCGCTCAGGTGCCCATATGTTTTCTTGACGACATCCAGGATACCGTGACCAGCGGAACACTTTTCATTGCTGTCGGTGATGGGAATCGGCCACTCGGCAGTAAACGTGGAGGTATTGCCAGTGGACTTGTCCCCAATTGACATGGGACCAGGGTAGGTCTGGTTAAGCGTGAGATGGGTCTTGTCGACCTCGTAGTTGACGTAACCGGTCTTGTTGGCGACAATCTCGAAGATGTTGGCACCGCAATCCCAGCGACCCAGGGAAGGAAGACCCCAGTTGGCGGAGACACTAGCAATGCTAGAGTAGTGAGTGTAGAAGGTATTGTCCTTGGTACCCTTGAGGTGTTGAGGAATGGCGCCACCAACGAGAACGCTGAAGACACGGTTGTCGTTTGTGTAGGTATCGTCCTCATCGAAGGTCAGAAGGAGGAGAGTGTTGTTGTAGAAGTACTCGTCCTCGAGCAATTTGGCCACCCAAGGACGCTCCCACTTGGCAGCGAAAGTGATGTTGGTGTCATGTGCATCGTTGGTCATGTTAGGAGTGATGAACGCCCACTGAGGAAGCTTCTTGTCACGGAGATCATTTTCAAAGTCATCAAAGCTCTTGATAGAACGTGCGCGAGTGTTGTTGGCCACAACGGAGTCGTAAAGCACCAATGGGTTGTGCTTCCGAACGTAATCCGGGTGATAAGTTGCCTGATTGGAATAATTGTAGCCCTGGAAACCGGCATAGGGAATGTGCTCCTGGTATTCAGCCCACGAGATTCTCTTGGTGTCAAGCAGATCAGCAATAGAAGAAATGTTCTCAGGCATCTGCTTAAAGTCGTCGTTATCCATTCCAAACGTGTCACCGCCAGCGGCAGCGCAGTAGTTGGGCTCGGAAGGATGGGTGACAGCATAGAAGTTGGTCCTAAAAGAATATCATGAGTCATCTCACTCATAGCGTAAGTCATTGGAAACATACAGCAGAATACCCTCAGAAGCAAGCCACTGCATGTTGGTGTCCGTGGCAGCATCGTCATAGTCCTATGAGACCGTTAGTCATGGTGTCTCGGAGACTCCAGGAATGTTTTGGGAGTTTGTCACGTACAATGTTCTCCAGCCAGACTTGATAGAAACGATCAAACGCCAAGCCCTTGACATCGGAGGTGGTAACCTCCGGCTTGGTAGTTGCGGCAGCCGCATGAATGTCCGCGAGAGCGGGCTCAGAGGTGGTAGCTGTCTGAGCGACTGCCAGAGCAGCCACCCCCACCAAGGCCGCGAGAACAGTCTTCATTTTGATGGATCTCGCAGAAAATCAATTAAAGATTGATGTAGCTGATGAGATGAGACCGAGGCAAACCGAGGTGGATGAGGATGGTAAGAAAGAAGAAAAGATCGTCGAGGGGGTTCGGAATGCCAGAATATGTATGGAAGCTAGGGGGTCACCCGTGGACTAGTGGACTACACGTGCATCTTACATCGGAGATAAACTCTAGCGGAAGATGTACCTTCAAGGTACGTGAGGTCCTGTGCCATTACCAGCTTTCTTTCGAGTCTCATATAGGTACTCCGTACTCCGTACCTGATGTTGAATTGAAGTTTAGGTAGAGCATCTGTTGTATGATGCGGGCACATGGAGCAACGGAGCCCTCTGATTGGCCGAAGGGTTCAAAAGTTCAAGGTGATGGCCCGCACCAAAGACCAAGGCGAATGCTTAGCTGACTAGCAAATCCATGGCAACCTTGGAACCTCCAGGGCTCCGGCCCCGGACTCCGGGGTCCGGCCCTTCCGAGGTCCTCTCCGCTCTCCCCTCACTCCTCACAGCAGCTTTAGACGGTAAAAAGCAGTCCATTATGTACCTATGCACGTACATGTAGAGTACATTTTACATATCAATAAATGTACCTATGCACCTGACTTGTAATTTCTATTAGTGAGACAGGTCCAACCACTATGGGGACTTATAGGACGCTAGCGTGCCCAGGTGCATTTTCTTGAGATAAGGCGACTTGGATACTTAGCCTAACGCTTAGTGAGTGGGGAACGCCCGGGGGTGCCCAGGCAAATCACTGAGCTTTACCTAGGGGCGTGCTAAGTTCACTCAGGGATAAAAAAGACAGCAGATGAGCACTAAAACAGAAATGGACCTACATATGTTGTAGGAGTGACAGGAAACCCGCAACATCCTACATACATATGTAGTACAACATAGGTATTTTATATAGATATACCATCAAAAGACATATATACTACAGGGCTGGGTGAAATATTAGGATACACCTTGGGACTACCTACTTAGGCAGTTTCCCACCTGAGTAGTTGTCGGGGAGTACAAGTAAACATTAGAACCTTGGAAGCCAGCACTTGGCCATTTTGAGAGAGCCATAAAATGAGAATTCCCATTGAGCAGATAATTTCAATGAATATTTCCTGTGATCCTGTAAATTTCAAGACAATCACGTGGGATGGCAAAGCTTCCAGGTTTGCTGTGCTATACTTGGGCGGGGTCGGATTTCGAAATGTATCCATTGTCCTAGTTAGGAAGGTAACATTGGTGAGGTTCATTGCTATGCGACATAACTCTGATACCTGGGTCAGTGTATATGTCGAGTCTTGAACAATATTAAATGTTGAAAATTCCATTATCGTACAGGTCATCAGGTATCATTTGTAGTATATATTTTTACTGGGCAATTCTTCCACGCTTTATATCCTGAAAGTTCAGAATATCCTGGTCACCACCACGGTTCTCGGTCTAGATATTGACATCAGTCTCTCGGGCCGCCAGGGCCCTCGAACTGACTTGCCCTAGCGAGTCTGGAAGGGACGGAATGTTAATAATGTGAACGATTGACAGCTCATAGAAGCTGTGTATAACTTACCTGTTTCGGTCATCACGAACACCACCCTCATCCTCCGGAATTATACGGTGGTCACTGCCAGAAGCAGTTGAGCCAGGGCCGTACTTCACACTGGTGGGCTGAGAGAATCGCTGGTCGACCATCTCGTCAACACCAGACTCGACAGCTTGAATGGTTATTAGATAAATGACACCGATTAAGACCGGTTTCTCCACGTACTTGAGTCACTCTTCCTGCTGCGACCTTGCTTGGCCTGGTGGGAGTTGAGGTCCCTCTCGGCGTTGAAGCCTACATGCTTCAATTCTTCGGTGGTAGGCATGTTGTTTGGAATTTTTATATGCTGTAGTATGTACGTAACTTGATGAGGTGTTTAAAATGGATTTGAGCTTAGAGATTGCCATCTATGCTTTATATACATCGCCCCATCCACATCATACCTACTTCACTTCAAGTTAGGAATTGTAGTTGCATCATGCTACATCATAGGTATGTCACGAGTGGAGGAAGATGGGGAGCATTGTAGGTGAATCGAAAGATGTTTGCTCGAAAACAACCTTGGAAGTTGTCGATCCTAGTTTGATAACACCCCGAGCAAGCTGGTTGAGGCTGGACTTCCCGAGGCCATTGTCTCCACTGAGGGGAAACGTTGGGAGCCCTAGCAACAGATCTGAATCGGGGCAGAGGTTAGGGTCCAACCCTAGGGTACGGCGGGACCGGAGTATGGCTTTTCCGGAGGCGGGGAGTCTACGCTGGATAGGGAGCTCCAACGAGACATGTCAGTTCTTAGATCAATTAACATCTTGGAACTCACCCAGAGTTCCTTTTCATGAATGTCTAGTGATTCAGGGCACTTCAGTGGAACTCTGATTTGGTGCTTGTATTAGCAGAACTACATACAGGCTTTGCAGCTCTTTTTTTCACGCGTCGATCAACAAACACCGCTATTCGCCATGGCCTTCGCCATCGAAGCACAGGGCGAGACCAACCCACTCAGCCCTCAAAATGTGCTCAATACGCTAGTACTTGCGGCAAGCTCATCTCAGCAGCAAGTTCGGACTGGCACAGAACAGCTCCAGAACTGGGAGAAACAGGGCATGTACTACTCTTTTCTACAGGTATCAGTTGACGATCTTGGTTGTTGTTGCGTCGCCTAATAACACATTTTACAACTTATAGGAAGTATTTCTTGACCACTCCGTACCGAATGACGTTCGCTATCTTGCCATTATCCAACTGAAGAACGGCATCGATAAATACTGGCGCAAGACAGCACCAAAGTATGTTATTGGAATACTGCCAAGATGAGGGCATACTAACACCTGTGAAAGTGCGATCAAAGCGGAAGAAAAGGAACATATCAAGACCCGGGCCCTTGAGGCAGGAATCGTTGAGCCTGCGCCGCTGCTGGCTCTCCATAACTCCCTGATGATTGCGAAAATCATGCGATTTGAGTTTCCTCATGACTGGTATGGCAAGATTCAGCTGTTGGTCTTCTCATTCTAATTTCAATCAGGCCCGATGCCATTTCGTACATCATTTCCTCACTCCGATCCTCCGTCCAACCCGGAGCAAATCCGCTTCAACTTCCCCGAACACTCCTCATATTGCTAGAAATAATCAAGGAATTATCTACGGCACGAATTCAACGAACGCGACACAATCTTCAGTCTGCATCGCCTGAGATATTCCAGTTACTAGGAGGCATATATGTTGATAAAATCAATCAATGGGGGACGATACTGGAGCAGGGTGGTGCCGGCGAGGGGGAGTTGCTGGAAATCCTCGAATTGAGCTTGGTGTCTCTCAAGGTCCTAAGGCGCCTGATCATTGCTGGCTTTGAACACCCGAGTCGCAGCCAAGAAGTACAGGGCTTCTGGGAGCTGACCCATTCGCACTTCAGCAAATTCCATTCCCTCGTGGATGGGTCTACAAATCTACCCGAACTAATTCATCGGGCTATCGAGAAGCATTTGCTGCAGATGTCGAAGTTGCATGTTGAAATGGCCAAAACACACCCCGCATCATTCGCGTTGCTGCCAGATAGTATCTCGCTCGTCAAATCGTATTGGTCATTAGTCGTCAAACTCGGCGAGAAGTATGACAGCCTTGGTGCTGGGGGCGAAGATGAAGGGAAATCCTTGGCTGAGAAGACTGGCCTCCGGGCTCTGCTCTTGATTCGTGCATGCGCAAAAATGGCGTTCAACCCTGCTCAGACTTTCAAATACCAGACACCGGAAGACAAGGAGGAGCGGAAACAATCTGTTCAGCTCGTCAAAACGCAACTCTTTACCGAAGAATTTGTGATCAATGTTATGGAGCTACTCGTCACGCAGTTCTTCAGGTTCCGCAAGATCGATTTCCAAGATTGGGAAGAAGAACCGGAGGACTGGGAGAAGCGAGAGGAAGAGAACGCTGATGCTTGGGAGTTCTCAATCCGTTCATGTTCGGAAAAACTTTTCCTTGATCTCGTGATTCACTTCAAGGATTTACTGATTCCCCGTTTGCTGACTGTATTCTATACTTTCGCGAGTAAGTTATTGGTGAGCTATATAAAGTGTGCGCGACTGACATTTATATTCTAGGCACCGACAACCACAATGTGTTGTTGAAAGACTCGCTGTATTCTGCCATCGGCTTGGCTGCGGCCAGTCTTGAACAACATCTGGACTTCAACGCATTCTTGGAGCATACCATGATTGCTGAGGTCCAGTCTCAGGAACCAGAGTACAAGCTTTTAAGGAGAAGAATCGCGCTCGTACTTGGCCAATGGGTCCCGGTGAAGGCAGGCGATTTGAACATGAACGCAATTTACCAGATCTTTCAACATTTGCTCGGCAAGCATGATCCTTTGAACGACCTGGTTGTCCGCATCACCGCCGGTCGACAACTCCGGAGTGTACTTGACTCATACGAATTTACACCCGAAGCATTTATGTCATTTGCGCCTACAATCTTGGAGAGTCTCATGTCTCTCGTTCAAGAAGTCGAATCCTCGGATACCAAGATGGGGCTTTTGGAGACCGTTCGCATGGTGGTGGTGAAGATGGAAGATCATGTAAGTTGTTGCCTCATTTTCGTTGGCGGCTGCGAAACTCATACTATTAGATCACCCCTTTCTCCGATCGAATCATCTCTTTACTCCCGCCGTTGTGGGAAAGCTCTGGCGAAGAACACTTGATGAAACAAGCCATTCTGACTTTGCTGTCATCCCTGATCCAATCACTAGGACAGGAGTCTGTGAGATATCACTCTCTCATTCTTCCACTGATCCAAAGCTCAGTGGAACCTGGCTCGGTAAGTCCCGTGTGAATCATGCTGCACATATAAGCTTAGCCTAACTTTTCACCAAGGAAACCATTGTTTACCTTCTAGATGAGGCACTCGATCTCTGGCATGCCATACTCCAGGCCACGCCATCTCCTGCCTCACCGGAGATCATATCACTCCTCCCGTCTTTGTTCCCCATTCTCGAAGCAGCAACCGATAGCACTCCGCAGGCCATTCATATCCTCGAATCTTATGTGTTCCTTGCGCCGCAGGAGATCCTCAGTGACCGTTTCCGGTTCCAAATCTTGGTGATTCTTGAATCACTACTCAAATCCACAACCAAGCAACGTCTCGGTGTGATACCTCGCCTTGCTGATTTGATGCTTCGCGGTGCTGAGACCGTCGACGGCGGTAGCGAAGCAACCTATGGCGTCATTTCCCAATCCCTCCTGGACAGCTCATTCCTTGCCTCCCTGCTAGAAGGCCTTTACTCTGCCCATGAAGTGAGTCAGACGTCTGGCCCAAACAGAAAGTCCTCGCCCGTGGTCGGTGTCGTCGAGAGCGATTACTACTCTGTGCTAGCGCGCCTTGCGCTGGCCAGCCCTACCATTTTAGCCTCATCGGTCGCCGCCGCAACCAACTCATCCGAAGAACAATCACTTACCTGGATCATGACCGAATGGTTTTTGCACTACGACAACATTGGCAGCATTAACCAAAAGAAACTGCACGTACTTGCCCTCACCCAACTCTTGGCCCTACAAGGAGCGCCACTCGACCCGTCTTTACCCCCTCCACCCCCCGCCTACATCCTTTCTCACCTGCAATCATACTTGAGTGTATGGACAGATCTCATCACCGAGTTAGCAGACGGTGGTACCGACCCAAATGCCGATTATTTGGTCTGCTGGAATGCACCAGCCGGATCAGCAACCGCGATGCCAGAAAGCACGGAGGTCGAATCTCCCGAGATCATTCGTCGCCGTGACTGGCAGTCCGGGGATGCAATCCATCGCTTCATGATCCGAGACTTTGTGCGCCATCGTCTGCAAGAGGTTATTGCCGGCTGTGGTGGGCCGCAGCGGTTCCAGGATGAGTGGCTGGTCAACGTTGACACCGAAGTCGTTGCGGCGTTTGGAGCACTTGGGTTGCTCTGAGTCAAGGAAGAAGACCTTGCTCACTTTGATATCAGTGGCACATTTTTCATTTGCATTGTCACCATTACATTGTATATGCTTCTTACACCCTCATATTGTTCTATTTGCATGACCACCAGGTCCATACCTATTCGACTTTTAGCATTCTCAGAATACCAGCTACATATCCCAATCCATAAGATATCATTCAAAGCTTCCCATAATCGCTGAATCATAGATATTTTATGGAGCTTTAGTCCTTATGCATCGAGAACGGAAAATGAATTCTTGGGATTCATAGGCCAGTGATCAGTTCCCCGTGTCATTTTTCTTTTAGGGCTCTACGATGTACAATTGTTTTTTTTTTTAATAATAAGGGAAGAGAACACAAAAAGAAAAAGGGAATTCCCACCAAAACACAGCCTTCTCCAGAGAAGGGAGTTAGCCCTGGAGGTACCATTAGGTTGTACCTAGGTCCCCTAGGCACTTTGAGAAAAGTTAAGGTTGCCCTGGTAGGCTCCACATGTACCTTTTGATGTTGGGAGTTTACCAAAATTAGTATGTAAATGGCTATCCTTCAGGAGGAAGAGCAAGGAACTCCAAGTAAGCAAAAGAATATCAGTTGAATTGTCAGTTTCACAACCAGCAAGCCCTAAAAATGAAGCACACCTAACACCTGAGCAAACAATTCGCTTACACGCAAGCCCAGCAGACAATTAAAGAATATGAATCAGGTCTGGACAAAAAGTTGGACAAAAGAAAAAAAAAACAAAAACACCTCAAATCAGTATCATGCTTCATGCTGTATTTGGGAAACAAGAGCAGAAAGGCAAAAAATGGTATTGCTCAGCACTGGCCGGGGAATTCACGGCTAGTGACAGGGTTGGGGAAGACACCGCCAGCGATTTGCTGTTGCATGTCCCATTCAGGAGCACCCTCGGTCTTCCAGGTCCAGTAGAGCCAGCCGGTACCCTTCTCATAAGCATCAAGTTGACTTTCGATGAAGCGACGAAGGTTGCTTCGGTCATCCTCAGACAGAGCATTCACGGATCCAGTAGACTTGCCCTCACAGCTGCCGATAGGCTTACCACCACCGGAGAAAGTACCATCGTAGCGGGAACCGATACCCTTTCCGTTCAGGTACTTGGCACAGTCGGTCATGGCACCGGTCCACTCACCAACAATAGTCCACTTATCATTGGTCTCAACATGATCTTTGGCAAAGCTGCAGACGTTGTTGACGTGGGTTTTGGTGTCCATGGCGAGAAGACCGGTGTCAAACACTTCGTAATGGTGGGTGTCCATCATCACATACCAGACACCGGTAGACTCGCTCATGAAGCCGTTCCATGATTCAGTAGGCACGAAACCGTCATGCAGGACAAGCGTGGTGTCCTGGCTTGCCTTTCGAAGAAGGCCCCATGAATCGTAGTAGTACTGCTTCAGACCATCCTGGTTCACTCCACCTGGGATGCTAGGCTCGTTCAAAGCCTCGATCGCAGTGACGACGTCTCCATCACCTTTGTAGCGCGCGGCAAGAGCTTCCAGGGCATCCTTGGTATCGTTAACAGTATTACCTTGTTGCCATTGAATAGGGCCGCGCCTTCCACTGTTGTCAAAGCCATTCTGAGAGCCAGGAGCTGTGTTGTTGGTCAGTGGTTGTCATGTAATATATAGATGCGGAAACTTACCTCCGTGCAAGTCAAGAATGACCTTGAGACCGGCGGCACGAGCCCAGCCGATGGCCTTGTCAAGATACTCCAGCTGACCATCTACGTATTGGTGACCCTCCACGTGCTTCAGGGCCCAGTATCCCACGGGGATTCTGACGTGGTTCATTCCTGCGCTGGCAATTTGGTTCAAGTCGTCGGCGGTAATGAAACTGCTCCAGTGTTGGGACAGAACAGAGCGACATCCGTCCGCACCCAAAGTCTCACAAAGAGACCACTCGTCAACAGCGGCATCGCCAGCTGCGTCAAAAAGAGAGGGGGTAATCCAGGGCTCTGTTACCAGCCAACCACCGAGGTTGACACCCCGGACCTTGTCACCACGATAGTCGAAGTTCAGACTACTATACACCGATTTATGTTAGTATCTGTATAGACACGGGTGCAGTAGAACTGTAGTGCTGATAGAGAGGTAACAGAGGTAACACTTACACCGTGGGTGTGGCCTCCACCAAGGCTGCCAATAGGGACAGCCCGAGCAAGGACTTCTGGGCGAACTTGGACATGGTCGGCATGTTGAAACCCCTAACTTGGTCAGACCCAGAAAATCAGGAGGCTGGAGTTGAAGTATGAGTAATGAGGAATGAGGAATGAAGAATGAAGAATCAGGAATGATTAGATTTGAGATGAATGGTTGGAGATTGGCTGTTATAAGTAACTCGATTTCGATGGGTGGCTGATCAGGTAGCCGGATGCAGGCAAACAGAAGGTTACCTGGGCGAGAACGGAAGTCCCCACGGGGAATGATAGAAAATGAAGCAAAAGTAACGTACCTGTGTAGATTATTCTTCGCCGGGGTCTGAATCAATAGGAAAGTGGAGTGGCCGAAAACAGTGGTGGGTCAGGGTGTCCTGGGGTTTGAGGTTTGATAAAAGGCACAAAGACTTTGTTCTCTGGACGAGAGTAACGGTACCTAGCTGACCCCGGGAAGCGGCGTCTTGGGTGCTTCTTCGATATCACCTGTGGACGGGGTTGAAGGTCACAACGAATATGGATCTGGTCTGGAGAAGTAGTTGGACAATGTGGGACTGTGAAAGTGTCATATTCATCACATTCGTCACTTCCTAACTCCGTCACTATGTGTTCTACTGGAAACTGCGACCCAAAATAGTATCCGGGGAAGCTATACTCCATACTTCATTGCCCTATATCGATTAGGGTTTCCCTTGCGATTTTCGACTCGATTGCCATCTGGACTGGATACTTTCAACATAGACCAAACACATCGTGTCGTACATATTAAGTGACTCAGGGGGAAAAAAAAGTCCCAAACGTTGTTTGCAGCAAGATTTCACATTCCGTGATGTGATGGTGATCGGCACGTGGCATCTCCGACACCTTTTACGGAATGTCATTTTCTTGGCAGCTTCTAGACGTCCAGGAGCTTGAGCATATTTAGGCTACGTAGTGTTGGTATAAGACTAAACTTAAACATTTTCAGGTTCTATAGATCAAAATATGCTGTTTAACAACGCCAGGGTATTCTTTGTGACTAAGTATACATATTGTTGTATATGACCGCCGTGGGCATGGTTTTAATTCACGTTAAAGCCCAAGCCCTCCAAAATTGAAAAATTTAAAAGTTATTCAAGACATAATATACTATCTAATGCGCTGGAAATATGGAGTGGTAGGTATAGCCATGGCAATGTGGTTGAGACCTGTCGTCCTCGGTACTTCCATTTCCGGCGACAAGTGCATTATATCTGAGACAAAGAACCAAAATTTATGATGTGCATTGTACTCCAGAAAGGCTCACGGTTACACTGTTACACTCTTACATCCGTCTAATTCAGGGGCCATTGTCCGTTTGCCAGCCCGTAGACAAGTCGGGTAGAAAAATATGGGTCTGCACATTGTTGCAACTGCAAGTCTTGAGCTTGAGTTTGCAACCTTGAGCTCACACAAGACAGAATCTTCAGGAATGTGAAGAATTTTAAGAGATCGGAATGTACGTCCACGCGTTTCACGAGTCTCAGCCCTTAGGTCTGAGCGACTAAGTCACTGCCCAGACTTTATCAACTAATTCAGCTCAACGTTTCCGTTAGACCATAACAGAGCAAAATGGAAATTACCTTCAAAACTACGACTGGGTTCTCCGAATAGCGCCTAGACCAGGCGCTTGTTTATAGCAACGGGCGCCAATAATCAGGGCTAAGCAGACCTCAAACTCGCTTCTTCGTTACTATAAGAACCCTCGTGAACTTCACTTTCTTGTAACTGGCTGATCGGAGATCAAATGCCCAGAATGCATGAAAAATCGTATGACAAATTTTCTCAAGGTAAAAGAGTGAACAAGTTGGTATTTCTGTTTTCTATAATACAAATCTCTGCTAGAGTCCAGCAAATATCTCTACAAGCTCTCGGGTTGAGCCTCAGTAGCCGACGAATCCAAAGGAGCAGAAAGTCCGACCCGGTCAATAGTCCGAGTGTAAGCGATACCTCCATTGACTCTGTCCTCGTGCACGACCAAGTCCTTGCGGTTGGTGTCGACAAGAAGACGGATCAAGTCTGGGCGCATGTAGTGACCACCGAAATCGGCCAAAGACTTGGTCAGATGGATCTCGTCGAGGTCAATCTGTTCGACGACCAATTAGTTTGACATTCTGGTGAAACAAAACATCATCCACTTACGTCAACGAAAAGAAGTCCTTGGAAGTCTTTGTCAGGGTGAGGAACGAGGTTCTGTCCATCAGGCCCAAAGATACGGCCATTTCCATTGTAGATGTTGGGATCCTCAAGCTCCTTTCCAGGAGGCGTGTTGAGCTTGATTCCCTCGGCAGTAATTGTCTGCCAAGGCGCAAGAGTGAACGAACCGGTCTCGATCGCGTAAGCAGGGGTAACAAGCTGAGAAGTCTTGTCAGTAATCAGACCAACGCCTCATCGCGGAAAGAAAAAGGAACGGGAAATGTACATCAGCGTTTGCCTCGGCCACATTGGTGTATGGGTCCGGGTACTTGAGGGTCTCCTTTCCGGGATACAGAGGCCAGGCAGCAATGTGCACCTGCTCACCCAGTGAGGCGGCGTACGCCTTCAGGAAAGGGTTCATGTTCTCCCAGCAATTCAGGTGTCCAATGCGGCCGATCTCAGTTTCCATCACTGATTCGGTAGTGTCGCCAGTGCCGTCACCGAAGACAAGGCGCTCGACGTGGGTGGCCTTGATTTTGCGACGGTGATTGATGACATCTCCAGCTGGGCTAATCATAATCTGCGTCGTATACAAGCTGGCGAGATCAAGCTCCGAGTATCCGAGAGACACCCAAATCTTGTTGGCTTTGGCTGCTTCGCGGATGCGACGCATCTCATCCGAGTTGGAGGCCAGGCTGTTCTCGCGATACTTCTTCAGCAGAGGCAAGCTCTCCTGGTAGTTCGTCTTCCAAGCCCAGTATGGGTAGCCGGGGATCCCTATGTACATTCGTTAGTATATTGTATCCGGTACTTGGGATTTTGATACTAACACAGCTCGGGGAAAGCAATCAGCTTGCAGCCTGCTTTTCCGGCTTCATCGATCCAGTGGATTGTCCGGCGAACAGATTCCTGGAGGTCGAACCAGCCAGGCTCAGCATTGACTGCTGCGGCCTTGTACTTCTTGAGAACGGGAACCATTTTGAGATGTTCGTTGTATTTTCACGAGTGTTTACTTTGAAGACTGTTGTGTAGAATAAAGATCTCTGTCTCAAGCCCGGGAAGAACCTCAATTTATAACACCTCCAACTGTCTTGTATGTTGGATGTGAAACAATGACCTGCCGCCCCAAACCCCGAAACACAGAATGAGCAACATCATGAGATTCGGAAGCTCTCGGATTCGGGGACTGCTTTGAAGCTGTTGAACAATGGTCGTCCTGCTTGGCAGTAAAGCCGCAAGTCTGAGCCCCGGCGAATAAATACGGGGTTTGCTTCAATGTAGTGTCACGCCAGAGGATAGTCCCCGGAAGTTCGATAATTTGCATGTAACCAAGTATAAATTGCCTATTTTAAGCCCGGGGTCTGTTAGAGCTACATTTGATGCATATCATGCCATGATAGGTGGGCCTTCTCACTGCAGAGCTTCGGTGATCAGCCCTAATCCCGGGGTCATACAGAGCTTCCCGGATTGTCCCACCCAAACCCCGATATCAATTCAATCCCGATAGAAACAATCAGTCATCATGCTGACGGGAACAGGGGAATCGCATTGTTCGAATCTTATTGTGTCCCATAGATTCGGATATTTCTCAATGAGGTTCAACTAGACAATCGCAAATGACCAAACGCCGCTCGCGGATTCCTTCTAGACACAGGCAAATGTCTTAACTAGGTAATTTTGCATCTACGCCGCCATTTTCTAGCTCTCTATTACACAATTTCTTAGCTCTTAGGCCATATTCTACTTACTAGGCCGGATGGACATGATCACAAATAAAGGATCTGCAAATCGCGAAAGATTTTGGATTTGTATTACCACCCGCATCCTGTTACACCATGCTCAAAGAAACGGAGGATAAAGATATAGATACTCTAATGCCTGCTCGATGCCCGATGCTCTTTGGTAGTATTATCGAATTAAGGCAGTAGGATATATTCATCCCCGACTTGATGACACACAAGCTGACCAGACTAAAAATGTCAAAATTTATGCTGTGGCCAATCTGACTATCCTTGCAGAAATTTGTTTAATTTAAATTTTCAAGGGGAGTCCATTCGTTCAGTCTTCTAAATAGGCGTCGCATCTCGGTTTATAGAAACTGACTACATGCGTCTAGCTTTGGCGTGGTCCAAAATAAGTTAGGCTATGATTTACAATGCAGATATAAAGATTTTCATCTCTTGTTATTTGCTTTGGAATGTTATCAAAAGATTACGCGTAATTGGGTCTAGGCATGGAAATTCTACTCGAACTTTATTTATAGCTGATCACTTGCACGATGGGAAGCTTGGCACAAGGTAAGTTCTTCGGTCGATAGCTCTGGTTGGGGTTCTGATATTGTCAACAGACTGCGTTCTCCTGAGCTACCTAGCAATGTGAAGGCCAGACTAACCATTTTAGTTACCCTCAACCGTTAAGTCAACCACAGTAGTTGAATCTTCGGAGTAGTATGTCCTATCCAAGCCAATATATTAGTCCAAATTGGGTTCATTTGGACCACCTTAGCAATCGGACCGTCCTGTCTGTACAATATTGGCCGCTCTAATCGGGTCTGTTGCACATGTTCTGGATTGGAGCAACACTGCCATCTCTCGTTTTATCTTTTTGCAGAAGAGATGGCCGAATTCCCAACCTGCCAAAGCTATCCAACTATCCATTGGCCTATCTTACTTGCCAATAAAGTATACAGATGATCTGCCACCTGTACGTATTCTGAATTAAGGCTGGTGGAACTGACCAACTGGCCTACCATTTTAGACTGGTTCCAGATACTTTACATTTGGGGTCAGTTATATTTTCAACAGCATCAGCGCCTTAGCAGCTTATTAACTTGTGATATTCCTCAATAACTGTAATTTACATTGGACCAAATGCAGTAATGTCGTTTTTGTTATTGCCTCGAAAATTGGGAGGTTGATCTTGCTAGGGGTGAGCCTTAGTTGCTGGGGTGAATACTTAGCCGGCAAGGAAAAGTCATATATCGGTGAGAGACACATAATGATCCAGCCCACCGGGGCTTTTCCAAATCAAGAAAACACAAAAGATTCGCTTGCTTAAAAGCTTGGCTATATCTTTTCTATCACACCACTATTCAAGTTCAGAATATCTGATTGGAACGTCAACTCAACTCACCGTAAGCCCCGCTCGTAGAACGCGGGGAAGAACGGGGGCGGAGCACCCCCGAAGCCCAAAAACTAGCCAAAAACTAGCCACCGTAGGTTGAGGCGGAGGCAGCAACCGGACAAACAACTCGCCAATCGAGAAGAGGGGATCGTCGCGCCAAGCCGCACTCGGAGGGGCAGGGCGGGCTTTCGTATTCTTAAATTGAAAGATGATACAACCTCAAGCTACCACGTCGTCGGAGACAGCGGGGTAGCAAGATGTTGGTCCCGTCATGAGGCCCTGGGGAGTGATTGAATGATATATCGTGATCAGATCACGGCCCCGGGGCCAGACCATTTTATCAAATATGTATCCCGCTCAGGGTGGAGACGCTGGTGTGCCATGCAATCCGGACGCAAGGGATTGGACAAACACGATCCTTGCTGGGTGAACTAACAATGCAAGATCAAGCCATTCCATGTAAACATGACTTCATTCTTAGACTTGGCTTGGATATGCAAATGAGCTGCATATCTCGATTAACGGGTGAGACATCAAGCAACATGACTTCCCTTGCACGGGTAATGTATGTCTAGAGTAAAGACAGATCGGCTGTCGTCCGTGTGTTGCGATCGGCATTGAGTTCCCGCGGTATTGGGCAGAGCAGAGTCGGCATAGACCGAACATTCTCTGTCGCGTGACTCGTGTTTTGCTGGCGAGAAATGCTCCACGGAATACCTATCACTGCCGTGATTTGTCGGCCCCTAGAACCGGACATGGAGTTAGGCTGGGAAACTGCTGAGGGACTGTTATTATTGTGTGTCGGTAGTGTTCTGATAATTTCGATCTACCTGGAGAATCCACAGCTTGGGTTCCTGTAGCAGGCAGGATTCAGCTCACCTTTTGCGCCGGGCTATCTGTTTACTATGTGCACATCGACATCATTGCTGCCCATTAGCTCTTGGCTACTACCCTTGGCTCCTGCGCTGTCAGTAACGCCAAGCAGTGGGTGATTCTCCCTGTGTTCGGACACCAGCCAGCGACCGACATGCTCCCGGTCCTTAGTGAATCTGAATTTCTGGGCATCCTATGTACTTCCTGCGGGGTTTTCCCTTGTGGGGGCATCTCTGCCAAGTGGGCATGTTGTATGCAGGGAAGCACCGTGCCATGAGTCTGTTAGTCCCGCGTACGCAGGATCCGATGTATTTAAATCCAGGGACTAGCCCAATCATGTCCAGAATGTGATATTTTAATCTGAAGATCTTCGGTACTGTCGCTGTCGTGCGCGTATACTTCTGCTAGAAGATCTGAGTGCCTCCGATCAACATGCATTTGGCTCAGAGTTTTGTCTTGTCGTGCCTGGTGGCGACTGGTCTAGCTCTACCTAGCAATGAGGGCACCAAGCATCAGGAAAATAAGGCGCGCAGCCCTGGTTACTCTCTTAAGGAGCCTCCCTTGACAACGCCATGGACTGACCAAGTCGGAACGAACCCATGGCCCGAATATCCGCGGCCGTTGCTGCAGCGCTCTGAATGGAAGAATCTTAACGGGGTGTGGAAGTACCAAAATGCTGAAGGCCTGAATGCTGTTCAGCAGCCTCCTTTTGGGCAGGAACTTGCACAGGATGTTTTGATTCCGTCGTGTCTTGAGAGTGGATTGTCCGGTAGGTTTTCTCCTGTTTACTAAGCTATCATCAAAAATTAACAAATATTCGCAGGAATTCAAAGCAATTGGGCTTTGTACTCCTGGTTCTCGACATCCTTCGAAGTATCTTCTTCTTGGAAGGGTGAGCAGGTGCTGCTCAATTTTGGAGCTGTAGACTATGAAGCCACAGTCTTTGTCAATGGTCAAAATGCAGGCTTCCACCGTGGCGGATACTTCCGCTTCGCGGTAGACGTGACGAAGTACCTGAAGTTTGATCAGCCGAATGAACTGTGAGTATCCCGGGATTACAACGCAGTCGACTTGCATATCTGACTTTATGTACAGACTTGTTTTCGTACATGATCCTACTGACGATGGTGACTATGTTATCCCCATTGGAAAGCAGACCCTGAGACCCAGTCACATCTTTTATACCCCGTGCAGTGGTATCTGGCAAACTGTTTGGCTCGAGGCTGCCCCATCCAACCACATTACCCAACTCGATCTTGATGCAAACATGGACGGCCAAGGTAAGTGTCTGATGTCAGTCTGTGGAAATGTTTGCTTGATTCTGACTGAATGTAGTAAACATCACTGTACACAGCTCCGCCAAGGAGAAATCCGCCCAGGCCGAGGTCACTGTCCACAAAGATGGCAAGACTGTTGCAACCCACGAAGGCCCCACCAACAAGCCATTCCAATTCACTGTATCTTCGCCCAAGCTCTGGTCCCCGGACTCGCCTAATCTGTACAATGTGACGGTCAAACTCGGCAAAGATCAGGTGGAGAGCTATATTGGCTTCCGTACAATCTCCAGGGGCAAGATAGACGGGATTGAGCGACCCTTGCTCAATGGAAAATTCATTTTCATGTTCGGTACCTTGGATCAAGGCTATTGGCCCGATGGTTTATACACGCCCCCTAGCAAAGAGGCGATGGTGTACGATTTGGAGATGCTAAAGAAGTTGGGATTCAACATGGTCCGCAAGCATGTGAGTGTCGCCGTGTCACATCATATCCCATGGTTTCTCGTGCTCATGCCGTCGAATGTAGATCAAAGTCGAGACCGATCTGTTCTATCAAGCATGCGACGAGCTCGGTCTGCTTGTAATTCAGGACATGCCCTCCCTGCGCCCGCTGCAGTCTAAGAACGGGGTTACTATTCTACCCAACGAGCAGCAGCAGGTCGAGTTCGCTCGCCAGTTAGATGTGTTGATTAACCAGTTCAAGAGCTTCCCTAGTATTGTGACTTGGGTAAGTGAAGGTGTTTGGTGAAAGCAAGAAATATCCTGATATTAACCACTATCTGTAGGTCATTTACAACGAAGCCTGGGGCCAGATCAGAGAATATCACCCCGAGTTTGAGCTGACCGAGCGGGTTAGACAGCTGGACCCCACTCGGCTCGTGGACTCGACGACCGGTTGGGACGACCATGGCGCTGGAGACTTTAGTGTATGCACCCTTCCATTGTGGCTCAACCACGTGGCCAACTAACATATATTAGGACAACCACCACTACGCAAATCCACAATGCGGCACTCCCTTTTATTCCACGCCCTCGAGCCCATACGATCCCACCCGAATTGGGTTCCAAGGTGAATTTGGCGGCATCGGGACTAATGTATCCCTTGAGCATCTCTGGAACAACCAGGCAGCTATCAAGACTATCGACCAAACATACGAAATTGACATGACCATCGAGGCATGGAATTATCGCAGCCACCGTCTCCTCAGCGAGCTCGAGGATCAGGTCCGCCTGTACGCATGCAGTGGGGGCGTCTGGACCCAGACGACCGACGTCGAGGGTGAGGTCAACGGCCTGATGACTTATGACCGTCGTGTGGCAAGAGTCGACGTGAAGCAGTGGCAGGCAGATATTAAGGCTCTCTATGACGCCGCCGCCGCACGGAGCAAGGCGACTGGGGGAATCTCATAATGTATTTAGTGAACAGACTAAGCCATCCGAGGCTATCTGAATGAATTTGATGAGTATGGAGTATATAATCTTATATTGGCTCATTATCTCTAGATGAAACCCCATTTTATCAAAAATGATCTATCGTGACCGTTGATAATCCCCAGAGCTCTAGATCAGCATTTTCTTCGACGCCCCCTTTTCAGAAATCTCGATAGGAACATATTGACTAGCTGTTGGTATTTTCGACAGCCGCTGTCACAGCTGTCAAATCTCCCCAGAAATCAAATTAGATAAAGTTTCATCAAAAACCATGGAATCAAGCCTTTATACTTGTGGTACGCGGCAGTCTGGAGAATTCCCCCCTGTGCTAGACCCAAAGCAGTCAGAAAAGCCCTCACCAAGGCGGCAGTGATCGTCTACCGCGGCTGTTTCTGAGACGTCCCAAATTGAACAGAAAACAACAATGTGAAAATCTACCATTTCGGAGGATTAAAAGAATCAAAGCTCAATATGAGGGCCTCAAGTCTCGGCCCGTTTTGAGTGAAAATTTTTCATCTCGTATTTTGAATCAGAAAGACCTATTTATTGATCATGCCATACCCACTAGTTAGCCCTCCCGATCTCGCCCATCAGGCCATGCCATCACACGACACAAGTGTTTTAATAGATTTACTTACGCCACATCCCTTAACATGCATGTGTTCCCTGATTTTTCTACGCTATTGCCCGTTAGCTTCGATTGTCCCCTATTGCAGATTGCAGTCCTTAGGTCTGCAAACTGTGCATTCCTTCGGACCCACACATCCACCAGTTCGGTGTTTTCTAGAAGCATACACTTATTCAGGGGCGTTGTGGTTGCTTTCTGGGCCAATTGTATGGTCCTAATCGCTCAAAATTCAAGCTGATGATCTCAAGCGATTCATCTAAATTGAAAGTCTTACCAAGCCCCCGATCAACTGACGATTTATGCATATCTACCTATTATGAATACTACATCCTAAGGCACCCGAACATCACCAGGTCCGCAACCCAGTCGGACCCGAACGGAACCCACTTCGTCGCGGGTTCCAGGCGAAACCGTTGAGCCCGTAGCGGAGTCCGAATGTCTTTAACCAGTGAGCGAGAGTGAAATGCAAATGCCGATAGATCCATTTCAATCTACGGAGTAATTAAACTGCTTTGTTGGCACGGGCAATAGTTCGCGGAATTACATGTGTGATCTGAGTATTTTATGCCCTGCCAAAAACGCCATCCGATCGTATACTAGGATGATATACATGAACGGAGGTCTGATAGCAATTCCACGAGCCTCTTAGAGTTGAGCTTGCAGTATTCTTTACGTTTCTAGGTCGCTTGTTTCAAGTTGCCGACCTCGGGAGTCTGACAGCAACGGCAACCATGGATCGTGCCGTCCTTGGCTTATGCGGTGTTTCCGTTTTTTCCTAGTTTGGAGATTGCAGGGATCAGCCCACACATGCCTACATGGTCACTCCACTTTGGAGACTGACTGAATCATCTCACCCTGTGGTCTGATTCGGCCATGAGCACTTTACTTGATCATTGGAATGAAGGTATTAAGGAAAATCTCGGCTTGATATTACTGTGCTCGCATGAATTCGGGTAATGTCGCTTTTCTAGGTAAGAGTCATGCACCCTGGTTCCAGGATTGCCTGGAGCGGATCTCCAATCGGATGTGTTTTACAGTTTGGTGGCTTCCAATGTAATCGTGTCGCGTGCAATATAGCAGAACAGTGAACGGAGTAATCTTAACGGGTATGGCGCATCCATGGTATAAATACTCGATCCGCCACGAGCTTGCCACGAGATGCCCCAGTTTAATCTTCTCTCTTCATACTCGGTTCCCGATCTACCTTCCATACTTCGTTCTTTTTACCAACCCCGTCAAAAAAGACCCCAGCTATTCATAAGAGCGATTTGATATATACCAAAAGGCATCAACACTAGCAGCATGAATCACAGCATGAGATCGGCTGCTGAGCCGATGCATGTCGACCGGAAGCTGCTCTATACAAGCTTGGAAGAGCGAATCAAGTACCTCCATGACTTCCTGGACTTCAACTCCTGTAAGCTCTCACCATACACCACTGTCAGGAGTCTGCCACAGGCACTAACGTTTGCCCAGCTGATATCGAAGCACTGATGACCGGCAACAAATACATCAAGCAATTGATCCCGGCAGTGGTCAACCTGGTATATAAAAAGCTTCTCCAATACGACATCACATCTCGAGCCTTCCACACACGGACAACAGTCGACGAGAACGAGCCCGAAGAGGGGTATCTCCACGAAGAGACACCGAAAATTCAGCGACGCAAGATGTTCCTGCGGTGGTACCTGACACGCCTATGCCAGGACCCGACCACAATGGAATTCTGGCGGTACTTGAACAAGGTTGGGTAAGTTCACACAAAACCCCACCTTTCCATCCCCAGAACCCGTCCCCGGGGGTCAAATTCTCTGTGCTTGTGCAACGCGCTAACGTGGGGTTTGGTAACACAGCATGATGCACAGCGGACAAGTCCGCAGGACACCACTGAACATCGAGTACATCCACCTCGGCGCATGTCTAGGGTACATCCAAGACATCTGGATTGAAGCGATGCTATCGCACCCGCACCTGTCGCTGCGACGCAAGATCGCGCTCGTGCGCGCCGTCAACAAGATCCTTTGGATCCAGAACGATCTCTTCGCCCGGTACCACTCGAGCGACGGGGAGGAGTACGCGGACGAGATGTCTGAGTTCGACTACACAGAGGATCAGGAGGGATACCTTGGCGGCAAGCGCATTCTTGGCAGCAGCTCCGGTAGCTCGACCGAGGATGACAGATCCAGTATTTCTAGTGGTGTGGCGCCTTCCGTGGCGCCTTCTGTGGCGCCTTCTATAGATAGTGCGGCGCCGTCGACATCCAAGGTGTCGGCGTGTCCTTTTGCGGAAATGGGCAAAAACAGTTCGACTGAGACGAAGATTTGGGCCAATTGAGGGGCTCTCTGTATTATTGTGCTGGTCACGATTTGCATCTTTCAGGCGCTTGGGGTTATGGGTTATGGGTGATAGGGCTAGATTCTGGAAGTCTGGGTTTTTGGAAATACCTTTGATCGGCATAGATGGTGTTGAATAATTCAAAAAGAACTTAAAGAAATTACCCCTGGCATTTCATCCATCTCATTCATCGCGTTCATCTCATTCATCTCGGCGGAATGCTTCCGGCTTTGTCATACTTTTCCCCCCACAACTCCCACCTGGGCAAGCTCGGCTGTTATTCAAGGTAGTTGAAGAAGGCATTAGGATTTTATATCCGCAGGCAGACCGGAGATAATTCATTAAACCGTTGCATAGTGACCCCAGGCCCCGGACATAACCAATCAATCTGCACTCAATTCAATAAAACTGTGAGCTATCAGAGTCTACCACCCCCTTTGTGTCCCCCCCTTTGGTGTCTCCACCACCCCCCGCCACTCTAGTTGGTTAAGATCAGAGCTCCTATTAAATCAACTCAGCCCCTCCATTCGAATAGACCGGTCCCTTTCTGTATAAAGAAGATATCCTCCGGTATTATCCTTCTTCAACTCCCCGAAACACCCACAATGGCGCAATCTAACAAGGCGGTGACCCCGCTTATCATCAATAATGAGTCCATTGAGACAGATATCAAATTCGAGGTCCACGCCCCCGCCACTGGCGAGTTGAGTGGCTATTGCGCCGGTGTGTCAGTCGACGATGCCAACCGTGCAGTCGATAGTGCCCAAGCCGCCTTTCCCGCATGGAGCAAGACCAAGGCACATGAGCGTCGCGACATCCTGCTGAAGGCCGCCGACATTATGGCCTCGCGAAAGGAGGAATTGATCCAGTATCAGCGCGAGGAGACCGGTGCCGGCCGGCCTTTCTCAGAGTTCACCTTCAATATGGGTGTGCTCTTCATCAAGGAGTTCGCGGGTCGGATATCCACGATCGAGGGTATCGTGCCGAATGTCAGCGGGGAGGGTGAGGGAGCCATCGTATACAAGGAGCCGTACGGAGTAATTCTGTCAATTGCGCCATGGTAAGCTTCGTGATCCGATCTGTGGCATATACTGCAATGTATCAGCTGGCTTGGGACTATTTTTTTAATTGATTGGCAGGAATGCTCCTTTCATTCTGGGTACGCGCGCTGTTGCGCTCCCTCTTGCGGCTGGAAACACCGTCGTCCTCAAGGGCTCCGAGCTCTCACCCAAGTGTTTCTGGGCTCTGGGTGACATCTTCCGCCAGGCTGGTCTTCCGGCCGGATGTCTGAACGTCATCTTCCACCAGCCCTCCGACGCCCCGGCCGTCACCAACGCGCTGATCGCCCACCAGGCTGTGCGCAAGATTAACTTCACCGGTAGCACAATGGTCGGCTCGATTATCGCTTCTACCGCAGGTAAACATATCAAGCCTGTGCTGCTCGAGCTGGGCGGCAAGGCGTCGGCGGTCGTTTTGGACGATGCGAACTTGGACAAGGCTGCCATGAACTGTGCCATTGGATCCTTCATGCATGTACGTAGCGTTGAATCAATCGAGACAAGGATATCACGTACTGACAAGCGATACACAGTCCGGTCAAATCTGCATGTCGACCGAGCGGATTATCGTGCAGCGCTCGATCGCAGACGAGTTCCGACAGAAGCTTGCTGAGACAACTGAGAAGTTGTTTGGCAAGGACGCGCCCGCGCTAGTCCTGGTCAACACCGCGGCCGTCGCTAAGAACAAGAAGCTTGTGGCGGACGCTGTGTCTCGCGGAGCTAAGCTGCTGTTTGGCGACGCTAATGCAAGCGAGTCCGTTAACACGGGCATGCGGCCGATCGTCGTCGACGGTGTCACAAAGGAGATGGACATGTTCGCGACCGAGTCGTTCGGTCCGACCGTGTCTCTCATGGTGGTAGACACCGAAGACGAAGCGATCGCACTGGCCAATGACACCGAATACGGCCTGACTGCGGCTCTGTACACCAACAACCTGTTCCGGGGGTTACGGGTGGCCAAGCAAATTGACTCTGGGTGGGTTTTTTTGAGTTCCAAATACAGATCACATCATATGGGTGGAGATTGGATTGAGGCTAACTTTGTGTTATTTTCCAGGGCCGTTCACATCAATTCTATGACTGTACACGACGAGTCTGTCCTCCCTCACGGAGGATGGAAGAGCAGCGGCTTTGGTCGCTTCGGAGGAATTTCAGGATACGACGAATTCCTCCAGACTAAGACTGTTACTTGGCAGGAGTAGAGGCTAGATTCACAGGTACATACGTTATACGGAGTACATCGGTGCCTACATATCAGACCTGTTTGATTTGGCCCCGTTTTTGGTCCGTTTGGCCCCCGGCAAGATTGGGCCGCCACGGGCGACTGTTTCCCTAGTTGTATCGACAGGGCTTGGTTGGGGCTTGTTCTGGGCTTGTTTGGAGCCAAGTTGGGATTTAGTTGGCTTTGATCTGAACCTTGCAGTCAATGCAGCCAATGACAGAGCCTTCTCGCGTCGCCTAGAAAGATGCGGTCCGGATACCCGGCTTATACCGTATAGACGTGTTGAATGACTCCCGAGGTCGATGTGATGTGTGTGATTCATGTTGCATCGAGCTTACAGCGTAGTATACGACTATACTCCACTCCATATGGGATATTTTGATATTTATTTTCTCTTCTTTTCTTTTTTTGGGTTCGGAGCCTCCGATTTAGGTCTGTCTCGCTTTCGCCATGAGGCTGAAGGTCATGTGATCTAATTTCCCCCCCCCCCCCCCTCAGATAAAAGCTAAAAATACCTATTTCGTAATAAACGAAGGGATTGAGCCTATGAATAGGCCTAATATAGTGGAATTCCAGCCTTGAGACCCGGTAAAAAACATTCGAATCTCGATAGTTGCGGCGAAGGCGCTGAACACAAGTCCCACCCTAAATTCAGGCACAGGAACGCAGCAAATCACAGCAATCCACAGCAAATCGCCAGGTGAGACAATATCCATTCTCTATTTTTTATTTTTTATTTTAGTTTTACATGTCTTAATCCTTGGAAACGAGCGATTACAATGTGCAAACAACACAGCATACTACATAGTTACATACTGCGATTTACTCCGTACAAGCGGCTAAACTTCAACCCCCTGAATATCAGCCTGTTGATCTTTCCCATAGACATCACAACCTCAATGAACCGGTGGGATCGGCGATTGCATTTGATACGGCACGGGCCTGTCGGTGTGGAGTTATGTTGCGATTGTCGTGAATATCAGTGAATATCAGAATCTAACCCTGCAGGTTCGGTTGGAAATCCTGTTTGCCCCCGTGGAAGGACACATGGTACCTGCAAGGCACAACGCCCTGTGCGGCTGCACTGAGGGCTTTAAGTATTCAGTACAATACCTGTACGACGCCCGTCACAGGGCCTGGGCTTGAAGGCGCAATCTCGTAATCTTGCAATTTCCTGAGTTCGCTTTGTGGTTATTCCTCTTTTTTTTTTTTTTTCTAAACACAAGTGGCGTAAATGAGGAATAGATGGGGCGCCCCCGGTCCTTCAAATATAAGATATATCTAATTTCATATTATAGTAGAACATATGCACAATAATAGCTGAGATGTTCCAAGAGGCTCCATGGCTACCGTGGGTAATCCTCGGATCGATGTTTTCGGTATCGGTAGGGTTCCATGGGTCCACGGTATTTGGAGGAACCTTCCTTGAAAGGCTTAAAGGTAAACAAATATGTCAACAGCCCTAGAGTTATTTCCATACCATTAGTATTAGCCCCAAACTCTGTGCCTACATTCCTTCTTCATTTGATATTTCTCTTCCTTGGCCCCCCAGTTTAATGGTATTTTTAATCTTAGATGTCGGGATATTCTCTACATTAAGGGTCAACCGTTATGAGGAATAAAATTAACTTCCGGGTTGTCCACCAATTAAAACCGGTGCCTGCCTATCATGATTATTACTTGACCTGTAACGCACAGCCTGACGTTATATTACAATAACATCTGAGCCACAGCCGGCCCGCATGCCCCACGAGGACATGGCAATTAGGACACGAGACTGTCATACTCAAATGACGATTTTCTGTCTGTACTCCGTACTCTGTATACAACAACAGTATTATAGTATAGGGTGTGATGGGTAGAACTCGTACGGAGTATTTACAAGTAAGACAGGGAAGTCAAAGCCACACACTTGGGAGTAAAAAAAGTAAAAAGTAGCGGAGGAAATGAGGTGGATGAGATGTGGTTGGTCTGCTCGTTTGGTCTTTTTTGGTTTTTGGAGGATTTAGTGTAGACCCACCCAGTAAGTACCACTCCAAGCTAGAAATGTAGTTCATATCCCCTCCTTCTTCTTCCTTTTATTATTCCTCTCTTTTCATTCCACTCATCACGATCCTTTATTTTTTCGTTTTTCAACGATAGCCATTCTTTATTTCCCACCTCAGTCATTCTTTGTCAATCTCGACACCAAATCAACATGCGTTTCTCCGTCGCCACCGTTTTCTCTGCCCTCGTGGCTCTGGCTGCTGCCCACACTGCTCCTGACTACACCAAGAACCCCAGTGGCAATGCCATCGTTTCCCCTGGCCTGAACGAGGTCGTTCCCGAGGGCAAGACCTACACCATCAAGTGGACTCCCACCACTGTTGGCCCCATCTCCCTGGTCCTCCTGCGCGGTCCCTCCAACAACGTCCAGCCCCTCAAGACTCTCGCCGAGTCCATCCCCAACAGCGGCGAGTTCAAGTGGACTCCTGGCTCTGACCTTGAGGCCGACGTTACCCACTACGGTCTGCTCCTCGTTGTCGAGGGTACCGGCCAGTACCAGTACTCCACCCAGTTCGGTATCTCCGCCGCTGCTGGCTCCAGTTCCAGCTCTTCTGCCACCACCGTCGAGAAGACCGAGACCACCACCATCTGCCCCGAGACCGAGACCACCGCTGCTGCCACCACCACCCCGGCTGCCTCGTCCACCGTCTACGAGAGCACCGAGATCACCACCACCATCTGCCCCGAGACTGAGACCACCGCTGCTGCCACCACCGTCGGCCCCAAGGTCACCCCCACCGGTGTCTCCCCCGTCGGACCCCCCTCCAGCACCCCCTTGACCTCCGTCCGTCTCACCACCAGCGCCATCCCCACCGGCACCGCCTCTGCTTCTCCTTCGGCTTCGTCCCCTGTTTTCAACAGCGCTGGCCGCAACGCCATCAGCTTCGGTGCCGTCATGGCCGGTGTCCTCGCCGCTTTCGCCCTCTAAGCGCATTCTCTTAAAACAGAGTTGCGTGCCGATGGCATTTTCTTTCTTTCTACTGGAAATAATGTTTTGTTATTTTCATGAGGCTTAATTTATTGATATCGTGATATGGGCTTTTTGGATTCTCTGAGTTTCCGCATCTCATACCATGTTCTCCTTCTTGTCTACTATTTTTCTCGCATATCTCTCAGCTATGGTTGCGTAATGTGAAGTTCATGTCCTTATGTTTCTTCCTCCTTGTAGTCTACTTGTACCCAGGTAGATCCTAGGGCATGGGTCGAGTTTCACTCGTATAGACTCGTAGGCATATAGCACCATCTACGTTTGGTAAGAAGGTAGTGTGATCGATAGACTTGGTAGAGGTGGAGATCCCTTATTGCCATGAAGTTATTTTGATAGCTTCATGGAGACACAAAATCAGGCAAAATAGGGGCAAAAAGAGGTCTGACGAACACTGCCTGAGCAAACAGCAGTTGCCCAGGTGAAAAAACGCCTGCATCTTAGTACAGCAAACAAGTAACAAACAGCTCAATGCAGCAAACTGATTGCAATTGAAGATGCCAAATCTGTTTGTGCATGACACAGACTAGGAGATCTCAGACCCATCTGCCTATAGACACATGGAAGACAAACAGCATAATGACAAAAGGAAAAACTACTCATAGAAGGCAGCATCGATATAACTGTTGTTACACTACATAATATTTGATATAGTTGCACTATTTTTGGGTTCCTAACCTGTCGCTTTATTTTATCAGAAAACTATATTAGTGAACTTCCTTTTCTTAAGTGACATTATCAAGAGATGGGTACTTGTAGATACCAAAGAGACTATCACGCTGTGCGGTCAGTGATCAAAGTTGCTACCGTCCAGAGACTATTTGATGTAGTATAGCTTTCTTTGATTCGGTGATATATCACATCCTAGAGACTGTATTTAGTATGGAACACCCGCCTTCAAGATATCTATAGCAACTAGTCTGTTATCTTCCCTTTGCTATCAATCCCAAGGGCCGTACTTGCTCATCATTTGTAACAGTCAAGTCTCTAAAGCTAAAGCAACCCAGTATGGACCAAGAAGGCCTTTTCTCCTGGCTTGTTCTAACCACCCTTCTCCTTCTGCTCATGGCCTTTTTGAACCATTTGCTCACGCCCATACTAGCCATCCTAGCCCTAACAGCCCTCAATACCGTAGACCAGCTATTAAATCGAGTCCGCCTATTCATACAGTTCTGATTCTCCATTCTCCACTATGGGACCGTACGTCCCCAATTCCAAGCCCTACCTTGGTCGTCGGGTATCAAATTGAACATGACTATCAACACGTTAGTTAGAATCCATGATCATTAATCCGCACTTCGGCTCCACTCACGTTCACCAAAGGCACCGAACGTATCATCAAGTTGTTCGAAGATGTTCGCGGATGGGTGGTCAGATGGTTCGATAGGCGCTTGGACTTGTTGGTCGTTTGCCCCCCTGTGGTCTTGTATTGCTTGAGACATGTGTGGAGACTGTCTCGAATGGGGCGGTGCGTGAGCTGTTGGAATTGGAGGATGATCGCGGACATCTCGCGATGGTGGCGAATGACTCCCAGTATGGTCTATATGGGCCGGTTGTACACTCGGAATAGCACCCCTCTCAGATATCTCCCTGGGAAGATTTGTTTCTAGTCCCCCTCTCAAGGCACCGGACATCTCTCGCTCGATAGTTACTTTCAGCAACTCTGTCAGAAGCTGTGCAGTCTGCTTGGCAACACGATTGTGGGGCCCAAAAGCCACACTAGCATGAATGATACGCATGATTCCAGCCTTGGCCTCGTGTGCAGCTGTAGTAAACGGTTGACTAGTTGGCAGGATGCAAAGAATGACTCCTGCAGTAAATTGTTGTAGAGAAACGAAGGATTCGGCGAAATGGTGTTTGAAACGGAGGACTGGAATGCGAGATATCCGCAGTGCAGCTGCTGTAGCCACTCTCAATGACTCGTGGATTGCGTCTACCACCAAGCGCGAGCAAGAACTAGTGGTTTTTTGCTCGAGTAAAGGTCGACGGGCTTGTATCAAAGCCCCATCGTATGTCAGTTGGAGAGTTGCCGCCTGCAATATGATTGTTTCAGCTTGATATTTAGTCCGTTGCGGCAACCCTTTGATTTGCTGTTGGAACTGCTCGAGGCGATTTTCGCAGCTCCAAAACTCGAAATCGAACAACCGAGGAACCCTTTTCCGCCAGGAGACTAATTGTTCCTCTGAGTCTTGTGTAGCTTCTGCAATTGCCAGAAGGTCCTCTTCTATTGTCTCTTTTCTTAATTGAAGACGACGAAACCGCGAAAGAATGTGTCGAATGATGTTGTAGATCTCAGATTTCATAGTGAAAAACCTAGCTGTCGTTGTTGGCATTCCATCGCCAGATATCCATTCATTCTTCAGCAGGAGTGGATCAATGACTAGGTCATCCATATCTCTGAGCGAATGCAAAGCAACAAGTCCAGTGTCAATAGATGAAGGTCGCCCATAGACGATAGATGCAAACGTGTCGCTGACAATAGCATGATTCCAACAACGAGAGCGAATCTCATCCACAACTGGATTTTCACATTGGGCTGATTTAGTATAAAGACGAAGGGCATAGGCAGACCTCACACCCATACCAGAAACAGTCCAGGCAATACTCGGCGAATTATGATAAACATAATAGCAGGACACCAAGAGACAAACCTGGACAGCTTCAATTCGACAATCGATTGAGATGTCGAGCAGATTCCGTCGTATCTCACTGACCAAACCGTGCATCAACTTCTCCCCGTCAACGGAGTGTTCTCGCAACAATTCGTGTCCAGGCCATCTCTGATCTGGTAACACAGAATGCAGCCCAATCATAGCCACTGCCAGTACAGCCATGGTAGGACTGAGATCTTGGCGTCTCCATGAAGTTTGGGAAATTATCCTGCGTGCAGTCTGCCGGAACGAAGGCTCGTGGAACAGCAAGATGAACCATTGCATTCGGTCGAAATAGGCGTCAATCAAGGCCAACATCACCGCCTCTGGGGGAAGCTCTACCTCCGTCAAATGCCATAATGAGTTGTCCAATGTAGGAGCTCCCGTATCACCAGGGATTGATGCACCTGTCAGAGTCCGGCCAGCTTCTTCCTCGTTGAAGACTCGTCTGGCGAAGTCAATCGCAGAAGCATTAGCACCAGACTGCGGCTCTTTCGGAGAGCGTTCCGGATATGATGTTGAGCTCTCTGTGGCATAAGGTATATCGGCTCCTCCAACGCCATGGATAAAATTAGAATTTTTGCGTGTCGCTGGTGCGATTGCTTTGTGTACTCCAGAATTCACATGCAGATCTCTGCCTCCTGGATTTTGTCTGCGAGTCCGTCTTGCTGTGCGCTGGGATGTCTCACATTTATGTCCAGCGCGAGCACACAGCACACAAGGACGTGAGCTGTCGCACTATAAAAACACGGTCAGAACGATAGTTTCAAACCAGGGGGTCTCGTGAAGGGATCTACCTTGAGTTTCTGGCGGCGACATCTGTCACATGCTCGCGATGTGCGGAGTGACTTTTGCAACAGGCTAGTCTCTTGCTCCATGAATATAGCAAGGTGGTGCTTTAGCCAATTCCGTACAAAAGTCGAAATCTGTATCTGTCCATGTCAACAGGGTTACAACTGGGGTCCCCGCACTTTCGGGACAGCCGGATAACCGCAGGGGAACCAAATTTAGCGTTCCAAGGTTCGGCTCTCAACCTTGGAACCTTGGAAGCATAGGAATATTACATAATATATTGATTTGTTTCATTCTGTGTACTCTAAAAATAACTAAATGCTTTTTTAATTGTATTAAGTTGCGACCAAGCCCAAGAGGTGTCCACGAGCATTCTGCGCCTGTGAAAGAACAATCTGAGCCGCAGGATATGTTTGTAATAAATGCCCAGCCGCTTCCTCGCAAGCGTATAAGTTCGACATAGCCTGCATCCTCACAATGTCATCCGAAACCTTCAGGTCAGGAAGACTTCCCTCCAAAATAATAATAAGTATAGTAATAGTGCTTCCAGGGAGAAAATGAAGCATCCTGCAGTCATGTAGCTCATTGAGAATCTCATTCACTTGCGAAGTCAAGCCTCTCATTGTCGAGACAAGAGTTGTCTGGAGACCATCTCCTCGGCATGACGCAGCTTGGTAGATTATGGACATCGCAGTGAGATGGAGGAGATACAAGAAAGCCTGGTGAACAATGAGGACAATCTCCGGAGACTCCGAATGGCAATCGTGTAAGAGTGATGGGGGAAATAATGTGCCGGGGCAGGAAGATCCTGAATCCAGGTCTTCAGAAGCTGTTCGCATCCAGTTATGGCAACCTGAGATAGATCTGACTTGGGTACCATGGAGTATTCACATTCTCCTGATGGCGACGGCGACCAAGCATCTTCGTAAAGCAGATTGATGATGACGCCCACACAATGAGCAAGCTTAATCTCCTGAATGAACAGAAGCATCATTCGCTCTTGATTTTCCCAGTTGAGCATGGCGGATGCTTCTCCCAGCAGAACCAGCACGAGCTCATGGTATGGCTCGGAGGAATAGTATCTCGTAGATTCCAGTAGTGACATTGTGACATCGCTGTTTGGGATTCGTAGTGGTCGACGGAAGCCGAGGGAGAGGATGCGGTCGCGCACATAGAGACACCACCACAGCCTGTGCTTGTGAGAAAAACTACCTGTTTCTAAACTTGCAAGGAGACCGACGCGCTCTGCTGTCGAATAGGCGAGATCGAACCAGTATGTTGGGTCTTTGTGGCCGAGTCCACCTCCATGCCATTGCATCATGAGCAATAATGCTTGGATCTGGGTATATGCGTCGGGTTCGGTCTCGAATTCATAAAGAAGCTGATAATAGAGTCGAAATTAGTCTCGACTTTCCATGGACTCTTGTCTTCTCCAGCGATCTCACCTTGGCGCGCCCAAATAATGTTCTTCGCAATGCTTTCCGTGATGAGAACCCAGCTTTGAGAGCAGTTTCCTGCTCAATAAATGCACTGCCAGCCAACATGACAGCTTGATGAAGAAGCGGGCTCGGAAATCGGATTTCATCCTCGACCATGACATTTAATAAAAACCATTGCAAATCAATGACAGGCAAGAGAGGGTGAACATATTTGATATAAGCCGCGAGCAACTCATTCCGAAGGTCGATAGGAACTATTCTGAGAGCTCCTTTCAACTGTAGATATTCTTTACTTTCTCCAGAGAGATTCGGAAGCCGAGCTTCGAAAGTTCGCTGCAGTTCGAATGGCTGATTGTGCTCCCCTGGAATAAGATCCGGGGTCTGCGGCGAGAGCAACTCATTTATCGTCGTAAGATAACTGTCTAAGGGATATGTCTGGGGCACATTGTGCGTCAAGGTCATGTGTGGTTGACCAGATATCTGCTTACTCCCTGACGCGATGAACTGCGCAAAGGGATCTAACGATGTCAGCGACCATGCGGAGATTTGGAGCATATGCTTGGCACATGTGTCCTACCTAGACCATCCCCACCCCTGTCCAACCGATCTACATCCTCGGCATTGGAGAAGGCCTCCAGAAGACTAAGAGAAGACGGCAGATCCATCGGCACGGACTCCGGTCACTTCCTCCGCTTGCTGCTAAAGTGATTAGCGCTAGGGCAACCTCTAGAGGCAGTTCCTCTCTCGGCATTCGGGGGAAATATTTACCTCGACTCTTGGGACACAGTGGGTAGAATTCCCGAGGCCAGTTGATTGGCTGCGACAGTCACGTGAACCGATATCGATTTTGCTTTGACTGTTGGCACTCGATACACTCTTGTGATGGTCGTGTCTTCTGTCTTCTTCTCCCGACTATGTTGTACAACATGTTGTACTATGTTGGAGGACTGCCCTTAATATGAAAGGGATACGAGAAAGACCCGCGACATCCGTGGGGAAACTCGGGGCCCCGCATTTTCGAGGATCCGGAGGGATTTCGTTGGTGGTAATTGGCTGATCTTAGTCCCAAGTTTCAAATCTAGACTCGGAGCTGCTGGAAAATTGCGGTGAGTGGACGGTCATCTTCCACCGGAGCCCTAGAAGGGAACTTCCACCGGAACTTCAGCAACCAATCACATGATTCGAGAGATTTGGTCTTCATTTACACCGTACACCGGATATGACTTCATTTTTTAACCATGAATAGTTGATCTGGCAACTAGGGAGCAAAGAGATGAGAAGAAGGATTGATTCTCTACAAACAAACAGGAAGCTAGCTAGTTAGTTAACAACTCAATAGTTATGTGAAGCCTGACAAACCAGGCATCAGCCAGGCATCTGCATGTGACTGTCCCAACAGTAGTTTCAAAGATACTACTTCAAAAATATCCATCTACCAAGGCAACGGACCATCCTTATTAACAAATCCACCAACATCCCCATCCCTCTCCCCAAGCACAATCCCCAAAATCCCTCTACCAGACTCCAACGGATCCCCAGCTCTTCCATACGCACTAACAGCAGCCTCATCTTCGCCCCTCAAGTTCGACCTCACAAGACCAGGACAGAACGCGAACACCCGCACACCACGACTCTGCAGCCGCTTGTGCATCTGGACGGTAATCATGTTCAGCGCCGCCTTGCTCGCACGGTACTCATCCCAAGGCGCAGCATAAATACTACTGCTGGGATCAGCCGCCAGATTCATCGAGCCCAGACCACTCGAGATATGGATCAGATAAGGTTTTTCTGATTTGAGGAGGAGAGGGATGAAAGCCTCTGAGACCAGACTTGCACCAATCACGTTCGTCGAGAAGATCTGGTTCAGTCTGGCGCGGCCGCTGCTGTTAGGTGCGGCTGAGCCAGCGTTGTTGATCAGGATGTCGAGTCGATTGAATTGTTCGTCTACGGTGTGCACCGCTTGGGTTATGGAGGCGTCGTCTTCCACGTCTAGCTGGAGTAGGGATAGGGTTCCCTTGAGGCTTTTGCTTTGGAGTTCGGAGAGGGCTTTTTGGCCCTTCTGGAGGTCACGACAGGCCATGATTATATGGTGGTTTGGGTGTGCGGCTAGAATTTGGGCGGTTGCGTAGCCGACTCCTGAATTCGCGCCTTGATGGAGTTAGTTTGTTGGACTGGGTTGGTTTTTCAATTGGTGGCCTACCTGTGATGAGAATGATGGTTTGTTGAGACATGCTGTCGTAGTTGCTTAGCTGGTCTGTGGGGAAAGGTTTAGTAAAGAGATCGGATTGAATCGAGTCACGTAGAAAAAATCGACCACTTCATTATGAGCACCACGGACTTTAAATACTATAACCACTCAATGGGATCTGATACTCCTAGTCGGATATAAGCCCTCTATCACCGTCGAATGCCGGTGTTAAGCTGCGCCGGAGAGCGAGAATTGCTAATCTTACACTAAATAAAGCCAGATCAAGACCAAATGTAGAGATATAGTTGAACTGAACTAGAGTAACGCCTGTGGACATATTATCTGTACGTCCTGCCTATCTAGATAGTGGTACACATGTACTATGTTTATGATGTCATATGAACCACTCTGTACCACCTTAGCCTGCATCCCGGTCTCCCGGTCCCGGTCTATCATGGATCGACCAATCACTTCCAAGTATTGTATGTCTCAGAGTTACATTGGAGGCTAAGCTTTTGAGACTTGGGATCCGAGTTTTGTCTTAAATATACTTAGATACGTCTAGACAGCTTCGGCGATTGAGCCGCAAGAGGGCGGTGTTTAGGGTTTAGGTGTTAGGCAGAAATTGCGAGAATGATTGGTCTTTGAATTTCCATTTTTCAAAATATATCTTCCAATTTAACACAAAAATGATGATTCAATACATCGCCAATGGAGGTATCACCGCTGTGCAATCCATACACAAAAAGAGCGAGAAAATCAAATCAGAGAGACAGTATGTGAGGACGAAGTAAGACAGGGTAATATAATGACGAGGACAGAAAAGTATAGGTTTTGCTTTGGGGCCCAACGAGTCTTTTTGATGCAGGAAGAAATGCAGATCGATAGTTATACACACCCAGCCTAAGGGAAGAGGCACTTTTTGAGTAAACCACATCACTAAAGGAGTATAGACCACCTGCGAGCGGCCATGCCAGTGACCGCTTGTTTGTCTCCCCTGGTAGCAGTAGCACACACAAGAGAGAGGGGGATTAAGAGTGTAAGGGAAAGGGAGGAAGAAAAAGACAAGAGAGAAGGAAATAATATTTTGCTGTTCAAGGACGTGACCACGACCCTTGCAAAGGAGGCAGCGGACCCCCAGATACAGATGGCGACCCAGAAGGCGGGCCAGCAACCGCCCGTCCGGCGGGTGCCATTGGTGTTGAAGAATACGGCGGACTTGCAGGCCAGGCAGGTTGGGACTGAACCGGGTCGATCATTCTTCCCTGTGGAGCTGGACCCGCCGAAGTCGGCTGTGTGCCTGAAGCGGATCGGGCAGCATCGGCGCCCGACCAAGACGTCGTGGTGCCCGGTTCTGATGCGGGGAGGAGAGTGGGTTGGGCGGAGCGGGGAGAAGAGGGTCTTGGGGGTAAGGCGCTCAGGGACATTGTGCGGCCGAGGTGCTCGCGGTAGAAGTCTCGCTCGGAGCGGTAGTGGTCTCGTTGCTGGACGAGGGAGCGGAGCTCCTCGCTCTGCCGGCGGATTGTTTCTACGCTGCGCTGGATCTCATCTTGCTGTGCGGTGAGCCGCTGCTCGAGTTGCATCTCGTTGCGCTTGCGATTGCGGAACCGTCGTGATGCATCGCTGTTGGCTTTGCGCTTTTCGGCTTGGCTTGAAGAGCCTGATCGCATGTCTAGTACGCAGGGTATCATTCCCTGTGGGAGGGGGCTGCCCTGTGGTGTTCCGGCTCGTGTGGGGGCTTGTTCGGGTTGGCGTTTGGGGCCTTTTGTTGCGGGGATGGGTCGGGTCAGAGGGTCCATTGTCATATATGGAGGTGCAGTGGGATATGATGCATTGCTTTGTGTGAGTGAGACACTGGCCACTGCTGGGGATACACGGCCAAAGGGACTGAAATTTGAATGAGACGTGCTAGGACTCGTTTCTTGGGAGTTCGGGTTGGTGAGAGGCCCCGGGCCCGCACTGGTTCGCCTGGAATGCAGACTGGTTGTAGAATGCAGCGAAGTCAGCGTAGGAGGCTGACTGCCAGTGAGAGGTGCTACTGAGCGTAGGCCGGTCTCTAGGGGCAGAGGTGAACTAGCAGCGGGCAGACGTGGGCCCATCAACGGTTCGTGAGTAACTAGCGGTGACTGTGCGACACTTGACTGACCAGAAGCCCTGCCGCCCCCGCCAACAAACCGTGCCGAAGGCGATGCTGGGTTCATCAACGGCCGTGAATGAGACCTCGGAGATAATGGCTGCGACGCCAATGCATATCCTGAGCGGGTGGTAGGCGACGTCCCTTGGGGACGAGGTGAGGAAGATGGTCCCGGTAGGCTCAGTGGTTCACGGCTGAGTGCGGCCAGGTCAGCCGTTGCCTGTGGATGATTCAAGATGGCATGAACACCAATGGGTCGCGATGACATGGATTCCAGTGGTGGCTCCACGGGACCATATGGATGCCATGACTGGGGTCGAGGTCGATTTGGCGGCCGGCGGGCAGGATTTCGGTTGCTCGTAAATGCACGGTCATTGTCACTCGTACGGTCATCTGTTTGAGCTACATCTCTGGACAATGAACCTGCACGTCGAGAATCCTGCGACATAGAAACCAAATCTCCCACGACGGGGCGGGAGTTAGGGCATGACCGAAACCCCCTCTCTCTCCTCGTCGCTGGGCTCTCGAGGAGTGTGAGAGAGGGAGGGTGAAGGTGATGGATACCGATCTGAATAAAGTGACAGATTGGGTGAATGTGAGCCCGAATACGGTGCGTTCAACACACTGATTCCTAAGGCAGCCACGATGAATAGGATAATAGGGATATATAGAACAAGAAACTCGATTCTCTCAATTGAGGATCGAGGAAAGATGTTATCAATATAAGGAAGCTAAGGAAGCTAGGAAAGCTAGGAAAGCTAGGAAGATGGGGCGGAAAAGATCCGAGGCCCTTTTAATAAAAAGCTAGAGAGATAGACAAAAGTGACAAAGTCAGAAAAGGCAAAAAATTGGAAAATGGGGCAAGCTTAAGAACGTTGGAATTAGCAGCGGTGAGAGAATGATCCATCACCTGGTCTGGATGGCTCCAAGACAACTTAGTTGTCTCTCTGTCCAACCCAGTCTGGCGGATAGTTGGGCATCTCCTATGGAGACACCCTAGTCTAAGTCTAACCCCCGGAGTATTGGGCTTCTTTTTTTTATTATTCTTTTTCTGTTTTATTTTTCTATTGGATTTTTAGTTTTTAATTTTTCCTTATAATAATTAGAAGGTTAAAATAGAAGGAAAAAGAAAAGAAAAGAAATATAACAGAAATAGAAATAGAAATAGAAGTACGGCGTAGACATAGAATATATCCAATATGTCCAATACAACATATGTCCAATATGTATATGGAGTACATGACTGATATCACCCCCTATTATAGGCAATTACCAAATCCAGCTATAGAGTCATCCTATAACTGGTAAAGTGCCTAAGTACCCGGGGAAAGCGATCGTCATGCACAGCACGAATCATCGGGAGCTGCAAGTGTGCGCCGTCACCATGGACATGGACAGGGACGGGTGGAGACTGACTTTTTTTTTTTCTTTCTTTTTTTCTTTTTGTACTTCTTTTTTTCTCTTTTTGCCATTTTTACCGTTTTTATTATTATTAGACTACTCCGTATTCATTTTGATTTCCCGTAAAGAGTCAAGCTCGGAAGGTTTAGAGCTTTGGGTAGAAGGTTAGTGGACGATAGTATATGACAATGTGGGAATCCAGAAAGTTCCTTCTCTTTAGCAGATGACGCATTGGCAATCTGAAATGTGAAATGAGAGAAACGCCGAACTACTCCATTTCTTACAGTCCGATCTATACCCACTCGGGTATAGTTAGTCAGGCAATCCCCAATAGTTGCCTAGTAAGCCCTGGTAAGCCTGCCCTGGTGGTCCTGTCAATTTCCGAGAGTTTGGAGAAACTAAACCCCCGGGCATGCTATTAATCTTGATATAAAGGGGGTGTGTGGCAGAATATAAATTAAAAATAAAAATAAAAATAAAAATAAAAATAAGAGAAATGAACCAAAGAACCAAAGGCAGAAAGGAAGAAAGGAAGCAAGTTCTCTCCAGATGTCTCTAATTGTCAAAGTTTATTGGGAATACATGTATGTTGTGCATCACCAAATCTTCCCCGTGTCCCGGCAAAAGGGGCCGTTGCCGTTGACCGTTAGGGGTAACTGGGACAGTTCCGTGTATCAGCTAAGAAATAGTCGGTGGGGGGAGGGTCTTTAGCCTCGAAACTTTTAGGCTTTCAGTTGTACAATCTATAACTTGATATTTGTTTGACGTCATTGAGCAGGGTAACAGAGAACAACGAACATATTCGACACTGAAGAACCCAGAATCAACTTTAAACAAGAGCTTCGTTTCACCAGCTCATTCGTGTGACATTTATATAGCCCACAGCGCTGAAAATGATGTCATTCGAATAATAATAAAAAAGTAAATAAACAGAAAAGTAAACAGTAACCAGGTAACAACACTTCTCTATCACCTTGGATTTTGATGCTCCATGATCGGACCAGGCGGAAAGGGATCCGGTCAGGATTCCCCTAGCCTCATTATGTGAGCTGCATGAGAAAGCCGTGTGGATAGCTCTATTCCCGGAGGCTTTCAAGCTTGTCCGAGATCACGGGATAAAGACACCGCGTGGCAACACTTAAATAAGCAGCGGAGATCGCTTTAGTGTCTAGTCGAGAGACACTGCACTAAAGTGGATTCTTGAAATGGGAAAAATAAATTAGCGATTTCATAAGATAGGCGAGCTGGCGCTGGCGCAGCTGAAGCGCCTCTTCTTGGCACTTGTAGGATTTGTTGATCATCCTCAGACATTAAGAGCCATTGTCACCGGAAATGTTTCATCATCTCCGCGGATTCTGATCTTGGTCCATACTCCGTAAGTGGGTAATTAGGCGCTTGTGTGCAAAATATTTGCGATAGATCTTCTTTGGATTATGTGTCGCTTCCGACAGAGTTTGAAGGAGGAGCTGTCAGTCTTTTGTTGCAGCAGAGTACCCGCTATTGTGTGGTTCTTTTCTTTTTTTCTTTTCTTTTTTTTGAGCGAATCATCGGGCATTATTGAAAGAGAAATGCGGTCTGATAGATCCAGTGATTTTGACTGGTTGAATCCAATAGGGGGGCTAAAATATCTCTGGAGAATTTGGAAGTCCATGTTTCTATTCTTTCTACTCCTTACTCCGTACTCCGTACGCAGTAGGGCCCTTTTCTCTGTCAACTTGTGGCTTGCAATCTCAAACCACAGTTCCCAGACCATGGAGTCTTCCTCCCGTATCCCCGAGTTCCCTCCTAGTCGGATGCGTGTCATCAAACTATTTGAATTGTGCAGAAACGGAGAAGTTAAAAAGATATCCGGTAGAATGGATTCATCGATAACTGGATACTTTTTTTCTTTTTCAATTTTCAGGTGTTACTCTCTGACTTTCAAAAGAAGTGGATACTGTCCCCCCTTTTCATGATCTGCTTCGGCCCTGTTCACCGCATGGATCTCCGATTATCTCGTGTCCGCTGCAACCGCATTTTCCTTGAAAAAGCAAAAGAATAGCTTTGTTTAATCTAGATTCTTGGGATATCTCCCGCTGTTTGACAGGTGCGGTAGATCTTCCCCTTTCGAATCAAACCCACACGCATAGTCCTTGGAAAAGCAGCACAAAAGCACAGCACATTGAAATACACCACCTATCACTTGCGCCCTGCAGGGCGGATGGATCCGCCCAAAAAAAAGAGGTGGCAGTGCTGGTGCCCACGCGTTACCTAGCCCCGACCAAAACCCAGCCGAGTTTGAAATCGGACGGAAATCAGGGGAATAAAACCCAGTTCTACTAAAATAGCATGTATGGAGTATATAGTCAACATGATGTGAGATCGAAATGCGGAAGCTGATTCGATCTATAAACCTGGCTTTTTGTCCCTTGCGTGGGCTGCAGTGGAAGGCTACCCAGACCCAGGTTTCCGGACAATGACAGCCCGGACCGGCGTGCTCGCCCGTTTGCTGATCATCGATCGACACTCAGCTTTTCACTGCATATCCGGATTTGTCGAGTGCGTCTTTTTGGGACTTTTCTTTTTCTTTCTGCGAATGGGATGACTACCATTGCCATTACCGCCTTTTGGCCCTGATTTTTGGCGCGGGAAGTGCAAAGTACTAGTGATGCACCATTGATCTTTTTGCTGCTCTACGCACTTGTACGTTGCAGTAGATGCGGCCGAAGTACGGAGTAGAATATGAATAGACCAAGAACCGAACTAAGCATGTTACCCGTCCCGGCAGTATGTCTGTGCTATGTATGTATGAAGTACCATGTAGTTAACTACTATGTACTATGTATCCATGGATATCTGATGCACACGATACAACACAAATCCATCAGACCCTATTCTTGAAACCGAAACTCATTCTTAGGCACGCCGCGGACCCCAACATCAACCCTGAAAACCCGGCCCCCATACCTAACCGACTGCGGGAGCTGGTCATCGTCATGATCATCCTTGGCAGTAGTAATAAACAACTCGGTGCCAACAAAGGCTGGACAGGTCACGTTGCGCGTCGGGAGATCGATCTGACCGATAACCTTTCCGGCCGGGGAAATGCGCAGTACCTTTCCGCCGCCGTAGACAGCGCTCCAGATGCAGCCCTCGACATCAATAGCGAAGCCATCGGGCTCTAGTGCATTGCCGATATCGAAGTGCACCCGACGGTTGCTGATTGCGCCGCTGGACGCATCGAAGTCAAAGGCAAAGATCTTGCCTGTCGGCGAATCCGTCAGGTACATTACGTCGTCGGTCAGGTTCCATCCGATCCCGTTGGGGATCGTCACTGGTGCCAGCATGTGGTGCACGCTCTGGTCTGGGTCTAGTCTGAATAGAACCCCTTCTGCTTCTGGCTTCTTGATCTTTGGGTCGTTCATCGCCCCGGCCCAGAACCGGCCGTGGCTGTCGATTGCGCCATCATTGAAACGCATCCTACATTTTGTAACAAATTGGGGTTTGATGTTAGTTGGTGTTCTTCGAGGCTTTTTTTTTTTTTTTCTCTTCCTTCTCAGGGCTTATGCTTACCTCTCTGCTTTCCCTTCATCCTCTCCCCAAAGTTCATGGGTATCATGAATATAGGAGAGCTTCCCGGTAGTCTGGTCCAGCCGAGCAAATCCATATTTGGCCCCAACAATCAGCTGATTGGACCTTGGGTGGGCAACATTAGCGGTCACGCTAAAAGTCCACGTGGTTGTTCCCCGTCAGCAAAATGTAATTTCCAAGTTTAATATGATTTCCGGGAACGGTTGGGAACCCACCCAACAGAGACATCGGTATCGATGAACCTCAAGGAGTCAGGACCCTTTGCCAGATCGAGTCGATAAAGTTTGTGGTCCCAGATATCCACGAAACGGAACTCATTGTTGGCCACATCATGAAAGGGGCCTTCGAGCAGTGTTCCTGGGATGTCAAGGTACGGCTAAGTGAGTTAGCTGTCTGTGATTGGTGTATATTTCTTTTTTTTTTTTTTTTTTCCTGTTCTGTGACAGGCTCGGGAGAATAATCGTCACGTCTGACCGACACGAGAAACCAGGGGAGAAAAAGAAAATAAAAAATAATCAAAAACACCAAGCGAATCAGGCAATAGCGAATAGCATAGGCTACTGACCTCATTGACCGTCCACCTTTGAATTTCAGACATGCCGATCGGTGATAGAGTGGACACCGCTATTTGGGAACTGAGAAGAGGGGTGAGAGAGGTTAGGCTCACATAAAACGGTTTACTCGTGTTCAAGTTCAATCCAAGTGGCCGATAGCGGAACTAGTCAAGGCAAATTGTCGGAGTCACTGGTGCTCCGTCTGTCCGTATATTGTCCACAGATATATATTGAAGGGAATTATGGAGGAGACGAAAGATGAGAAGTGGGATATGCCAAGCCACCCCCACGAGGGCTTACTATTCCACTTTGGCTGGGGTACTTTTACTACATACATGTAGTCATTAGTACTCCAGACTGTGTAACTATCTACCTATGTAATCTTGAAGATAAAATTATCCTTGTTTTCTTTTTCTTTCTGTGCGAACTCGTAGGACAAGAACGGCAGGGATTCCAGGTCCATTCGGCAATTCAATTATGAAAAACTCTCCAATCCCACGCGCTATTGAATCTCCTGCAGGAATCCCCTGTCTGCAATGCGAATCATCACACAATCAACTCTGAAATACCCATGAACTACGGAGTCCTCCGTACTATGCATAAACTTTTCTATTCTGCATCAATTCGTGCAGCTAGCCGCCAAACTCCTTGTATACATAGTGTTCGGGGCCCGAACATCAAGTATATTCAATTATTATAACAAACAAAGAAATGTCACAAAGTACCGTCAGGTCACTTTTCAGACCAGGGCGAGGTGGCTTTTCACATGACTGACTCTGCATGCAGATGCAAGAGATTCCTGCGTGTGTGTGTGCTGGTGGGCGCTAAGAAACAGAACCTGGAACCTGGACTTACTCTTGACTACTAATCCCGGAATTCGAAGAGTAATCCGACTTTTGCTGCCTGACTCGAAAATTGGGCCCCAATACCGAGTAAAAAAAGACTGCGTTGCAATTTCGATCCGTGCCATGCATGTCCGCGAGTGTGCCTGCAGCCGATTTGTATCACCTTGATTAACGGCGTGATGGAGCATGCAGGGATAGATGAAGAGAGGTGGAAATTGGAGTGTGCTAGATCCACCCTTTCTAATATGAGAATCTGATAGTCAGATTGAGCAAGAGATCTATATTAGTACGGAGTATGTAATAGAAACATTAAACAGGGCAGGCAGCCCGGAGGGCCTGAAACCATAAGGTGTAACGGTTCGGTAGAAACCCCGGCAGTTTCGTCAGAACTAGTCTCTGCTCTTAGATAACAGATGGTTTCCCTTCTTAATTACAAGGATAGTCGAACGCTTATGCCGCCTTGTGACGTCCTTTTTGGTAGCCTTAGATATTCTTTTAGATACTCGGTCGGTCCCGAGGCCCGCAACCAAAATCGCCACAATCATGCTCCTCCACCTCGGCCAGCTGTCGTGATGAGTATACACGAGAGTCTTTTGACGGTATCGTCTGAGTTCTTTTCGTAACACAGCAGCCAATCACGATCTCACTAAGCTGTTTCGTCTAGAGACACCAATGATCTCTTCTTTTACTCCTATTTGCTCAAGTCTATTGACCTTTAGTGCATCATGCATGCGCAATGAAACGAGGCGTCTAAGTGGCTACAAAATGGCATCAGTTTCGTCGTCAACCAAACACAAGATCAAATTAAGTGTGATTTGAAGCGTATCCAAGATGAGATCCTCGTACCAACCACCAATGTCTGTGCTTCGTCCACCCGCAAACGCCGCCGTGCGGTACCTGAAGAATGATCTGTTAAGTCGGAAGAAAGTTGATGACATACCTATTAACCAACTGAATTTTGCATTATTATCATTAATTTTGCTACACTTATGTCAAGTCTCGCTATGCCTAGGTGGGTGGCAGCTCAATGTCTCTTCTGGTACTCTAATTGAAGTTGTGCCTCGATTCTCCCTTACCCATATTTCGTTATCAAGCAAAGTCGAGATATGGGTAAGCGTAAAAATCGACTAGAATGCCGAGGTGGCATATAAGGGGTCATCCGTAGCATGTTTCGCCGTGCACGGCTCCCAACTACCGCAACCAATTAGGTTCAACGGCTCGGTTCAATCCTCAAATGCACCCTGCCGCATATGGTCCAGGTAAGGCTTGCATGCAGCTAAGGCCTGCAGTCATCGCAGCTGCGGGGAGAAGAAGTTGGGCATCAATTGTGCTCGGGTCCGGTTGTCTAACGCGAATACACGGTGATTGACACAGAGCCTGTGAGATTTGAGTTTTTTTCTTCTTCCTTTTTTGGTTATTGTTGCGTATGGGACGATTATTGGCCATCGTGTCACTGCAGGGTGCAGGGCCTGATCTACATAAAGTGATTTCAACTGACTTTACCTGGGCTGTGCCCCATTGATGAGTTTGGGGTTCTTACCATTTTTCCTTTTTCCCTTTTTTGCGATCTTCGTGGAGGTGGGAGCGAGAGCGAGAAGTGGGGCGGTGCAATGGAGATTGAGATTATCATGTCGAGGTGATCTTTGGAAACCTGGGATCTATAGTGAGGCAAAATAGAGAGACAAGTACAATATAGGAGGAGCAAGACCAAATACATATACAATGTTTTCAGGGGTTTGCAAAGATGAGGTGAACAAGAAAGGTTTTTGGTCATTATATATCAGGTCAACTTAGTTACAACGAAAGAGATTACCCATTGTTTCATTAATATGAACAGCTTACAGCTTAGTGCCCATGTTGACGTGGACGGCCTTGACCTGCGAGTACGCGTCCAAGCCAGCTTCGCCGAGCTCGCGACCGATACCGCTCTGCTTGACACCACCGAATGGCACACGGAAGTCACTGTCATTGCTGCTGTTGATCCAGACCATGCCGGCCTCGATATCGGAAGCAACGCGGTGGGCGCGCTCAATGTCACGAGTGAAGACTGCGGCGCCAAGGCCGTATGTGGTGTCGTTAGCACGGGTGACAGCCTCGTCCTCGGTGGTGAAGCTGGCGATAGCAACGAAGGGACCGAACACCTCCTCGCGGTAGATGCGCATCGAGTCCTTGACGTTGGTGAAGATGGTGGGCTCGATAAAGAAGCCACGGCCATCACCGACGTTCTTATGCGGTACGCCGCCGGAAACGAGCGTCGCGCCCTCGGACTTACCAGCCTCAATGTATGAAAGCACGCGCTCGTACTGGGCCTTGGTGACCTGAGGGCCCTGGAAAGTGTCGTCGGAGAAGGGGTCGCCGACCTTGCTGGTAGTGCGGACGACCTCCTTAAAGAGCTCAACGAACTTCTCGTATACAGAGTCGTGCACAAGAATCCGCGATGTCGCAGTGCAGACCTGACCCTGATTGTACATGATACCAATGTGTGCCCACTTGGCAGCCTGCTCGAGGTCCGCATCCTCGAAAACAACCAGTGGTGACTTGCCGCCAGTCTCAAGGGTGACGTTCTTCAGGGTGCCCGCGGCCATCTTCATGATCTCGCGGCCGGTGAGGGTGGAACCAGTGAATGCGACCTTGTCGACGCCGGGGTGGTTGACCAACGCACCACCAGCAACACGGCCATGGCCGTTCACAACGTTAATAACACCCGGGGGAAACCGGCCTCCTTGATAAGACCGGCCAAGTACAAAATGCTGAGCGGGGTTTGCTCGGCAGGCTTAAGGACAATAGTGTTACCGCACGCAAGCGCGGGGCCCAACTTCCATGCTGCCATGGCTAGAGGGAAGTTCCAAGGAATAATCTGGCCAATAACACCAATAGGCTGGCGGAGGGTGTAGGCAAATTTGGCCGGGGTAGTGCCAATGGTCTGACCATACACCTTGTCGGCCCAGCCAGCATAGTAGCGGAGAGTGTTGGTAACCTCACCGATATCGTCATTCAAAGAGACCTGATACGGCTTGCCTAGAAGATATGTCAGTTCCTATTCTCATTGATACTCAATCATCTCCCACGTTACTCACCATTATCCCAAGTCTCGATGGTGGCCAGAGTCTCCTTGTGCTGCTCAATCAAGTCGGCCAATTTGAGCATCAAGACACCACGATCAGTGGCTGGCAGTAGCTTCCAGGAGGGATCCTTGAGAGCCTTGCGAGCGGCCTTCACAGCGATATCAATATCCTCCTCACCGGCAGCATATACTGAGGTAATCTCGGTTTCATTGCTGAGATCCGGTCAGCTGCAAGTCCCAAGATAATTCAGAGGTTCATACGAAGGGTTCACAGTGGCGAACTTCTCGCCAGACTTGGCGGCCACAAACTCATTGTTGATGAAGAGACCGATGGGCTGAGTGTAGCTGCGCCCATTTGGGGCAGTTAATTGCACGGAGATGTCGGACATGACGAAGGGGGAGCTGTGAAATAGGCGACGCGGGGCGATGAAGGAAGTAAGAGTTGATGGAGCTTTGTACAAACAGCAGTGAATACGGAACATGGAGAAAGAGAGAGGAATGATATAGGAGGGGAAGCCCTCCACAGCTGGAAAGTTGGAAGTTGAGCTCCCCGCCTGATAAGCCGATAAAGATGCTCCACTCTCCGGATAGACTTACTCTTCCGAGTCAAGATTCCTCCTTTCTCTACTTGTTTGTTTAATTTGCATTCTTATTCTTTTCTGGTTGGCTGTACATTCCGTATTCGGCGTTGGAGACGTGGATCTTCCCCACGTTGATTCTTGGAGTTCGCTTCTGCTTATCAACAGCCCGAGGTTCAATTTGTTCTCGGCCATGAATGCCTAAAGTACTCGAGGGCTGCAGGGCTGCAGTTACATACATAGCGTCAAACACATCAAATACACTTCGTTGCCGCTAGCTTCCGGATGCTCAAGCCGTATTCCGCGACTCCTTGCATATCGCATCCATTAACCCGCAGGGTCCGACGGGTGTTTCCAAAGTTGAAACAAATTCTGACACAGCTCGTTCAGTGCAGCTAACGGTCGCATATATTGGAAACGCGGTGAACTGGGCGGATAACTTGGCGCACATGTGTGAGGGCGGTCAGATGCAAGTGACGCAGTGACAAGAGCGATGTGACACCATCCCGGAAGTGCCACTTATTAGGGCATTTGTTGCCGAAACCAGGGTGGTATGTCGGTCGGTCATCGGGGACTGGTCAAGCTAGAAAGCAAGCCCATATGGCAATGGCATGGCTGCAGTGGCGAATGGATCCAAGAGAACCGGACTACTGCTGCGATGAGTCTATACCTTACACATATCTCTTGAGGAAACATTGAGTCAAGTAAAATATGCTTCAATTCGCTTGTTCAGATAACCCATGTTCAACCAGCAACGCCATCTATAGAAATCCTTGGAAGAATTATATGGAATAAAACCCTCTGTGCATCGCTTGCATGTAGCGGCTCGCTTTCTCATGCCTATTCCTCCTGGTCACTAGATTCCTTCTTGGTAAACTCCTCTTGCGGTTCCTCGCCTGCCAGCTCCAGTATGTATTTCCATTGCGCCGGAGTCACGGAAGACACGCTAAGCCGGGATTGCTTAATCATTTGAAGATTCTCAAGCGGCTTTCCGGTCTGGCCATGAGACTTCAGATCCTGGAGGGTGACTTGCTTCTCAAGTTTGCGGCGATATTCAACGTGGACCACAACCCACTTTGGGTCATCTCGCTTGGACTTCGGGTCGTAGTACGGGTGCTTGGAATCGAAAGCGGACTCTATTATGCGTTATGGATCAGCAATATGATCAAGTGGTGTAATTTCGAGGGCGACAAACCATCAGTGGAGTGCTCCTGGACAATCTCCATCACTCCCACAACCCCAGGGACTTTGCAGTTTGAGTGGTAGAAGAATGCAAAGTCTCCCTTCTTCATATCGCGCATGAGATTTTTGGCTAGTTCATGTGAGTATAATTCTCGTTGTTCAAAGCTATCATGACTTTAGACAGGACAACCTACCAACATGGTTGCGTACACCTGTTCAATTGTTAGCAATCGGATACTATATGCAGTATTCGCGACAGGTTGGACGTACCATCCCAAGGCTCGGGTGCATCTGCAGCAGCCAAGTCGTCAATGGAGAACTTCACGTCCTTGCCCTTTTCTAGGCGAGATTCAGGCTCGGCCTTCATCAACCAGAAAGAGCGGCCAGTTTCAGGGATTACGTTGGCCACAGGGGCGACCTTCGACTCAGTGGTTTCGCCTTCTCCATTTGGCAAAGGGTTCTTGCGGGGTCTTCCACGACCATCCTTCTTCTTGATCTTCGGTGTGACAGGTGTCGCATCGCCTGATAGCACAGTTCAAAGGTCAGCATATACCACCCACAACGTATCAGTACATATCCCATACCTGAGTCCTTGCGGGGACGCCCACGGCCTCTCTTGGGGCCTGATGTAGTTGCAACCTCAGGTGCTGGCTCGGAGACAATCTTCCGTGGGCGGCCACGGCCACGCTTAGGGGTGTCAGAAGCAGGCTTGGGAATCGAACTCTCGGGGTATTTGCGCGGACGACCACGACCTCTCTTTTCGCCTGTCTGAGGTGTAGCATCAACCTGTTCCCAGTACGTCAGCGCTATACCAACGGTTGGAGTGGAGAAGCCACGGGACGCGACGATCAGCCCCTGCATAATGCACTTACCACTGAAGCCGACGCTGCAGAAGCTGGGGTTGCATCTACAGTATTTCGGAGCCTTTTGGAAGGCGTTGTGACAGACTCATTTGCGCTCACGGCGCGTTCAGACTTGCGCTTGGGTGGCATGACTGCTCAATGTTTTGCGCTGGTAAAGTGACAGGGAAAGGCAGCGAATATGTGCAGGAACTACAGTAAGTGCAGTGGAATTGGATAGAAACTGTACAATCAATGGGGTTGTCCTCCCGTGAACTGTTGAAGAAGCTATCAAGTCAAGCTGAGCGGGAGCTTCCTGGAATGTTTGGCACTGAGCTTGACGCGGATGTGGGTCTGGGGTCGCACGTGATGGGGTCGATCATGATCGGCACTACAAACCTTTTGGAAGTACACAGCTCTCTATGTAGGTAAATAACCTTGAGAGTTTTTTGGGTATTTATCAATATCCTCTCAAAATCCCTCGACTTGCTCCCGGCACTAAATATTATCAATAAATGAGGCATAATTGGTACACTTGGTCATTCCACTACAATATAGAGGTACAAAAAGCATAGCATTCGTCTCTTTTACGTGGCTATCAAGGCTAAGCCACTTGGTCAATGTTCTCTCTCTAAGGAAATAAAATTAAAATTGATGGAATTGACCTTGTTTGGCGGCGTACATGTTAATGTTGAAATTATGGCGAAATGTGCTGCGCATATTATGATTGCAAAGGAGATATATAGTCTACCTACACTACGGTAGGTGACTCGTGCCAAATATCCTATCTGAAAGTAGTCTGAACCTCGCCAATAACAGCCGGAAGTTGAGAGCTATATTACTTTATGGAGTCAACCAACAACATCCATGATCAAACTAGAAGATAGAAGTGGATAAAGATATGGACATTTATTGCCCAGAGTTAACGCAAAATGTCTTAGAGTGATCAAAATAGAGTTAATTAAGCTCATTATAGGTCCATTCGTATAGGTGAGATTGTACCGGTCTGACCATCATCAGCATCTTGTTTAGTCCGTCGCTTTGAGTCAAGTCTTTTCCAATGAAAACACTCTTTGGAATAATGTACTATGTCATAGCTTCAAGGGGCCCCTCATTGATGTTGTATTGTGAAGGTAATATTAGACTTGGAGGCAGCTGTACAGAATACGGACGTATTTTCAGATGAGTATGTGGTACATGCAATAGCCCCACTATATGTTCATGTGGGTCAAATGCTCACTGAATTATTCAGTAGAGTTGTCTAGAGTGTTGGATCAGGAAAACCAGCCTGGAGGGAGCAGGCAGATCTGCATTAGCGGACGTACTAGCCCTATCTTGGCTTGATGTACATGCTATATTGTACTCCACAGTGAGTTTGTGATAGCCCTTGATAGACCATTCATCATGTGAAGGTGGTATTGCGCCATCATTTTGGGTTTCCATTGGTGCTAATCAAAGTCATGTCGGCCGAATAAGCTTGAAAGTGGCTGGCTATGAAGGTCCCCAGAATATAGACCTAGCGTTATATATCCGCCAACCCAACAATACAACGGACTTGATAAGTTTGAATACACTATTTAGAAACTGTAGATAGATTCCAACCAGTAATCAGCTGCGATAGGTAACCTACACATATTGCTTTGTTCATAGTTCTTAATTGCTGTTTATGTCTTGAGACCAGATAGTAGAGCCCAGCCCAACAACATTCATATCCATGGATACGCCTATCTCTGTGTCTTTTTTCAATAACAAGACCGGATTGATTACAACACAGCCGGAAAAAGTGACAGGTTAGGCTGCATTCGAGCTTCTCTGGTCATGACAATAGCCAGGGTAAATACAGACCCTGCCACTAAGTCTTTACCCACTCGCCATTTTCCCACCAAAACTGACCAACTTTGAACCATCTTTTTTTCATAAATTTATATTATAACATATTTTTAGATTATTTTTAAATAAGTTAGCATTGCACAGCCAGAGTAAACTATATATAAATTATTTTGGTAAGTATTTTAGATAGAGAGTTGTATATTTTCAAACCTTGACAAAGGATATAGATCGCGAGTTCAGTATGGGCGCCCATATATATAATCTGCATTCCAACGAACATGAATATTTCAATTAGTGACTATTTAACAGCCACACATATTTAATGATTCAGAAAGAAGAATTTTATTAATTTGAGATTAAAATTTTATAAAAAAGTTTCTTAAAAACTATTACTATATAAATTCATTGAGAGAATAGGGTTCAAAGTTGGTCGATTTTGGTGGGGAAATGGCTGGTGGGTAAAGACTTAAAAACAGGTATGGTATGTACCTAATTAGAGCCACCCATGGGATAGTTCGATTGCAAGGTTATGGAAAAGTCGTTTTGTAAGAATTGCGTTTCTCACCATTTTCCGTTTAGGCATGTAGTTGACGGTTTGCATTGTACACTAATGGCTAGAAGGAAAAAGGTATGGAAATGCCAGAAAAAGACAAACAAGATATGGTGGTAGGTAGTGCTATATCAGGGAAATCCTCTGCCTACAATATAGAGCAACCTGTTGTAACTACATAGTGTAGTATTCATCGTTCACTTAATTCGCCCTAGTATGGTTTCATAACAAGCCATAGCTCAATTAGAAAAGGAGACCCCTGAGATCGCTCAACCGATCTCAACTCCTTCAATCAATCATCTGATTCTATTGGACATGTTCAGTACTAGCCAGTACCTCAGACCTTGAAACACTTGGTTACTGAAAGTCGTTGGAAAATTCAAACGTGAAGAAGTCATTGGAGTTGACCATTTAAAATAGGTAAAGCCATTACCAAGGTATTTTTTATTTGATGATGTCTTTCAACCATCGACTTGAACGACTTTAACAAAAACATGTACCCCGTATTGGTCTTCCAAAAACCGGCTGTGTACAAGTTTCAAACAAAGAGAAAATTTACGCCGGCCTTGTCAAGTAGTTGTTGAACGACTTTATCATCGCTGTTCAAAGACGGGTCTTTGTGGGCGTGTTTCTGGACCAACGCACTCTCTAGTAGATGGAGGTGCATTTATGACACCCTAAATGGTGCCGCTACAGGATGAATGGCAGTGTTCACCCATTTGAGAAGTATTTGTTGAGGGCGATTCAATACTCGCGTACCCGTCTCTCGTTACGAATTTGGATTCTTCTGTTTTTCTAGCTGTCGCAAATTGAGAGTGTATTTTCCGTTTTAATCTGAATATCTTATGACTCTCTTGCAAAACTTCCAGCTATCTTTGCTCTTCCCTTATTTACAGCCGGTCTTATCTTAGTAATGATTGTATCTAGTAGGAACTAGTACCAACTTCTAGGGAAAGGGTTTAAGTATGACCATATTTTCATGAGAATGGGGCTGTTGAACTTGAGGTCTCAATCTAATTTTAATACAATATGCAATGAACCCTGCCTTGGGACCATGCAGTGACTTGAGATCCGGCAGCGCCACAGAAATCCTCTCCATCACTAGACTTGGCTTCTGAGCAGTCGATAGGCTCCGAGCCATCACAACTAATAGTTCCAGCACCGCCTGACCCTGCGGTATATTTGCAGTCCGGCCTTGCGGGCTTCTCGCCCCATTGGATATCATTGAAATCCAAAGTTGGAGGCCACGACTTTTCATTTAGGTCCTTAGAGTCTGGAACTTTCTCGCTCCCAACGAACCCATCGCACCAGTCGTTTACTTTCTTTCCAGGACTGGGATTCCACACCGCCCACTCTTGATTGCTGATTAAACCGGCGTTCTGGATATGCATTCCAATATAGAACTCCTTCATTGGGTCGCCGGTGCCGGTGGCGGCATATGCCACAATAGTCTTTGTCGGCTGGCCCACACCTTTCATGTCTTCGCTATCGGCGCCGGTCGCCGTAGCATACACATATTCGGTGTGCCCATTCGTTTCCGTCCAGTCATGGACGATTTCCTCGATAGGGGAGCCGAGACCGGTTGTCATTGTTATTGGCCCGGTCTGAGAAATCCCATATTTATTGTAGTCCAAGTACTCTTTCCCAGCACTGAAAACGAATACGTTGCCATTGCCTATATCTGTAGAGGTGTAATCTGACATGGTGACGGTAGGCTGCGTCTGTTCAGCAGCACTTTCGGAGACTGTCGAGCTTGGCCACTTGGTGATGAGTGCACAGTTATACAGGACTGTCATCGATCCCATCGTATAGGGAAGTTTAGCAATGGCCTCGCTTTCCGAGGTTGTAGAGCAATAGCAGAAGGCACCGGTGTTGCCGTCGATATTTTGGTGGGTATGGGAGCACATAGTCGAGGTCGGAGTCGCTGTTGGGACCTGAATAAAGCTCATCATTGGGAAGGTCTTGATGTCACTGCACTCCTTGCTGCTCGGCTTTATCATTGCATGCGACAAAGTATGACCACCATATGTGGATGAGCAACTGCAGACGGAATAAGTGCTGGCAAACACCTGAAGCTCGCACATGTCCGATGATGTGGTGGTTGCTTGAGTGGTCGAGGCGGAACTGGATGAGGCCGGCGTTGTTACCGAGCTTGAGGCTAATTCCGATCCGAGGCTGGCATAAGGTATAGGAGTGAGACTAGCGGTAGTGCTATCTGGCGACTGGGTTCCGCGGAAGGAAGGTAGGGTAATGGTTCCAGTGATTGTTTGACATCCGTCGGTGATTGTGTATGTCGGTGCTGTGATTGAGAATGTAGTGTCTGTCATGTCGTCTATATTGCAAGCTGACCCGGTAGTTTGAGTGGTCATCATGGTGGTGGCAGTTACGTCGCAGCCAACATGAGTTGAACACTGGTTTGTCGTGGTTGTACTTGTGGATGGAGTCGCTGAGCCATCATTTCCAGTGGTTGTGGTAGTGACAAGAAGGGTAGTAGACGAACAGTCTGTAACTGTTTTGGTGGACGTGCACGTTGTGGAGTCAGAACTTTGGGAAGAGGACTCCGTTTTCTTCTCCTCTTCTTTTTCCAATTCTTCAAGCTCTTGGGCAACTTCAGAAATATTGTCGAATTCGTTCTTGAATTTCGCCTCTGTCTCAGTGTTCATCTGGTCTACCTCGGGCATCTCAGCCTCTAACTCACTGAGGCCCTGTTTGGTGAGGTCCCACCCTGCGTTGATAGAATTCCCAATATCTTTCACGCCTTGCTTAAGGCTATTTTGTGCTTCTTTAATGACACAGCTAGCAGCTTTGAACAGATTGAGCAGCCCTGTACCTGAGGAGCAGCCAGTCTCCGATGATCCTCCTCCGGAGTTATCATTACTCGTCCGCTCCTTGACATAGTCTTCAACGCGATCCTTGGCCTTACCAATGTCATCATGGACCTCGGTCCAGGTACCTTTGTCTTTGAGATCGGCAGCCTTGATATTATTCCCGAGCTTGCCAATCCACGCCGCGACTGCTACCCCTTGAGTGGCTTCCGCACTTCCAGTGGTAGCAGCAGCAGTAGTAGGAATTTGGGACAGTTCATCCTTCAAATCATCCCAGGCCTCTGTAGCTGTATTTGTCGGGTGAAGAGAAAGTATCGCGGCAACTTCAGCGGATGAAGTGCCAGTTAAACGTCGCTAACATCGAGGTCATTTCTTCTTTATCTGGGGAATTTCCCAAGCTAAATAATACCCCGCTCGAGGGATTGCCAGATTGTATTGGCTGCGAAGAGTCTGGGGACGAGGTAGTCCCATGAATGCCAAGGATTGAGCCATTAGATCCTGTGATCGTGCTTGTTGGGTTACGACCGAAGGGACTACCATTGGTCGACTGGCCAGGATTATCAGAGAGACTGCCACTCCTTGACTGAGCAATAGGCCCAGAGGTGATTCCTCCACTCGAAGGTGTGGGTGTAGTCCCTGAAATCTCGGCATTGGAATTGGGTGTAGCGAGCGGCGTAGATAAATGTCCCGACTGTAAGGGCGTGTTGGCTGAAGGCTGACCACTGGTTACCGGGGTATTGGTCGGTGGTTGAGGACTAGCACCGGGGCCAGAAGGAGTCAACTGCGAGGGACTGGGTGGGGTGCTCTCTGTTTGGGTATCGGGTGCACCGAGAGGAGTAGATGACTGGCCAGACGGCAAGGGCGCGCTGGCCGAAGGCTGTCTACCAGTACCAGGGGCTATAGGCGTCGATTGGGAGGGACTGGTCAAGGCAGTTTCAGTCCTGGTCTTGGTGTTGATATCAGGTGTAGCCAGAGAGGTAGCTGACTGGCCTGGCTGCAAGGGTGTTCTGGATGAAGGCTGTCCACCAGTACCAGGGGCAAGAGGTGTCGATTGAGATGGACTAGCTGAGCCGGCAGGACTCTGGTTGGGTGATTCAGGTGGATTCTCAGAGGCAACGCCTGATGATGACGGGCTTTCCTGGGGTCTTTGGCTAGTCAAAACCCCAGCTGGCAGGATCGTAGAAGGGGTTTCCAAAGCTGGAGTAGTAGTACTGGTAGGATATAGACTTTGCGATCCGGCTGACCCAGTTTCTTTCCCTATTCCAGCGCTTGTCTTGACGGCGGATGAACGAAGCTCCGAAGTTGGCGAAGCCTCTCCGGGCACAATAGGACTAAAATGGATTACAGGGGTAGATGACGCAGGGACTGTCACCGTGGTCTCTAAATGCTGGATCCATGTCGGCACGGCCGGTGGGAACTTGGTTGGAGTCAAAGTCACCGGGCATGAACTTGACAGACAAGGAGTTGAAAATGTAGCGGACAAAATAGGCGTGCTCGACCTCCCAGGGGTAATTAGAGCCAGATCAATCACTGCAGTCGAACCGCTTGGTGCAACAATATCGGCAGTGATGACCGTCAAGCTAGGATTACCCGAGACTGTGGTCTCGTACTTGGTCATATCACCAGTGATTGGACCTCCGATGGGATTTGATGCACTGCTTCCGCCCACAAAGGCGAATAGTGACAATAAGCCGCTCTTGCGAGAGAAAGTCATGATGGCCAACGACAACCTCAATGCAGTTTGGTATGATAGGAAGTATAGAGTGTCACCATTTTTATATCAATTCTCCCTTTAGTCTCAACCCCTGGGTTATTTCAATCTTCCAGCGGTATATAGTGGGACCATGCAAATTGGGCTTTCCAAGCTTCACCAATGATGCTCTTTGCGTCACGCCCGCCCCAAGCGGATGCAGTTTTGTTTCAATTTTATTGTTCCGGTGATAGCCCCATGGGGCTGGCCCCAGGCGTTAAAAATAAAACAAAGCCATCCCTTGGCAAATATTGGTCCGGGTAGGTACCTGGGAATCATAGCTGCTCGGTTGCAAGACTCGGTGCATTAAGCTCCGAGTCTAACATGACTCTGAGTGAAGCCCATGGGTGTGACCTGAAATGGTTTATATGCCAAACACCAAGTGACAACTTGTATAAAAGCAAGAGTCGACTCAATACCTAGGCAGGGTAACAGGAGCTCTATATCACGGTAGTAAAATAATATTCGTTTTTTTCTCTTCTTGTTCCGTCTCTGACTACCTCTGACCCCTTCCTGGTGGATGGCGGATGGAACTTCAAGTGATCCATTGACATCATTCATTCCTCTGTTATCAGTCGTCCCACTTTTACTCTAGGAGATTAAATAGGGGCCGCAATCATGATTACTGGATCTTTCAATTCCTTTAGAATATACGTCATTTACCAGTGGCTATTCCAGTCTTAGAGAAGATTTGGATATATGCTACTGTGTGAAACATGAGCCTTCAATAGAAACATGCAGTTCCCCTCAAAATGAGTGCACTCCTATGAGAGCACATCTAGCCACGGAACATATACTATTTCAGTGTATATTAATCGCGGCACGGTTCTCAAATATCTCTTCCATCCTTTTTGGGGCCAAGTTCACGCGTTGGGGCCCTCACAATCTCCTCATTGGGGCCAACGTCCTTCGGCGGGACGTGGTCAATCTAATATTGTCCTCTTGGGGATCAGGACTAAGTCACGCCTTTCTATGAGATATTTAAAAACTAGGAAAGTTTTTAGTGCTCTATATACTCCTTGAAATCTTGAGTCCTGGCCAAATTATCGATCTCTTCTACCTCTGCGCAAGGAATTTGCTTTCTTTATCTACGAGGTGGTGGAAAATGCGTCCTATATCTTATTTGACCCACCTGAATGGTCTGTGGCTAGCATCATTAGCCCTGGTATCCGGGATTTCGGGATCTCCTGTGTCTTCCTCACTCGAAAGCACTGGGCAAGCTGATCCGATCTCGGTCTCTGTTACGCCTCATTTTGTGCCGGGCGTTTTTGAAAACGCTCATACTTCCACTATTGGACCAGATGGTCATGCGACACCAGTCCCCATTGTTGGTGGCCCTGAATGTTGGGTAAGTGTCTTCAAAGTCCCGTTCTGCTTATCGTATCCTAATGGTATATACTTTAGTTCTGCCCTAAACTTGAAGAGAAAAACACAGGAGACGCCAATGGCGGATGGGCGCTACTAGGTATTGATGGCCCAGGGACATTTCAACCCTCCACCGTATCCTACTTTCCAGAAGCGTTTCCCGTTATCACGGTGTTAGATAATGGGGATCCCTTATATGCTGCTTCTAAAACGACAGATGGGTCAGCTACGAAGATTAAGCGAGTCGAGATCCCTACCCAGACTATCAGAGAAGAGACGGACGCCTATAAGCTATTGATCAAAAAGACGCCTGCGTACAAAAACCATAAGTGGACAGCAGATCGCCTCGGTGCGGGTGTTGCTTTCGCTGCAGGTACGTCCCTTTTCCTGCTTTCCTATCCGCTTCCTAATCCCCACCATAAATCAAATGGGACTGACGTTTCTATTAATCAAGTGTCCTACACCGAAAAATCATTCACAATTCCGATTCTTGGAAAGGATTTCAGTGTCAAATGGCCCAGACATTATGTGATCTTCACAGGCTTCACCCGTTCAACTGGGATGTTGGAACATAGGAGAGACCGCAATGGTAACGTGGAAGAGGTGATCTTCCATCACAAACTTGATTGGACCCTCCTCCACACGTGGGATCTCCAATACAGCAGAGAGACTAAGCAGATTTATTTCACTAAAGACATTGGATTTCACGGAGAAGTTGATCTGTCTGCTTATGATAACGAGAGTATTGAGTGGAAGTACCTCGGTCGCATCAGCAACAAAGCTGAGGACCCCGATTGGATTGAAGAACGTGCACAGAAGGTCGTGGAAGAGATGAATGGAGAATACCAAGGCGTCTTGAAAAAGGGAGGTAATTATCGAGAATATGTTAACAACTGCAGGAATTTTAAGGGCTATCTGTACAATGAAATCAAAGGATAAACCTGAAATGGCTCAATCAGAGAGCCACTCAGGCAGTATCATACAATTGTCACCCCAGTTTCTGCTACTCTGAATGATAACTCTAGGAATAAATCTTCCAAGTTTGTTTAATCTCCCTATGAGAGATAATACTTTAGTATTTAGCTAGTTCAGTTTGCTTTCTAACGAGCATTCACCCGTAATCTCCAATTGCATATCACAATAGTTGTGACTAATCACCTTGGTTGCCTTACGCCCTAGGCATCCATCCGCCTAGGCACCATTTATCTGTATCTAGTTGCTTTGTCCTCTTTCCTCTTCTTCTTCTTCTTCTTCCTCCTCCTCATGTTGATTACTTTCGTTGAATGCCACTACACGTTGCCTGATATTCGTCTTGTCTTGATCTTCGTCGTACCCGTGCGCCCCACAATAGTGTACGCGGTAGAAAGGCAGAACTACTAAAAATATAAAGGGTATATAGATTCGACAAGGTATAGTCCTGGTTGAGTGATAACTTTGGAACTTGAAGGCAGCATGGATCATATGAACATATAATTTCGCGTTGAACAGGTAGAGTGGAAATAAACTGCCAGTGGTCAGTCCGGGTGAGAATACCAGGTACTCCAGTATACGCAAAAGTTCACCAAGTATCAAACATTTTCCAGCTATATGTTTTAATTTAAATCCTTCTGATTACACCATCTTTATTCGCCAGCCAGGGGTCAAACTCATCACCACCGTCAACTCTATAGACGACAACCTCAGAGCCCCTAAAACCTTCCCTAATATTTTCACTCAATTTCTCACCCGAGATCTCGCTATTCTTGTCGATCTGGAGCACGTCATTGTATATGTTTCGATCCTGGTTGACCTGATTCAGTACGAACATCATTTGGCTTGTGGTCGGATCAATTTCTAAGCCGATTCCTGATGCCTTGGAATCGCCAATCCAGGATTTACCGGCCATATCATGGACATGACCTTTTGTCGTTCCGTTTGATGAAGAGTGAGAGGCGGTATTTGCTTCTTTCAACCGGAATATTCTGAGATTCGGTTGAAGCTGGAACAGAAGCTGTGGAGGCCCGACCTGCGGGTGGCTAGGTCTGGAATTCCCAGTTTTCTCCGAAATATCTTGTTGTTGGCCACTCTCTTCCTTCGGGGTTGCGGCACAAAGAGCACCTATAACATCCGGAACGTGACCCTGTCTCTGAGTTTGGTCCCCGAGGAAAAGAACAAGATGAGGTCGATGCTCGCTACCTCTATCACCAAGGCCCTTCATAAGATGAGTCAAATCCAAGTTAGGAATTGACTCTTGTGTTGACGATTTGTATGTTGTTTCGAATGAGATGGGCCTGAGTTTTCGATGGAACTCAGGCTTGCCGTGGAACTGCGTTCCTGGAGGCACGAATAGCGACACTGCACGGAGAATATCACTTATTGTGGAATCTGGCAATGAATTTTCCCCTAATAATAACGGACTCGTCTCGGGGACGGGAGGCTGGAAGATGATTGCCCATAGTTGATGGAAATGTAGCTCCATATTTGGCTGAAACCAGAAATGTGGGTTAGCCTTCCACACTATCATTTCGATTGGGGGCAATCTTACCAAAATATCAAAGACTCGAGAAACAGAATCCGGTACTAAGAAGCCTTCCGAAATCTGGGATTGCTTGGTGAGTATATTCACCAGCTCGTCTTGCTGGGGTCTCGGTTCTTCAAGAGTGCCGTAGTGCAAATTTGGCCGACCCCACGTTGGTTCATAGAGTCTGACCCTGGTTAACATCCTCAACAGAGTAGTGAGGTGGTCAATATGTAACCGAGAGTGATAGTTTGCTCTTTTATCTTTCAGAAGGCGCTGTGCTGGCGCCGCTAATTCATCAGAGCCTGGAATTCCCTTGCCATGATTGGGCTGAGTCGTGGCTACAACATCCATCATGTCGTCCTTTGGAAAGGAAAGAGACATATGAGAATTTTGATTGGACTCGGGAGCGTCCGTACTTAATTGACTGATACTTCGCAAGATCCGGTCGGCGTTGTGTCTGCATGTACAGGGCCTTCCATTTCCCACATACGCCCAGTGAACTTTTGAACGGGCCATGCCGGTGGTGATAGTACCCAGATTTTCTGTACCTTTATAGGCAAGCAATATAAACGCACGTTCGAATGCACGCCGTTCTAGTTTTCCGGTATAGGCGTCATCATGGTGTGGGAAGGGGTGCCAGGCGTAAAAGCAGAAGCATGACCACAGAAGACTGACGGCTGTGTCGGAAATACTGGTTCCTGGCAAGTTGGCTGTGATGTGATTTCGAAAGCTTTCTTTTGTCCAATCTGAATCATAATCTTGTTAATTATATTTTCGTAACAATCACATTATGGTGAGCAGGTGTCTCTCACATGGCTGCCCCTGGGGCGAGTCTTGCACGCTAGATGCGTCAAATATCGCTTGATATGCATTGTCCTGAGCGTTATGCTCGACAAGGTAATTGTGTAAGTTGTGAAGAGCGATTTCTAGGGACAAACTGTCAGCTTCGATGTGCCGCGAGTTGATTTACGGTCGCTGGGTGACGAACCCGGCGTGACTGTTTGCTGATAGTCTTGGAGTAACCTCTCTTGAGGGTCCTCTATGCTCACACAACAACCCATGGTTGGCTTTTCAAATGCGGAGGTGATAGGTGGTGGTGGAACACCGGGCAATTGACAACTCACGAGATTAATATATGGCTTATGGGGCGGTGTCGTCAATGCTGGTTCTATGGTAAATGATTCACTCTGCTCCACCTTTCAAATCCCCCTGCCCCACGCAATTCGGCCCCCTGGGGCCAGGAGGGCCGTGACGTCGGCTATCCAGGCATGACGCCTATCTCGTGGGTTCCACAGGCCCCGGGGGTGATTTTCCGCCCCATGGTGATCTATAGCGCACTCGCCCTTCTCATTCCCGCCCGGTCGCGCGACGCTAAAGTGGCAGCTCTCACTCATTTTTCACCTGCCCCACCCATTCGGATTCTTAATATTCCATTTTCTGTGCCACCCTTCCTACTGTACATACTAACTACTAGTAACTAGTATAAGGCAGCCGCGATGCTTCTGATTCGTTAAGATCTTGAATAACCCACTGTGCATTACAGCTACCGTAAGCATCCGGCCGGGGTCGAGTCGCCTCAACGGCTGGGGGCCGCGATCAATGCCCATTTTTAAGGCGCGGTTATCTACGCCCGTCTTTTGAGCTTATACCAATTGGTCTTGATGAAAAGAGATGGTGGTGAAATTAAGCAGGTTTGGTGATAGTCGCTCACTGGTGCTCGGTGATGATGCATGGTTCGCTTCCACGGCCAGTTGAGCTCCCAACTCAGAAAAAGACACTCCCTCTTCCAAGATTCAAAAAGATCCAATACCCCATACAGTACTAGAGCATTCGCTCTTCGTGCGGGTTGACAATCTGTTGAAAGCGATGGGCACCTCGCCGGGCAGAAGCGTTGAACGAGTTTCACGCACCATCGACTAACATTCACATAGATGCGCTTAGTTACATGCGGTGATAGACCCTCCAAGTGCAACTTTTTGAATAATTGCCAAGAACAACGGATGCAATATTTTGCGCTCAACACCTCGCCAAAACGTGCGCCAGTACACATTTATGCGCAGCTGGTTGCGTTACAGCTCCCTTATACCTGTTAAAGCCGAACCACTTAGCTTTGAGAGGGCCTGTATTATATCCAATCCGGTGGAATGATTGGCGTTGCCAAAGCTTTCTGCACTTCGTATGTTGTACACTCACAAACTGCGTGACCGAGCTTTTCGAGCAGGTGGTCGCAGAGCGCTTCTAACCTCGGCAGTTTTATGCTTCGTTTTCGGTTAAATTCTCTAGTGCTTCAAAAATCAACTGTACTATCTACAATGCATATTGGCGGTGTGATGAAGTGGCCGGCTATCCCGATCCGCTGAATGGTGCGTAGGCGACCACTGCCGAAGACAGGTAGACCAACTGGCCTTTGCAAAGCTATGGGTAGCTTATTACATCAACACGAATGCCGAAAATTAATTCTTTCGACGGTTCTAGTAATTATAATACATTGTAAAGCAACAACACCCGGGGCTTCACCTGACAATCCATAGTAGCCTTTAATACAATGTTCAGCAGTAGACAGGCTGGTCCAACCGAACCATCTAAACATTAATATTGACATGCAGCCAATATGCTTTCTTGACCCGTTACTGATGGAGCCAAGGACTGGACAAGGCCCAAAACAAAATCTTCGAGCCCAGCTGCTTTTCGGCAAACGAGGTGAATTCGGCCTTTGTGAAAGGCTTGCTGGTGTTTGGGTTGATTGCCGCCAAATCAGGTTCCTGCACTGCAACCACATTGATAGGGACCTTATTCCGATATTTAGACATGAACGGGTAGGCGTTATTCTCCATGGTTTGCTTAAAGGGGATATTGTCTGGTCCACCCACACCCACACCGTGGTCCGCAAAGAACTGGAACGAGTCGGAGATGTAGTTATTCTCGTTTGCCCAGCCGCAAGGCCAGAAGTTGACGTACTGGACGGCGTAGGAGCGACGGAATACCTGGGCTGCATAGCGGGCATTATCCAGAGTACCCTCGAAGTAGGCTTGACAAGTATAGCCGGTGGCATTGTTATTGGACTGAACTTCGATTGCGGTCTCTGGGAGATTGAAGCCATAAACTTTTCCATCGAACTTGACTGCAAGAGCCTTTAACAAACTCTGGAACCTTTCACGGACATGAGAATTCCATTGCGCCGTAGCCCAACCGCCTGCGACAAAGTCGCTGTCGCAGTCATCTCCATCACACTGAGGCACGCTGCCGTTGTTGTAGATTGGTTTATGAAGGTATCTCGGCACAGGGTTGTTTTCGATGCTGAAAGTGCGGTCCTGGATCTGGACCCAGAGTTGTTTACCCTTAGACCGTGCACGGTTCAAATCGTTCTCAATGGCAGAGAAATCGTATTGGTCTCTCTGCGGCTCGAGAGACTTCCAGGTGTAAAGGCTCTGGATACCTTGGATTTCTGGATGCTCCAAGAGGGCAAGAGCTTCCTCGTCGATGTTACTGGTGTATAACCATTGAGACAAGGAAGAGTTGAAAGAAGCTTCGGCATTGACGGGGCAGATGGCAGACAGCAGGCCAACCCCTAGTACGTAAAGGCCCAAGTGCATTTTTATGATGTCCTTCGATTTGGAAAAAGAGTTTCTTTAAATTGTAATGTGAATCTAGACAGTTGGAAATGCGCTATCTTTTAAATACAAAAAATTCCTCCTACCTGAAACATTAGATTTTAGAAACAAGGAATTCCATATATGTCTTGCATTTCCCCACAGAGCGACGCGGTTTAGGCCGACCATGTAACTTGGATCCACTTTCTTCAAGACATATTTGTGCCGATCTACCAATTGAGCTTTCGCTGAGAACCCATAAAACTCAATTACAAGTGTGCTGAGACATTCCATTCCTTCCATCTTCTGGTAGCGAACTCTGAGTTCTCCCCACATGCCGTTCTTGCATCGTGGTATCAATTTAACGAGTATTAGTTCAGCTTCTGAGGTTGCAAGATTGTATGACGGAGAATATTATTAGTAATTCAAGTTACTACTAGTAATAGTACCTGCTAATGTGTCAGTGGGCGAGGATTAATAGTACTAGTGCTAGTAGTATCTTGGAACTTGAACATGTGCTTTGTTACACCAGATATATAACTTGAATTTTTGATCTTCCTATCCTACCACCGTTTCACAGTCTCGACTGGTGTAAAGTCAGCTGAACTTTTGTGTATCCCCTTTCAAGGTAGTGTAGCTTATCATGGCAGGACTCACCAAACCCATGGCATTCACGACAGATCGTAAATCTCGGTCCAATGTGGCAGATTGGACACCTGAAATAGCATTCTAAAAGTGATATTTGACAGTCACAAACAGTGCAATTCTTATCATCAATACTCGGAGTCGGTTCACCTTTTTCGTCGTCGCTTAAGTCTGCACACCCAGGAGCAGTATTTGTATTTGTAGGGTTGTTCCGCGACTCAAGGCCCTTTAACAAGAGTTGTTCAATCTCAGAAAACTTCAGTTCACGGACCACATCCAGCGGGTTACGTCCCGCAGAGGTTTGAACAGTTGTACCAATGCTCCCGCGCTCGAGGAGGACTTTGACAGCTCCTACATTGTTATTAATAGTCGCATAGAACAGCGGCGTGCGATTGCATCGATCAACGGAATCGATTTCTGACCCTGCGTCCAGTAGAATCTGTAAGACTGATTTGGAACGCCTTTCCGCCGCCCATGATAACGGAGTTCGACCGACACCATCTTTGGAATTGACGTTGGCACCAGCATCCAGCAGATCCTTCAGTATCTCCAATTCAATCAGTTTAGCTGACCGCCTCCCGAAAAAGGTCGCAAAATATAATGGACTGAACTGTTCAGGTCGCCTTCGAAAGCCTTTCGGGTCTGTACCTATGAAATTAGGGTCTGCGCCCGCCACCAAAAGGGACTTCACAATCTCCTTGTGCTTCGCCACAGTTGACCATATCAGGGGAGTGATCCCCCCTTCATTGCGGGTATTCGGATTGACACCCTGTTCTAGGAGCACATTAACCATTTCGGCGTTGCCGTCGAAAGAAGCACCGACAAGTAGAGTGCCGAGGTCTGCCTTTGGGCTCCATTCGCAACCCATTTTCAAGAGAAGCCGGATCACCTGCCCATGTCTACCTTCGATCGCGCATCTAATGGTGACTTGACATTCGCCGGTCGCTTTGATCGCTTCCCGAAGTCGGTCCATCGTGATCTGCTTGTCAACTCTGGGTAGGCCTGTTTCTCGGGGAAGGGCTTTTTCTCGGGGAGTGCCCCTTTTTCCAAGAGAAGAGCGACAACGGAGGCATGGCCATTTGCAGCAGCAGCTAACAACGGGGTATCACCTTTTTGTTGATACAAATACCGGACTGACTTACACGGCCAATTGTCCTGATACTGATGCAAGAGACTTCTCGTGCTTGGGAATTCCTCGAATTCCGACAGGGCAATCACAGATTTGAGACCGCAATTAGGATCAATCCCTTTGCTTATCAAGAAATCCACAGCTTCGACGAACCCATATGGTGCAGCTCGGAAAACCAAATGAGATGCTCCTTGCTTTGGAGTGTACCCTGGCCCAGAGTATCTGGCTAGAAGGACGCGGAGGACATCTTTGTGTTGATGCTCCATTGCTTCCTGCAACAAAAGATCGTCATATTTGTGCGTGTGTTGACAATCCAGGAGGATTTCCACAATCTGGGGGTAATTTTTGAGGATGGCTAATGACAGGGCGACCTCCACGTTGCGAACTGCAATTTTCCGGCTCTCTGCATGCCCTAGAAGCACTTTGACAACATTCCCATTGCCCTTGAAAACTGCCCACAGAAGCGGGGCAGTCTTTATCTGTATGGTGGTCTGTAACTGAGGGATTGGTCCCTCGCCCAAATCAGGCTCACTGCAATCCAGGCTCAGAGGAACGTTATGGTTCAGCAAATGCCTTACAGTGGCCTCATTCCCGATGGCAATGGCAAGCAGCAACGTCGCTCGGTCGTGGCTTTCTAAGCCCGTTAAACCAAGCCCTCTATCCAAAAGTATCTCAACTAGACCGTCATGGCCGCTTGTAATTGCGCTTTCCAATCCCTTGTGGCCATGTTCCGCGAGAAGGTAAGCGTCGTCTCCCTTTCTCAGTAACGTTTCGACAACACCCTCGCATGTCCATTCTTTGCCGCCCATGAAAGACATTCACCTCCAATTTGAGTCAGCGCAGCCAGAGGCATTGATGATACAGTTGCTACCACTTCGTCAATTTCTTTGGAGATTATGTGGGGAAAGACACTCTTCTCAATTTTGGCTCCTTAAAACAATTCCACAATAGTAGAATTGCCATTCTCAGCTGCATAAAGCAGTGGGCTTCTACCGAAAACATCACGATGGTGAACAAGGCTGCTGTTATGCTCCAGTAATTGCCTCACTACCGTCTCTTTCGAGTTTTCGGTCGCTCTCATGAGTGGTGTTCGCCCAAGGTCATCTCCCACTTCCCATAATTGGAACTCTGGCCTCAGCTCCTCTTATGCGTATTTCACCATGTCTGGATTCAACGAACCTCCGCGACTTGCTAAGGTGAGGTCTTGGTTCGAAGACTGAACCATACTAACATTGGTAGACTGTCAAGCTTGAGGGCCATGAAATTCCTGCAACTGAAGTTGAGCTCCTAGATAGGAATCGGACACTCGTTCGTTTTAAACTTGCACTAGGCTCATTTCGGTAGGTAGGTTCATTCTAACATAAGGTTGAGGGGTAAGGTTGAGGGGTAAAAAGAAACCCAAGGAACCCGAAATGCTCATCGACAGTTGATATTGCATCACACACGCTAAACAGCCCACATTGTGTGCTGTTGTAGACTCGCCAATAATATATGTTCTGCCGGGCGGAGACAATGATCACGCCATCAATAATGCATGCTAGGTGGGGTAGGGACCATCCAGATGAGGTTAAGTGGGGTCACAACATGGATATGGGCTGGATCTATGCGAAAGCCGGAGGGGATTCCACGGTTCCAATCATCATCTTATTAACCTTGTATCCCGCCAACTTGTTCTCCTTTTCCTCTGTTTTTCTCATCTACAATATACCTCTCCACCTACCTATCTATTCACAATGGCTGACCAAGCTCCTATGTAAGCTCACAACTCTCTCTTCGAGGTTCTACGCAATACTGACCGTCTGTTAGCCTCCGTCTGGGCTCTACTGCCCCCAACTTCAAGGCTCTGACTACCCAGGGCGAGATCGACTTCCACGAGTTCATTGGCGACAAGTGGACCATTCTCTTCTCACACCCTGCGGATTTTACACCAGTGTCAGTTGTTTCCAGCCTCTTATATGAAGCCTTTACTGACACTTAATAGCTGTACCACTGAGCTCGGCGCCTTCGCCAAGCTCGAGCCCGAGTTCACCCAGCGTGGTGTCAAGTTGATCGGATTGGTGAGTTTCTGAGATTGACAACTCTTGAGGCTTAGCTAATATGCTCGCCTCTCCAGAGTGCCAACGACCTCGGTTCCCACGACGAGTGGATCAAGGACATCAACGAAGTCGGCTCGACTCAAGTCAAATTCCCAATCATCGCCGATGCCGACCGCAAAGTCGCTTTCCTCTATCAGATGATAGACGAACAAGATTTGACCAACGTCGACAGTAAGGGCATTGCCTTCACTATTCGCTCCGTGTTTATCATCGACCCTGCCAAGAAGATCCGCCTGATCATGGCCTACCCCGCCTCCACTGGCCGTAACACAGCAGAGGTTCTCCGGGTTGTCGACTCTCTCCAGACGGCTGATAAGAGAGGTGTAACCACCCCGATCAATTGGCTGGTATGATTCCCTATCCTCAGCAACCCAGGCCCTGAAACTATGCGAAGTATCTTACTAACTCCATCGAAGGTGGGCGACGACGTTATTGTGCCACCAACAGTCAGCACCGAGGATGCTAAGAAGAAGTTCGGCGAGATTCGTGAAGTGAAGCCGTGAGTTTCCATGTCCAACTGCCTTTTGAAACAGAGGATACTAATATCTTATAGTTACCTTCGCTTCACCACTCTTAAGGATGAGTAAGCGGGGTCTTATGATGTGATGCTAGAAAGATACAACAGGTTCTATAAGACTTGAGACAGAATTTCCACCCGAGATTAATGAAACCTACTCATGCTATCCCTTTCAATTATGCGCTTTTGTAGGAACTTGTTAAGAAGTCATGTGACCTCTATTTGTTGCTTTCAGATTATTTAGTCGTAGATCCTCAGATAGTTTCTTCTCTTTCCAATATACTGGCATATTCTCCGACTGTCTATTATAGTAGTTCTAGATCTACATATGTATATCTCCTGAGAACTTCTTTGGAAGAGCAGTACGGCGTGGAGCGTCCGTAGTATATGACAGCCCTCGGTGACACGTTTGGACAATTTGTAATTATTTGCCTGAAGCAATGTGTAAGATAAGGATCTAATTGAATTAAATTAACTGAGATCCACTCCACTTAAGTGGTTATTAGATACATAGATCATCGAAATCACTATACAACCTTAAGGGCAACACGCCGGCAGACGGAGCAGGCAGAAGAGATTAAGAGGAGCTAAGACACGGGATAATACTAGCTAATTGATCGGGGTGGTTACACCTTTCTTATCACCCCCCTGGGGAGAGTCGATGAGTCGATAACCCAGAGAACCTCTGCTGTGTTACGGCCAGTGGAGGCGGGGTAGGCCATGATCAGGCGGATCTTCTTGGCAGGGTCGATGATGAACACGGAGCGAATAGTGAGGGCGATGCCCTTGCTGTTCACATTCGAAAGGCCATAGAAGGCTCGCGGTTTCTATGTGACCTATGATTCATGTAGCTGAGATAGATCCCATCCGGGTACGGCCGACGGCGTTGGCGATGTCGCTGAGCGCTGACTATTCTTCCATATAAATAACTAACCCGCCGTAGACCTATAGAAACTCTCATCGGGGGGTTAATATAACAAATTGAACTATGGAAATTACTTCGAAGAAGGAGACGCAAGCGGTGAATCCTAAAAACCAAATTTGGGCTGTTTAGGCAGTGCTCGGCCCTCTACTCTTAACATCTTACTCGCTAGTACTCCGTGGCCTCCGGACACAAGTTCCCAAATGTCTTGGATGATTGGATCACGAGCACGACGTTGTTCCTAGTGCAGAAGGGGAGTGACTACCTGCCTACTAAGGGCTTTTTAATGTAGCTCTATTGTACAGAAGCCTTATAATCTTGTCAATGTGAAGGTGTTGTGGTAGCACGGCCCGAATACTCTCTCAATCAGTCAGAGTCAAGCTGTTTATTGTGCCATCCGCGCGAGTTCTCCCATGCGGTTCATCCACAGACGGCCATTCGGGTACGGGGTTTATGCAGGACTCCACAGCGCACCTTAGAACAATTCCTCTTCTACTTTCTTGGAAATTGGAGGCTGAGCTGAGCGCGAGTGATCTTGATATCTGGCAAGCTGTTATCATACCTACTAGCTATTCTACTAGCTACACTACTGGCTACACTACTCAAGATATCAATCAATAGAGCAGAGTGGGCATGTAAGTTGTTGAATGATATTGAAGTTATGCTTTGTGAAATGTGGTAGAGTACATAGTCTTTCCGCTAGCAGTGTGGAATCAAATTCTTAGTGGTTGCTAAGAGTATGATTCAAGGTCCGGCACACAACATTGTCATTCACCCCAGAGATTGAAAATTTGCAAGCTAATTCGAGGACAAGATTGCGGACCAATGTAGGCGAATGATATCTGCACGATAGGTAGTAGCAGGATGTATACTAATACCGATGATACCCCGAGGCATAGTCCTGGCTACAGTTTCAGACCACCATTCCAATCTCACATTCGCCATGTACTTGGCGCTCACAGTATCAGATTATAAGCTCTAGTTAGCTATCTTCATCATCCTATTCTTTCCCTTTCTTCAATCATCAACTTCTTCACCTTATGGCACCTTGCCGGCGTATCCATTTACCATTCGACACCTGCTTTATTTAGCTTAACAATATCACGCGCTTACTATAAATTCCTGGGTAGTCATTCTTAGCCCATTTGCAGTCAATTTGCGCCCCTCATTTCCCATTTCCCCTTTTCCCTCTCCTCTCTCTCCCATATACCCTCTCCTCCCTCATAAGTCTTATCAGGTTGCCAACGCAATTCAATCAAAGGACAGAGTATATACTCCGCAATGGCCCCGCGTGCTCAAAAGTCGAAGTTCCCAGCTCAGTCGAGCAATCTGCACGGGATTTTCCAGTGTGGCAATGCTACCTCTAGCAAAAACTAGGAATCAGGGGATGAACCTCTGCCCGCTCATGGCTTCGTCACAAGCCGAGTTTTTAGAACACATTCCAAAATGCCTCCCGACGTCACCGCCACCTCTTCTTGCGGTGGACCACCCCTTCACCCCCCCCCCCCAACCTGGCCACATTGACAAAGGTAAGAATAAAAAGCCCACCGACAGACCCGGCAACGCCGGTGATAAAAAGGCCAACCGCGAGAGTTTCCTGGTAGGATACTTAGTTGGTATGTGATCGATGTGGTTGGCCTATTATTTCCCTCGGGCCTTGCTCACTGACTTTCTTGCGATGCGTTCCAGGCTGCCACTACATGGATCTAACTCCGATGGCTCTGCCATGTTTGCCCAGCAACTTCGTAGATCCTGACACCGCTGGCACTGCCACGCTTCCTCGGCAACCCCAGATTACGAGTTCGCTGGCTTTGCCATGTTTGCCTGGCAACATCAGAGAGCTCCAGAAACGGAGGCAACAAGAAGAAGTCCGGGATGTAGATCAATACCTGTCTGTTACTCTCCCGTGCATAGACCCTGCCGGTCTGTCTCCATGGCCTTATCGCCAGCTTCCAATGGAAGCGAGGTGCATGCGGCTGTCATCTGCTTATGCCTATGCACCCTGTTGCAATTCGCTCTTTTTGTGTGTTTATTGACGAGTGAATAAAATAGATGACACTGTGGAAGATCAGGGGGCCGTAGAGGAGGAGGTCATGGACCTCGGATAGAATGGTATGTACATCTATACATCCTCCCTCCTCACTTCTCAGCCTTATAGACTAAACGTAAAATTCAATTTTATAGCACCCTAAGAGGGCAGCGACAAGGGATCCGAGGAGCCCACCGCGGACAAGGGCCAAGAGCCCAACAAGTAGTTTTGGGCCCTGCGCTAGCTTTTTCAGGTCTTGTTCCTCTTACATGGCGGAGCTCTATTGTTCCAGCATAGTTCAGGCACCCTCGGGCCTCCGCTCCTTGTTGTCTGATCCTCGATTCCAATCAATTGTTTTTCGGTCTCTGAGCAAGCCTCGTTTAGACCACAATGTTTACGTATCTTTCTTCGCGGTTGTTTGGACCCGTGGATGTAACGAACAAGTTGTGGACCAGCTAGTTGACCAGGTTAGCACCGAGAATGCTAGGAAGAAGTTCAGCGTGATAAAGTGCATTTCTTTGATATATAGACAGGATCGATGATTTTCCCATTCAAACAAGAGATATGATATTTGTATCTGATCTCTTGAAAGCTCTAGTTAGTTATATTGGAGGGGCCACATGTATTGAAAGGAGAAAAGCGGTAAACATTTTTTGTGCCGATCTCCAAACTCGACGGCTGACACTTCGGCCAGGACTGTGCGCTCATCCAAGATACGATCGGCAGTAGTCTGCATTGTCTAGTTTTTATTTAGTTATCGATCTTTCCATTGTGAAGCCTGGCGCCAAAGTTGCGGCGTCGCGGGGAACCACCCCCTTTTTTGGCCCCCCACAAACCACTCTTTCGAGCCGTACCAGACACACCTACGATCAGCGCGGGGAATATTCTCCGAGAATAACGCATTCGACAGAAAAACGCCTCGTCGCATGCGAGCGATACTGGGTGAACCGAAACAGGGGGTCAACGGCTACCCACAACATTGTCTCTGTTGAAAGCGGACCGGAAATTCGCCCACCATGATGTCGCGAAGTCAGTCGAGTCTGGGGTATATGGATTCAGGGCGAGAGGATTCTGCGCCGGGGGGCTCTCCGTCCCTGAACCAACAGTCTACCTCTGGGCCTATCAACCTCTCTGGTCTGGTGTGCAACGTGCGGCGAACGACCGGCAAGGAACCCCGTCCTCTCGTCGGTGCCACTACAACCATACTGGGGGATAAGCTATACGTGTTCGGAGGCCGGATCCTCTCGCGCAGCCGCCCTCAACTCACCTCGGACCTTTACGAATTGGACTTGATTCGACGACATTGGACGAAAGTCGAGCCCGCTGGAGATGTTCCACCGCCGCGGTACTTCCACAGTGTGTGTGCTTTGGGGGATAACAAGTTGGTCTGTTATGGAGGCATGTCACCCGCACCGAATACTCCAAAAGACCCTGAGAACCCCGCGGAAGCGCAATCGCAGTCACAATCGGAAGTCGTGGTTATGTCGGATATTCACATCTTTGATGTACCATCGCGGGCATGGACTCGTGTTGCGGCCCATGAATCTCCTCAGGGACGCTATGCACACTGTGCTACAATACTGCCATCGAGCGCTTGCTTCACATCTGCCAGTGCACCACTATCCGCCATCCACAATAATCCGGAATCCTCCACTCATCAAGGTACACTTGGCGTGGATATTGACGGCTTTGGAGGTGCAGAGATGGTTGTGGTCGGAGGGCAGGATAGTTCCAATCACTACATCGAACAAATCAGTGTCTTCAACCTGCGGAGTCTCAAGTGGACCAACACTAGCCCCCTGGGAAGGAGCTGCGGCGCTTATCGCAGTGTCGTGGCTCCTCTGGTTGGAATGGATGTGTCCGAAATTGGATCATCAGCTCCAGACCGCGATCAACATGAGCCGATTCAAAATAGCACTGAATCGCCAGGCTGCCCTATGCTGATATACTCCAACTACAATTTCCTTGATGTCAAGCTAGAGCTGCAGGTGCGCCTGCCGGACGGACGCCTTGTCGAACGACCGATGCAGAGCCAAGCGTCTCCTCCAGGACTGCGTTTCCCAAACGGTGGCATTATCAACGGTCACTTCGTTGTTAGTGGTACCTACCTGACTTCATCAAAGCAAGAATATGCGCTGTGGGCTCTCGACCTGAAGACATTGACTTGGGGCCGTATTGATGCCGGAGGATCGGTATTTGGACAGGGTAGTTGGAACCGAGGAGTTCTTTGGCCTCGCCGGAATTCTTTTGTGATCCTTGGACACCGCAAGCGAAGCCTTGTGGATGATTACAACCACCGGCGAATTAACTTCTCGCACGTCTGTCTGGTCGAGCTGGAAGCATTTGGACTCTACAACAATTCTTGCCGCACTTCTCCAACGTCGGGATATAAGTCTTATAGCTCCTCTTCTGTTCCAGCATCTCTACAGAAGAAGCTAGTGCAGTTGACGTCAGGTGGGCGGCCATTGTCTGCCGCATCCGATGAGCTAGGCAAACTCGCGCAATCTTTGCCAGAGATGGCCGACATGGAGTTTCAGGCTGTGGGGGGAGAACGTATCTCCGTCAACTCCCGCGTGTTGACTCGGCGTTGGGGTCCTTACTTTATCCAACTCCTTCGCGAGTCGTCGGACGGAGGTATTGCAGACATCGCAACTCTTCGTCCGGCCCATATGCACCCAAGCCGCAACTCGAGTATTACCATCACTCCCTCGATAGGCTCCGATGCAACAACTCTTGTCAATCAGTCTGTACCTTCGAAGTCTCTACTTGAAAATCTCGAAGTTCCATCTGCTCACAGCCTCGCCCCAACCTCCCGACCGCGTGTGCTGTATCTCCCCCATACCATTTTGACTCTTCAAGTGCTGGTTCAATACCTCTACACCTCAGCCCTTCCATCTGCAGGCACTTCGCTTTGCACACCACAAATTCTCTGCTCGCTTCTACAGCTTGCACGTCCGTACCAGATCGACGGACTACTAGAAGCCACCGTCGAAAGACTCCATCAAGTTCTGGATGGGCGCAATGCCGCAGCTGTATTCAACGCAGCTGCTATGGCTGCCGGTGGTGGTCGTGGTACTGGATTCAATGGTGGACCAGGAGGTACACTCGAGGCTTTGAACGGAGCTTATACCGGCCACAACGGCACTGCACCTACAATTGGCGAAAATAGTAATTCCCAACACGGTGCACTCACATCAGACTCGTCCGACACAGAGCACGGTGCTACCTCCGCGTCAGCAGCCAGCAGCACGGGCGATCTCACCAACATCGCTCGAGGCATTCCATCTCTCCGCATCGACACCAATGTCTCCCAGAATTCGCGCCAGCGCAGCGCCCACCGCGACCGCGAGGATTCTATTAGTAACCCAAGCACAGCGACATCCGCATCCAGCGCTAGTTTCAGCCAGTCCGACTCCGAATGGGTCAGCGGCGATGAAAGCCGCTCTCAGTCCCGCTCTACCCATCACCGCCGTGACACAGACGCTGAGTTGCGCCGCCCCCAACGCGAGCTCTGGACCGGTGATCTAAGCAGTGTTATTGGTCTCCAGAAGCGCGGCTTGCGTGGTCTCATGGAGGGCCGTCGTATGCGCGAGCGTAGTTCGAAGCCCGCCAGCACTGGCAGTAACTCGATATCCATGCTGCCGTCAGCTGGCTCAGGCGATCAGCACAGTCCCTTCCAAGGCGTTGCCACTTGATTGTTGCCTGGAGCTAATTGCTGTGACATCTATACGATCTCTTTTTCTCCGCCTTATCCTTCTGCCACTTCGTTGTTTAGATGATCTCTTCCAGATATCGTATTTGGACTATACATATTTCTTTTTTCTTGCTTTTCACCCCAGCAGGCTGGCAATGTGGGGAGGATTTAGGGCAGGACTTCCAAAGTTGGGAACAATGCATCTGGATGTTGTATCTTTCTTCTATTTATGTTATTTAGGCTGGGTAGATTGTTCTCGTCTACAAAGCCATGGATATATACTGAGACTCCGGGCGTTGGAGTTTACAATGGAATGCATTGAAATCGGATTTGTGATTTTCCCCTTAAGAGAATGCTTCGGATAGAGATGAGAGGAAACAGATTCTTTTAGGACTTATGTACAGTTGCAAAGCCTCCCACACACCGTTCTGATTTAAATCGTACATAGGATTCCGCTTTCAGAAGAGTTAAAAATAAAGAGAAGCGGATTAGTCCTTCTGTGCCTGCACATCTCCAAGCCGCTTGGGACTCTTGCCAGTATAGACTAAAGGGAGATAAGTTAGTATATATACAATCAAAAGAAGGCTGAGATTTCCCGGGCATTAAAGAACTCACGTCTCTCATAAAGAATCCACGATGTGTACATTAGAATTGGTAGTCCGACAATAGTCGTTGTCCATCTAGAAACGGAGACGATTAGATTTTCATTGTTGATATGTATCATTTGCTAACCAAAAGCAGAAACAAACAAAAACGCCCAAGCAGATTGGAAGACAGAGAAAGGTGACACATACCTTCGTGCAGCAGCCTTGTACTCCTTCGTCTTCCGGATATCATCCACCCTCTTAGGGAGCCGCGAAGGAGCGGGTTGCTGGACTGGGCGTGGAGGCCGGGTTTTGGGATCCACGGATCGGTATCTGTGTTGGTCTTTGATGGATGCCATTATTCTTGGCTTTTGTTAGATGGATTTGATTACAGATGAAATCCTTGGGGCGTGCTTACATGGTTTGGTCGGTGAATTGGAGGTTGTGAATTCTGTGAGGGAAGGTTCCGGGAGGTGTTGGCGCCTGAGGCATTACTTTAAGTACTCGTATGCAATAGGAAGAGTCACTCATAAAATAGACTGCACTTCAACCACTGATTATGAGGTGGATAAATGGTGTAAATGATATGGTTATAAGAGCAAAATCCATCTTTTAAGCACCAAAAGAGTAGATAAAAATTATTTTTTCCTCTGTGCTTCTTTTTATGAGGTATAGATCTCTACCACAATCTTGGAATATCGTACTTAGCTTGGAGTTTCTTTTGCTTATTCAAAGGGCGAGTAGGTAACGTATATGGATTTAAGAAGACATAAGCAATTATAACTATTACTACTATACAAAGCTGACCAATGATTTGTGAAGACAGAGTTGTTATAACATTTTATCGTGCACCAATTTCCAAGTAGACTACAATGCGCCATTAGATTTTTAGAACGGCGGGGTTGGCCATGGAATATGCCACTATTTTTTTTCTACATGTCTTTTGTGATAGCCATCTTTAGTGTTGCTAAATATCAAGCTAAATGGTTGGATATGATCATCGTACCTGACCTCAGATCACTAGAAACTATCTATCCTTGCTGTCCAGCCAAGCAGGCTTGATTGACCATCATATTTGACCTTGAGAAGTTACTTTCAAACCATGTGTTCAAGCTGACATCCCATATAGCATCTTTTCTAACTCGACGTTTCGTCAACTCTTCATTGAGCTTTGCCAAAACAAGGTGCCATATCCTACAAATGGCATATAAGACATATCAGAATGTTTCATTTAAAACTAAGTGTCATAAAACCTGGGTATTAGTTTGGTTGTTTTCTAAGTATAATTGACTATGTAGATTCGAACTATCAGACCGATGCGATACACCTCTAAGATTACTCTGACTGAAAGTTATTACTCAGTCATAATGCATACATCATACCGATCCCAATTATCATCAGTATGGAGTGTCAGTATGATGGCACAAAATGCAATGTAAGCCAAGAGTAAGCGGAAACTCGGTGAGATGTGAGGGCTATTTGCGAGATATCAGAATTACTAGCTTTTATGGAGACTACGAGGCCAAAAGGATTACAGGGCAAAAGATTACGAAATGAAGCAATACTAATGGCAACGACAAAGACAACTGAAAAATCTCACAATTCACCATGGTGGACTCCATGGTATGCTCCCGCGGTGCTAATCATACATGCTTGAAACGCCCGCTGGTAATCATACAAAAAAGAAAAACAAAAACAAAGAAAAAAAACGAAAACTAATCCCGGCATTGCCGGGCCGAAAACATCATCATTTTGCCCTCACCGGGGCCTCACATGCCCCGGCGGCGGCGGCGCTTGTTGGTTTTTGCGGAGGACGGCGCACGTGAGAGGGCGGGGGAGGAAGGGGGCCGCACGGCGGGGTCTTTGGAAGCAGATGCTCCAACCCCGGAGGCCTCAGTCTTGGGCGCCGGCTTCAAGGTCAGCCGCAGCCGCTGCACCTTAGGCTTGTCGCCTTCGGTGGCAGCGGGGGCGACGGCGGCAGCCGGGCCCGAAGACTGGACCTGGGTCGCAGTGGTCGGAAGAGAGTTAGGAGAGGTGGGAGAGGTAGGGGAGGGGACAGTGGGAGCAGGAGCAGGAGCGGTCTGGCGTCGGCGACGCTGTGACTTGCGTCCGCCGGTCTCGGCAGCAGTGGCGGGGACAGCTGCGGCAGGTTCATCGGCGGCATCTGCGGCCGCGGTCTGACGGCGCTTTCGGGCACGGGGCTTCTTGGTCGCGGGGGCTGGCACAGGAGTCCGAGCCCGAGCCCTGGCCTTCTCCTCCTCGACGTTTTCAGTGACGAATGGAGCCATCGCTTCGAATGGGAGATTACGGTCTCCCATGAGTGGAGCGAAGCTGTGAGCTGCATCGGCCTCGGCTTGCTGGCTGGTTCTGGCGCGCACTGGGGGGAAAGGAAGACCCTCGTAGCCGTAAGTATGAGATGGATAGTAGGGGTGGCATTTCTCGGGAATCAGGGCAACCTCTTCGCCGCTGGAGTTGACGTAGCCAGTCTGAATCCAGCCATCGCTGCTGACCTTGCTGTCAGACTGCTTTTTGTAGCTCAGGATGCTTGAAGCGTTGGTAACTGCGGTGGGAACAGTGGGAACAGTGGGAGGAGTGGGCGGAGTGGGCGAAGTGGGCGGAGTGGGCGAAGTGGGCGGAGTGGGAGAAGGAGGAGAAGGAGCGATCACAGGCTCTGAGAGGTCTTGGTCGATCATACCAATATCAACATCGATATCAGTCGGCGAGGTGGTGGCGGGCATGTCGACGCCATATTTTTCTTCGTCTTGGCGACGGAAGTATTCACTTCGCTGCTGCTCCAAGAACACCGGGAGATTGAAAGGGAAAGTAAAGTCAGGACTTAGGGACTGAACAGTCAAGTCATACAGCTTCTTGCCAGCCACCTTCGCGTCAATATCGAAACCGATCAAGACAGCATTCTTTCGCAGGTTCAAGTTGGTCATTCTCTTTGACTTTCTGGTTTTTTTCATTGGTTGCTTCGAAATATTGTTCTTCGCAACCTTGCTAGGCACGGGGACAGCAGGGGCAGGAGTTTCCACGGTCGGGGTGGACCCTGGCGTGTTCTTTCGGCGAGGCTTCTTCTTAGTTGATTCAAAAGATTCAATGGCCCTCATGGTGGGCTTGCGAACCCGGGATGAGTTCCGCATGTCGGAGGCACTGGTAGGGCTCGACGGACCATCGGCTGTTCCTTCAGATTCAAAGCTGCCCATGTACTGGTCAAACGTCCAGCTGGCGCTACCAGTGCTCTCTGGGAAGTCAATATCTGAAACTTCTTTCTTTGGCGTCTCAAGTGCAGCTGTTCTTCTTGTCCGTCGGCTACCCGGGTTGGTGACCGGGGCTTCTAGGGCTGGAGTGTGAACAGTGGAAAGACGAGATGGACGAGACTGGAAGGCCCGCCGACGTGAAGAGGGTGTTTCAGGGGAGGTTCCACGTGAAACAGGACTTATCACAGGCGGATTACTTGAAACAGGTGGATTTGGAGTGTAAAAACGAATGTTGATAGAGTTGTGTTGGGGAGAGGCGGATGTAAGGTTCAACGTTTTGGTGGGTTGCGCGCTCTCATTTGTACTGTTTGATGGGGGAGGTACTCGGGGCGAGCGCCGAGAAGGTGTCAATGTAGGCGCTTTACTGATGCGCGCCGGCATTGAATTACGCTGGCCCTTCTTGGGAGGCATCGTGAATTAAAGCTAAATGGCCCGGAATTTGTCAGTATAATCTATTCATGCAAATACAGCGGGCGGTAAATAGAGCGAATGAGCTGTACAAATGGAAGACTAGATCATACCTCCAATAACAGGCAACTAGGGTGTGGGAAAAGGATATATGGGGGTCATCAGGTGAACGGCAGGTCGACGTCAGAAGACCGCAGTGCGCGGCAGGGGAGAAGTTGGGAATTAGGGCCCGACGTATAGGCGCAGAACTCACGGAATCAGAGGTACAACCATCCGAAGTTATTTTCTAAAGGATTCATAAACAAGCTTGTATGGACTAGGTGGACGTTGGAGTTGTATTTGTGGCAGACAAGGCGAAATAAAGTGATGAAAGATGTTGAGGTCGAGCAGAAAAGAAATTAGGGCTACGGTTGATCGGCGCTTATCGGCTTCACTTGTCCGCCTTATTCTGCACCTCCTCCATCCTCCATCATCTCCCCGAGCTCTTTACAGCTGTTTTCTGTGATTTCTGTTTTCTTTTAATTATTTTTTTCACAATGCATCTGTGGCAGGCCACCGTTCCATTCTGCTTATTGGCCGCGGTCTCCTTGCCTGGCGCCGCCGCCACGGCTTGGGGCTTTACTGATGCCACCGTGGCCGTTCAAGCAAAAGGTGCTGGTGTCAATGGAGGTTTCAAGGAACAGTATGCATTTCGACTCAAATAGAAGGTACATCAAACTAATCAACATGTTCAAACTAGATTTACTGCATCCAAGCCGCTCCCCAAGCCCGTCTCCCTTTTCGGTGCCGATACCCTACGCGTCACCTTGACAGCCCAGGAAGACAGCTCTCCAAAGCGGCCAGACCAGGCTTTCCTTTTGCTCAAGGATGCTCAGACTGGATTGGATATCTCTTACCCTTTTAATGTCAAGGATAATGGCAAGTCAAGAGTCGAATTGGTATGGAACCCCCGAAAGCGACTTTCCGCGGCGCAGCTAACACATGCCTTCCAGACCCAGAAAGACCTACCAATTCAATTTCTTTCCCTGTCCGGCCCAGTTGATGCGCATGTCGTCATTGGTGGGTTCGGAACCTCCGATGCCTACGACAGCTCTGTGTTCAGGTTGTCGATTGATCATAACCCCGAAGAGGCCGTGCCGACCGTTGAAACCGAGCGATACGGCAAGAAGCCTGAGATCCACCATATCTTCAAGGATTCTGCGTCTAGCCCGCCAATTGTCATCACCCTGGCATTTGTCGCCATGGTCGGGGCTGCTATTCCTGCTCTTGCTGGCTTGGTAAGTTGATCCCATTGCTGTGCCAACCGACCTTGCTTATAGATTGTCTCTAGTGGCTCTTCCTCGGCGCCAACATCAACCACCTACCCTCCGCATTCAAGTCGGCCCCTCTGTCGCACGCCGTCTTCCTCGGATCGCTGATCGCATTTGAGGGGATCTTCTTCCTTTACTATACCTCGTGGAACTTGTTCAAGATCCTCCCCGCGATGGCTGCTGTCGGTGCGATCGCATTTGTCAGTGGTAGCCGTGCGCTAGGTGAAGTGCAGGGCCGGCGCCTTGCTGGTCTCCGGTAAAATCCCGGAACATACGTAAATTTATCTGCCGTGGTCCTTGTTGTCCTCTCACGGTGCTCTCAAAATGCCGCGTGGTCCAGGTTCCGGTGGTATTGTATCTTAGCTGCAGTGGCATCTAGTATGTTTTTACAAAATAACAGGTTTTCCATTGAAATTTCACTAAAGTCTCACTGATCTTCAAACCTGACCATCTTCCTACAAGTTGTCTGTAATCAGGTTGAGTAGAGCTCGCCAGATATGCAGCCCCAACATATTCTCCTAAACGAGACTGTGTCGCCCTACCTTGGTCGATTGGCTAGATAATTTCCAATACTCCCAAGAAAGCTGTTTGTTGACCATGTATTTATTTTGACGTCACAATGTAGGGCAGGTTTAGCGGGACAAACAGTGGTATGTCCTAACTTACCGCTTTATCTACCGCCTACCCAGGATGGTATGCATATGGAATTTTGCCTCAGAGATCAGGCCTTTCTCTCAGCCGACACTGTACGTAAAGAGGGCATGTTCGGTATCCTTGAGGATTTCTACCGTCTTTAGTTCTCTTTGACACTTTACAAAAGTATTAGTTCGTATGACTCGTATACTCCGGTTTATAGATCAATGAAAAGTCCCGACTATTCTGCTGGCAAAAGACCCGTCCAGATCGAATGCCAAGGCGACTTCGGGACCTCCGCTCAAAGCTCCGCAAAAAGCTACAACGCCTCACCCAACATTTCCGATTTTCAAAGGTCATCATTCTCAATGGGTTCCGCCGCTTCAAAGCCCGCTAAGTCAGCGGCCGGCGCAGCCTCACGGCGCCAATACCCTAAGCAGGCGGCTCCTCCACCGAGGGGGCCGCGCAAAACTCCAAAAGAAACCAAAGCAGCGTCTGCACCTACGCCTACTCCCGCACCCAAGCCCAAGGCTAGCCCTTCGCCTCCTTCAGCACCTGCACCTCCTTCTCAAGGTCCAACATACCACTCAAAGGAGAAAGCATCTGGCGTGAAGTCTGATGGTACGTACTCGCCGGCGATTCTTTCAAGTCTTTTCCATGCAACAAATGCAAGATCAGCAAGGAAACACTTACTAATGACTCTCTAGCCATCGACATGGACGGTCGAGATCCTGATTTCGCCGCCTCCTCCCGGTCAATAGGCCCCGTCAACCCATCACCTACATTCTCGAACTCAAGCACTGTCTACCGCCCTGGCTCAATGCAAACCGTCTTTCCACAAGCCTCCAACCCGGCACTACTAGTGGTCACTGCTCGACAACGCCTTACCGAGGCTGCGGATAGAGAAGCTGAGCACATCGGCCATGCGGGTCACCCGGGGAGATCATTCCTGGATGCCCTGACTATCCAGCAAGTGTTGACGATGCGGGATAAGCAGGGTATGCGTCGTGGAGATATTGAACGGTTCCTCGGGTTGAAGAAGGGGGTCTTGGAGCGGTTAGGGAAGGATGAGATTGTGTCCCGTATTACATGATCTTCGTCCTCCACCCAGGTCAGCAAGCTCTTTGTTGTTTAGCGATTTTTCCCTTCAAAATATCATTCGGTGTCTTTGGTGCATTTGGATTATTGGTTATTCCTGGCTTTGTGCACACTTTGTATAGTAAATAACTTGTTCTACTCATCCCTACTCATGATAATATCAAATTCTTTAATTAGAGTGGCTATAAATTTCTTCTTTGGCTTCTGGCTCAAAGGAAGTGACTCGGGACCATTGAAATGACTTTTTCCTTTCAAACAATTGCTAGGATGATCATCGAGTGTTAGACCACAACGCTTATGATTGACCATAAATTACTCAGCTACCGAAAATCGCTACTCCGGACGCCAGTTTAAACGAGCAAGGGAACAGCAGGAAGCCATTGATTGAATTCCGAACTTGGCTACAAGCTCGTCAAGGTAACGCCATAACCACCGGTCGTTGGCCAAGTTGACCTCCCTATGATGTGAGGCTATTCAGACTTCGACGGGAAGGTGATCCCCCATGGCAAGACTCCTGGGCATTTGCTTCTAGTCGGCTTTGGGGTGGGTTTGGCTCTAGATAGAGCTCTTGGCACCATAACCCTTGACCTTTATATCACGCGGACTCCCTCACACGAAAGAATCCGTTTGGCATAAATGAGCGCGAGATGCTCGTGGCCCGGGAAGCTGCAATCATCCCAAGCACCGTGGGCGGATCCGAGAATGATAGCATCTCTACCAGACCACGATCGAGGATGCCCGACTCATCGGGTCTTATCAAACCCGAACACCACATTCTGGTCTTTAGCAAACATGGCGGCGAAACATCTTTTCGTTACGGCTTGAATCGGGACTGGCCGGTGCTTCTGGCGCGCCTGGACGTTTCCATTGCGGAATTGACTAGATGCCGTAAGATTCCTCTGTTTTGTGGATTATGGATTCAGTTTGTAAATAGATTGTGTCCTAATGTTGCGAGTATAGATGAAATAATTATATGCGCAACTGACAGAATAGGCAATATTTTTGAGTTCGAACCTTATGCTGTAGAAAGGTGGGCCCAGGGGTGATGTTCGGCGCCGACTACCAATCACACAACACAGAGACACGATGACAGCCCTGTCTAGGTGGAGGATTAAGTATGATGCGATCTAAATCACGGCCTATGCTATGACAGATATTGATGAACTCCCACATACTTATACAGGTCTTCCTTTCTGTTTTATACGTACTCTGAAAGCGATTAAACATATTCACTTCTCGTTCCTCCCCCTTGAAAGTCACGACTACAATGTATCTCCGCGCCGTCCACGCCGAGGGACAACTCCCCGTCCTCCAGCAATTCATCCGCGACAACCCACTCGGTATCCTAACAACGGCGATCAAATCCCCGATCTACTCATTCATCCAATCAAGCCACATCCCCTTCGTCCTTGATGTACCTCCCTCAACCGAGGGCGATGACACAATCCCGACCGGCATACTGCGCGGCCACATAGCCAAGCAGAACCCACAAGCAAAAGCCCTCATGGAAGCCCTCGCCGAGCAAAACGCAGCAGGGAATAACAAACTAGAGCTCACGGATGAAGTCCTTATCCTCTTCAACGGCCCGCACCACCACTACGTGACGCCCAAATTCTACACAGAAACCAAACCGGCATCCGGTAAAGTCGTCCCGACGTGGAACTACTCCGCTGTGCAGGCGTACGGCAAGATCAGTGTATACTGCAATTCCAAAGCAGAGGAAACGGGTGCGTTTTTGCAGAAACAGATTCAAGATCTGTCGCGGCAGTCTGAGGAGGGCATTATGGGGTATACTGGGGGTGATAAGAAGACTGCGTGGAATGTCTCTGAGGCGCCGGTCAATTATGTGGAGCTTTTGAAGAAGAATATCATTGGGATCGAGATTCGGGTTGAGCGGTTGCAGGGGAAGTTTAAGATGAGTCAGGAAATGGGCGAGGGAGATCGGGAGGGAGTTGTGAAGGGATTTGAGGAGTTGGGGTCAGATGTTGGGAGGGGTATTGCTGATTCTGTGAAAGAGCGTGCTGCCTTGAAGGATCAGCAGAAATTATTGTAACTCATACTTGCTTACTCTGTGTGAGTTATTAGAGAAGACCTGCAAACAATCCGGTGCCGTTGCACATACACCTGATGTGATGTGATTATGAGGGATGAGAAACATGCATAGATGATATAGAACTTTTACAGAAATGTGTTCAATTCAAAGGTCGAAGCTTTCAAGATATTCTCTGTACATATGTACTTTGTAGACTAGCACGGTTTTGGTTCTGTAGGTAGACATGTTTCACTTTTAGTTTTTTTTTTTTTTTCTAGTTAATCATCTTGGTCTTCTTTGGGGTTGGGGGGGAACCAGGAATAAACACTATAATAATATACGAGGTAGTACTCGGGTCCTGCAAGCCGAATGAGAATCTCACACATGTCAAGATCAACATCCGAGTCGCCATATTAAAGATACAGGTCTGACGTTACACAGGTCTCCTACAAGTCTCCTGCAAGGTCTACCGCCAAGCATATTTAGGCAAAGGCCTGTGCACTAAGCTTCAACCCTGGATTATCCCAAATCCGTGTATTTGTGAATATAGATGTATTGCACAAAGTGCGATTGTTTTATCCACCGGTTAGAGGTCCCGAGGTCCACAATTAGATCTCAGAGACACGGGATCTTCAAGATCCGAGGATTATCATTTATAATAATAGAAGGGGGCAATGTTAGTGAAAGTGGGGGGGGGGATACGGGAAACCGGCGCAAATTTTGACCTTTTCCCCGGATTTTATGCTCAAGTGCCCTGGTGAACGGCCATATTTCCCCTTTTTGAAAGAGAACCCTTGGAAGTAAGCTTGAAACCTTCCGAAATTGGGAACGCCCTCGGGAGGTCTGAGAAGGTCCATGGTTCATTCAATTGGACCAATTTGGGGATTGTTTTCTTTTATTGTATTATTGTATCATTAGTTTTCGGTTTCACCGAAAGAGCGAATCATTTTGGAATAGTTCGATGCAGGGTCCACCTAGTGGCTGCACAAACTTGGACTAATTTGGACATAATAACCTCTACAGCCTTTGTGTCTCTCATCAGGCCCACTTGGGACATTCAGGGACAGTGCTACAGGTTAGGATGGGCCATTTTAATATGGGAAAAGTGGTTCCGGCGACGTAATAAAAAAAGAAATTAAAAAACCAGAAATTAAAAAAAAAGAAAACAGAAAACAAGCTCTTGGAAGTAACTTGGAGCCTCTTAGTCTGAGTCGCGTGCACAATTTCCTATCGCCTAATTGGCCTTTTTCTATTATTTCGTGATATCTAAGAATAACCCTTGGACCCTTTCTTCCCTTTCCTCCATCTTTCCTCTTCTCTCTTCTTTCTTGCTTTGTCTCTCGTTTTACCATTTCGACATTTCTCGATTCCAATCTCCACCTCCCTTGTCAACTGCGAGATTCCACTGTACAAATGAAATGATTCCAACATGTCCATCTTCGCCCTCTTACCACCTTTGCCGCCCTTCCTTTTCTCTGCACTCGTCGTGAGCGGCCTCGCCTCCAAGGCCTTACATATTGCGCTACATATTCGGTCCTTACCGTTCCTCTACTTCGTCCTGTATTCGCCTACACTTATTCTACGAGATGTGTTAGTTATAATATTCGTACGGGTCTTGTTACGCTTCCATGCGCCAGATAGTCGATGGCAATGGCTCTCGACTGGGCTGGGAGGGGCACTGTCGTATGTTTACCCCCAAATACCGAACGCCGAAATGGAGGACAAAAAGAAATTTGCGCAACATAATCTAACACTAGTACTAGCTTGATCACATGGGGTGCTTCCTCCATCCAGTTCGGATTCTTTATGCAGACCGGTGCCGAGGTCGCCTGGGCAGCTGGCGGTAGCTTCCTGAGCGATCCGGCCGCCATGAAAATTCTCCTCAGCGGTGTCTCGACTGTATCCGCTGCGGCCACCTTCCTCGGACTGATTGCGTGGTTGCTTCATTCACATTTGTACAACATCACCGGTCTTGGCTTGCAGGCAATCCGAGACCTGTGCGTGGGGGGATTCAAAGCGCGTTATACATTGATTTCTGCCCCCAGCAAATCGTGCATGGCCTCGATAGACCTCCGGTCGTTCCGTCGCATTATTCCCACAGTTGCCATCTGTGTATCGCTCCTTTTCTTGGAACTAACTAGGCCCGCTATACCGTATGACCATCTATCCGGAGCTCTGCCGCTCACACTGCTCGATGCTTTCCAGAAAAAGACTGCGACGGTGGAGGGATGTCGCGAGCCTGCCATGCCATTCCCTTTGTTGATCACGGACGGTGAGGGGTTCTCCCGTCCTCAGTTCCAACCGGACTCGACGTTTGTGGAACAGTGGTCACGGGCTACCTGGCTCCCAGAAAACCCACCCCGAGGATTCAGCCGCTGGGATCTCAGCCCGAGTGATCGTGCAGAGAAAGACAACCATTATTCTTTTGTATGTGCCGGTGATCAGGGCGCATTCTACAATCCGAAGAATGACCCCCTGATGGTCACGAATCTGGGCGGTGAAATTTATGAGCCCCTACAAAAGGCTTTTAAAGAGCACTCCGTTGAGGTCAACCATGTTGTGCTATTAACGCTCGAAAGTGGCCGCAAAGAACTTTTCCCCGCACAACAGGGCACACCCCTGTTCGATGGTCTTCTCGCGTCCCATAAGAAGCAGAACATCAACGAGGCAATCGATCGTATGGTCAACATGACCCCGGTCGCTCAACAGTTGACCGGCGAGTACGCAACCGATAGCAAGGGGAACAAGGTCGACTTGAGCCACTCTTCGTGGAAGAACCCGCCACAAGAAGGTATGGGTGGACTTAATGTCCGTGGTGCCGTGACAGGTAGTTCATTGACATTCAAGAGTGTTTTGGGAAGTCACTGTGGCGTGAACCCTTTGCCAGTGGATCTTCTGGAGGAGTCTATGCTTGAAATTTATCAGCCGTGCTTGCCCCAGATTTTTGATCTGTTCAATCAAGGCAAGCCGCAATCGGGAAAGCTCCCCCAGAACTCTTCTTCCGAGAGCAAATCCGCGGCTCTTAAGAACCCCTGGAAGTCTGTATTCATGCAGTCAATTACCGATGACTATGACCGTCAGGACGTGCTGAACAAAAACATGGGCTTTAAGCACAAGGTCGTCAAGAGTGACATGCAATCCCCCCACGCGAAGCACAAAGTTCAGGGCGAAGAGATCAACTACTTCGGATATGCGGAGACTGAGCTCCGACCCTACGTGTTGGACCTGTTCGAGGAGGCTGCAAACAACAAGACCCGCATGTTCCTTTCACATGTCACCAGCACAACCCACCACCCCTGGAGTACTCCAGACGACTTCGAGAAAGAACCATACATGAGCGACCAGGGAAACATCAACCACGACCTGATGAACAACTACCTGAATGCCGCCCGGTTCGTCGATATCTGGCTCGGGGACATCATGGCCATGCTTGACGAGACAGGCATTGCCAACGAGACTCTAGTCGTTGTCGTCGGAGACCATGGCCAAGCCTTCGGCGAAGATAATAAGGACATGACCGGCACGTATGAGAATGGCCACATTAGCAATTTCCGCGTACCCTTGGTTTTCCACCACCCGCACATGCCTCGAGTGGACATCACCGCCAACGCAACCGCCCTCTCCATCGTCCCCACCATTTTGGATCTTCTCGTCCAATCCAACTCCCTGGACGAGCGCGACTCCGAGATCGCCTCTTCCCTCCTCCCGGAGTATCAAGGCCAGTCTCTCATACGTCCTTTCCTCTCTTCTATGGAGGAACCACCCCACCGCCGTGACCACCACCACCACCACCATCCCCCGCCAGATGAGCAGCCAGAGCACGAGCCAGAACACCCCCAGCTCGAAGCCAGGTCCCACCCAGAGAGCCCAGCCAAGCGTATCGTTTGGAACATGGGATTGATCAACGCCGGTGGCTCGATGCTCTCCGTTATGGCAGCCGATGTTCCCTACCGTCTCATTCTTCCCCTGAAGGATGGCTTCGAGTACACATTTACCCACCTAGGCGAAGACCCCGGTGAAACCCACCTCACCAAGGCGTGGACTCTTGAAACCCTCATCAAAGAGGTCAAGCCTAAATTTGGCCAAGCGTCCGCTGATTGGCTCAAGGATGCTGAGCTAGTTGGCAAGTGGTGGGTGAGTGAACAAAAACGCATTTGGGGTTACCGTGAAGCCTAGTCATATGCTAGCTCCGCGGAACCACCAAAAGCAAATCAAATCAAAAATCAAACATACAACGGACTTTGATGATTGTTCTGGTTTACTTCGCATTGCATTGCATTTCCTTCCTTTTCTTCTGGCTCTATGCCCATTTTGCATCTCATGATATCTCCTACATTTATTTTGGAACTGGCGTTAACACGGAGTTGCTTTTTCCCCCCCCACGTATTTATGCGTGAATGCTTGAGTTCCCTCATTTCCTTGAAGATATTTCCCCACCCTGTGGCTGGACAGCCCTTTTTATCTCACACTTTTCACGTGAATCTGCATGGCATAGGATATCACTATCATGTTTTGCTTTTTCTTTTGCATCCCTTGATGTTACTCAGACCTGGATTTCGGCAACTGTACTTGTATGGAAACGGGAAGAGAACAAAACATTGTACATAGCACCCAAGGACGCTTCAGTATATTGGGGTAACATTGTTCATGCGGAATATGGTGCATTGGATAGTTGAGGATTGACCAGGTATTTTACCTAATATGTATAATCTACATCCATAATCCATTCGACTTCATTTCAGTTTCCCTGGAACGGTGCTGTAGAGTTAAGCTGAGGAATATAAGACCAGGTCGGTCATTGGTACGGCTAGATCTGATGTTCTGATCTGCTTTCCCTATTTAATTATGATCATCGCGATCTACCTTGGAAGGATGCAGATGCTTATCCTTAACCTGAGCTTAACCTAGCCCTGGAGGGATCGGCAGGCCCCGCTTGATCCACTATGTAACTAACTAGGGTTCTCTTGGGTACATACATACAATGTTCACATGGCATAATACAGACAAGACTTGGCGGTATCTGACTCCGGGACATGATCCTGGAATGCTAAGGTTAAGCTTTGTTCTCAATTTAGTGTTGTTCCAAGGGTCAAATGTTGTTAATCCAACTGCGTCCCATACATTTTAGTACCTAAATCCACGCTCTACTAACTCGTGAGCAGTCTCGCTATTTCGTTTCCAACTATATACATTTATATATAATGTTCACGATCATATTCGAATGATACAGAAACAAAGTATATAATCCTGTAGTAGCAACCTGTTATAGTAAGAATTAAAAAATCCAAAGAAGAGGGGAAAGAGAAATGCAGTGAGTGCAACACAATGCTACACAGATCATTTTATAATACTACATAGTTAGCCAGAAATTACCTACATAAATATTTGGCCATGTCAAGGCTTGTAGTCAAGACAAAAAAGATAGCGTCCGGCAGCAATTGAGAAATCCCCAACTGAGGAGATTTTCCCTTTCTTAGCCAACCATTGTTTCACCGACAACATTCAGCCATGCGTTTCCCAGGAACAGTTCCTATGGGTTGGGGAACAACCTGGCCAGTAGGGGCAGGCCCGAAAAGTGCACGACAGGGGGAAAGGAAGACCCGGGCAGACCAGATTCTGAAAAATAAAGAAAATCATGAATGCACAGACCACACATTCAGAGATCTACTTCCATTTTTTCGCTGCAGTTCCTACCGGGAATCCAGAGTGTGGGGGTTTCGTCAGCAAACCCCCTGGCTCCGGGGGCCCGGGTACAAATAAGCCATAATTGGAGACGCGGTCGAACCTTCGAAGTATGCAGATTGCACACCGGTACCTGTAGTGTGAAGGCTAAATCTAGGAATTTTTGTAGAATATAGATATCACGAGAGCAAAAGAAAAAAGTGGAAACCTCGGAATCTCCCCATTGAGTAAGGAGCTTGTTGAGAATGGAAGATTCTGATGGTCACAAGGTGTGTCTTGTTCTTGGCTTATTGATAATGGATATTAGTGCAGGGTTATAGTCAGATAAGCTATATGGCCTTAGTCCTATCTGAGTATCAGCACGAAGTCTGGACTCGTTGGATTTTCAATGTTTGAGTCCTAATTTTAGTTCTGTACCAAGATACTTCCCCCGCATGGAGAATCCAGAATCCGGAGTACCCAGATTTAGCTATTCGGGTTGAACCTTGGAAGACAGCATTGTCAATGTACTTTCCATGGTTGTTTTTTTTTTACTGACGACTATATCCTAATATGAGATCCGAGATCTTGGATTTTAAATTTTAAATTTTAGAAAAAAAATCTTGAGACCTAAGTATAGGAATTGACCAATGAATTTCTTTTCGCCCGGGCCGCCACCTTGGAGCCGGGGCGATCGGACAGGAACAGATATCACAGGCCATATGTACTAATTTGATTGGTAGGGATTCAGTCATTGATCTGCAAAGAGCCAACTGACCCCAGATGGTACTTTGAGGCTTGAAATATTTCTAGAAGACCCGGTTCGAGGCTCGGCAGTAGTTTGTGTACGATGTACACGTAGTTCTCTCAAAGGGGTTCGGAAGTCAGCTGGATCGATTTCTTTTGCAAAAGCAAGAAAGAAAAATCATGTTGAAATTCAAAAATTAGAGTGGCGTTGGGGTTCCCCGGGTTTCTAGTCCCCAGGCGGGTTTCCCAAAAGAGAAATCCGGCCATCCCTTAGCTTCCGAAGTGCCACATCGTCGATGAAACTATCGTGAATTTTTTATCATGTCTGGTGACCAGTACTCCTGTTAGATAATCTATCCCTGAATTCAATGTAGCTATCCCTTGGATATTATTGGAAAGTAGCTAGTTATGTGGCAAATCTAAAAAGATCATAACAAGAGAATACAAGTGTCAAATTTCTTTATTTGAGAGATCAATTGATACAATATCCAAGTACTATACTACATACATATATAGATAATTATTGTATATGTTAGTCCTGTTTGTAGGGTTGCGTATGCCTTGCCACAGCCGTTTAGCCTGCATTCCAGGTGGTCTGGACTCAATCCGCTCGCAGTGCCCTTGGTCCAAGTCTGGATTTCCTTTTTGGGCTGTCCTTTAGTTTCTTTCTGCTCACGAGACACCTCTGGGGCGCTTTGGTCCTTGTTCGGCCTGGCTTTTCCGGTCAAGAAGATATGTATTTAAAGAGAGTCGCTTCTCCGGTCCATGATTCCTCAACTAAAACATCTTCATTCTTCTTTATCTATAGACGAAACGCTCAGTTTAACAATCTTTGACGCCTTTATTGATATCATTTCTATCGTTACTACCCTCGCCTAATACTTAATACATCACATCGCAATGTCTGTCTCCATCGAAACCACTACATTTCCTACCGCTCCTGTGACCGCCCAGCCCGTCTTGATGGGCCAGAAGTCCAGAATGCCCGAGTTCAGTCTCGCTGGAAAGGTGGTGCTGGTCTCAGGTGCTGCCCGGGGTCTAGGATTGGTCCAGGCAGAGGCACTCCTAGAAGCCGGAGCGAAGGTATACGCCCTCGACCGTCTGGAAGAGCCGGTAGGTTTCTAAATGCCTCAGATCTAGTTCATACAACCACCAGGTCCATCCGCCTCTATGTCAGCACTATACTAACAATCACTCGATCACCAGGCCCCCGAGTTCGAGCAGATCCAGCAGCGCGCAAAGGAGCTTGGCACCGAGTTGCACTACCGTCGTATTGACGTGCGTGACACAGAACTTCTCAACAGTGTCATCGAGACCATCGCCAATGAAGAGGGCCGTATGGATGGTCTCGTTGCCGCAGCGGGTATCCAACAGGAGACCCCAGCGCTGGAATACTCAGCCAAGGACAGCAACACCATGTTCGAGGTCAACGTCACGGGAGTATTCATGACCTCCCAGGCTGTGGCTAAGCAAATGATTCGCTTTGGAAATGGAGGTAGTATCGCTATGATCGCCTCTATGAGCGGCACTATTGCCAATCGTGTACGTTCCCACTCCCCTCTTTTCGTCTTACCCTTTACCTTTTCCACCCCATTCGCCATTTAAGTTGTCGGTATAGGCCTAGTGTCTCTCTGCCCAGACTTTCTTTATTTCTTTTTATGGAATATTCCCCGCTTTTATGTCACATTCCGTTCCTCTAGTTGGCCTTCAACGATCTAACATATTCTTCCTACAGGGTCTTATTTGCCCCGCATATAACGCTAGTAAGGCTGCTGTCCTCCAGCTCGCTCGCAACCTCGCTGCCGAATGGGGCACCTACAACATCCGCGTCAACACCATCTCTCCCGGCTACATTGTCACCGCTATGGTTGAGAAGCTGTTCATTGAGTTCCCCGAGCGCCGCGACCAGTGGCCTAAAGAGAACATGCTTGGCCGTCTCTCCCGACCGGAAGAGTACCGTGGTGCCGCTGTCTTCTTGCTCAGCGATGCTAGCAGCTTCATGACTGGAAGCGACTTGCGCATGGATGGTGGCCACGCCGCATGGTAGATTGATTATGGCTTTGATTCGATTTTGCCTTTTCAATCACTGCGCGTGACCATCTTCTTTTGGTCTCTCATTGCATGGCGTTCTGCGTCTTCTTCTTTTGGGTTATTGGGCGTGAATAGCGCAGCATGGGCTTTGATTTTTTTTTTTTTATTTTGATCATTGCCTTTTGTTGAATAGCGATCATTGGCTTTGGGGATTTTGAATCCTATTATGACGTTAGACTACAGATCGATCGCTCAAATAATAATTGGTATAATTGTTTCAACTGTTTCATCTCCATCTAGAGTTTAGCTGCATGTAAATCTTGATCCACTTTGAGATAGATCGGCATTTGCGTAGCCTTGTATATATTTTGTGCTTGGGCGTCGTCTCCCGGCACCAATAACCCGAATCTCAACATTTCCCCCTCACCGGCAAAATAACCGCGTACAGCCATCCAGTCGGAACATTCCACATACCCAAACCACCGGAGATCACCACATGACCTCCCAACAAGGCTAATCAACAAACTTAAGGTTCGATTCAAAGAAGATGAAATGTTGGGGATACACATATTGAAAAAGGATGTCGTTGCTAAATCTAGTAGCCCGCAGATCACAAAGTATCCGCGTGATAGGTACGTGGCCATTGTAATCGTCATCAGCGTAGTCCAAAATAGTCCAGCTGTCATTCAGAGGTCTTTTTAGCCGCCAAGAACCATGGAAACTAACTCGGGACTGACACCGAATCTGGGGAAGATGCGGAGAACTGGGACCAATCAGAGTTGGTCGAGCCGGATATTGACTGTTTGGGTCAATGGATATGTTCGCTTACTGGTGGGATGAAATGCCTTAATTACCAGGGCTGTTGGGCACCCAGACACCCCGGACCCATTCTTGTGTACTTACAGCAAGTGGTCAGGCGGAAAATTGTTTTATATCGAATGTTATGTACATAGACTTGGGCTGTTGAATCCGTACCAAGACTACACACTATGGGTCAAGGCAGTGCTGAGAAGATGATCACACTCTGTGACCTAGAGTAATTGCCATCTTGGCTTGGCATTCTAGTTTTGTTCTTCGGATTTTCTTTGCAGAAATATAAGATATCTTATTGGTTAGTATGGCATGCGTAGTCCTGTTGCCACTTCAGGGTTCTCTGTCCTCCCTACAAGGAACTTGGTCATAGTACTTTGTACTACAGGGAATCTGACCTGATAGAGCCAACTGTATTTTTTAGTCTCATAGACCTTTCAAACCTCAGATCATACATCTCTTGTATAATATGCTATATACTAAAAGTTTAACCCTACAGCCTTCATTATACAACCCTGTAGCCCTAGGTTTCCTTTCTCGGTGTTGCTCTAAAAGCAGTAACCCGTGGAAACGAACTACCTAGTATAAAATAATATTAGAGCAGGCTAATCTGGGGTAAATGGTGCTATTCTAATCTAAACTCGGAGGATACATAACAGTATTTGGACGGCCATATCAAAAGCCACATCGGAAGCATGTATCAAGCTTTTTACAGGCCTTGCACTGAGACACCTGCCGAGGTCTATATATTCTCTCTTGGACTTTTGTCCTTATGTCGAGTTTCCTTACACTTCAGTCCTGTTGGATCTCAATTGAAGCCCGCTTGTTGCTTCTTAATTGCTCAAAAGAAAGTTAAGCCGTATGCTTGACCAATTCCCGAATATCTCATACCCGGCTGTACCGGGGTCATTATGAACTTGGGAGAATCTTGTGTAGAATAAAATGCTGGCGCCATTAATTTTGGCGTTAGTTTAACTTCTCTGTGGTCAGAAAAACGAACATCAATGCTATTCCCTGGCGAGGTTACATAGCACGGCAGGTTACATAGTATGGCATATGCTGCATCTATCGCAGTCTTTGGTTGCTGCTTTGGTTCATTGATTCGCCTGATGTTGAGTCGTATCGCCCTAGTCTAGGCCAGCCTTGTATTGCCGTAATTGCAGCAGGGCAAAGGAAAGGTATGACTGCCGTTGAAGCCGTGGGTTTGCTATGGGCAACCCAAGCAAGGGCATCTGCCTAGGTGCAGGTTGTTTGCCTCACGTTCATGAGCATCCCGAGTTCAGTCCCAACATGTGAATTTATCTCACTTGTTTACTTCTCCTCTCTTCTCCTTCTCCTCTTTTCTTTTCTCTTCCACTCGCGTCCCTCTCATCGTTTCTCGTCCATATCTTGCACTGGTCTCTATTTTATCCAAGATGGCGGCTCAGGCCCCAGGCCTGGTCTCGGACTCGCTCGCTATTCATGATGTCGAGCCTGTCAACACCACTGGACAAAGTAACCCAGTTTCCAGTGAGAAGCCCGAGAAAAGTATCATCCCCGCGTCGTACCACCTTAGTGTGGGTGACGAGGACCCAACCGCAAATGAACTTCATGGCCCCAACGCGTTGCGTCGCGTCTCAGCTTCGATTCCCTGGGTCGTCTACACCGTTGCATTTGTTGAACTGTGCGAGCGTTTCTCCTACTATGGAACCCAAGTTCTCTGTAAGAAAACTACAGCCCCATACATAACCAGATACGAAACGATTCTAACATTGCAACACAGACTCCAACTTCGTGAACCACGCACTGCCTCTTCCTGCTCCGAATGGCCCTCCTGGATCAAACCATGCAACTGGTGCTGGTGGTCCTAGCTCCCAGGGTGTATCGGGTGCTTTGGGCAAGGGTGTCGAAACTGCCAGCGCCATCAACACCTTCAACACCTTCTGGTGCTACTGCCTTCCTCTGGTGAGTGCCTACATCGCCGACGAGTACTGGGGAAGATACAAGACCATCTCTTGGTCTATCGGGGCCGCCATTTTAGGTCACATCATTCTAGTTATCTCTGCCATCCCACCGGTTATCACAAACACCGATGCTTCCTTCGCTGTGTTCGTTCTGGGTGTAATCATCATGGGTTTGGGCACTGGTGGCTTCAAGCCTAACATATCCGCCCTGATTGTCGAGCAGATACCTGCTGTCAATCTCAAGGTTCGTACGCTCGAAACCAGTGAACGTGTTGTCGTCGATCCTACTATCACTCAGAGCCGTATCTACCACTATTTCTACCTGTTCATCAACCTGGGCGCATTGATGGGTCAGATTGGCATGGCCTATTCGGAGAAGTACATCGGGTTCTGGTTGGCCTTCCTGCTGCCCACCCTTATGTTCCTGACTACTCCGTTCATCATGTGGTGGGGTCGCAAGCGTTATCGCCAGTCTCCCCCAGCAGGCTCGGTGACTTACAAGGCCATCAAGGCATTCTGGTTCTGTATGCGCAACCGCTGGCACTTCAACCCATACATCCTCTGGAAGCGAACGCACGATGGCACCTTCTGGGACACCGCGAAGCCCTCTAACATCGAGCCCCGATTCCGACCCAAGTGGATGACCTTCGACGATGCGTGGGTGGACGAAGTGCGCCGTGGATTTGCCGCTTGTGCTGTATTTTGTTATTTCCCGGTCTACTGGCTAGCCTACAACCAATTGACAAACAATCTCACTGCACAGGCTGGCACGATGACCCTGAAAGGCGTCCCAAACGACGTTGTGAACAATCTTGACCCCTTGGCGCTGCTCATCCTCGTCCCGCTCTGCGACACGTTTCTATACCCCGGGCTGCGCAAAATGGGCATTCAATTCACGGCCATCAAGAAAATCACCCTTGGTTTCTGGATAGCGTCGCTCTCTATGATCTGGGCGGCTGTCATCCAGTACTACATCTACCAGACTTCGCCCTGCGGCTACCGAGCTAACAACTGCTACACCGACGACGGCAGCGTCAACCCGTCTCCTATCATTGTGTGGGCTCAGACGGGCTCCTACGTCCTTGTTGCTGTATCGGAGATTTTTGCAGTCATCACTTCAATGGAGTATGCCTACTCCAAGGCACCTCGAAATATGCGTTCCCTCATCCAAGCGATCAATATGTTCACCAACGCCATCTCCGCTGCCATCGCTGAGGCTTTGATTACGCTTTCCAGGGACCCTCTGTTGATCTGGAACTATGCCGTCTTCGCTATCTTGACCTTTGTCGGTGGAACCATCTTCATTATCCAGTTCTGGAGTCTGGATAAGGAGGAGGACGAGTTGAACAACTTGCCCGAGGGTCATGTGCAGGCTAGCGAGAACCCGGAAGGCAATCCGGAAGGCCAGGCACAGTTTGAACATGCCGAGATTGGCCCTGGTCGTGGTTGAGATTGAGGGTGCGAAAGAATGCTTTCCTTTAGCTTGGTGCTATTGGGATGATGTCTTCCCAAAGTTAAGTTCAACGCTTTCATCAAATTTCAATTGATTCAAATGATAACTGGTTCTCCGTAGCCTGATAGTAGGTTATACTGAACTCCTCCTTCTCACCCCCATAGTGCCGATCTCGATTTGTGACCTACATCTATATAGCCCCCCAAGTTACATGCCACAATGGCTTTATTAGAGACAACCTTGTAGCTGGAAGGTAATATAGGCGAATACGGGAGATTGTACTCCATATTTTTGATATAATCCACTTACCGTCTCTCGATGTGATTGATTTTTTTGCTAGCAGATCCACCTCGGACCCTAAGTCATCCCCGTCTTACCTTAGCCACATCCTTTGACTGTGGAGTGATTTGAAATGAGTCCACTTTTAGGGAGACATTTACATATAAACCCTACTCCAATAATGGATGTTAAAATGCGGATGCCTACTTGCCCACAGTGGTCGTATTCGTATCACATGACAATTTCGGCATCAGCCCCTGCCCAGCCTCCATTTGGGCAGAGCCTTACCTATGTGTCAGCTGTAATCTGACTGCGCCTCAAAGAAAAGTCATATTTTATTCTATATTTATTTAATGTTTTATAGGGCAAAACGGAGCGTTCGGCATCGTTGACATCACTCCACTCCACTCGGCAGCCATGATTCGTGATCCCTATGAACATATGGAGAACATACCAACAGAACTACCCTGGGACATTGTCTAAGCTTCCGGCGGGCCCGGTGCATAAGTATTCCCCCTCGGTGCATAAGTATCACCCCCTAGTACATGGGAATTCATTCCTTTCTACGTTTTTTGCGCAGTTACTAGTCGGTCACAATTGTGATCTAACCGTCATGAAGACTTTTGCGCTGTTCTCGATCGCTCTGGGCTTGCCCGGTAAGTGCTTTTTGCGGTTGTTTTTTTACGGGTTTGCCATTCTTGGCTTAATTGGACCTTTACACGCGTCTACAAAATAATTTCTTCACACTAATCACTATCTTCTCGCAGGCGCAATCGCTGTTCCCGGCGGGCTGAATCCCGATGATATCACATTTGCAGGTGTGCAACGAGCCCTCCCCAACGCGCCCGACGGGTACGTGCCGACATCCGTCAGCTGCCCTGCGAACCGACCGGCAGTTCGCAGCGCAGCGAAGCTGTCCTCGAACGAGACATCATGGCTAGAAGTCCGCCGCGGCAAGACCCTGTCGGCGATGAAGGATTTCTTCGGGCATGTGAAAGTTGGTGATTATGACGTCGGTGCCTACCTCGATAAACACTCCGGGAACTCGTCAAGTCTGCCCAATATCGGCATTGCCGTTTCGGGCGGTGGATGGCGTGCGTTGATGAACGGTGCCGGTGCGGTCAAGGCTTTCGACAACCGGACGTCCAATGCGTCGGCGACTGGGCATTTGGGTGGTCTGCTGCAGTCTGCTACCTATATCTCTGGTTTGAGTGGAGGCAGCTGGTTGCTGGGTTCAATCTATATCAATAACTTCACTACGATCGACAAGCTGCAGACGCACACGGCTGGTTCTGTCTGGCAGTTTGGGAACTCGATCCTCGAGGGTCCTGATACTGGTGGTATCCAACTTTTGGATTCTGCCAGTTACTTAAAGGACATTGCGGACGCTGTCGACGGGAAGAGGACGGCTGGCTTTGATACTTCTCTCACCGATATCTGGTAGGTTGTCCCTGTTCATCGGGATGCATCTGCATGTTTTCTAACTTGGGTACAGGGGCCGCGCACTCTCCTATCAAATGTTCAATGCTACCAATGGTGGAGTTAGCTATACCTGGTCTTCCATTGCCGACACCCCCGAGTTCAAGGATGGAGACTATCCCCTGCCGTTCGTTGTTGCAGATGGCCGTAACCCCGGTGAGCTGGTCATTGGCAGCAACTCGACCGTCTATGAGTTCAACCCGTGGGAGTTCGGCACTTTTGACCCTACTATCTTTGGTTTCGTTCCCCTCAAGTACCTAGGCTCTAAGTTCGAGGGTGGCTCGCTTCCGAGCAACGAGAGCTGCATCAGCGGTTTCGACAATGCTGGTTTTGTGATCGGAACCTCCTCCACACTCTTCAACCAGTTCCTTCTCCAGATCAACACCACTTCGCTCCCCAGCTTCGTAAAGGATGTTTTCAACAAAATCTTGTTCGGGCTAGACAAATCGCAAAACGACATCGCTTCGTACGATCCCAACCCCTTCTATAAATACAACGAGCACTCTTCGCCCTACGCCGCGCAAAAATTCTGGATGTCGTCGATGGCGGCGAGGATGGACAGAACGTCCCTTTGCATCCTCTTATCCAGCCCGAGCGCCAAGTTGATGTCATCTTCGCCGTCGACTCTTCAGCCGACACCGACTATTTCTGGCCGAACGGCACATCCCTGGTTGCAACCTACGAGCGCAGCCTGAACAGCAGCGGTATCGGCAACGGCACCGCCTTCCCTGCGGTTCCAGACCAGAACACCTTCATCAACCTGGGCCTCAGCACCCGCCCGTCCTTCTTTGGCTGTAATAGTTCCAACCAGACCGGACCCTCACCTCTCGTTGTGTACATCCCCAATGCCCCTTACTCCTACCACTCCAACATCTCAACCTTCCAACTGAGCACCGACGACACCCAGCGTGACCAGATCATTCTCAATGGCTACGAGGTTGCCACTATGGCCAACAGCACCCTGGACGGCAACTGGACGTCCTGTGTTGGCTGTGCTATCCTCAGCCGCTCATTCGAGCGCACAGGTACCACTCTTCCGGATATCTGCAACCAGTGTTTCGACCGGTACTGCTGGAACGGCACTGTGAACTCCACCAGGCCGCACTCTTACAACCCAGCTTATTACCTGGCTGATAGTATGGCCTCGGTGATTTTGCCCACCATACTCTCCACAGTTGTCGCAGCCAGCCTGGCAATGCTCATCCTGGTGTAACAGGACATTATGATTTTATTTTTTTTCCCCTTCTCACTGCCATGTTTCATTCAGCTAATCGCATTTGAAACATGGATTTTCGCCATTGGAGAAATTGAGCCATTGAGCCATCCTCGTGTAATTTTCATCTTCCTAGTATCTACCTAGATTTCTTCGGGTCCCATGGGACCTAATTCGATAATAATGCATATATGACCGTATAATATATATTTGTACACTATCCCTCCTCTGAATTAGACCGCAAATAAACATGGCCTGCGCCTCTTCAACTCAAGGTGTCAGTAGCTGGATCATTGAGTATTTCGGCATCCTTCTACCTACGCATTGGTACATAGTTTCGGCTCTCCAGACTTGCTACTATGAAGGTAATCCAGGATGTTCTCCATTTAATTTTGTAAAATCGACATTCGACAAGTGGTAGATTATGAGGTGCAAAATATTCTAGAGCAGTATAACGCCAGAAAAATAACATCTAGAGGGGGGGTTGGATCATTCAAAGCTATGTACGGTTAGGTATCTCGCAGATATATAGTTATCGAATGAGGTACAAATAATGCTGGAAGGTTGAACTTCCTGATTAATGTATAGCATCATTAGGGACAGACTTTTACCTTGCTACTTTGTCATGATATTGATCTATCCTTACCCTTGGATCAGTCTAATATAAACATCCTTGTTGAAAAGCGTGTTTTTTTTTTTTGAATGTGTAGATCATATCACGTGCCCATGTTGCTATGGGAAACGCCACAACAAGCAACCTCGGATCAGCCGCCACCTCCACAGTGGGTTATTTGCTTTGCCTTGCTTCCTCTTTCATGCACCTAATTCGACAACTCCCGGCAACCTGCGACCTTGCGACATCGGGCCGATATTACATTTGACCGCCCAAACCCGCCATGAGCGTCGCGTGCCACTACTAACTGCGACCATCAACGACGACGCGTGATATCAACATGGCGCGCGCTGCAGTAATCCCGCAATCCCCTGCAAAACGGGTCCGAACTTCAACCAAGTCGACAGCTGCTGCCGATGCAAAGAAGAAAGCCCCTCGCAGAGCAACACCAGCACCACGGACTGCGACCCCTGCTCTAGATACTGAGTCCGATGATGAGCTGGGATTTATCACAAGCAAACCCGCGAAACCCAGCGGACGTCCTCCTGGCCGCCCAGCTACCAAGCCAAAAGTGACTGCAACTGTGACTGCCCGAGGAAAGAAAGCTTCCTCGGAGTCTGTTGCCGACAAGTCAAAACCCCAAAATAATGCCAACGAAAATGAGCTAGGACAACAAACCGAGGCGCCAAAGAAGCGTGTTGGAAGACCAAGAAAAAATCCGTTGCCCGCAGAAGCTGCTGCGGCCAAGCTTGAGGCAGCACCGAAAACCAGGGGACGACCAAGAGCAGGAACAACAGCGAAGGCCCCTGCGACCCGTGAAACGGCGGCCACGAGCAGGCGGACACGTGCGGCGGTTGATACAGCGAGTGAGATGAAATCGAACCAAATTAGGATTGCGACCCACTCGACAACTATGCGATCAAATCTCCTGCAAGGGCCCGCCAAGAAGAAGACGGTGAAATTCCAGGATGTCTCGGATTCCGAAGCCGAGGACTCTGCGCCCGAGGTTCCTGCTGTTGGCCGTCGACGAGTAGCGACTAAGGGCGCGGGCGTTGGTAAGACCGGGCTCGGAGCGACCCCAGTTCGCAAGCCCGCGACAACCGGTACTCGCGGAAGAAAGCCAGCTGCAGCGAAGAAGGATGCGACCCAACCATTATCTCCCAAGAAGGCCAAGCAGGTGGCCAAGTCTCTATCAGCATACGCAAGCTCCGATGGTGAAGACGATGAATTGAATACCATTAAGGACGACACCAAGGATCTGGTTAGACTTGTTGTTCATTCGCCTGTTAAGCATGGCTTGGAAACCACAGGACTGAGCTCTCCTGTACGGAGGATCAACTTTACACCCAAGAAGGCGTCCAGCTTCACGGACGAGAATGGCGAACCGAAACTACCAACACCAAAACACGGATCAGACGGCATCGGTCTTAGCTCCCCGGTCAGGAAAGTCAACTTTGCGCCGAACCGCAGCCAGAACGCAGTCGTAGATAATGGTCACCTCGCTCTTCCACCTGGCAATTCAGTTATTTTCAGTGATTCCATGATCATGTCTAGCCCTGCGAGACGACCGGCGCCATCATCTCCATTCCAGTTCTCCATGAGAGACACCCCGAACCGTGGGGGTTCCCTCTTCCGGGACAGTGTGAATCCGATTTCCGCCCCTGATTTCACACCTGGACGCACTTCTCCACTGAAGATGTCACCTAAGAAGGGTTATTTGGGTGCTTCTTTCTCGCAATCGCCTTTCAAGGCTCCTACATCAGCTGCCCCTGCTCGGACTCCCTTATTTCAAAACCCCGCAAAGAGAATAGCTTCTCCATTAAAAAACTCGATATTCTCTGCTCATGCATCTGTGGGACCCTCCAAACCCATGGACAATGATGGAACCCCTTCCAAGACGGTTGAACTCGCACAATCCACCACCCCCAAATCCTTGCCAAGGGAAAGCCAGCCTGACGAGGCGGCCTTTGAAAAGGACACTGAAATGGTCGAGGATGTGGCTCGAGACATCTTTGGCATTGAGCTGTCTTCTGATGGCAAGACATCATCGATTTCTCCTATCCAGAAAGATATTGCTTTCTCGGCAGTAGCCCGAGAGTCATTCAATGATGGAAACACTGACACTGTCTCCGCGGAGGTGGAGGCCGACGAAGACTCAGACCTGACAGAAGATGAAGGTGAATATCTTCAAGATAAGCCTCAGCCCGAGTACGAAGAGCCTGAAACGATTAGCTTCGACGTCATGGAAGAGGACAACATGGCAACGGAAGACCTTTATGACCAAGAGCTTCAGGAAAACTCAGGATCCGGAGCCAGCGAAGAACTTGAAGACCAGGCTCAATTCGACTACGAAGAAGCCGACACAATTTGCTTTGACGCCATGGAAGACGCCCAATTGGCAGCGCGTGATCTCCATGACCAACCAGTCCAGGAAGCCTCAGACTTGGAAGAAGGCGAAGATCTCCAAGACGAGAGCGAATTTGAATACGAAGAAGCCGATACAGTTTGCTTCGACACCTTGGAAGACGCCGAATTGGCAGCGCATGATCTTCATGACCAACATGTCCAAGAAGCCTCAGACCTGGAGGAAGGGGAAGATCTCCAAGACGAGAGCGAATTTGAGTACGAGGAGCTTGAAACAATTTGCTTTGACGCCATGGAAGATGCACACCTCGCGGAGAATGACCTGTATGATGAAGAAGGTCAGGTGGCAGACTCAGTTATGGAGGACACGAAGTATCCCGAAGAAGAGCTGGCGGTACTGGAGCGCGAGATTGAGGAAGAAGAGCGCCAAAATCTTGATATACGATCCCAGTCCATAGAATCGACCCCGGAACCTTCGCGAACTACGGAGATGCAAGAGCTAGACATGGAAGACCAGCCAAATGAACATGCTTCGCCCTCCAGATCACCATTGCATTTAACCCGTGGCGATGAAGCCCAACCAACGGTTGACTTGGAATATTCCTCGGAAAGTGAACGTGAATGGCAAGAGGAGGCCATTCAACAACCCGAGGAAGAGGAACAAGTGATGGCCGAGGAGAGCGAAGTGGAAGACACTGAGTCTATCCTGGCCGGACCTGAGTTTTCTAGAATATCGTCCAAGCCTGCCTCGCCACATGAGAGCAACCATGTGGAGGATATTACAACCCCACCCAAAAGGAAGCAAGCGACTCCTTTGCCACAACCAAGTTGCACGGGCGGTGAATCTACACCCTTGTCCTTGAATCGCCCAGACAACTCAGAGAATGATCATGACTCCACCCTCGATGCCAAGAATGCCAATAATGTCATCATGGACGCGCCCCTGCATGAAGAAAATAGTTGGACGCCAAGCACCCAAGTCGACAGCCCTGCGTTAGTGGCACCCAGTCTCTTCAACACACCAAGCGTTGATGATCAGCACCAATCCCCTGCTGAGGTTAGCTTAGGTTTTACGCCATTGGCACACAAGTTTGGCTGTTGGGAACAAAATACCCCTTCCCAAGCTAGATCACTCCGACCGCGTCGCCGTGGAGTTTTCTCGTTAGTAGGCCCCTTGGACCGAACCAACACGGAAACTCCGACGAATTCTGATAGCGTGTCGTATCCCAATCTCTCAAAGAGCCCTTTGGCACAAACCCCCTCTTTGTTTGCCGAATTGCCACTTCAGCCTCAAAGCAATAATACTTGCATAAGCCCTGAGTATGAACGGACTCCACGGCCATCTTCCATCCATGAAGACCATCAAATAATTGATCCGCCAAGCAAAAGCACGGATATCTTCGAGGACCCTGACTCGGGAATCATTGAACAGGAGCATACTTTTGCCGCCCAACCCCCGCAAGATCAGGATCAAGAGTTCCATCTACTCGAGGACAAAGAGAACTGCGGTCCTCCGATTCTCCCGTCAACCCCAATGAAGGCGCAATTCCAACCCGACGAGTTACGCACCATTCATACAGTGTCAAAAGTGCCTTTGAAAGCCGAAGGCGACGTATCACCTCTCAAGCTGCCCCGCAAGAGAGGTCTGTCTCTCTCGAGCACATCCCCCACTCGGTCTTCCCCGCGTGTTCGCAAGCCAACTTTTATGGCACTGAATGACAGTGTGCCGATTCTGTCTCCCTCCCGGAAATCTCCACGGGTGAGCAGAAGTCCGACACCAAAACGCCGCTCTATCACGGCTAGACGCAGCAGTGCAAAAGCACCAGTGATGGCTGCGCTCGGTACTCCTGCCGCAACCGCCAGCCCTGCCAAGAAGCCACGTCGTAGCATCAGCACTGAACAGAAGGCTCTACATGGGGCAGTCGTGCATGTGGATGTTCATACCACCGAGGGTGAGGATGCCTCTGGTATCTTTGTGGAACTTTTGCAGCAAATGGGCGCCCGATGTGTGAAGTCCTGGTCCTGGAACCCTCATTCCAGTCTCTCGCCGGTTGATGGTGTAGAGCCCAAGGACTTGAGAGTTGGAATCACCCATGTTGTGTACAAAGATGGTGGCCTGCGGACTCTGGAGAAAGTCAAGAAGGCAGCGGGTCTTGTCAAGTGTGTTGGAGTCGGCTGGGTTCTCGAGTAAGTTTATGTTTTGTATACCTTTCTTTACACGGCTTTTCTGATTGTTATCTCTAGTTGTGAACGCGAAAACCAGTGGCTTGATGAAACCCCGTACGCCGTTGACAGCTCTATCATCCCACGCGGAGGCGCCAAGCGCCGCAAGAGTATGGAGCCTCGTGCACTAAGCAATGTGAACGGAACACTCGTGCGCATTTCTGAATCTCCCGCGCCATCTGCCGGCGGACGTCGCAGTGGTGTCAATCCGGGTGCCGTTGAGGGTTTCCGCAAGATCACACCTCCGACCCACCAGCTGGAGATGCCGTCCACACCCCCACAACAATCTTCCGCTGATAGTTACCAATTCCCTGCCACTCCAGGATACAACTTTGCCAACCTTGATGCCATTGGTATGTCGCCCGCTACACCAGGATTCCTTGGAAACCGCTCCAAGCTTGTCCAGCAATCTTGCCCGCCAAAGCAGAGCAACCGAGGTCTCTTCCCGAGTGCTAAGCCTGCGAGTATTATTTTGGATGAGGGGCAAGATGAGGAATCCAGGAGACAGCGCCGCTTCCGTATGGAGGCTGCTAGGCGTAAGAGTCTTGTTTACAAGCCTGCTGTTGGTAGCCCTCTTGTTCCTTGATTTTGTCTATTACATTGTTCGCTTTTTGTAGATTCATACCCAGTCACTGTAAATATGTGGACTCGTTTTGTTTGGGCGTTTCTTGAACTTTGCCCCACGACGGCGAGCTGGATAGGTTGGACAGTTTTTGTGCAAGGTTAATGTCCGTTACTTTTTTGATCAAATCTCAGTCAAACCAATTCAATTCGAGATGATTTAAATCCACGCTCATGTCCTTGGTCAACTTGCAAAAACATACATGACTTTTGATTCAGAAACTCGATGATAATACCCGAAATCTTTTCGCTGTTCCGCTTCAAACTCGTGTCCGCTTTACCAAAGCGATGATATCACTCCTGCGACTCTTCACGATAGAATCCAGCAACCAAGAAAGCCAACTCCAAAGCCTGCTTCTCGTTCAAGCGCGGATCACAGAATGTCGTATACCGCTCCCCAAGTCCATCCTCCGTCAGCCCAGCAGCGCCACCCACACACTCAGTGACAGCCTCTCCAGTAAGTTCAAGATGCATACCACCAAGGAATGAACCCGCAGCGCGATGAATTTCCAGCGCCTGCTTCAACTCAGACAAGATATCTGTGAAGTGGCGGGTCTTCACACCAGAAGGTGTGCTCTGCGTATTGCCATGCATGGGATCACACTGCCAGACAGGGATATGACCAGAGGCCTGCACCGCGGCAATATGGCCAGGAAGGAAATTTGCGATTTTCGCAGCGCCATACCGGGAGATCAGAGTCACCTTTCCGACCTCACGATCCGGGTTGACGACATCCAGCAGCTGCACCAACTCGTCCGGCGCCATGCTAGGCCCGATCTTGATTCCGACGGGGTTAGCGATGCCGCGGAAGAACTCAACATGCGCACCGCCGAGTTGACGTGTCCGGTCGCCGATCCAGAGGAAGTGGCTGGATGTCGCGTAGTAGCCTGTTTCGGGAGACGTGGTGCTGCTTCCTGGGTGTGCTGGGTGGCGAAGGAGTCTGGTTAGACTCTGCTCGTATTCCAGGGAGAGACCCTCGTGGCTGGTGAAGATGTCGGCAGTCTCGAAGCCGCGGTCTTTGTCGATTCCTACTGTGTGCATAAAGCGCAGGGCATCCTTTACTGCGCCTACGGTTTTGGTGTATTGCTCTTTGATCGAGGGCGTGATTACATGGCCCAGGCCCCAGTCTAGTGGGGAGTGCAGGTCTGCCAGGCCTGAGGAGAGGGAGGCACGGAGGTAATTCAGAGTTGCCGCGGAGTGGAAGTAGGCTGAGACTAGACGTGATGGATCTGGTTGGCGGGATGCAAGGTCTGCTGCGAAGCCATTGATGTTGTCACCGCGGAAAGAGGGCATTTCCACACCATTGATGACCTCTGTTGGACTTGAGCGTGGCCTAATTTTGTTATTGGTTTCGTGATTATGAATTAATGAACGAGAAACCTACTTTGCAAACTGGCCTGCAATCCGAGCAATACGGATGACGGGCTTATTGGCACCTATTGGTGGATTAGTTGTCATGTTTATTTGCTTTTTGTGGGGGTCTGACATACCCCAGATGAGAACCAAACTCATTTGCAACAAGAGTTTCACCTTGGCTTCAATCATTTCTTGGCTGCAATAGTCGAAAAGCTCCGCACAGTCACCTGTACAACAGGGTTAGTCCTTATGTTTCGGGAATATTGTCCTGTGCAACATACCACCCTGTAGAACGAATGCTTTGCCCAAAGCGACATTTCGTAAGTTTTTCTTGAGATTGATGATCTGTAAGTCAGGTCAGTATAGTAGCTAAGACCCAGACTAGAGAAAAGACATACTTCTTGTGTGGTCACAAGTGGAGGAAGCTTCTGTAGTTTCTGGAGTGATTCTTTCAACCCTTCAAGATCCTCGTAGATGACATCTTGCTTGATGGGCTTTTGTGTCCAAGCTGGATATAGTCAGTGATATTAGATCAAATGTGAGAGATTCTACAGATTTTTGCTCTTACAACTAGGGCTCCATTCGGCCATGGTGAGGGCAATTGATCCCGTAAGGTGGGGTGATGATATAAGTTAAATCTCTTCCGTTTGACCAGCAGTAACAAACAAATGCAACGAGAAGTGGGTCGGAATAGGCAATGGAATGATGATTATAAATGGGAACAAAGGACTGATGAATGAAAAGATACCAAGGACATGAAACAAAAAGAAGCTGTGTGGTGTGTGTACGTGATACGCTTATTCCCGGGACCTCGGATGACTCACCCTGGGTGCCTGATATTCTAGGCAGAATATTATTCCACATTCCTGTGAGACTAGAGGTGTTGCTACTGAGAGTTTCATACTGCCCTTTTCAAAACCAGGCAGTGTTATTTGACTGGAAAAAATGGGAATCCCATTAAGCACAGGCCATAGGGTCCCATTGAACTCTCACTAAGTAGCAGCCTCCTAACCTGTGACCTCCATTCTTCAAGCCATCAAGTAGTAACCCTAGCATGTACAATCATGGATGTGGAAGGTATCATGGCCCAGGTGATGAGTTCTGTTCTTCCTTTGGAATCCGAACGAAAGGCTGTGTATCCGGGAAACAGACTCTTTGATGAAGTGGAAAGTGTTCTCGAACTTGGGCTGTATGATGCATCGAGTGATGAAGCTCGCCTCTTTGTAAACAGGAGCGAAGTTTTCACAGTTAGCTTGATAATCATGCTGGGTAAGACTGACAAAGATGAACAGAGCCTCGTAGGTAGCCGATAGATGCTTGATTACCTAACCCTACCTAACCACCTGGGCACCACGTACCCCCCGGTTGAGAGACAACAGGGTGAAAATCTAAAAGCACTCTGCGGTAAGTTCTTGGCTATGGCATAGGCAGACGTACTCCGTAGGGCCTTGGGCATTAACAAATGTAATACCGAGGTCGTGATAGATGGAGTATCTACTAGACTGATACAGTTTGGAGGCAACAACCCTTTTTTTTTTTTTGTCGATATACTTTCTCGCTTGTAGAAATGCAGATTTGAATGCAGATTTCACATTTCTCACTCCCCAGACTTGGCGAAAGCCGACCCTTCAGGAGCTAAATTTGGAAAAGAAAAGGACGGACCACGGAAACAATAAAAAGGGGCCCGATAGATCGAAAACTACTCCGTACAGAGTAAATGCCGACAGATACGAGAAATTAATTCTCAAACCATAGCGTAATAATGGAGAATAGCGCAGGCAACGTTTATATCGAGAACGGCTAGCGTCGAAGAAATTTGGTCTAATCGAGCCGACCATAAGGGACCTGTCAACTCTGATTGGCCATGTTTCGGGACTAACCGCAGTAGTGGCCATTTTTGGTTAGCGTGATCGGTTTTGGTTTGGCTTGTTTGGTACTAGCGTGGCCCTAATGGAGGTAAAACGTGAGCCGGGACTCTGGAAGGCCCTTGGAAGAGCCCCATGAGTGGATGCCCTTGTTTCTTCTGGCCCTGAGGGTATTTAAGCCCTCTGCCGGCTTTGTTTTTCTTTCTTCTATTCAATCCATATCGCCCCTATACTCCCACATTCTTTTCACCATGCAGTATAAGATCCTTGCCACTCTTTTCCTCGCCGCCACGGCCCTGGCCGCCCCTGCGGATTCTACTGCCACATCCTCAAGCACTGAGACTGTCGAAGGCGATGGCACTTCTGATTTCCCCGATGTGCCCAACTCCATCATGACTGTTCTGGCAACAGCCATCCCGGCCTCATGGTACGACGACATCATGGACCCGGCCTCCCGCTCCTCGATCGTCAGCGAAGCTGCGGCTGGCACCTACCCAGCTTGGTACAACGCGTTGCCTAGCAGCGTCAAGGCCTGGGCCACTTCCAACTTCGATGACCAGGTCATGGGTGCCTCGGCAACCGCTACTCCGACCGAGACTTCTGGTAGCAGCGCCGCCGTTGAGACTGGTTCCACCGCCGCCAGCCAGACCGCCGCTAGCCAGACCTCCGCCAAGACCACTCTGGCTTCTACCACCTCCTCGGGCTCCAGCTCTGACTCGACCTCCAGCTCCAGCTCTGTATCATCTTCTCCCTCTTCTTCGAAGTCTACTGGTGGCGCCCCTGCTCCTACCGGGGGTATTGCCATGAGTGTTGCTGGTGCAGCTGGTGCTTTGGCTCTGGCTCTTGCCCTGTAGAGCATTGCCGAATGATTCATTTGTCTGCCTGACAGTTCATAATTAACTTTAACTCACTACGCATAGGCCTGTGCTATAATAACTACTTCATTATATATGTACAAATGAATGGACTTAATTTCATTACAGATACAGTATGGATAAATTATAGCCTACATACTCTCTAAGGATTGCACGATGTAGACTGGTCATATTGCTGGTTGATTCTTACAAGGTACAAACAAATAAATTGGCCTCTGACTTCGCGTTTTCCACAGACTCCAAAAACACATTTAGTATGGCTCTTACTGTCTTTATCCAATTTCGATTGTCAATGAGATTCTGAAAACATGAGAAAGGTATGGGGAATCGCTCGTTCGGTGGCTGTCTATAAGCTCAGATGTTAGCATGTTTAAAGTCAGTATAAGTAGTGATGTAGTCCACGGGCATAAAGAACCAGTTCAGTCATCAAGCCCACCAAATCAGACATTGTGACCATTTGATATAAAAACTCCACAATCGTAAGAAATGTATTGTAAGCCGCTCATCTTCTTTGCAGTCTGTTCATGAGGATCCAGGTTAGAATATTCAAAATCAATACCAATAGATAGTAATGCAACCATGACAAACCAAGCCATTGAGCCTATCAGTCAGGCACATGATAGTCAGGCACACGATCCTTGATCGTGTCTAGTAGGCTGAGAAGGCGATTGGAAACTGTCCGGTCACTATTCGGGCGATTTATCAGCCTCCATGAAAACATATTCAGCTTGAAGTGTAGCTTGTGACAGTCCTCGATAAAATCATCAACGAAGTAAGTAAGATGCTGCTCTCGCACAGTCTGGCAGCCTGGAGCATGCTCAAACATCGCCTGTCCCGTGCTTCGGATATTGTCCACCTCGACTGGAAGTCGACCTAATTTCTCGATGGTTGTCTGGTGGTCTTCGGGGGACGGATTGTGCCAGTTTAGTCTATTCAGCACCTCGACAATGATGGTTTGGAAGTGTCGCCATGCATCGTGATAGGCCTGCTCCCAGATCGATACGGCGTCGGAAGAGGGAGAGGCATCGTGTGGAGTAGTGTTCATGGTAGACGTGTCCTAAATATTTGTTTGTCAGTAAATCAATGGTCCGAAAACGACCGAGGGGATCAAAAGAGACAGCAAAGTAAGGATGTGACCATCAGCTGATTGATGGATCAGATGGGAGATGGATCAGGTGAGAGATGGATGAGATGAGAGATGGACAGAGAGGATAACTCGACGCGGTGGTGGTTAAAGCGAAGCTATTTAAGCCTTTGCTATTGAAACCGACTTAATCGAATATGTCGAGAGTTAACAATGGAAGCTATGAATACGTTTGTGCGTATTATTCTTTCACGCGGGCACTGGGAAAGGATCGGGGACACGACAAAGATTTAATTGTCTGAATCACGACTAATGAGATCTGAAGTCAAAGTGATAAAATCAAACAAAGGCGGTTGTTTAGATCATTTATCCTTTATTTATTCATCCCAACCAGCAAGAGTTGTAGATACACCAAGGAAGAATGTACATAACAAATCAAGGGTATGGGTTCTGCAACAGACATTTCCTCAGTTTGCCCCAAATCTACAAAGTCCACAGCTTGGGATGAAGCTAATTTTTTTTCAGTATTAACCGGAGCATTACTGTTTGTCTGCGCCTCGACCTCTACTGGCTAATCGTTATCTATGAAAAAAACACTGCAAGGTTTCTTTCCCTCTATATTTGGACCAAGTATTCTGTCAAACTATTGTGATTGTTTCTGACAACAATAGTCGGCCGCTTATGCGGCCTTGTCAAGTCACTCTAGCTGTCATTTTAGCTGCCGTTTTATACGTCTTTTTAATGCAGTGCCACCCAGGCAGCAAGGCTTTGCTTGCTTGCCCATGTTACTCAGACCTGCCTTTGGTCGAGGTCATGAAGCATAAATAGCTTCACGGCAGTATGTAGTTGGAATACACACCTTTTGATTCTTCTTCCTCTCCTGCTTCGTAGTGTGCCTGCATCGCTTTTTCTTTTAGATATTTTCTCCCCCTTTTCAGTTCTCTAGCTAGACAGCAGAAAAAGGCGAGAAAAGGTGTATGCCGCACAGAAGATATTTCTATATATAGCCAAGGATATAGAGATGAGATAGATGCATATTCAATTCCATATAAAGAGTCAAATGTAATATTCAGGAGGTTGATATGATCCTTTCAGGTGTGACTTCAAATCTCAGCACTGGGAGGCAAGTCAGCGCTATCATAATCTGGGAATTCTGGTCGAAGTATAATCTCCAAGGACCGGATCCATACTCCAGACCTAAGCCATTCACTGTCTTCTCATCGGGATGGTCTTCCGGTTCAAAAGCGGAGCCTAGAAGTGGAGATACAAGCTGTGGAGCCAACTCAAAGGGGTTCTAGCTGCAAATGGTTCATACCATTTGCAGCTAGAAACACAAGATATCAAGTCGAACATGAAAATCAAAAGGTTGAAAGAGAAAGAGAGGACCAATAATCTTTGGACAAACCTTGAAAACCCCCCCCGGGTGCCCAAACAGTCAATTATGTCAGCACTTATCTGAACCCGAGGCTTATCAGTGACGTCGTGTTGTCAAAACACAGCTCAAGTCAAGATCAAATCCAACTCGCAAGGCCCGTTGAACAAAGAAAATATGTCTGATCAAATTCCCTCTGCAACTGCTCACCCAGACACCGTTGAAAAGCCTCTACCCTCAAACGCTGAAGATCGCAAAGCCGCCGCCGCTCTCTCCTCCCTCAACACGAATGAGATCACAACGGAGGGTGTCTCCGCCGGAACACCGCTTACTGCAGACCAAGAGGCTCTGGGACGGGCCATGAGTCGGCTTGAGATAGCTGCTGGACAGGGCTCGGGCAACAAGAAGACGGTCGAGGGACCCAAGACTGATGGGGTGGTAAAAAAGAAGACAGTTAAAATTGCTCCAGCTGATGTTACACTGCTAGTATGTTTGCTATGGCTTCGGTGCCCAGCTCTGTGCAGTTTTATTAATTGGATCTAGGTTGACCAGCTGGATTTAAATAAGATCAAGGCCACGGAGTTGCTGAAGGCTCATGATGGGGATGCCACCGGGGCAATGAAGGCATTCATTGCCCCATCTATTCATGTGTGATGACTTAAATTATTTGCTGCTGGTTTTCTATGATTTGATGAGTTGAGTCGGAAAGAAGCAGATAGGAATGAAACTTCGTTTCTACATGTTAAGACTCGCTCTTAATGCTAGGCGTCTAGGTTGTCACGTTCAAGGAGTGTAGACAATAGTTATTATCAACGAGTCAAAGAAGATTACTCCTCATCCTCCTCTACCTCATCGTTCTTGCGTTCGATTCCCTTGCCCTCATAAATGCTCCATAGCATAGCCCAACCAAGCAAAGACTCAACAGCCAGTGCCCACCATACTGCCCCAATCATGTTATTCTCGAGGCCCAGGCCCAGCCCCCAGCCACCTAGGAATGGACCAAGTGTCCGAGCTGCGCTAGAGATACTCTGTGCCACTCCATGGACTGTGCCTAGGACAGATGGATCCGTGACACAGTTGTTCACCAGGATGATAGCAGCGGGCAGGATAAATGTCCGCGATATGACCTGTAAGCTAACGACAAACGTGAAAGAAGGCCAAACAATCCATGGTATGCGTGGAAGAATCACAAGGAAGGGCATCAGCATGTATGCGATGGGCGAAAAGGGCAGGAACGTTCGGAATGACGTGAGGGTGCCAAGCTTTGTCTGTATCCGCGGATAGAGGAAGATCTGGAGTGGCAGGCCGATGAAACCAATAATAGCAGTAGCAAGCCCAACTCTGGATGATGGAAGACCTAGTCCACCGCCGAAATGGAAAAGACCTTGCCGGGAGTTCTCTGGGGCACGGGGTGCGGGCAAAAATACAAATGTCATAGAATTGAAGGCGCTTGTGTGGAAGGCGAGCAGGAAGTGGGCCACCAAAGTCAAGATAATGTTGCGTGTCCAGATTTGACGGAACCCTATTTTCTTATGTGGCCGTGGATGCACGCGAGAACGGGCTGGACTTGATGGCGTAGACCAGGTACCGACGCTGCCGTCCGTGTAAATGGAGTCATCGTCTCTGGACCGTGTCAATGGACGATAGTACCGAGGTCGTCGGGTCCAAGCTCTTGTGATCCGCTTGCCCAGTTTACGACCCCAGTCCCTCCTATAACGCGCAATTTCATGGGTCTAAACGGTTTCGCTGTTAGTGACGATATGAGTGCGGACAGGGATGATCTCACCTCATCGAGCCCAAGAAATACTGCGAGAAACGATGCAAATATGAAGATTGCGCTCAAAAGATTCGGTAATGCATAGGGCCAACGCTGCATCCACCAGACACCTTCTTTACCTCCAAGGGTAGATCCTGGGCCGAAAAATTGCGGAAAGCTGTTGATAGGATCGGCCAAAGAGCCTCCCAAAATTGGACCTATGATTACACCGATATTGAAGCACATGGGTAGGAGCAAAAAGGCGCGGGATTGATATCTAAATGGTTAGCTTAAGGCAAGTTGGCACATTGTATGAACATATCAACTTACTTCTTCTCAGCGATGATCTCTGCAATCAGCGTTCGCATCACTCCGACATTGCTGTTCAATATCCCGCCCAGTGTCCGAAAGACCATGGCCGTCGCAAAAGATCGAGAGAAGCCAAATCCTACACAAGACAGACAAGTGCCCATCAATCCGATCAACAGCACTCTCTTGCGTCCCATCCATTCAGCATCAGCAAGACGGCCCCACCAGACAGCGGTGATAAATTGCGCCGCTGTAAAGCTACCCTGGAGGATACCCGCCTGCGCGGAGATCTTCGAATCTGGCAAAGATGGATCAAACGATTTGAGCTGATAGAACATGTACGCCTGCAGAGAGGTCTGCGTCAACGGCTCTGACAGCCGCGCTAATGTCAAGATTGCCAACTGGCCCTTCTTCGGTAGCGAGCTCCAAGTCACTGGTTTCTCCTCGCCATTCTCGGCCGGCCCCAGCACACCGTCATGATCATGATCGCGATCATCGTCGATCGAGGGAAATCGTCGGTGACTGGTTATCAGCGGCGCGGAGTCCAATCTCCTCGGCTGGGAGTTGCCTTGGAAAATTGCGGTGTCGTCGCTTTCGGGATCGCTGTCGCTTTCTGTACTTGACAAGTCCGCATGATGACCGATCAAGTCAGAATCGCCTTGGGAGGGAAGATGAACATTTTCTCGGTCCTCGCGGCGGTCTTGGCCATGGTTCTGAGTTTGTGGAGAAACCCCCATCAACGGAGATCCCGGCTCGGGAAGCTGTCACGCGAGCGCGGCTGGGGTAGATACCGATCGGGGTGTATGACACTGCCGTTGTGCGTGATCCTCCCTTGGCACTTTATATCCGCACTCCGTATAGCAGTCTGTGACTCTTGTACCTAGAGAGAGGAAAGCCGGAGTGAAAATGAGCTATGACACCATTTCACCCCACATTTGCGTGGGGTCGATGCGATGGAGATGATGCCGAGTTAACCGCGTGGCCAAAAAAAGAGTACATAATGGATTTCGGATATATATCCAGGTACTAACCGTGCCAAGCGCCCAATACACCTCCCAATTTTCACCAGATACCCAATCTACAAATTAGGTATCTTTTGTATGACTTGCCCATACAAAAGATACTTAATCACCTCATAGGCACCATACAAATTTTCTTAACCCTCAAACTAGTTAGGGAAGAAAAAAACAGGATGACCTGAGTAACAGACATGCTGGTATCTGGTTAGGGTTAGCCGTATCAGTTAGGCTTAGCATATATATACTCGTCTATCTAATCAAGGAATTACGGAACCTGAGTACCCGCAAAAGCAGGGGTATTGACTGAACGAGCAGGCGCCGCGTCTCATTTAAGTGTTGGACAGGTTATCTGCAGCAGCAGGGTTGTCAAGTCGAAGCCTGCGAACTGGCTTATATCGGGCAGGGTTCTCCTGTTTATCCAGCGGTTGAGTCTTAATTCTGTAGCCCAACATGCAGCAGCAAGGGTACGTAGGGTCTGAACCAAGAGTTAGACCATCCACAGTTTACTGTTCGTCCAGTAATCGAGCCTAATATCCGTGAGAAGGGAAATCATTTAAACGTATCAATATAACAACCCCCTATCCAAAACAGAGACCGATGGCCTACAGCATGTTAATAATCCATAGACCGATAATATATCATGATATATATCATGTTTGAGGTGAGGCTAATAGGACATACCTCACGCAGATGCCGGGTCAAAATGTCGAACTTAGGGGCAGCGGACACCTTGCTGTCGCTGTCGCTGCCGACATAGGCTCGGTTGACCGAGTTGCCGATGGGGTAATCACCGCGGTCCGTCCAGTAGAGGATTTCGGTCTTCGGGTCGATTTCTAGATCAATGGGTTTTGGTAGGAGTCACTAGCGACTCCAATAGTGACTCTAGGGGAGTCACTCAAGGACTAGGATACGAAGGATATATAAGGACACTCTCTCATATACTTAGTTTAGTTCTTCGTCTTCAATCATATATTATTACTTGTGGATGCCTTTAGAACTTCAGTGACTCTTTACTTGATTATAACTTGACAACACCTACGAGCAGACTAATACTCCGGTATAGATATACTCGGCGCTCTACCTAGCATCGTTCCTCGATACCTCAATAGGACCTATTCTACAGTAAGGCCTGTTAGGCAACAGTACGGTTGAGAGAACAGATCGTTGACGTTGGAAACCTGAGAAGCATAAGGCAAGTATAACCGAACCCTTCTAACCTAACTGTGACCAGTTGGCAGTGCGTAACACATAGATAGTTAGTATCAGCGAAAGTAAGCCTAACGAGACACAAGTATACGGGAAACGGTACCGCGCTGCACAGATACTAGGATCCCAGACTAGGAAATCCACCAGAGTCCCGACAGCAACGACGGTGAAGGCCACTAGGTATCCAAGCTGGAGGGAAGGCTGGGTACGGAATAGCAAAACCACGGAAGGAATAGTAGTCGTCCAGATCAGGACCAAAACGCCTCTAAGCTCCAGCTTCTGCCACTCCGCCGCATCACTGCGCTCGATATACACCGTTGAGGGCGGATACCTACATTGAACCCATGAAACCCACGGGCTTGTCAACGCCTGTTCCCTCAAGCGAGCATGGAAGACCCGTTATTTGCCCACATGCCGCTTTTCGACTCCTCAAACTTCGCCTCGCTCGCTTTGCATAAGCGCGCGCCAGGCCAGCTGAGGGCTATAGAAGCGGAATGCGATTGTGACCCAGCGGGCCACCGGTTCGGCTGAACATGTTTGGCAGAGACAGTGCTTTCGTTTTGCCTCATTGCGTTAGACTAGGTGGTACGCGTTAGGTAAGAAGGCGCCAGGTACCCGTGGACAACTGCGCTCTCTACTGTCCATTGGTCATCGATGTAACGCGTTAACGTGTCTCACATTTTGTCCTGCACCTGGGGAACCCTTCTATATTAGTGGGAAGCCCCGCACGCATTGATGGCCTTCTATGGAAGCAACGTAGTGATTGTCGTGAATTCCCGACCTGACGCAGCCACGCCCCAAGTTCAAGCCTGTGCAGTGGACGAGGGTGTACAGACAGCTGGACAAACTATACTGAGACCATCTATATCCGTGATTCTAAACCTCCCTGTTGACCGCCGTCACCGTTTCCCGGCCGCTGCTGACACGGCCTTGCTGACCACCGTTACATCGTCCCCTCTGTTGACCCCGCCTTGCTGACGGCACTGCCACCGCTAGCTTTGCGTGTCAGCGCGCAACATATCGTAGCGATGAAGGAATAGCGTGCCGCAGTCCTGCGTATAAAAGACGGGCAGACTTGAGGCAGTAAAGTCGCCTTCTTTCCCTCTATTCACCTCCCCTGACAGAAGTCCCCGCCCGTCCCACCCATTTACCTTATTCTACGTTGCATAAGATGGTTGGAAAAATCTCCCTCACAGCTGCAGCAGCCTCTATGCTCATCGCTGGTGCTTACGCTCAATGCCCCAACAGCGGCGTTGGTTCGTTTAAAAGCCGCCCCTTATAAATCTACACTGACATTTGCTCCAAGGCATTGGCAGAGAGCAGCTCTGTAACTTTAGCGGCCATAACACCAGTGAGCGATATGAATTACTAGTTCTTGTTCAACCAGAATACTGACCACCTGACCAGTCTGCGGCGAGACCTGGGGGTTTATCACAGCACGTAAGTCCTCTCCGTTATTCTTTGTTGATTTGCGGAATGATTCACACTGTCTCTCTGCAGCTGGCACTTGGAACCAGGTCGCAGTCAAGCACAACCTGGATGGCACCAACGGCCAGTCATGTGGAGGTTACGACGGCTTAAAGGGTTTCGGGCCTGCCCATGTCGACTGCGACGGATCCACCATCACCGGGGCCACTCCTCCCAACGCCGGCCATTACCAGTGCTCTAGTGCAAACATTGTCAAGGGGGTAAGCGCGTCTTCTCTATCGATAGTCTGCTATTCTAATGTCCTGTCATCTAGGGTGGCTTCGGCTCGTTCGCCGTCATTGCGGCTTGCTGCCAGCCGGCCTAAATTTTCGACCTAGATACAGTCGCTATCTGCAAACTCCAGCATAGTCCGTCAATAATGACTATTCCCATCCTCCCGGATGTTTGTAGTGGAATGAAACCTCTTTGAACACTGTTGCGGCGAAGCGTCGTGACTGCGTACGCCGTCGCTGAATCTCCTTATAAAGGAAAAGTGTTATATAAATGGGACAAAGGATCCTGATATATATTTAACTTCTTTGTCCTAAGTTTCTTTATTGCTTACCGAAGGTTAGTTATATGATCATCTTAAGTATTATATGTGCTAAAAGGGGACTCGAAAGCTAGATAGATATATTATGGTGATACACACGAAGGGACGAAGAGGTATAAGTACATGGCCGTCTAACCGTATTACATAGGGCTATTGAAGTCCCCAGTCTGAACCAGAACTTCATGCCCGCTTCCATCGAAGTTGAAGCGATGCACGCGCATGTCCTCCCGGTCAGGGAAGTAGACCTTCTTATTAACATGATCGATAGTATGACACTTCACAGCATCATCAACCCACCAAGCTGCAAAAGTGGGCGATTCTGGAAATGCCGCATATGACCGACAGAAAGTTCCAGCGAACGATTATCTCCTATATGATACGATTAGACATCAGGATGGGCCGCCTAATTAGCTAACCACGCATGACGCCCCTTTTTTTAATGAGGACTAGCAAAGAGATATGGGAGTAGCTAAATCGAGATGATGGTGGAAGTCGGTTTTCAGGTATCCATCACTCCGAAAGACTCGGGTGAAAAAAAAATCATATCAAGCTTAAACCGTCTGGTTTGCATAGCAAAATTCAAGTGATTCATAGTCAAATTGACTGCTCAAATGATGAAAAATGGAGCTTTCGTTGCTCAGTTGTTAGGATAGTGCATAAAAGGCACTTCCAAAATGAAGATTCTATAAAGGATATAGTACTTCCAGTACTATTCCTGGTGGAAGTGAAGCCTCCAAGACAAGATATAGCACTTCTAGTACTATTCCTAGTGGAAGGTGGTAAGATCACGATAGATATATAGTGATCATGTTGATGGTGAAGATTCCAGAGAAAGACATAGCTCCTTGAACAGCTATTCTTGATGGGAGTGATTGATATTGATGATCCTGAGGGTTCAGAGGAAGAAAGAGGTCTTCATAATATGTTGAGACTACTAACTAGCTATGGGGAGAGAGAGGAAGAAGAATCATGATCTATTCAATCTATCAGAAGCAGGGTATTTGTACCCTGACAAATGAAGACAAGCTCAGTCTGCAAACAAAAGGCGGCATCAATGAGATGACTAGACAAAGGCATCAAAGGGATGACAGGCATTGTCTGACAGGCATTGTCCAACAGGTTATCCCAATCTCCAGCTATCAATCTTACCTCTATTTCACCTCCAACCCTCACTACCTCCTCTCCTACTATCCGCACCTGCACAGGTTGTTCCCTTATTCTAAATTATCAAGCTCTCACTCGCAGTCTCCTAATCCAACATAAAGTGAGGATCAAGCGAGCGATCTTCCTGCCTAGAGTCCCTTTCCTCTCAACACTGTATGCCGTGTTTCGTTGTCTGAGGATACTTCATCACTCGTTCTCTCTTCAGTCAACTCCTCGCCATCTCGCTCGAATCACAATCCCTCAGCTCGTCACTGGCGCACTCCAGGAGCTTCCATCAGCATGGAGGACGACTACTCATACCCTCATCCACCGACCGATAACCCAGCAGCATGCGATCCTGATGACAGGCCCGTTTCATTCTTGAGTCCAAATCCCAATGAGATGTCTCCTCATTACCTGACCACCAGGGAAGGAAGTGGCAATGATCAACGTGATGATGTCCACATCAACCCAAGGAACAGGCGTCCTCTGCCCGTTTCCCCATCTTCACGAACCGGCTCTCAGGCTCCATTCCAACAACTGGCCATATTCTCACAAGAGCAGGTTACACAGCTTTTGGCCCAGCAACAAAGCCAACTCGCAATGATGCAGGCAGGGGTACCCAACCCTAGCCAGCTGCCGTACCCTCTCTTTAATGAACCATCGGTACCCCCAAGGGATATAAATGATGAGGAATTCGATCAGATGAAGGCCCGATGGGAGGAACTCGAACGGAGGAACAAAGATCGGTCTTCTCGGCAAGAAAAAATCACGAGACCAGAAACCCCATCCGTCCCCTCAGTCAGGGATAAGCAGCACAAATGGCCTCATGTTGAGCCAGTTCAAAAGCAAGCCATCGGAGTGGGCCCAAGTCCCATTCAGTACCCGTCAGTTATCTCATCCAGCCCACCAGGACCACATCAAGACCTACATCAACCAGCTTCAGGACACAGACCAGAGAAACATGCCCCCACAAACACCGGTCCAGTCAATCCGACAGCCTCTAAGACCAAAAAAGCCGTCAATGACAAAATCCTACCTCGCCCATCCAAGCATAAAGCCAATGTTAATTCCCCTACATCGCCGGGAGGTCGAGCTCAGCCCGAGCTGGACCAAGCTGGTTCGAAAAGGCGACCTCCATCTTCATTCGACCCTAAACTCCTCCCCCGTCTCAAGATGATGAACTTTCAAGCAAGGCAGATCATCAAGGACCAGGAAGTCATGGAAATTCTGGATGGAACCAGATTAGGTCAACCCTTGGCGAACTACATCCGAGAGCTCTCCGATCCAGACCGACCTACCCGATTTAGTGAGTGGAAAAAACCGGGGACTCTACCCACCTCGTTAGAAGCAAAACAGAAACAGACTCTCAGTCCTGAAGAGCTCCAAGAAGTGCTATGGTACGGGCCACAAGTCCGCAAGACATTCACGAAGACTTTCCGGTCCGACGGAAACATCAGGACCGAACAACATCACCATCTGGACCTCGCACGGGACGGCAAATTCCTACTTCCTACTCTGCTATTAAACTCTGTCAACCCTGACTTTATTGATAGCTATGTGACACGACATACGAAGGAAGTAAAGGGATACAATGACACCAACCCAGTCAACAACCCTAGTGATCCAGAGCCAGAGCGCACAACTGAGCCGGAGTCCAGTAATCCGCCCACAGCTGACTCCACTCCGGTTAAGAGAAGCAAGACCTCCCATGGAACCGACCTAAAGGAGCAGCCTGGAGACAAACTCAAGAGAAAGATGGAGTTGTACCGAGAACGGGTCGCTGATCAACGGAAAGTTATTGAAAATCAAGATGTAATCATCCGGGCCCAAAGGAATGAAATCCAGGCTCTCCGAATTCGTCTCGAGGCCGGAGAGGACATACTGAAACTTAACCCGAAGTCGAAGGGCATCGTGGAGGGATGGGGACCCCTCCCTCATCAGACTTCTCTTCCAAGTTATCTGGAGAATGAAGGTAACATGGAAGCTTCATACGAGGAGGAGTGAGCTGGGAGTTTTGGCAGGATCAAATTCATTCGACTCTTCATGTTTGGTTAGGTTATTCTATCCTGGACTGCAAGATTCTGGATTCGGGATTTTTTCCCGTTCCAGATGGGACGTACCAACAGAATTTGGGATATATATCCTCCTTCTGCTTCCGGTACCATTTGCTTGTTCTTTTCTTCCAACTTAGCCCCAATTGCATAATCAAAATTCTATCGTGCTAGCTGGTATATCAGCTATTCTTGTATATTTTTAATTGGAGCCTATCTTCATGACCATGTATCTACCCTGCTCAGGGATGGAACCTGGCCTAGGATAAGACCCCAAGGATGGAACTAGATTAAATTCTCGATATCGTATCAAGGATATCACCTAGGTAAGGAGGATGGAATCCTACAACGAACATAGAAGGCGGTATATAGCAATATTCTCTGCTCTTCTAACCTTATATGCATATCATATCATCATCCATGTGCATTGTGCCCAGGTGGCGAGCTTGGCCTCGGATTAAAGGTTAGGCCACTCCAGGCGGGATATTATGGCAGAACTTGGATATAAAGCCTCACTTCCCTATTAGTATCTATTTCTGAATTTACCCTATCCTTTCAATAATCAATTTCACATAGTACTGGCTTGTGTAGTCCTTCTCATCCAATCCTTGCTTTGGCGGAAGCCCGACCGACATAAATTGGTTGTTGACTCGCTTCCGTATTGGAGAGGACAAAGATTAGCACTTGATCTGCTTAGGAAAACAAGGAGTCTTGGTAAAGCCAGAACCCAGCGGCAGGTTTGATAGGTGTGTCCAGGAGCGTGAGTTCCCATGCATCCTGTTCATAATGTACGATCCCCATGGTCATTACTCGATGCGGATCACCATGGGAATAATTATTGGTCGGTTCTACTGGCCATCTCGACTGAAAGATGTTAAGCAACATAGACCACGTCAAACAGTTTCGAGCTCGAACTGCTCGCCTGCTCACCACAAAGAAGATGTTTAAGAGATAGCTTTCAAAACAAAATTGCATCACGAGAGGATGACAGCTTATTCGGGAGGTCAGGCAACCGCAAACCCGTTAGAATCGAACCCTCCCCTTGTTATTCCTTACCACATCTCTATTCTGCAACCTTTTACGACCTGACCTCGTACCTTTTTCAACTATTATCACCTTGCATCATCAAGCTTGTGTAGGAAGCAGCTCCTAGTTTACACATTCCCTTTTTCCTAATCATTTCTCCGGTTCTTGTTCACCCTATGACACCATCCCTCGATGCAGACTATCACTGACCTCCCAGAATGGGGGAGATCCACTCTTGGGGACCGCGTCGCCCTGGACCGAAGAAGATCGACAAGGAAAGACGCCGGCGGTTGAAGGATGAAAATGCGAGACGAGGACAGCTTGAGGAGACGTGGGCCCGACGAGGCAGAGGAGAAAGGATCGCGGTTGGAGTTACAATGCCAAAGCCGCGAGAACCCGGGATATGCAGCGATTACGCCCGTGATAAAATCCCAATGTACGAGCTTCGAAAATGGTACAACGAATACGAAACGACTCGTCCAGTCCTAACCCGGAACGATTCGCTCTTTATGGCCCAGTTCCCGGCCGAGTTTCGTCTATGGCCTACCATGTTTTTCGAACGCTACCCCGGGTTAAGGCCCACTCCGAACCCACATCATTACTTTTACGGGGATCTGGATTCATTTGGATATGGTTGGCACCTAAGACCCGAACGCTACAAGTTGTCTTTTGACCGGGAACACTATGATGACTACTCCAAGTTCATTCGGTTATGGCCACCCCCTGAAGTTCATGGACGAAGGATTCGATGGGAAGAAGCATCTGAGGCGTATCGGACAAATAGTGGAGTGGTAGCTGGAACTCTGCTAACACCCACTGAGGTGAACCCGATCCCAGCTCAAGTGATTATGAAAAAGAGGAGTGATATTTTAGAATATGATGGTTCGCAGAGGCGAGACCCTTTGGTTGCAAAAGGGGTGCCTCCGGGTTCACCAACACCATCTTCACCTCTTGAAGCTATAATCGTCTCGGCCGATCAGGAACTGTTAGACCAGCTTAAGCGGGCCCGGACCTTTAAGTTGTCTCCCTCTCCAGTCGAAGATCCCAGTAACACTCCTTCCTCAGCTATCACACAAAACTCCAACTCTTTCAGTGAGGGAACCTCTCATCTGTCAGTTCCTTTGCGACACCGATCACATTCCCCACTCAACCATGATCGCAGACCACCTATGCTGGCTCCAAAAGATAGCCTTCCAATAACCTCTTCCCCTGTCTTTGCTCGTGCACATGATTCGATCGTTCGACGTGACCCAGACTGGAGTCGGGCCCTACGAAAAGAAGCTCCGTTCTCGTCCATCGACGCAAGCTTGGCCGCATTGAAACGAATGAATCAATCACAAGAGCAACAAATAAACGACCAGGGCAAGGCAAGTGAACAGCAAGTGAACGAGCCTTCGGACCAAGGTTCCCCTTCACTTGCTCATTACAACGACACCCCCTCGTCTGGTGACACCTCATCTTTGTTTCGATCCCCAGTCGGATCTCCTCTTCATCGAGCCAACGAACCTCACTCAGAGCATTGTCCCACCCCAGGTGGTGTCCCTGAGATGGATGAAAATTACAATTATCCAGCTGAATCATCTGGTGACCACCAGGAGGGATGGGACCCGATCAACAGGCTCATTCTCAATCCAGAAATTTTAACGAGACACCCGGATGATCCCCCGCAACGCCCTAGAACTGGTGGAAGAGGTACGAATTTACCAGCCTACGATCCCAACTTGGATCCGAGGAACTGACAAACCCTTCCAGCCACATCGAGCACTGAGGTTGACCCTTTGACCGCATACCCTCAACCTACCTTATCGCAAGAGCAGTTCGCCGAATTCCTCAGAACCTATCAGCAGAACCATCTGGCCCTGCTTCAAATGCAAACGAGCCTAGGCAACCCTGGGCCATCGCAATACCCGATGACTCAACAACCTTCTTTACCCCAGCCACCAGTGGCGCAGCGCACCGAGAATGTTTCAAAGATGCAGCAGATGGAATGGATGACCGCGCGAATCGAAGAACTAGAACAAAAAGAGAAGGACCGGTCACCCCAGCGAGGGGATATCCGGAGTCTAGAAGACACCCCCGATCCGTCCTCGCCGCAGCATCAAGACAAGTCGCCCCATCAGAGCTTGAAAGACCCGATACATGTCCTCTCAAGCCCGGCCCAGGAGCCCTCTAGTTCTCCTGGACGTCTTGGCCAACTTGACCGCGTGAAAACTCCAGCGGCAATCAACCCGATCTCTCCGAAGGGAATCATCAAAGAGGGATCTAGTTCTAAGCGGATCCCGGCATCGAAGACCCCAGTTCAATCCAGTCAACCTGCTGGCTCTGGGAAGCGGTCCTCAAGTCTTCTCAGCCCCGAACTGCTACCTCATCTTAAGCGAATGAAGTTTCAACCGAAGGAGATCGCTAAAGACAACAGTGTGATGGCTCAGTTGGATCAGAGGACCCTGGGAAAACCTTTAGCAGGTTACATCAGAGAAATGGCTGACCCCGGTCGAACGTCTCGACGACATCCTAACTGGAAAAGAGAGGCCGATTTGCCAGTTGCACTTAAGTGGGATCGGAAGCGGGGATTGACTGCTGGAGAAATCCAGACTCTACTAGAGTATGGTCCCGGCGTCCGTAAAACCTTTACTCAGGTCTTTGGGGGAGAAGGAAATCTAAGGAGAAAATATCACCATCACCTAGACCTCATGGAGGGTGAACGGTTTTCCCGACCAGCCTTGGCCTTGAATTCGCTCACCCCTGACTTTGTTGAGAGTTACATAACCCGCCATGCCCCCCAAATCCAGCCCACTGACGAAGATGAATCGACCAAAGATCCGACAGAGTCTGCTCCTGAAGGGACCCCGGATCCTGAACCATTGAAAACCCCTGAATCTAAGCCAATGCCGAACAAAACAACTGGTGAACGGGCCAATGTTGAATCAAAGGAGAAACCCCTTGGCCGAATGCAGAAGAAGGTCACCATGTACCGAAACCAAGTGGACACCCTGCGCAAAGTTACCGAAAACCAGGAACTCATCATCCAAGCCCAGTGGAGGGAAAACCAAACTCTTCGGTCTATCTTGGAGAAAGTGGAAACTCGGCTCAAGAAACATAAAGCTATAGTTGACATCGGACCACTGCCTTCCCCCACTCGAATTCCAAATTACATCGGACTGGAATGTGACATGGAGGAACCATCTGAGGATGAATAGGGGAGGAAGAGAACCAAAATCAGGGTTCACTCATGTATGTTGGATTTTTCTTATTCCCGTCCTGGTAGAAATTCTTAAGCCGAAAGTTGAGAATTCTTCTGGACCGTGGGACCCTGTGACGTAGGAGACCCCGGTTCAGGGGCTTATCCTGTCCAGGCACAATGTCGTGGCAGAACTTGGGTATAAAGCCCAGCTCTGAATACCGGCATTTTCTTTAGTTTTTAGCACAGAATTTTACTATTCTTACTTTCGTGAATTGACTCCTTGTACTGGCTATAATAACTTACTCCTTGCATATTCCTGCTGGGGTGTGAATTTAGAATTCGTACTTGCCTTCCGTCAACATGGAACAAAATCCTGTGGGGCTAGACCCGAGGTCGCCGGGCGGGACCTAGGGATCAAGAAACAATTATCATGGCATAGTTTTATATCCATACTCCAATCTGATCTGTGACTCTTGTTACCTTGAGAGGGGAGAACCGCGGAGTAAAAAAATGAGCTATCATTGTCATGTGTTCTTGCATTTACCAAAATGAGGTTCTCGGAGCCAGGATGCATCATTATTCAACTCGCGTAACCTGCATGACAGCAAGGAAAATACAGATTGGATTGGCACATAAGGCCGAATCAAGACTTAAGAAGGACTGGGACTATGGCAGCTGATACGAGAAGAATTTGGAATATGCATAATCGTTGATTCAGAAAAAAGAACAACAGGAAGAGGTACAACAGGAAGAGGGGCCGGGATCAGAAGAAGGCTTATATGTCCTTATTCTGCCGGAATATCAAACCCGAATCCAGGATGAAGCCTTCAGTACCAGAAAGAAGAGGAGCAACAGTGTTGAATCGGATACTGTGGGGACCGAACTCTGCGACGAGACCTCGGTGGCCTGTATAGATTTTTAGCGATTCATAATTCATTCACTGTCTAAACATCCACTCACATTGGTGACTGCCCCCTTAGTGGCATTATACCAAACCAACCCAGGCCGTGGTCGACCCGCACCCGTGGACGAGATGTTGATCACCGACCCACCCTGGCCTTGTTCGATGAAACGCGGCATCAGGGCCTCTGTAGCGAGATAAATGCTCTTCACACTGACCTTGAACACGCGCTCCTATGCTTTATCATCATTTCTTGTCGTCAAGATATGTTGAGAGTGGAGGGCGGGAAGGAAGGGGACCCAAACTTTCAACGAACCACGCTGTGGCTTGCCGGGCTTTTAGGAGGGACTCTCCTTCCTTAATTCTGGCCCGAAGTGCCTTGCTTTCCTTCCACTGGGTATGGATAAGAAGATCTTGATTCTCTATAATCTTATCCATTTCACTCGCATGTCCCCGATACCAGTTGGTTTTCTTCTGAAGTGCACTAACGGGCTTTTTTGGGTCAACTCCATCCTTTGTGGTGGCATTGTCAACTGGAGTTGCCCTGATGATGGGAGACGGATTAGATTTGGGTACCGACGTCGGTTCGGGACTTGGATTGTTCGGGAGTTCAGCTGATCTCTGTTTGGCAGTATCCTTATGCTGAAATTTCACCATCTTAGGATGGGGAAGTATCTTGGGGTCGAACGGGCTAGGTGGCCTCTTTTCCTGGACTTTGCTCGGGCTGGACTGGGACTGGAGTCCTGGCAAAGTGGGGGGAGCGGGATTGGCCCTGCGCTTCGATAGTTTAGGTAGGATGTTGTAGTTCGGTGGCTTCTTCGACTTCGGGGTAGCGACTGGGGTGACGAGACTAGGGTTTGGATGAGAATATTTCCCTGGATCTTGACTTGTGGTGGACTGAACCGGCTTAACTTGACTGTGAGCTGCTGTGGCTGGTGGGCTCGAGCCGGGAGCGTGTTCCCGAACTAGACTGGAATCGATTGAGATTGACTCATTCTGGGTTGGTCCCACCTGAGATGTTTTCGGTGGTACTTGGGCCGGGGTGGTGTGTGGCACGGCTTCCGATCTAGAAGGTCCTCTTCGCTGTGAGGAGCCATCATTGATCCTTCCTTCCAGTTCCTTAATTCGTGCTTTCGCCCAATTCAACTCCGCCATCATTGACTCCGTCTCGGGATTTCGAGCGGGAACCGACTGGGACAACACAGGTTGAGCTTGGTACTGCAATTGGCCCGGGTTCATCCTCCCTGCTTGCATCTGAAGTATATCAAGTAGATTCTGCTGTTGCGATATCATGAGCTGCGTGAACTGCTCTTGAGAGAATGTGATCGCTTGTGGGAGTGGCGCTAGGAAGCCTAGCTGCGGATTTGATGGAGCGGACGGGAGAGGTCGATTCCTTGGACCAAGCTGAACATCGTAAGGCGGGAGAAACTGTTCAGGAGACGGATTCATTTGTGTTTCACTTGGAATTTGCTGGGAGTTCATTTGACGATCTCGCATCTCCTTCAATCCCCAAAAGCGTTCAAGAGTAGGTTCGATACATGCAATTGGGGCTACCTTCCGTGAGACTCGACGCGTTCCCAAGTCGTGCCTAATGATCCAGTCAAGTGATTCAGCGAAGATTGGAGAAGAGGCTACCGAGGTGCCCTTTCTAGGACCGAGCATGGGGTCTGTGGTAACTGTGGGTGTAGGGGAAGTTGTTTGGTGCCTTGAGTGTGTCGAGCGAGGAGGAGTACCCCCTGAGAGGCTGTTAGTTGACGGGGTGATAGTAGAAGAGTGTGAAATGTAGGAGTTGGCAATTGGGGATAGGGGTAACCTAAGCCCCTGGGCTTGCTTGAGTTGATCTAGCAACTCCTGGTCTGCTGAAATGATTCCCGGTCCGTGGGGTTCAGAGGAGTTTGTTGAGCCCGGAACTACTCCCTCGTCGGGGGTAGGATCTGGTTCTTGCCTCTTCTCGGAATATTGGCTCTCATAATACTCGAGGATCTCACCCCTTTTCCTTTTGATTATCTGAAATGGGATAGGATTCACCTCGGCAGCTGTCAATGGGATCCCCGTCACCACGTCGCCGTTGAGTCGATATGCCTGGCACGCTTCCACCCAATTCACCCGCCTTCCATGAGTTTCTGGGGTAGGCCACCATCGAATGAATCCTGAGTAGTCGTCGTAGTATTCGTACGGGAAGGAGGATTGATGTTGATATCGCTCCGGTCGCAAATGCCATCCATACCCAAATCCTTGTCGGTACCCGTAATAGTAATGTTGTGGGTTCGGGGTGGGCCTCAATCCGGGATAGCGTTCGAAGAACATAGTGGGCCATTGGCGGAACTCAAGTGGAAACTGGGCGATGAGCCGCGTATCACTCTGTGTTAAGGCTGGACGATGTTTCTCGTACTCTCTGTACCACTTCATGATCTGGTTGACTGCATAGCAGCGCTTCCTACCGAATCGGCGTCCATGCTGTTCGGTTGGCTTGGGCATCACTACCCCTACCAGGATCTTCTCCCCGTTAGCTCGCCGGTTCCAGACTTCTTCGAGTTGTCGACGTCTTGCGTTCTCTGATTTCAGCAGTCGTCGTCTCACTTTCTCCATTGCCTTTGGTCCGGGGAAACCTGGTATCGAGGGATCGATCTCCCCCCATTCCGGGAGGTCACTGGCGGCTTGCATATCGAGAGCTGAAGCGTACTGAGATTGGAGAAGGTTATTGAACCCAAGAAGATCAAGAATGAACGTAGTTTGAGACTGATCTCATAACAAAGTTGGGAAGTAAAATACAAGTAGAGGGGGAAAAGAATGAAAGGCGGGGGTTAGGTGGAAGAATGAAGATTGGAGGACAAAGGCAGGATTACCAAATGCCTCCGTTTCAATTCCCTAGGGATTCCGGCCATCTTTTCATGATCCAATTTAGATTGGAATACTAGTTCCTGTGCTTCCTTCCTTACTTATTTACTTTTATGAGAAGAAAATTGGGGTCGAAACAAGTTAAGGTGAGGTTAAGGTGATTATCATGACTTGCCAATGGACAGTTCGGAAAGTAGATCGTTCAACATAGCTGATTGCTGCATGTTAAATTTCATTCCGGCCATGTATTCACTCGAGCTGGCGTAGAAGAACCAAGTCCCTAACACCCACGAGCCAGGGTTATCTTGGGTCGGCAGCTTGTGTGAACCGGGCCTAGTGGAGGGTTTGGATGCTATCTCGAATGATTCCAAATACTGAGCCACAGCTTAGGGCATGCTAGTTCGTTGGATCCACCAATTCGCGAGTAATATCGTAGTAGTGGTTTCTTCCACTGAGCTTTCTCCAGCATAGCCTGGGCTGGGATACTTAGGATAGATTCGCTATATATATAGGTAAAGAACTTCGGTGGTTGCCATCCTTTAATATCGTAAGTCGCCTTATACTGACCTGCTATGTATTCTAGGCCTTCTATAAGCCACCGGAAATAGTGAGTTCGCGTCTGTCCACCCGATAAGCTCTCCCGGGCGATATACATGACCAGGGGAGTGATTGGAGTCCCCATGGCATTAGAAACGCACTAGGATGTAGATCATTATATCGCGTACAGATGATTGGTTTTGATAGAAGGGAGAGGGCAAAAGGCAGTGAACCACTGGCTTAAACTTAATCACCACTCTGACATGTGACCTTGATATGGGGTGGGTCAGTCATGGGCGGCCGACTTAACTCGGGCTCGGGCAGTGCAGTTCGGTCCTTATCTTGCCATATACCCGGAATGACTTCACGAAGAACGGACTTGCGGCCTCAATATTATAACACAGCATGGGGTTCGCTAGAACTAAGAGGTTAATCTCTTTTGTTCTTCGATAATGTTGTTACAAAGGAAATATGATTGAGTGCCTGAGGCCAGATGATATTAATTCAGTAAGGATAGCTGGCTGTGAGAAGAATAGTCTTAGTGGGCATCCTTTATGAATAGTCCAGAGATCGCCTTCTATATTCATCACAACGTGTATATGCTTCTTCTAATTATTATATCGGGTCGGACGATTGGGGCCGGCAAACTACCGCATGTAGTTCGATAAGAGTTCTCCCAGAGGTATTCTGTCTAGGGTCGAGATAATCCCCTGGTCCTTGACGATGTCCTTTGGCATACATCTCCCCTTCGTAAGATAAGGGAGTAGCCCGGGGTCCGTTGCTTCCCTGTCCCCTGAGTCTGACTGGATAGAGGTCGTGATTGTGTCCCTAGTGGTGCAGAAGAAGCAGGGTCAGCTTTCCAGTTGGATAGCTTGGTCAGGATGGTGTGCTTAGGCAGCTTCTTTGACCTGGTAGTTGTTACTAGGGTAACAAAACCAGCCTTCGAATCATCGTGCCCGGCTAGGTTATGACTTGGAGTGGCTTGGACCAAAGTTTGGATGTGATCAGTCCCCATGAATGGGTTGAGCCAAGGAGAAGATTCTGTCACTGGACTTGGATTCACCGCGATCTGTGTGGGACAACTTTGAGGAAAGTGGAACCTTCTTTGCGAAGGACAGTTGAATAGGAGAGTCTGGATGCTTCGGGGTTGATAAAGGGACTGGACTTCCCCTGTGCAGTCCAACCAGTTTCATAGGTGCTCATCCATTGCCTGAGTCCGGCTGTTAGCTGGGCGCATCCCAGCTCTCAGCTGTGGCTAACATCCTGGGCTAGTAACTGGTCTTCAACCCAGCTTGACCTAGCATAACGGGGTTGGAACCCGAATAGGATTTGAGCAGGGTTATACCCGTGTATGTCCACGATCCGAGTATGGATTTCTTGCACTGCCATATGAAGGAATTGATCCCGGTTTGTGTAAACCTTGGTCGACCGAGCTGAGATCGTCATATGATTGTTCACGACCTGTTCGACCGTCCTTCCTGCCAGCACCGGAGAAGGGACCCAGGTCTCTCATTCCAAACACGGATTGGTCTTCAAGACCTTGTTGGCCACTCGGTAAGGAGGACAGCTTATCAAGATCGGCCGCCAAGGGCAGAACCAATGACATCGCAGTGTGGGGTGATCTGATATTATAAGGTTATAGTGCAGCCCCGGAGGTGTGGGACGAGAGGGAAGCAATGGGGTTGACATATTGGATGAAGGCAGTGAGGGTCCAGCAATATTGACCATGGGTCTCGCCCAGGTGGGGTAAGGAGATCGGACTGATAACGATCTGAAGGGTTATGACCTGCCCAGGTGGAGTGGTAGAATCTGGGGTGGTAAAGGTCAGGCATGAGAGTCAAATCTTCTAGGAATTGAGAGCCTAGATAGGATGACCCAGGTTGGGGTTGGGGTGGTGTATTTATGAATCACCTGTGAGAATCGTCGTCCGCTTGGTGCTGGCCGGTTCGACTCTGGCATCTTTGCAGTAAAGAATGGGTAAGTAACCTTGCCACCTGGGTTCAATAGGCCCGGGTTAGGGTTGATTCGCCGAGATTGGATGGTTGATTGGTCGAGATTGGATGGAAGGTCGGCATTGGATGGGAAGTCGACATTGGATGGGAAGTCGGCATTGGATGGGAAGTCGACATTGGATGAGAGGTTGAGATTGGATAGGAGGTTGACATTGGATGAGAGGTCGAGATTGGATGAGAGGTCGAGATTGGATAGGAAGTCAAGATTGGATGAGATGGTTCTTCATGCGTTTTTCCTCCATCCGGGCTTGAATGCACGAAGTGTGCTATGGTCGAGTTCCTCCTGGGAACTACCATACTGATGGCGCGGGAGGGGCCGGCCCTGCATTCTCCTGTCCTAGTTGCACACACCGAGCAAGCCATGCCGTACCAGCTTCATGCTGGATACGTCCCTCTTCCCCAATCGTTGTTTTGAACCCGGGGTACTCGAAGTTGTGAATGGCCTTATAATGAAGGCGTAATGCACTGGGCATATGGTAGCGAGTGGTCACCCTACAGCCGGGATACCGGCAATGTAGTTCACCCCGGAAGACAACAGGTGAGCTCAATTCAAGACGGGGTAGTAGGGGAGCATCCTCCTCGGTCAGGGTAAGGTAACTCTTCATACTATTGTCCGAACCCTTGGGCTGGACATTTAGTCTATTAGGGTTGACCCTTGTCCCTCTTCTGGCGTTCTTCTTCCGTTCTTTTCGCTCCGCCTGGGGATTCTTCTTACAACCCCTCTTGTGCCTGGTTAGGCCATCGAGACGTGTAAATGTACCACCACAGTGGGGGCACTTGAACTCAGGCTTGATAAAGTCTTTTGTACGTGTCTCGGGGTGCTTGTGCCCTTGGTGGGCGGCAAGGAGCAACTGGGTTCTGAACCTTTCTCCGCAAATACCACATACGGACTTGAACTCCCTGATCCAGTTAGGGTGGGAGTTTCGATGGTAGTCCAGATCGCACATCTAGCTCTTGATTAATGTATAGAAACGACTCTACTAACCGGTGTATATACTAACCATTTGCTGTGCCTCAGACATCTTCACCCTAGCAAAGTGGAGGAGCCAGAAGTTATCGATGTAGAGTGGTGTCGAGTCCTCCAGCTCGACACCATCCTCACTAGGAGTGATATCACCACGTAGAACTCCTCTCACCTGCTGTGGGTTGACATCGAAGAACCGACGTGGTCTATCCGCAAACACCCGGACTTTGACAGGCACCCCAGCATCCTCGAACCACCCAAAGATCTTATCAAAGACCAAGGGGCAGGTCGTCAGTCCACTCCAGCCAGATAATACAATGATAACCGGGCAATCCAGACTCTTAGCCTCAGTAACAAGATCTAGCATCCAGGTTGTATGTCTGGCACGAGGACACCAGGGTTCATTTGCACCATGGATAAAAGCAAAGAACTTCGGTAGTTGCCAGCCAATCGTGTCATACGAGGCGGCATGCTGAGATGACACGTACTGCAGACTCTCAAGGAGCCATTCTGTAAACTCAGCTCGAGTCGACCCTGTTGCTGCGCTTTCTCGGGCAACGAACACGACTAAGGGACTGATTGAAGTCGCCATGGTAGACGACACATCAGATATAGTACACCAGACAAGATTGTATAAGTGACCGCTTGGGATGCTGAGGAGGAGAAAGGCAGATGGCCAACGACTGGATCCAAGCTAGTGGGTCCAAGCCACTGAACATGTGACAAGGACCTAGATCTTATACCCTTTCATTACGGGACTGTATTGACTGGCCTCATTACATAGAGTGGCCTCGGCCTTCAGAGATAATACATCCATGGATGGGCGTTCAAATGGTTACCATACATACCAAGGTGGTATGTACTAGTATGACCCGAGCTAGGACTAGAACCCGATCTGGGATGGAACCTAAGCTGGTATGGAACCTAAGCTGGTATGGAACCTAAGCTGGTATGGAACCTAAGCTGGTATGGAACCTAAGCTGGTATGGAACCTGATCTGGGCTTGATAGAACCCGATCTGGGATGGAACCTAAGCTGGTATGGAACCTGATCTGGGCTTGATAGGACCCGATCTGGGATGGAACCTAAGCTGGTATGAAACCTGATCTGGGCTTGATAGAACCCGATCTGAGCTGGAACCCGATCTTATAATGGACACTCAAGTTCCAAGCTTGGAACCAGCATATAGTACTGCAAATACCATATTCATAATTCGCCACATGAATTAGTTTGAATTCTTTTTAAATAATGTATGCAAATTTCGAGCATGCTCCCAATCAGCCTAGGTTCAGTCCACTCCCCAAGCCCTAAGGATCAACTGCTATCCTCTCCTAATCTGTATGGATTAATGGCGGGACCCGGACCACCCAGGATAGTCGTTGCGTGTTTCATCCCCGATCAACTAGAAACTGTGTGAGGGTCATGACCTTTGAGATAGCGACTGATAGTACATCAACTTACTAGCCGTCGGACCTCCTCTTCTGAATGGTTCCGTAGGTACATATCAGCGCTGATGTTGTTGATGGTATGAATAAAAAACCGTGTATCGTCATCGGAATAAACATCTCTTGTCGGATCAAGGTCACCAGTGAGAAGGGCACAGGCTTCAGTAGGGTTGATATTGAAGAATTGGGAAGGGTTGGTTGATCCAGCTTGATTAACGAAGACCTTAACGTTCACGTCGATGTCAAAAGCCGAAACATGGCCAAACAACCGGACAAATGTCATCTTATCGACAGTCAGGGTGTCCCAGCCGTTCAGAACGAGAGTCACATCACAGCCTTTGTCTTGACCTTCATCCAGTAAGTTGGCAAAATATTGGAATACGGATCCCCCAGAACGCAGTGGCTGATCAGAATCGTGGATGAAAGTGTAGAAGCGAGGAGATTGACAAGTGCAACCATAGAAGTGCTCGTAGTTTTGGATGACCAGATTTAGAGATTCGCGCAGTCTGTCTCGCGCAAGCTTTTGATCAGAAGCTTCTTGAGGACTGGCCCGGGCAACAAAAACAATGATAGAACCCATAGCGGCAAAGTGGATAGAAGGAAGAAAACCTAGGAAGTTAGAAGGTGTGTATCCATATGTAGATGGTTCACAAATTCTTACTATAGGAATAATGATTGGGGTCCGGTGCGGAAGGATATTGATGGAGGATATGGTTGGCTGTGTATGGCGGGACAGCGGCCTATCAGACATCGGGCATTGGTTGAGAAACTTCCCGTAGGCCTTTTTGCCTAGTATGAAACCAAAGTTTTTGAACTACTGTCACGAAAGCAATAATGAAATGGCCCAATGTCAAGAATATTGATTGCCTGAATGATGATATGGATGCTTGGGAGAAGAATATTAGCTGGTTGGGTTAGGTGTTTGTTATAACTAGACCCTGATACCGCCTTCCATACCCATCATAAATCTGGCAGCAGGACAATGTATGGGATTTTGAGATGTACTTTAGTAAGCACAATATGCAGCTTCCAAGGTTGATATCCCTCTAGGTAGTTATAATCGTCCTTTACCATGTTGGTGCCCCACTGGATAGCAATTATAAGGATTAGGTATGGCAACTCCATATAAAACGTACATATAACCATTGGAAAAAAAGACTTTCCGAGCTTTATACTGCTTTCATTCAACAAAACACGGCGGTATATTTTCCATTCAGGGCTGCAAAATTAGAAAAAAAAATGTTGAAAAGAAATGCGCCGACCGGGGTTCGAACCCGGGCTACCGCTTGAGAACAGGAATCTCCTATTTGGGAAAGCGGCTATATTTTCGTCAGAGAGGTGCTTTGGATTTTGCAAGGAGAATAACTCACAGTCTTAACCACTAGACCATCAGCGCTTTATTTTAATTACATTAGATTATGTTAAGTTACTTTCACTGGAACCATCTTCGGGGGTTTGTCTAAAAGATATTACGAGAAAAGAACTAGAGGACCATAGGCCATGTAAGATTGCTTGACTGGGATAAGGGATGGCTTGCAGGAGAAAAATATTGACTGGGTGGGTGGGTGTCTTTCATGGACAACCCTTAGACCGCCTTCTGGTTCTACCACAGGATCCCTGGTTCCCTAATTCTCGATTAATTCTCGATAGCATATCGAGAATTTAACCCTGATCGGGTTCCAGCAGATCTGGTTCAAATTAGGTTCTAGTCTAGCTCATATCATTCAAGATCGAGTTCTATCTCAGATCAGGTTCCATCTTAGATCGGGTTCTATCTCGGGTCAGGTCGAGGTCAGGTCCGGTCAAGGTCCGGTCAAGGTTAGGTCAAGGTTAGGTCAAGGTTAGGTCAAGGTCCGGTCAAGGTTAGGTCAAGGTCCGGTCAAGGTTAGGTCAAGGTCCGGTCAAGGTTAGGTCAAGGTCCGGTCAAGGTTAGGTCAAGGTCAAGGGTAGATCGAGGTCAACTTAACTTCGTAGGCGTAAGAATTCGAAACGCGAATCTAGACCGAAATCATTCTTTATCAGGTGTAAAGAAGGAAATGGAAGAGGCTTTATCGGACACACAGTCAGGTTTGAGTGAAATCGTCTACCCAATCCCCTACGGGAGAGCTAGACGAGTCCTTAACCCGTCTACCTAACTCTCTACCCCGTTCTCTTAGGCAGATTAGACGAAATCAGGTGGATACACTATAGGCGTCTTCGTTCACAGAACGGTAGCAACTTCAAATTTAGCTTCAACTTCATCAGTATAGCAGGTAAGGACGGCTCCTAGCGCCCAGCTATAGGGTAGGGAGCAATATGACTTAGTACAACGAGCATCTCGAGTCCCTACGTCGGATTACCATTATTACGAGAAAAGAGTAAAAGGGCCATAGGCCAGATAATATTGCGTATAGAAGAAGAATATTGACTGGGTGGATGGGTGTCTTTTATGGACAACACTCAGACCGCCTTTTGCATCTACCACAAAGATCAGCGCAAACCATGGTTGAGCTGTAAATCCGGGGTAAATTGTGCCCCCCCCTCCCTTTTGGCAACAATTCTGTCAATGTAAATCCCGCCGATCAGTTTGCGCTAGTAATAAAATGTTCTTTAAACAATCCAGTACAATACATTTCAGAAGGCCTAATCTTGATGATATTTGGCATATAAGTTCGAGTATTTCTCGTGAATGAATATTTACTAGTTTATAATGTTTAGAATCCAGGTTAATTCTGAGTAATTAACATGGAGCTTTCAACGCTAACCCTAATTCGGCATGCTTTATGGATTACGAATCACCATGCCTTTCTCGCATGCCAAGAGCTTCGAAGTCCTACGGAATCGAGATTAGCGCCGTCAATGCAGTTTGCCGTCTACACCACCAATTCCTGTATACAACCGCCAGTTTGTTGTAGCACAGGAAGCCATTTCAATTCAGGCTGTATTCAGTCAATGGAATCCAGCATTCAGTGCTATCACCGCTCATTCAGCTCTTTCGTTTTGATTCCACCAATTTGTTTCTATTACAAATGGATCAATTGAGAGATTCCAGGGGGGAAGAAGAAGAAGCCTATAAATATGGCTTCTTACTATGTATGAAGAGATTAGACAGTTTTATATTTTTTATTCTTGATACTTCATAGTATTCATTTTGCAAGAGATACTCCCTTCATTTTACATGCTGTATAGTTCCTCAGTGTACTATTTCAACATATAAAGCCTGCCATCGATTCAAGCATGGAAGTATATAGATTTATATAGTATGAAGTATCTCATAGTAAATGCATTACAGAGTGTAATTGAAAACTAGCTCAGGCTTGGCGGAGCCACATTGACAGAATTGTTGCCCCGGGGGGTAGGTACTTATGTATTCTAGTTTGTGGGGACTATGAGCAGAAAATAATAGTTTGTGTCAAAACCAGTAATAATTCTGTTTCGTTATTATATAGTAAAAATATATATATATATTCTGCATGACTTGGTGGTTGGCTTGTTGCTGGGTATGGTGACTGTCCTACTATACGAAGCGCGGTGTGACAAGGGCGACTTGATTTTTTAGCGATTTACATATAAAGCGTAGAGTACTCAACCCTTCGCCTTCTGTGTTTTGGGGCCGCACCACCCTAATCATAATTTCAAACTACATACCCCGTATGTATATTGTAATCATAATAGTACCTTTTGTACGGGATACCTACCCATATTATTAAGTAAAACCCTTATATTTCGAACACAATGTTAGAAATTAGGAATATGACCAAGAGTTAAGCCTCCTTAGCAGTTGATATAGTCTAATAATATTGCTTCCACCGGCAGTAATCAATTGAGAAGCTTCCTGAACTGAAAATGAGATTCGCCCCAAGCTACTTCGTACTTGATCGACGGCCCAAATGCCGCATTCGCCGCGAACCCCCCTTGCTTAGCGATGTATCAACTCAGATCGCATTTAGGAAGGTCATAGGAGAAAAATCTTTGGACGGGCCAATAAAAAGCAAGATTGCAATACATTTGGACATATTCTCCGTAGATGTGCACAACATTAGCCCTTTTCCGACACAAATAGGGAAAGTATTGCCAATAACACCCCCTAGCCCCATAGTTCATCCATGGTAACAAAGAAAAACAAGTGCATTCCTTCGGAGAAAATGGTAGACTAGTCAACTTCGCATAAATTCTTGGACCTTGTGGAATACATGTGGCAGCCATGAGGGCACTGGCCCTCACATCTTACATTCCTGTTGCGACACGCCTGATTGTTCCTGTGCGCCCTGTATGCTCTGTCAAACCTAGTGGGGGTGATGTATCTCGTTTTCTCTTTCCTCGTCTTGTCGCTGCCATGCCTCGATTCCTTTCTTGAATAGTCGCTTTAACACCGCACGACACGAAGTAAGTAAAATGGCAGTGTTCTCAAGGCAAACCTCCGGGGACACCGAAAAGTCCCCGAATGGCCATGGCGCAATGGACGAAGTACGGCTGGAGTCTGCACTGGGGCACAAACAAGAGCTGACGCGGAACTTTGGACTGTGGAGTTTGACTAGCTTGGGGATTGTCATTGCAAAGTAAGGCCCTTGGAAATCGGAAATTGCATTGATCAAACCTCCATGGACTAACCGGAACAAGTTCTTGGGCTTCAACAGGGGGCACAATTGTCGCCGCGCTCCAGAATGGCGGTCCGATGGCTGTTCTGTACGGACTGATTCTAGTCAGCATCTTTTACACAACCATTTCAGCTTCTCTGGCCGAACTTGCCTCCTCCATGCCTTCTGCCGGTGGAGTATACTATTGGTCATCAGTATTGAGCCGCAATCGAGGCCGCACAGCGGGGTTCTTCACTGGGTACCTGAATGCTTGCGCTTGGCTGCTGTCAGCGTCATCGATGAGTTCCATGCTGGGGAACGAGGGCGTGGCGATGTATCTGCTCAAATATCCGGCCGTGAAGTGGAATTCCTGGCAAGTATTCATTGTATTCCAGATTGTTAACTGGATGTGTTGTGCCATTGTATGTTTGGGAAATCGGTTTATTCCTCTCCTCAACCGCGTTGCCCTTACTTTGTCGATGTGTGGCCTGGTTACAACTGTGGTGGTTCTTACGGTGATGCCGAAAAAGCATGCCAGCAACGCCCAGGTGTGGACTGAGTACCACAACAACACCGGCGGATGGTCGGACGGAGTTTGTTTCATGACCGGTCTGTTGAATGCTGCATTTGCAGTCGGAGTCCCAGACTGTATTAGCCATTTATCAGAGGAGGGTACGTTATAAACACGAGAAAAGGAAAGGAAGCCACCAACTAACACATGTTTTAGTCCCCAAACCCGAGATTAAGGTCCCGCAAGGCATAATGTTGCAGATGCTCACAGCATTCATCACATCATTTGTGTACCTGATCGCCCTCTTCTACTCCATCCAAGATCTAGACGCCGTCTTTACAAGTAACATCGGCTTTTTCCCAACCGCCGAGATCTACCGACAAGCGACAGGGTCTAACGCAGGCGCCATTGGTCTTATTGCGGTGCTGTTTCTTGCAACATTCCCAACTCTAATCGGGACATTCGTGACAGGCGGTCGAATGTGGTGGAGTCTAGCACGCGATAACGCAACGCCCTTTTCGAACTACTTTGCCCAAGTGCACCCGACACTCAATTGCCCCGTGCGTGCCACCGTTGCCATGAGCGCGCTGGTCACTTGTCTAGGGTGCATATACATCGGGAGCACGACGGCATTCCAAGCGCTGATCTCGTCGTTTATTGTACTAAGTTCGCTGTCCTATTTCGGAGCCATCTTTCCGCATGTTTTGTCTGGTCGTGGAAACATGGTTCCCGGACCATTTTATATGGGACAGAAACTTGGGATGGCAGTTAATATTGTTTCTTTGATGTATATTTTGGTTACTGTTATTTTCTTCTGTTTCCCCCTCGTGTTGCCGGCCACGGTCCAAAATATGAACTATACCAGCGTGATCGTTGTCGGCTTGATGGTCCTCACTGCCTTCTGGTGGGTGTTCCGTGGCAGACGCCAATACCATGGCCCACAGTATAGCTTTGAGGCTGCTGAGCGGTTGGCTGCTTTCCAAGAGGGCAAGGAGGGCCGTCGATCTTTTATTGATATTGTGGGTGTTTCGCCTGCTGGTGTCGAGCATGGGAATGTTTCATGATGAACGAGAAACGGATTGTGAAAACGATGGAAACGAGCGCGAATTGTTACTATTTTGCTTGTTGATGATATGTAACTTTGTCAAAGCATGTGTATCTATACCTTGAACTAATTTTTGATGAATATAATAGGGATTTGCGTATCAAAGTGCTAGGGTCAAACAATGCGAGGCTAGAGATCAAATACGGCCGCACGATTCGTGGACCTTCAATTTGGAATTGGGAATAGGCGTCTTTAGGTCATAACTATCATGCATAGAGATCACTAGTAGGAGACAAGATATCCTCTCATCTTCACAGTCGCGACTTGATGCTCTGTCCACCTTCCCAGGCCTCTCCAGCTTCAAGGGTTTGCCACCCAGACACTGAGCCAGCCTCCACACAGATCATGTTCTTGTAAGCCTCGTCTGGGCCGAAATCGGCCATGCCCTTGGCCTTCTCAATCCAAGGGTTCCAGACCACAACATCAGTCAAAGCTTCCCGAGTGATCGAGAACAAAGGTTGGTCATCCTTCGCAGAGGCAACGACAATTGGAACGGCAGGGTCAAGTTGTTGGTAAATGCGATCGGTTTCTTGGGTGATCGCCAATGCGGGGGACGATTCAGTGTGAGAAGTCGCCTGGAGGGTCTTATCGACGTAGGTCTTGGATTCGAGGCCCTTGACACGGATGTCGGAGATATCCTATTCATCCAATTCCAAATTAGCGGGGAATTAGGGAAATTAACACTGGAGTGTTTTATCATACCGCAATGTTCAGATAGGTGTGCATCAGCACCTGGAACTCAAAGTTCTGCTGGCCCTCATTGCGAACTTGCAGTGACGTCTCCAGGGAGTCTGTGGTGAGCGTAACACTGTACACCAGACCGAACTCATATGGCCATGCAGCGCGGAACTCATCGGTCAGCATGGAGTGCGACAGTCCGAAATCCAACTTCACGGTGAGATCGCTTTGGTCGCTATCTCTTCCGGGCGCTTCCGAGGAGGACTTGCCCAAGAACTCCCAGTTGGAGTTACGAGCGAAGCCATGTTGTGGTAGGGATGAGGTAGCGTGGTTCTGGGGCGGGGGACCGAAGACCTGGAGAATAAGCAGGGCGGTTAGCTGTAGCTCAAGCAGAGAAATGGTAGAGTTCACATACCGGGAACACCAGCGGAATACCACCACGGATAGGCTTGGAACCATCCAGATGAGCCTTCTCACTAAGGAACAGCTGCTCCTGGCCGCCTGTTTTCCACGAGGTCACAGTAGCGCCATACAGGTGCACGGTCACTGACTGGCCAGTGGGCAACGAAGCTTCGATGACGTTGTCCCTGATGGAGAGGGTGGGCTGGGGAAGGGAAGCTCCCACTCCAATTGCCGAGGGTTTGTTCGATCGGTCCATTTTAGAAAATAGAGGAATAGAATTTGGTTGTTGAAAGGGAGAAGAGATATGCTTGACGTTTCACGTTGAAGCGCGGGGCGGAAGGGATCTTATCGGCCCCGCCTGTTTTGTTTTGACGGGCCAGAGGGCTCCAGGGCTCCGGGACGACCTTCCTAAGGTTGCCCAGGTGGACTGGACTACATCTCTGCTTATGCAAATATTTTGATTTCAAGTCAACTTCTAATGAGCAACACAAGAGTAGTCGGCCGCTTATGTGGCCGTGTCAAGTCATTTATGGTAGTTTTTTATGGTAGTCTTCCCAGATGATCTTTTAGATGTCTTTTTTGGTGGTCGTTTTTAGGTCTTTTCGGATATCTGTTTTTCATAGATATTATCTCCACCTTCTCAGTTTGTTAGCTAGACGGCAGAAAAAGGGGAAAAAGCATACTTTGTGTTAGAGACTTTTCTAGGTATAACCTTTGATGAAGAATGTTGGTTTGTCCATCTATTAATACATGTTGGGAAACAACCCCTAGCCATATTCAAGTACTAGAAAATTTTCAACCCCCAGCCAACGCTCACGCCCCTGGATAAGATAAAAAAGACACATGCACAAGAATATACGAGCCCACAAAGAATTATCAGGCCAGTATAGTCATCCTGGCCCGTGGATGTCTGGACTTTCAGAAGCTCGCCGGCAATTGGAATGGCGATGAGTGACCCGATACTGACGAAGAAATAGGTTGTACCATAACGCTTTCCAAAGTCTTCAGTTTTGGATATTTGTGCAACACAAACAGGGGAGAGGCTGATTGCAGTGCCGCTCCAAAATCCAAAAAGCACGGCAAATGCCAAGATGGCCGCCTGATTAGACTGGGATGGAAGCCATAGGGCAAAAGTGAACACTGAACAGATAAACGTTGTGATAATCATCACATTAAATCGTCCAAATCGGTCGGCACAATATCCAGGGACAATCCGCCCAACGATGGACGCGGCATTCAGGATAGACGATAGGTTGTATGCAAGAGAATCCCCCAAGCCGTGAGATTGAGCATAGGATGGCAAATAAGTCAATGGAATCAGGAGAGCGAAATCGATCAAAACGATGGCCACCGTCAACAATGAGAAGGGCAGTTCCTTCAAAGCTCTGACATCGACTGTCCCTTTTTGTCCCGAATTTAAGGGTAGTCTCGTTCTCAAAAGCGCGACACTTAGAAAGCAGAATGCCGCGCTTATAAACCCAATAATTCGTATAGCCCAAGGGAAGCCTAGACTATCCGTGAGGTTGGAGATCAAGACAGGAAATATAATTCCTCCAATACCCCCAGCAGTGGCGGCTATTCCGGTGGCAAGGGCACGACGCTTGAGAAACCAATGGGCTATGCAAGCCACGCTAGGGGTGAACACCATTGACGAGGAGATACCGCCAAGGACACTGAATCCTAGCATGAATTGGTAATATTCTATGCAAATGCTTATCGTCAGTTTTGGCGGAGCCAGCTCGGTTATTAGAAAGAATCATACCTTCTGCAACGCTGAAGATCATGAGGGATGCGACGAGTCCAACGCATCCCGGGATCAGCAAAGGCGCAAGACCATGTGCATCAAATAGAGGTCCTTTCAGATATCAGTCGGCCTGCATATCTCATCAAATAGATTGAATAAGCTTCTTACCAACTTGCACGCTTCCAAAATAAAGGAAAAACATGTAGAGGCTGAATATCCAGCCGATGGAAGCTTTCGAATAGTGTCTCAATTGATGGTCTGCCAACCAAGCCTCGAACACACCAATTGTATTCATAAGTCCAAATGAGGGCACCATCGCGCACCAAGAGCCAAGAACGACGCTCCACGCACGCCAACCACCATCTGGAAAAACCAGGTCGCTGTCTTGCTCCATTTCATTCAAAGAGTCGCTCGGACATTCGCCATCGGTGTTCGCGCGTCGAGATGAACGTGAAACAAAATACCTGCAAAGGTTTAACTTCATACTAGCCTCATGCACAGAAAATAAAGAGAAAACTGAAAAATCAGCTCTATTCTGAAAGACTGCTTTTTGTCTCTTCCATAAAGGGTCTTCATACTGATATAGAAGCTAAGCCTTTTCGGGACGCCGGGGACGCCGCGGACGCCGCGGACGCCGGGGACGATAGAACTTTTTGGAGCGGCAAGATTAGTAGTCTTTCCCGAGGTTGCGCTCTACCTACATAAGTAAGCATAGGTCTCTAAAATATGTAGGCCAATATAGGTGGATAAGGGAATGGAGTATCGTCCAATGTGGTAGTGGACTAATAGCTGCTTCTCTATGAAGCATAGACTAAATAACTACAGAGTGCTGTGGCCCACGGTGTAGGTATAGTCAAAAAAATTATACATGGATGTATTTTTTAATCCACTTTACACAAATTCTACCTAGGTATAAACGCAAGACAAGTCAAACCACCGATGAGTACATATGTACTCTGGGCCTATCCACTCATGGCACCTTGACAAGTTTTCTCTTTCTTCCACTTCACCACCTTGATCCTATTGTTGTTTTTATTGTCCCACTGGCCACATCTTCGCTTCTACCATTGACACCATCCGCTCTGATACGCACCTACGGACTCACTCAGAAGAGGGGGGCGAGGGAAACGCCTACGAAAGACTGCTTCCTTTAACAGTCTGGAAGAGTCTTTGGCACACCTCAAGCAGAAGAACCGAGATAAAGATCAGCCCCAGATGAGTTCGGGCGAGGAGTCAAACGAGTTCCGACGGCCAGTAAGTTAATGTTGTATCAGTCGCTATCTCAAAGGTCGTGACCCTCGCCTTTTTTTCAGTTGATCGAGGACGAAACAAACGCGAAATCCGCGGCAAGCATGATCAACCAGCTATGCTTTTGTCGTGGTACTCCTCCTCGCTCGACACGCTCACGGCACCAAACAACTTCCCCTACACCCACAGTTACTACAGACCCCATGCTAGGTCCTGGAAAGGGCACCTCGGTAGCTTCTTCTCCAATCTTCACTGAATCACTTGACTGGATCGTCAGGCACGACCTGGGTACGCGTCGAGTCTCACGTACACAGCTGCTCCTTGCGGCCCACGAAGGGCACAAGCACCCGAGACACGTACGAAAGACTTTGTCAAGCCCGAGTTCAAGTGCCTGGAAAAAAACCTCAAAAAGAAAAAGGAAAAAAGAAAAAGAAATTTCGAGAAAAATCCCAATCTTGCCGGATCCAACGGCAGATGTGATCCATCCGAGCTTGCGCGTGCGTTTCAGCGGCGAGACATCCTTTCTCTGATGGGCAAAGTGAAGTGGGATCGAGGAAATTTAATAACTTGGAAGGAATTTCACCGGGCTCCTCTTTATTCGATTCTATCCAAAAGATCAGCGCAAACCATGGTTCAGCTTTAAATCCGGGGTAAACTGTCTATTCCAAGGGTTTCTACTTTATCGGGCTATGAGCTGAAAATAATAGTTTGATTCAAATATAAATAACCAAAGCGTTGTGTCTTAGAATGTACAAGCAATGAACAGCAATTCAAACAGACAGGAACATTATGATATCAACAAGGCGAGCGTGCATGGTCCTTTTGATCCAATCGATCATCACTTTGTTTCTCAAGCGAGTTGAGTGAGACTTGTGTTGTCCAAGTGTCGGTTCGAAGATGCCCCTCTGTGGTCCAATCCTCGAGGGGAACAGCTTCGACACGATGCATATCGTTGGTGAACTCGGTATTGGACCTGTTGATGGGTTCAGTACTCGAGCGCTTGGTACTGCTGTGCTTGCCAAGCGGAGGGGGTGTGCTTTTATTTCCTCGACGACAAGGTGGCTTCCATGAGCGAGGGAGTGTGAATGAAGGACGAGATTTTGAGTTGTTGGAGTAGCTGCCGCTACTATCGGGGTTTCCAGGTTGCTGGGCTCGGTTGCTGTTGTACTGGAATGCCTTGACGCCAAACAACTTGCGCAGTAGTGGCCACCAGCACATGAGGTTGGCGACATAGATTGCTGTGCTGGCTTCACGGATGTACCAGATTTGGTAGGTGGTTGTGAGTGGGGAGGCAAAATTGAAATATTTGTTGAGGATAGCAGCAATGATAGTGAACAGGCCCAGACTCATGACGCCGATCAGGACGACCTTTCTGCGCCGTTTGAGTTGGGCTTTGATAAGGAGGGGAATCGGGATGGCGAACATGACGGCATCGGAGGAAATGTTGAAGACGGCTTGGGTTATCGAGTAGTACTGGTATGTCGCACACTGCATGTTATCCACGGGCATGGCCCAGTATTGTGAGAACGGTCGGCAGTAAATTGCATAGTAGGTGACCATTATGACCACAAATCCGACGGCAACGTAAACAGAAAGGATCTTGATATAGAGGTTCGATTTCAGATTCTGCGTGATTCGCCAATAGAGCATCAGCATGCATGCCTTGACGCCCCAGGTTAAGATCAACATGCATTGCTCCAGCCCAATGACGATTTTGCTTCCATAGACCCTATCGCTGACTTGCTTTGGGTCTGCTAGCACCGTGTCGTAGTCCTTGGGGTCCATGAGGTTCGTTGCATAGCGGGCCGATATTTGAATCAGGACTAGCATTGTGGTATAGATTGCCTTTAAGGAGCCGTCTGGTCAGTCAAAAGAAGCGACCTGATTTCCCGATGATAACACTTACGAAGGTTGCTGTCATCACATAGTCGTCCACTAGAGTTACCCGTTAGCAGGATCCAAAAAGAGGTAGAGCCTAGAAGTCTTACCAAACAACCGTTTGTAGGATCCATTGGCAATTATGCGAGCCACACTTTGCTGCAGTTAGCAGTTGCTCTAATTCTGAACTTGCGTCTCAAACCTACATTCTCCCGACATAAATAACAAGCCCTATAGACCAGAAGACTATGGCTTCTGTGAAGAGCTGGTTTGGAGTGGGCGACTCGTTCCCCATCTTGGTGGATAGAGCGACCTTCGCCCTGAAGCAGACCTCAAAATGTCAGGACGCTATACAACGAGTCTACCATATATGAGAAATGGCAATTTATCGAAGCATTCTGATGAGAAGCATCATTGACAGGTTTGAATTGGTGCCATGGCTTGTTTATCAGCATGAGCAAATCTTTGAATGATGTATTCAGAACAAGCTACTGCACCGAGGAAAGCGACCATTCCATCTAGTCGGTGAAAGTGGCTAGGCTAAGGTCCCGGGGGTGGATTTTAAAGCTGCCAACCGAGACAGGGCTGTAGCGTCATGCGTCTTGGCCCGTGAGATGTCAGTGCTGGCTGACAAGCAAGGAAGAATGTGGCGCAAACGCAAGGGATCGCTTCCCTCGAAGCGCCAATCCGGTCGATGACAGTCGGGTTTGGAATGTACAAAGTGGGCAGGGAATACGGAATAGACATGGGAGAGGAAATTTTATGCTTCACATTCCTCCTTTGTGTCTTGGAGCCCTTCCTTCCGCTGGCCAGGCCAAGAGGCGGATAAAATCAGCTTGTGTTGTGACACTGGGTTTTCCAATAAATGCCCAATGTTGTGCAAAGCGACACAGCTGTGCGCGATATTTATCTCCAATAGGATGCGTTAAGCGAGATTGGTGTAACCCAATATGAATCGCAACCTTGATCGCTATTCGATTGGTATTCTTATTTTGGGCTATAAAGTTCCCCCTATGCACGTTACCGATAGCTTTGTGACCTCCATGCCTCGAGCACAAACAAACTGGTTGATAGGTCATATTCCATAGTGGATATGTAGGAGACGGGCGGCTGATATTATTGGGGAGTTCGGAACGCTGATCTGCACGGCGATCCAAGCGAAATTCAATAGCGCCTGGACACAGTGATCCTCCATAAAAATGGACTTGCGCCATTAGGGCTTAGGTTAGCTATTGGTCCAACACTCTATATTATTAGTTATAACTCTAAATACCTAATTTAAGTCTTATATTTTAACTAGAGTTTTAGAAAACTGCTTTCCCAGGCATAGGAAGTTTCCCAAAAGAAAAATTCCTGTTCTTAAGCGGTAGCCCGGGTTCGAACCCCGGCCGGCGCAACCATTGTTTTTTAGAAAAATTCTTTTTCCCCAAAATTAATACCTACTACGTTTGTGTGGTGTCTGTCTTTTCAGATGATTTTTTAGATCTCGGTTTTTAAGCTTTATTTTTTTTGAAAAGATCCTTTCAGGCTTTTCAAATATCTTTTCAGTGTCTTCATTTCAGGTTGCCTTTTCAGCTGTAACTAAGGACGGAATCGTCCAAGCGTCCGTCCAACACAACAAACACACCTTTATTTACCGTTGGTCCCCTGATGTAAGGGCATTCTTCTATATAGCAAACTCCATACAAAAGGTACATAAACACAAATCAACTCTCTCCCTCCTTTCCTTTGGCCCCTACATAGTAGATGCTCAAGACAACTCGCTAACACCAATTTTTACAAATTCTATACACGCAAGACAACTCAAACTACTAATGAGTACTCATTCGATCCTACAAAAATAAGTGAAATTCGAGGTTTTGTTGGAGATGGATAGTAAAACCATCTTCACCTAAAATCGACAAAAAGGCATACACGCATGTGCAGTCTATAGCTTCGGCACCGCCATCGAAGGTTCAGTATTTATCCTATCAGAACACTTCCGGCCCGAAATCGACTCTGGCATGCCTGATTCAAAGTCAAACACCCCAACATCTGGGACAAAGTCCTGTTCTTTGGGCTGATTGGCAGTCGTCACTTCGGTGCCCTCGGCCCTCCGGTGAGGTGGAATAAAGACATTGTAGTATCGCGGAAACACCAAACCGAGCAGAATCAGGAGCAAACAAAAGTGCGCCAGAATAAATCCGGCGATCATCATTGGGTCGTATCGCAGGGTATAGAATTCAGGATATGCGAAGCTGAACACAATCGCCAGAATAGGTGCGCTGACATACCGGAGTAGAATGGGCCAGAAACGAGGTATGTTCCAGTTTCCATTACCACCAACGACGCCGTTCAGGTCGCGTCTTAGTTGATTACCCTGCGAATGTTAGTCTCTTTTAGTGCAACGCTTGTTGGCAGCGGGAGACATACAGAGTAGAAAGCTAGATACCAAAATCGACCGAGAAGAGGGTTCTGTCCCCAGAAGCTGGCGGCTTTGATACTCAGGTCCGTGGCGATGAGCACGGAAATAATTGAACAGCCGATATACAACCCAAACCCGGCGCCAGCGCCAGCTGCCGGATTCGAGGTACCATGTGCGACGGCAACTCCAACAATCTGGCCACCAAAGTATCCGAAATTATACATAGCAAAAGCAGGCAGCCCTGTCTGGCTCACCACGTCGTGCCAGCGATAAACGGTGGTTGCACCGACAAGCTCTGACCACACAACAAAGATCAAGGCCACATTGTTAATCCATCGGTCGATTCCATCCAGCAGGTAGAATCCAAATTGGGTGCAGTATGGCAAACACATAAGGAATGATATTATTGTGAGGCTGGTCACAATCATCGGACGTGACATCTTCACGCCCGAATCCACAGCCAATGTAGCTACCGCGTCGAGCATCACAAAGGCCGAACTAAACCCGAGAACAACCAGGGTAAAGAATAGAAGGAAAGCCCACCAATTCGCACCGGGCATGTGAAGCACAGCCTCGGGAAGTGTCAGGAAACCGACCACGAATGCACCCAATCTCTCGCCATCCTGTGGCCAACGTCGAAGGTAGCCTACAACACCAAATACGGCAAATGCAGCAACGTTTTCAAACAGGATGTTACTTCCGCAGATGAGAATCGCGTCCATGACGGCATTGGAGTGTTTGGAGTTATAGGAAGCGTAGGAAGTGAAATAACCGAAACCAATGCCGGTGGAAAAAAAGACCTGTCCGACAGCGGTTTGCCAGACAGTTCCCGAGGCTAGTTGGTCACTTCTCCATGTCGCCCATAAGAGTCGGACACCCTCACTCGCATTTTCCAGTGAACAGGCGCGACCGACGATAATAATGGTGGTGACAATCGGCAGACCCATCGTCCAGTAGACGACGCGACCCGTCAGGCCCACTCCACGGAAGATGGAAATCCATATGAGAAACCATATGAAGGCGCTCCAGCCGACTGTCTCACCAATAAGGGCAACACCGGGGTATACGGTATAGTGGGCAACGGCGCCATTGCCAGCAGTGAGATTGCCCACGACAGGATCCACATTGGCGACGACATTGCCCATGTAGAATTCCTCGATTCTGCCCTCCCATGGCAGTGGGCTCCGGAAGGAGTTGCGGAAATAGTTCATGATCCACGCCAAGTTGACCGTAAAGTATTGCACGACGACAAAACTGATCAAAATCGGGCCCATGCCAACGCCTTTCAGCCGATGGTTGATATTATTGAACGCGATCACTGTCCCGCCACGATAGGCTTGTCCAATCGCAATCTCGAGAATAAGGGCCGGAATGGCGATGGCGAACACGGCCAACAGGTACGGGATAAACCATTGCAGTCCGTAGTTATTGTAGACCACCGAGGGGTATCGCAACAGATTTCCCTGACCGGCGCAGCCTCCCATGGCGGCCAGCAGGAAAGCCGCTCGGGAGGGCCATTGATCACGTCCATCTTCCGATTTTTTCGGAGGAGGAGCGATCCAGCCAACGACCTTCTTCAGATACTGGGCGAGTACCATGATGGTACCGATCAGATGAGGATAATTTCAAGTGATTGAGACCTTTGTAACTTCATGCGGCGAGAACGAGGTGATTTTGCATGACAAGAGATCAAAGAAAAGGCTAACAGCAAGGAAGTCGCCCAGAAACCTCCGTAGCAGATCAGAGACGGTTTTGGATGACTTTAGCCTCTGATGCCAAGGGGCTTGCCAACCATCTGATCCTGCTGCACCCATCAGGTCGGCCCCATGCCAAGAGGCTTGGGGAGGCATTCTCAGCCTGGATCTTTAGATTCGCGGGTGGTGCGATGGGGGTGCCACGCCAAGAGTCTTGGAGGCATCCCAGTGCGGTGATGGTGTGCCTTGTCGCGGTATTGTTGGCGGGATTAATGCCATGGGCAAAGATTAGCCAGCTTGGCTCGGTCATGTGAGGTGACATCCAGGCATCTCATAGTCACGAAGAGCGGATGCAGGGTTCGCAATATTGCCGAACGAGGTGAAATGTCCCCGGAGCCTCCAGGAAACAGTCGAAATCCCTTCAGTTGCCAAGGGCGCGGTTCTTGGCAGGGAGTTGCGCAATTGCATGGCGCTGATTGCGACATATCTTATAGTTATAGTGGGTTTGGCAAGAACGCGAGTCATGTTCTGCTCTGTTATTCCTAACTTACAGCTCAGGCTCTTCGGTCTAGACATTGCTAAAGCCCACCATTGGGAGAAGACCTGACAAGAGGTAAAACTAACCAAGGAAGTTCACAGATCCTCGTTTTACACTGTACAGTTTTGTCGTCTATCTATCCATTACCTACCCATGCTGCATAAAGGAGGATCTACTACCCTGTAGACTCAGTCCTTCAATTTGTTTCATCTCATCTTCTGTCAGCCGCCATCCAAGCGCCTGCATATCCTGCTCCGCTTGGCCAGCATCGCGCACGCCAACCAATGGCAGAACGCCCTTATTGATAGAATAATTGAGCGCCACAGCAGGAACAGGCACACGTCGCTCCTCAGCAATACCTTTCAAGACATGGATAGTAGGTTCCAGCATACGCATGGGATAACTGCTGAAGCGCCGCCTCCGCTGGGGCTCATTGAAGCGCGAATATTTACCAGAAAGACGGCCCTCGGCCAGCGAGGCAAACCCCTAGAAGCAGATACTGCGCTTTTTGCATTCTCGGATCATGCCGCTGACTTCAGGCAAGCGGCGGACGACTGAGTACTCGCACTGGCAGACAGAGAGCGGAACGTCATGCTTGGCCAGCCCATCGGCCATCTTGATCATCTCCTTTGTGTCATAGTTAGCCACTCCGACTGCGCGCGCCATACCGGATTCCACACAGTCGGCCATGCCCTTGGCGACAGTGGATATCTTGCTAGGGTGGATAGGCCCGTGGACGAGATAGATGTCGACGTAGTCCAGTTGAAGACGCACGAGCGAATCTTTAAGCTTAGACTTGGGCCCGCCAGCCTGCATGAGTGTGTTGGTAATGTCTGGTGTTGATAGCCACTTGGTCTGCACCACGAATGAGTCGCGAGGCATGCCCCGGAATAGGGTTCCACAGATCCGCTCGCTCTCACCGTCACCATAGGACTGCGCTGTGTCCACGAAGGTCAACCCGACAGACTTGAGCTTCGCCCATGCTGCGTGGATGCGTGGGAGGTCTCGTGTGTGGTTGTAGTTAAAGGTTGCTTTGTCGGCCCATGACCATGCGCCGATACTCAGGTAGGGAACGAGTACATCCTTGCCACTCACACCACGCAGGGCGATTCGGCTTTTGCGAGTCGGGTGTTAGGTCGGGTGGAAGCATGTTGACCGGGTTGCTGAGATGGGGTCCACCGGCTTGGGGTGCGGGGAGTGCATGCTCTGTGTGCCTGACATGCCGGCTGTAAGGCCCGCTTGCATCACATACTGAGTGCCTGGGGTGGCCATTATTTGGACAAGTATAGTCGAGCCAGTATGTACATATAATTGCGGAAGCTGAATGAACTCTGCGTTGCGGAATTGGTAGGGACCTCCTAGATTGAACCTGGTTTGATATACTATTTAGGAAGGAGTGGCGCGCTGCGTCATCATGACATTCAACCTGTGGACCTTGGAAGGTAAACTGTACCTGAACACCTTCGGATCGAACTCCAACTGGCCAAGATGGAACCTCGTTGTTAGTATTACTTACAATGGCGGCGACGGCTATACGACGGCAGATGATGGAGGGGAAACATATGGAAGTGAGTAAGTGAGTGAACTAGACACCCTTAGCAAACCCGTTCTCCTATGTCTGGCCTTTTACTTGTTCTTGAAGATCATAATGTTCAATGTTTGGATCCTATTATACCTGCAGAAACCCCCGAGCGCGGAAAACGTAACGTACAAGAAAAAAAAAAGATCCGGGACCAAGCATGTCAAGCAATAAGATAGGCGCTGTGCTTCAAGTTATGAAGACATATAGGATGCAGGTGGGGAATAATGATGAGACGGGATCCAATATAAAAAAATCATATCCAACAGGTTTCGCTGTAAACGCCATTCGCTATGCTGAAGTATTGTGTCGCTCGTATGCATTGTGTGCTGCGCAGCGGATTTTGAAGAGAATATCATCGACCTTGCGGAAAGCACTCGGAGACAAAGTTGTTATTTCCATTTCACCCAAGATATTCATCAGGGATTGGGGGATGCGTTGTTCGCTGATGTCGGATTTGGGTTCGGGAGGTGTGTCTTGGGTTTGGGTACCCGTGGTGGTAACACTTGCAGTTTGCTCGACTATTTCACCGGATTGCTGTACTGCATCCATGTCGATGTCCATCTCGATGTCTGGTTTTGCTACAGGCTCAATGGCCTGCTCCATTTCAGAGACTTGAGTGGCAGTTGCCTCTTCGGTAGAAACAAGAGGGGTGTTCTGCCTCGGTTGGTCTTCTGTAATGAGGCTCTCGGGAACCATGTCCAGGTCGACATGAGGTGGTAAGTGTTCAGTATCGCCATGTTCCTCCGATGGAATGCTTGAAGGTTGAGGTTGAGACGCCTCAGATGCATGTTTCTGAGACCGTGTTTTGCGGGAGCGGGTATCTGGAGGGGCGCTTTGGGGAGTGCTATCGATGGCGGTAGAAACGGACTGGTCCTCAAGACGAATGGACTTGCGAGACCTTTTGGACGGCCGCGGGGTCTCGGCATCTTGTGTTGATTCCTGTGCGACAAAGCCTTGAGTTGCAGGGACTGAATCCGTAGCAATATTATCACCATCTTTTCGTTGTGAATTGCGGGTGGATCGGCGAGTCACAGTTGGCGACAATGATGTAGCCGGAGAGACCGCCTGAGGAATGGCATGGCGGGAATGCGAACCATCAGGCTGCAATGACTCAGCATTGACCACGTCTTTAACCGTAGACAACCGCGTCGACCGGCGCCTGTCAGTTCTCACAGATGAAGATTCTTCTTGATCCCGCTTTCTCTTCTTCATGGATGGCCCATCCGGAAGTTTTGCTCGCTCTAAATGATCCCTATCGTCCATATCCACTGCTAGTTCCAAGTCCTGTCCAAGCTGCGATGCGATTTGTGTCTCTGTCTCCTCACTCGAGTCCATGAAACTATCCGGAAGGATATCAGGAGGCACGTCTGTGGCTTGCTGGGGTTGATCGTCTGCAGGCTTAGACTGAGATTGCTTCCGTTTCTTCTTGGAGCTCGAGCTTGGTTTACTTCTGCGAGAAGGTTGTTGGACAGGTGTCTTATCAGAGTCAACCAGTGGCACCGGAGAAGGCTCTGCTGTATCTGAGTCTTTACCCAGTGCAGATCGAAGTCGCCGGTTGGGAGTCATTCCGTTTGCTCGAGGTGTAGCGTCGGCGTTTTCATTATCATAGTCATGGGCATCACCCATAGGTGTGTCTATGTTCTCCGTCGCAAGACGGGAAGTAGCCGGGCTGTTGACTGTTGACTGTTTGCCGGTAATACCAACAAGAGCCTTTCTTGCTTTTGCAGCTCTGCGCCGTGCGCTTTTCGAGCGACCCTTCCTAGGGCTTGGGCTCCGAGATTGCATCTCGGGGGGAGATGATGGAGGGTCTATACTCAAATCCGCAGGCAGGTGGCTCGATGTGAGTGCGTCGGAGTTCATGGCAGGTGTCGGGTCTCTGGTCCCAGGCGTAGGAGACGAGCCGATGAATCCTTCTTCATTCTCAGTAGGGGCGAGAGTGGGCGTTAGAAGAAGTTCGGTCTGTGATTCTCCATGTAGTTTTCGCAGATGCGGGGGAGTATTGAAGCCCAATTTCCGTGGAGTACTAGCTGGTGACGAGGATTGAATGGATTCGATCATCGAAAACATTTCACGATGGCCTTTACGCTTGTGAGACACTGAGATGCCATCAACAATTTGCGCATCCGTGGGCTGATGAAGGTTACTCGGCAACTGGGGTTCATGGAACTGTTCAATTGGCTTGAGGACAACGGAGGAGTCCTCGGTCCGTATGACAGGGGACGAAAGTTGAGTGTCCTGAGACGGCTGATGCAATGACCGATCCATTTTGTCTTGCGGAGGGGGCGGAGGTAACATCTCGGTATCCTGATCCCCGTCTTGCGGAGGCAAGGTTGCGGTCTGGACTCTGGACCCGGCAGTTTGTACAGCTTGCAAAATGGTGACAGGGGTGACAAGAGACTGTGAACCAAAGGTCAAGCCCCAAAGTTCGACATATTTCTTGACTGTTGACATGTGCGAAGACTCCAAACCGGCGCAAAGAATAGGCTCAAAGTTATTCAAAGAAGGTAGATCATGGGAAACTGATTTTTGCAGAATATTGACAGTAGCTGACGAGAGCGCACGGCACGCTGTCAGGATTCTGCTGTCAACGCCGCGGTCAACATGGATTTTGCAAAATTCGTCCTTCAACCAAAGATCAAGTGATGACTGGAGACATTGAAGAATTTGGCATTGGAATTGCGGAACACCGGTCCCTAGAAAGGAAGTCAATGCCTCGATAAAGTCGGCAAGACCGTGGGATTGTGATGCGTTGAAATTGTGGTATGCATCATGTAAGGTTTGGGCAATTGACGCGAGAAGTTTATGAGGAAAGATGGCATGACCAGCTGCCTGGATGCCGCTGCGATCAATTCCTAGCCCGGTTCCTTGCATGAAAGGGATAGACAAGGAATGGCCAAGCAGTGAAGTTGAGGGTAAGTAGGTATCTCCAGCGGAAAGATGCATGAGGCGTTCGGCCATTGGCTCCACAATCATAGTGGCAACCGCTTGGTTCCCTTTCTCTGTTCGAACCACGCGAACAAAGGTTTCAAGCAAATGAGACCAGTCTTGAAAGGCTGACGGAAACGAAAGTCCGAACGAGAGGATCTTGATAACATTTTCGTAGTCACGGGATACAGAGCCGTCGCGCCCACGAGCGGATTCCATAGGGAACGACTGCAAAGCATCTGCGGCCGCCTGGGCAGTGGCATTCCAAACTACCTCCGACAGCTGAGGCGCACGGGGAATAGCACTGGTCTTCGTAGTGCTCAATTCTGCACACTGTTGGAGAAGTTCGAGGCGAGATCCTCGGGAGAATCTCCCGTTGCATGCTGCTTCAATGTTACCTAAGACAAGGTGTGTGTAAGATTCGCTCGGCGCTATTGTCCCTGTGGTGCTGCTGGTTATTCGAAGGAGATGAAGAATAGCACTTTCTTGGGTTGTACTCGGATGTGAACTTGTGGAAACGTTGTCGGTTCCATCCGCGTTTCTCAAGAGAAGCTTTTCGGTAAACGGAATGCTCCCAATCGAAACAATCATTGTTGTAGACAAGAATCTGAACCTTTCGAAGAAAATATCTGTGGTGTCGGCATTCAACGAGGGCGGCCCTGCAGTCCAAAGGCGGTGGAGTAGGCTCCAAACGCTAGCAACAGCTTGCATCGATTCCCCCGAAGGGGTGATCTCTTTGCTGGACGCAAGCGATAGAGCACTGGTCAGACTGTTCCAGGCCAATGCCACGTGGGATTGGCCAACTGCGTCGTCGATCCAAACTGAGGCTTTGAACATATGCTCAAAAACCTTCAGAATTGAGGTAATTCTTGATCGAACCCATCTGCTGTCGGCTGCAGGAAGTTCCTCGGCTTCCATTTTGGTAGTGTCATTGATTCGATTCTCTAACCATATCTTAGCCTGCGTACTCCACAACAGGTTTGTCAATATGCGCGCAAGACAGTCGCTGAGAGCCGGGACTGATGAGAAAATGCTTGAAGACGGAGTGACCACGTATTCCTCCCATATAATATCGAGGTGCTGATATGAGGCTGAAGGACGGAAAGTGTAGTATAGCAGATTGTAGTAGCTGGTCAGAGCAAGTTGAGTGGGCGGTGCTCCTGACTTGTCGGTCTTCCTGCGGTCAAATTGAGAGAGCACCGGTTTGCCCAGCATTTTTAGGATATATGGGCTCGTCGATTCGTTGGGGCTCAGAGCAAAGACAAATCGATTCCAACCAACGATAGCCTGCGCTTTGATCACTGGCTCGCTGCAATTGAAGCATTTTTGGAGTACGAGAACCCATTCCTTAAAATGATCCCATTGCTCAAGATTCCATCTTTTGCTCCGGAGAAGAAGGATAATAACGCTCCAAATCTGAGGAACATGCTCACCACTATCGACTGTCGCCATCATTCGAGTCATGCGCTCACCAACCTCTGTTACAAGCTTTCGGTCGTGCTCCAATGGCCTGTCGAAGAGATCCCGGATGTTTTTCGACAGTATAGGATTTGGGCCGGCTTCTGTGGCCAACTGGAATCCAAGTGCAATCGCTTTTGACCTGGTATCCTTCAAATGATGAAGCAGCCCGAATACCAAGTGTTCGATCCATAGGCTTGCTTGGGATATGAAAGCGGACTTGGCTTGGCCCAGCAGCCGCTGGTAAATGTTCAATCGATAGGAAACAATTGAGTTGCCACTGATATTGTTGGTGATTTCTTGTAGTACCGATAAAAGACGGGCTACACGAGCACCGTTCATAATCTTGGGGCCAAAGTTTTGAGTAGACAATATGGACATGTAGTGCGTCAAAACGGACTTCGGGGCCTTGGCCTCATAGAGACAAGTGATGGAGTGGTCGACCAGAAAGATTTTGAACTCATCCGAAAGCTGTGTCGAAATCTCCGGATGCCAAACGAATGCAGCTGACAATTTCAGAGCCTGACTGGCAAGATTCGTGTCGAGAGGGGAGCCGTTCGCAAGGTCCCGATTCACATCTCGCTGAATAAACTCGGTGATAAGATTCAATTTTTCGGTAATCTTCTGACCTGCCGGAAGCCCATCGTACGTGCGTAGCGCGCCAAAGAATTGCATGTAGGCATCGCGTCGGGAGCTCATCGACTCGCCTGCCAGTTGTTGGATGACCGATTCGAGCAGCATGGCGAGCGATTCGGTTGTGAATGTATCGACATTAGGTGACCAAACGGGAATTGGCGACTGGGTTGCTTTCAAGATCGACTTCGTAGGCTTGGAGTTCGGGGACGGAGGGATAGTCTTGAAGTCGGGGGCCGATTTCATGGCACTAGCAAAGGTTGGTGGTTTGATGTACTTGGGCCATGGCGAGAAATTCACTTTCTTCGAACTGCGGCTGGACGGACCGGCTTCCACGGACCCCAGCGCAGAAAATGGTGACTCCTTGGGTGTTTGAACGGCTAGTGGTGACTCGGTGTTTTCAATCACGATGCGCGAAGCTGTCCTTGGGGGTGTAGGCGGACGAGCAGAGAGGACCTCCACCATGATTTGGATCAGACAAGAAATGTGAAAAAGGAAAAGAAGCAATAGTCAAGGATCATTGCTGAATGAGATGCTGTTCAGGCCCTGTCCATGATCTGTTTTAGACTGAAAGCTGAAGAATCAAGAAGCCACATCAAGCCGAGAAAACTAGGTTCAAGTTCCGACGCGCCGCGATGCGCGTAAAGTGTCACCGCCTGAGGCGACGAGGCATCAATACGCGGACTTTTTTCATGCGATTTGAATATAGCTTCAATAATCATTGGAGAATATTTCAGTGTGTGAGTATGTAGCAATCAATAGTAATAATCAATAGTAATCGGTATTCAGCATTCAGCATTGAACGTCTAACATTTCAATCTATTCATGTCGCATTCTTCAGGCAAACGGCGTTCACAAAAGTTCGCATTATACAAAATATCTAGACTGGATTGTGCAAGATGGGGCTCTCATAATTATGTACTAATTATTGTTATATAGATTTCTGGAGAGGAGGTGCTTAAGAGAAGCTTAAGTGGGGGAGGTTGCCAAATAATTTATGACGATTTGCGTTCTGACTTCCCCGCGTGGCTCCCTTCTCCTTTTTTTTGGTTCTCTCGTCAATAGCTACCTGCTCAAGCTACTGATTTGACCTTACTCTCATACTGTGCCGGGAATTCTACTTCAGCATAAGGCATCGGTGAATGTGACACCAGTCCTACATCAACACCCCTACTCGGAACACTCGAGTCAGTCCGAGCTCAGATCAGTATGGCGTTTCTTCAGATGCAAGGAACAGGTACGTTGTGGAGATTGAAAAGCTCCATCCTCACAATCAGGTCGGCTTACTCGATCTTGCGCATACAGCGAAGCTACAACAAGTGACACAGCTTCTAAAGTCTCTTGAGAAAGACCTACAAGAGAACAACCTCTCAACAGCAGGTAAGTCGGATGCAATCGCCATTATACTATGTACCCGCCTCATACTGATCCTATCTACTACTAGACCGAGTCCAAACCCTCCTCCAGCTCCGACAGCACGGCACAAACCCTACCAACGCAGAACCGATCTATTCACAAAATGTATGAGCACGACAGATGAAGTTGCTCGCCGAGAATGAGAATTATAATTGATTCTGATCATTTCCAGGGCATTAATACCTTGGTGCGGTATGGCGTTGAGGGGGAGACCCCTGACGTACGTCGAGCGGCATTGCGATGTGTTGCAAATGCGCTGTTACTTGACCCTACAATGCGCCAGGCCTTTGTAGACACGGGATACAGTGGAAAGCTAGCAGAAAAGCTCAAGGTAGGCCTGCAGAGAAAATGTTGGTACCAAAGCTGATACTGATATTTGATAGACCGAAGACTCGGAAGACGAAATGGTTACGAGTCGGGTATTGTTTTACGCGACCTATAACACCACACTGGACTTTAAAGACTTGATCGAGACCCACGGACTAGGGGAGAATGTCAACTACGTGAGCGGATTGTCAGACTCGAAAGGTGATGTGCTGTGCTGACCAGTATAGCAATTGAGCCGTCATGCGAAGCAGTTCCCCAAGTCAGGAAGAAAACCATTGTCACAGATGGACGAACTGGCATTGTCAGACACACTCAAGTTGATATACAACATCTCCAAGATGTTTCCAGATCTTGCTGCCGAGTTCTCCCCTTCCATCCCTCACATTTTGAAGATTATATGTCGCATTGATATCCCAGCGAAGCCCCTGGATGGTTTAGTTGGCGGCTTGCTCAATACATTGTCTATCCTTGACTTGGAGGAAAAGAAAGGCAAAGTTTTCGAGAGCAGCCCCCTTTTTCCAACATTCGACAACAACTGCAACGTGGACAAGTTGATCAGAATCTTGGATCAGGCCATATCTATATATGACCCTAAGGAGCTAGAGGCAAACGCAGTCCCGTTGCTATATTCACTCATCGCTATCTACGAAATGGCACCTGGTGGACCCCGCAAGCATATGCAGTCGCTTCTTCTGCCCGAGGACACTGACCGAAGCTTGCCAATTGGACAGTCTAAAACACTTTCTTCAAGACTTCTGAAGCTCTCGACAAGCCACTTTGCCAATCTGAAGGTTACAATTTCCGAGCTGATGTTTGTTCTATCAGATAAGGATGCCGAGAAACTTACTAAGAACATTGGCTACGGCTTCGCTGCTGGGTTCCTGGCAGCGCGCGGCATTGATATGCCACAGAGTGCAAGTGAAACATATTCAGCCACAGACGACCCCGAAACTGCACGTAATCCTATCACTGGACAACGTTGGGCCGCCGAGCCACAGGACTCCGGTCCGCCTATGACCAAGGAGGAGAAGGAGCGCGAAGCAGAGAGACTCTTCGTCTTATTTGAGAGGTATGTGCATTGTGAACAACCTGTATAGAACTCTTGCTAACAAATATCACAGGGCCAAAGCAAATGGTCTCATCAATGTCGAGAACCCTGTGACTCAGGCTCTCCACGAGGGAAGATTCGAAGAATTGCCGGATGATACTGATAGCGACTGAGCATCTTTTGACATTGTTTTTCAGTCTGGCAATGTCGGATTTTGAGGTCTCATTTAGAAGCAAGGCTTTTGAGCTTGGTTCAAGGCATGCGCGGCCGACTATTTGTGTACACCAAAATTAAAACAGTAAATCAACCTGGGCATGCAACAGCAATTCAATATAGTTGAGCTGGACATGAGATGCGATTTATACCCGTGGACCTGCGGGCGGAATGACGTTATGCAAGGCGGAGGGTGCTCTCCGCCCGTCAAAAAAATTATGCGCGGGGCACCGAACACTCCCACTTGATTTCCTCCCCACTTGTCATATCTCTGCTTTCTTGTGTTCACATTTCATAGCATTTACTTTACGCTCAACCGTCAAAATGTCGAAGCCATTCAACCCCGAGGAGGCGGAGAATCTGGAGGATGTACGAACCCGCGCCCATATAGTCCAAAGACTGAAGAACCTTGATCGCTGACAATCGCAACAGATGGAGAAGCAGTTCGCCGTCAAAGGTCAGTCACGCGTCGATTTACATCCCATTCACACCTTCGAGCGAGGTCATAATACTGATATCCTGTCACATTGCAGCGGTTGAACATCTCATGACATACTGGGCTATTTTGGAGAAGGTCAAGGGCTCGCAGCTTCGCTTGACCAAGCAGGACGATGATATCTACAACTCTTTCATGGAAGCATTCCCCGATTTCGATCCCGCCGGGACCCTCGTCGAGGACGAGATGAAGAGCAAGGCCGGCAAGGAGAAGTGGCGCACCTGGATGATGAAGTGGGACAAGATCGAGGACTTCAACTTTGGCACCATGCTCCGTACCCGTGCGGATGCCGAGTATGATCAGGAAACCACCATTTTCGGTGTGCGCATGCAGTTCTATGCTGTTGAGATCGCTAGGTAAGTGCCGATTGGAGCCGGCTGAGTCACGCATGGAAACTGACGGAGTCTTCTAGAAACCGCGCCGGTCTGAACGATTGGATTTACGAGAAGGCCCAAAAGGCCAGCTCTTGATTACAAATTGTGTCTCATTGCTGCTGTTTTTGAAATCGAGGACAGTTCCACATCCGGGCTGATCTGGCCGACGGCATTTGCCTGTTTCCTTGTGGCGCAGATAATGAACGGCCTCAAGGCTGTGATATTGATTACAAGACCTCGCAGTATCATGGTTTGAGGTTAATTGTTACGATAGAAGCGTGGTCATACCCATAAATATGTGGTTCTGATTTAGGATCGGACCATCAATCGCGACTCAAATGTAGACTGGCTGTCCGTTAGGACTTGGGCGGTCTTTCGACATTGAGTGCGAAATATACCCTGAATAAAATGTCATTTCCATTGGTCCTTTGTCTATATTCTTGACCACTATTGTCTATGTGGGCTGATTTGCTGGGGCGATCATTGTGGGTGATTGTGGCGATCGCGCATCAAACATCGAGTAAGTCCACCGTCTAGCCCTAGGTTTGTTTGACTGTTATAAATCTGCCACCAACAGTGAAGGCTATGATTACTATCTCAAGGTTGAGGCCGATGAATGGTACATTCATCCCAAGTGCCTTGCAGCAATGTCAGATCCCGGATGTCTTTGTTCTCACCCCTCTTCAATATTACCCCATTGGGACATTTCTTAGTATTGTTCTTTTTTTGTGGACTATATCTGTGAAACCACCCTCAAATGGCCTATCATTACTATTTCATGCCGATCTGTATCCTCTTTCACCTTGCCTCACTGCTACGACATTATAGCGCAGCAAGAAAAATCTCCACGACTCATATCAGGCCTTCGATGTGACGCTCGAGCCTTTCGCCAACATGCTGCCCAAACGCAAGACTTCCGATCAGAACGACACCAGCAAAGAAAATATTCCTGAGGGCAATCCGGGCTGGAAATCGCTGTTCGGATTCACGACTAGAAGACACCTGCCGACTCTCATATTTGGGTGTATATTCGCCCTGGTTGCCAGTTGTGTTACGCCGGCACTTGCAATCTTCCTTGGCAATGTGTTCGACTCGTTTACCTCTTTCGGCGCTGATCACACTGATGCCAAAGGGCTTCATAGCCAAGTAATCACAAGCTGCTTTGGGATGATTGGACTGGGAGTAGCTGGTTGGTTTTTGAACGGTGCATACTATGCTCTGTTCGTTGCATTCGGGGAAATGCAGGCTTCCGTTATTCGCAGCCAAGTGTTTCTAGAGTTGCTAAACCGCGACGTTGAGTGGTTTGAGGCCAAAAGTGAAGGCTCTGGCGCTTTGTTGTCGGGAATTCAAGCGTGAGTTTACCATCATACTGGCTGAAATGTTATTTCTAATATCGCATTGTTTCTAGACACATCCATGAAATGCAGATGGCGACATCGCAGCCACTCGGACTTGTACTGCAATACTCATGCCGTTCACTGGCTTCACTAGGGCTAGGCTTATACACATCATGGAGCCTCTCTCTAGTAACTCTTGCGGGCATTCCCATATTCTCGGCAATTATCGGCTTTCTTTCCTCCAAAATGAAGTTTAGCATTACAGCACAGCAGGCTGAGCTTACCGAGGCTTCCAAGGTTGCCAACAATGCTATCACCAATATTGATACGGTCAAATGCCTTAATGGACAGGCCTTGGAGCATCGGAACTTTTCTGAGCGCATTGAGAGATCTGCCACACACTACCTTCGACAAGCTCGGCTGAATTCTCTGCAAATTGCTGTCACCCGGTGGATGATGTTCGGGATGTTTGTTCAGGGATTCTGGTATGGCAGTTCGCTTGCACGCGCCGGGAAACTCACATCCGGAGAAGTTCTCAGAACTTTCTGGGCCTGTCTGACCGCAGCTCAGTCTATCGAGCAGGTGTTGCCGCAGATGATCGTAATGGAAAAAGGAAAGGTCGCTGGTGTTGCCCTGAGATCGATAATACAGAGCCGGAGAGAAGACAAAATTGTGAGCGAGGTCAAGGGAACTCGGTATCCGGAACACTGTGAGGGTGATATCGAGGTCAAAAACGTGAGTTTAAATCCTTGTATGGGTTTTATCTGGACAATAATGAACATTTATCAAGGTATCATTTTCATATCCTAGTCAGCCTGACCAATGTGTGCTCAAGCCATCGAGCTTTTTCTTCCCCGCTGGCGAAACGACATTTGTTATAGGGAAAAGTGGCTCTGGTAAAAGTACGCTCAGCCAACTGCTGATGCGGTTCTACTTGCCAAACTCAGGTGAAATCCTGATTGACCGCAATCCAATGCAAGAACTCGACATCAACTGGATCCGCAACAACATCACTCTTTTAGAGCAAAATAGTGTTCTCTTCAATGAGTCTGTGCTCACAAATATCGCCTTCGGTCGCCAGGACCATGCAACCGTCACTAAGCAAGATGTCAAAGATCCTATTGAGTTGGCAATGCTTGAGAATACAATCGACGGTCTCCCCCAAGGAATCAACACTTGCGTTGGCCCAGGTGGAAGCTTTTTGAGCGGTGGCCAAAGGCAGCGAGTTGCAATTGCCAGAGCGAAATTACGTGACACCCCAATCCTGATCCTGGATGAACCCACCAGCGCTCTTGATCACACCAACCGAGTCGCGGTCATGAAAGCAATCCGTGAATGGCGGAAAGGAAAGACTACCGTCATCATCACTCACGATATGTCACAAATCATGGAACAGGATTTCCTGTACATCCTTGAACAGGGTTCAATCGTGAAATCTGGCTACAGATTTGCTGTCGAGGTCAGTCCGGGGAGCGAAAAGTATTTCCATACGAAAGTCGACCTTCATCTGGAAACCAAGCCCCAGAACAAGAGGGCTGTGGATGATATGGAAATTCCATGGGAGAGCTCATCATCGGACAGTTTGGACACCTTAAGACCTCCAACAGCTTTCCTCGGGCATCGTCGATCCAGGACATCCTGGGCTCAGGGCCACATCCCCCCAACCTTTCGCTCCGGCTCACTGGACTTAACGTCGAGAAAGAATTCGGAATATGTGGTCAGGAATGGGGAATTCCCCGGATCACCCTTGCAAGATTTGAGCCAACGTCTTTCCTTAATGACAGAAGGATATGTTCCCAAGTGGGACTCAAAAGAAACAACCATTCAAATTCCGGCGGAAGAAGTCAAAATGGTTCATATTGATGATCAGGGCTTGAAGTCGGATACATGGCCTAATGGACACACCACGAAAGATCCATCAGAAACGAAGCGCAGCCGGAGATTACACGGCCGCCGCAAGAAATCAAATGAGCAGCACATATTGAAAGAACGAATGACTCCGCTCTCTCAAATCATGGGCACCATTCTGTCGGCGTTGACGATCAGGCTGCGAATCATCCTCTTCCTGGGATTCGCCGCAGCACTGGCCCATGCAAGCGCAACTCCGATATTCTCATATTGTCTGTCGCAGCTCTTTGGAACCTTCTATGCTGGATCCAACAGTGAACACCTGACAATGACATGGTCACTTGCTGTACTAGGAGTGTCTTTCGGAGATGGCCTTGCGTCCTTTTTCATGCATTACTTCCTAGAACTTTGCGGTGAGGCTTGGATGGATTCCTTTAGGAAAAACGCCTTTCAACGCATTCTCGATCAACCACGGGCCTGGTTTGAGAAAGATGGTAACGGATCTCTCAGACTCACATCGTCCCTTGACCAAAATGGAGAAGACATGCGAAACCTGCTAGGCCGATTCGCCGGTTTTGTGGTCGTTGCTGCAGCAATCACCGTCATGGCTATTATTTGGAGCTTGATTGTTTGCTGGAAGTTGACACTCGTTGCTCTTTCCTGTGGGCCTGTCATTTATGTCATCACTCGAGGCTTCGAGGGAACAAATGGATTATGGGAAAGACGATGCAATGATGCTAACAATATCGCGGCCGATGTCTTTACTGAGACCTTTTCAGAGATCCGTACCGTGAGAACATTGACATTGGAAGGTCACTTCCATCGCAAACAAGCTAATGCGATCGCACGCTGCTTGTTGCTGGGGTTGAAACGAGCCATCTATACAGGTATGCTGTTCGGTATGGTAGAATCGACAGTCATATTTTCTACCGGTAAGCTCGCTGGGTATTTTACTTGCTTGGTATTGTTCTGACTCTATTGAACAGCTTTGATCTTCTATTATGGGGCGGTGCTCGCAGCATCTCGCGAGTTCAATGTGGACGACGTGATGATGGTATTCTCGATGCTACTTTTCAGCATTGGATATGCTGCTCAGATTCTCTCATGGAGTAAGTAGACCCTGAACCACTTTGAAATACTCTACTAACCCCTTTATAGTCCCCCAAATCAACACCTCCCGCGAGATAGCGACGCAGCTTATTCGCCTTGCAAAACTCCCACAAGATGGATCCCACGAGCACCGCGGTAGTTTGACTGTTTCAAAGCTCACCCCAATCAAACTCACCAACGTGAATTTCCGATATCCCTCTCGGCCAAATACAAGGGTGCTGAAGAATGTCTCGATTTCCATCCCACGCAACTCCTGTACGGCGCTCGTAGGACGATCTGGATCGGGAAAATCCACAATCGCATCGCTGCTATTATCAGTCTACGAAGCTCCGGCCTCCGAAACTGGACAACCCACAGTGACACTCGGCGGAGCAGACATCCTTCGGCTGCATGTTCCTACCCTCCGCTCACAGATCTCCATTGTATCGCAACAACCAACCATTTTCCCTGGCACCATCCATGAAAATATCAGTTACGGCCTAGATCAGCACTCACCTCTAGCCTCATCTCATAGTGTCCGCACTGCCGCTCAAGGAGCAGGGATTGATGATTTCATCTCCTCTCTCCCTCGTGGATACAATACTGTGATCGGAGATGGCGGAGTTGGTCTTTCCGGTGGTCAGAAACAGCGCGTGGTCATTGCGCGGGCTCTTTTGCGTCAACCTCAAATCCTGATTCTCGATGAAGCCACGTCCAGTTTGGATCCAGCGGGTGCGGAGATCGTGCGACAGACAGTGCAGCAGTTGGTGGCCGTGCGACAGGGGCTTACTGTCATCATTATCACGCACTCAAAGGAAATGATCGAGATCGCGAATCATGTCGTTGTTCTTGATCAGGGAGCTGTCGTAGAGGATGGACCGTATCAGGCTCTGGCAAAAATGAATGGTGGCAAGTTGCATGCCTTGCTCAGTGACCCTGAAGAAGTTGATGCTTAGTTTGTTTCCAAGGTTGTTCTTTTGATCATTAGTCCCGAGATCCACGTTGCCGATTTCTTTTCACTGGTTCCTGTACTTATTGGTCAATATCATTGCAATTTGCGTCACCGTCGTTACCAAGTGCCATCAGGGTACCTGAGTACATCCACAATATCACGTAAATATGTTACTACTATGGGTAATTGGGAGTGTAATGGAGAACACCAATGTGGATAATATACCAGCCACCCGTAAGCGTCCTCTGGGGGGTGGAGGTGCATCAAAAAGGACAACCCGCAAGCAATCAACCGACTCATACATGGACACTCACACTAGCATACATACATGGTTGAAAGCGCCACGGGCCGAAAGACCTTAAAGCTGTTATTAGATGATTGTCCGAAGGCCGAGTACGTACCGATCTATGCGAGCTATGCTTCGGGTGATTCCCATCCTAATTTCAGCATAAAATGAACTATGAGGGGAAAGACGAATTGAAGCAGCCGATAAAACCCCCATATCGATGACATTGGCGACAAAGACGAGGCCGCGCAGCTGTCAAGCCCGAATCATCTTCCCTCCATTGTGGAAGTCTACCATACCCTGGTGGAGCATCTGCAGAACATGCGCGGGTCAGCTGCGCTCAGCAAAATCAGTTCACAGACGGGGAGAAAAGCGGTAAAATTAAATTAACTAAAGCGAAGTCCCGCATGGTAGATTTAATACCCCTTGCAACCTCCCAGCCTTACAACCTTGTATTGTACAGAGCAAGCGCCCGCATCCAATTCACATAGCTTCCACATCAACCGGGATGACAATGTCAAAGCCAACTCTGATTTTCGCGGCGGGCGCGTGGTACCCGTCCACCATCTTCGACCCAATAATCAAGGAGCTCGCCGACTATACCTGCCACAGTGTCTCATTTCCCTCCATCCAGCAAGCAAGCTCAGTCGTCGACCTTCAACCAGATATCGAGGCTGTGAGATCTATCACTCGACAGGAGGCAGATGCAGGCCATGACATCGTCATCATCGCTCACAGTTGGGCCGGGTTACCAGTGAGCAGCGCGTTGGATGGACTGAGCAAGTCAGAGCGTGAAGCAGCCGACCAAAAGGGCGGTGTCGTGAAGCTTATCTTCATCGCCGCTTTCCTGCCTAGCATTGGCGAAGGTTTGATCGGCGCCTTTGGTGGGATGCCCCCGCCATGGTATGTGCGCGATGTAAGTTGTGCGCCGATTTCTATTTACCAACTTGCAAATTGTCTATATGATCACTGACATTTATTATAGGAAGAGAAGGGAACTGTGACTGCGAGCGATGCGCTCGTGCTGTTTTTCCATGATGTTGCCGATGGTGCGGAGTGGGTTAAGCTTCTCAAGCCACATTCTTGGGCGACTCAGAATGCCCCCGCTACCAGTGCGGCGTACATGAACATTCCTTCTGCGTATATTTTGACCGAGGAGGATCGCGCGACTCCGTTGCCGGTTCAGCAGGTGCTGGTAGAGCGCGCACGACGGAAGGGGGCACAGATTGAAACCGAGAAAATTAAAACAGGACACACGCCCTGGTTGGCCATGCCGGATCAGGTGGTTGCTTACATTAAGAAGCATGCTAAGGAATCGGAAGAGGGAACTGGCTCTTCTTTACAATGATGCAGGTCATCATACAATTCGCAGATACCTTACTCTCTTATTTGGTGCAAGTGATAAAGGACAGAAACACAAAATCATATTGACCTATCCAACAAATTCGAAATGAAGTATATACCAGTGACCAGCATTTACAATATACGACAACATGACCAAATAGCACGGAGACAACCCTATGTTTCTCAAGTTTTGCTCTTCCTGTGCCACAGCTTATCCACAATGCTCCTCAGCTCATGGAAGCGGCTTGGTTTCCTTCCATGGCTTCCATGGTCCTTGCTTTGTCTATTCCCCGCGGGCTGCTGGACTGGCGTAGCATCTTCCTCAACGGCAGACTGCTTGACGGAGTTACTAGAGCCGCCGCCAATAGTGACTGTCAAGAGCTTTGGATTGCCATCAAAAACACTGCCAGACTGATCGGGGCCATTGTTAGGCGCAACATCATCATAGGGAAATGCATAGCCTCGGGTATCAATGTTCACAGAGTGACAGATGCGCGAGTAGTGGTTTGTCACGGAGTTCTTGTAGTAGTTTGAGACTGACTCCCCATTCGGCTGGTTGCCATTTATCAACAGGGTTGAGCGATTGAACGCAGCCGCGAGACGAGCTGTAATGGCGTCTTTGGTGCTATTCCCAGAAACAGCAAAGGACCCAGAGCTGTTACTGAAGATGTCTCCAGTGGACGGCTTGACGTAAGAAATACCTGGAACAGAGAAGTACAAGACATCATAGGCAACTTTGGCTGTGACATCACCGGCGGCAGCCTGCGTGTTGACTGTCAAAGTATTGCTGGTGCTGTTTTCATAGTAAGACCAGACTTTATTCACGTAGTCCTGGTAGTAATTGTTGAACAAAGAATTGTTGAGGGTTCTTCCGGTGTTTGGAGAAACAGCCCGCAAGTTGACCCCGTTTCGCTGGATTATGAGCTTATCCCAGCCGGCCTTATCCTTGTTGTTTTGGTCTCTGAGAGCATTGCAGACTAGATCGAGACCATTGGCTGGCATACCCTTGACGGTCTGGTTTGCACCAGCTGCGTTGGTTAGGGTCATGGCGATGGGCATCGACACGAAGTCGACGTAGCTGAGATTCGCATAAAGCTGATAGTTATTCCAGGTGAATTCGCAAAACGCCCACATCAGATTATAGTTAGGGTCTGATGGGTTTGATACCGAAGGCTCAACAAGCGCAGGGCCAGGATTCAGATAGAATGTCAACTTGTTGTCTCGCGCGAACCACAGTCGGGCACCTGCAAGGTGCGGAATAGTGATGGTTCTGGTGCTTCCAGATGCACCCAGCGGAATCGCACAATCCTGACTCAGGCTAGTTCCAGTGGCCGATGGTGAGGTTGGGTAGTAGGGTGTCTTGCCATCAGATCGCAACAGGAAAAGCGCATTGTTATTATCAAGCGCCTGGCCTGTAATGTAGGCATAGACCGTGTTAGAACCGGTATTGTTTTTCAAAGCAAAGTTCAATGTTGCCATTTTGCGCGATATCAGTGCCTTAAGGGGTTTGAAGAAGAATTTAGGTGGACTGAGGTCATGAAATGATTGGCGCAAAAGCCCAATAAGAAAGCCGTATCAAGATCCACAAGGCTGCTGCCAAGGGGTTTGAAGCTGTTACCGACATTTTAATTCGCAATCTAGCCCCATTATATATACTATCGATGAACATCTTTTGTTGACTTCGTAACAACCTCATGGCCTCAGGTAGGGTAGGGCAGGGTGACTCGACCCTGTGATACAACGTGGCGATGACCTCGACCTTCTCGGAGAGGATGGCTTCGACCCCATTGGACCGGCTATCTGATTTAGGCGGGCATGTCGATCATCGTTCACAATAGGCTGCGCGCCGATATCAACAATAGTATATACTGATGTCGATCTAAGCCACCGCGGGACGGCGCGATCATGCCGAGTTTCCAGGTGATCCAATTCCCACCTATTCATCTTGGCCTCTTTATGCGAGGGGACAACTTCGAGCTAAACATTATATGAAAAATTATTGATTTGGGGATCGAAAGGCCGAATACTTGACCTTCAAGGAAACCGACTTGGGATATCCTCGACAACTCAGTTCCGTCAAGGAGGATGTGTGAGGATTCAAAGGTTGGCCCCGGGGCCATTGGGTCAGCATCAGGTCATCCACGCTTTTGTTTTATTGGCTAATACAACCATTTGATGTTCCTATACCACGAGACGATCGTTAAGATTTTGCTCAACTTCAAGGTACACTAATCTTGAAATGCTTTTCGTGGATCATATGACGACGTTAAGTGTGGTTTTTCCAGCACCCGAGTCCTAAGGCTGAAGAACCTCGCAACGCACCACAGACGCCACGCCTAAGTGTTTGAACATGTTGCACGAATTCTTTAGTTTGAGGGTTCATGTTTTTTTTAAAAAAAAATGGTCCCTCGTCAGAGGAAAGGAACATTATCACGCGGCGATAGAACATTGAAACAAGATAAAATGATCAGATGCTAGCACGTCCCCTCTATCCTTTCTTGGCTTAGTCAAATATCCGATTTTGCAATCACTTTCTGGGGCTTTCTCAAGATACAAGGAGAAGGGTTGAAAGCATCAAAATATTGTTTGTACCAAGCCGAAATGTTCATTTTGGTTCAGAAGATGAGATATATCTTCCAGGTTGCCCAGGAGTATATAAATATTTTAAGTAATATAGCAATTAGCCACTGGAACACGGTCTCCCAAGACTTATATTAAGCTCCATGTGAAGTATCTAACCTCGCCTTTTTTTGGAATTCCTTCTATAACGTTTATATCTAGACAACTCATGTTACGATATAAAAAGATCCAATATATCAAACCCAATTTGTAGACTCACTCACATGTCATTGTCTAGCACTATCCGAAAGCAGCAAATGAGAGGAAAGGTCATCCACGTGTTTTATCTTACGCCTTCACGTCCGGAAACAAAAACATCCGATGAACATTACATTGGCCGGGCAAGGCGCGCCACATTCCTTAGCAAGACCATATGTCAATTTCAATCCTGATAATTCCGAATAGGAGAGATTGAAGCACCACCAGGGATTCCCCTTCAAGTAGAGTAGTGCCTAGAACATTTGCCAAGATTAATAAGTGGCGGTCTATCAAAGTTGCTGTCTGTACGACAACGATCAAGGGTCAAGTCATGAATTATAATCACACTTCAATTTGGTCGGAATTGCGCCGATCCCTTAGTTTTCTAGGAACTATACCTGTTAGGCCAGACTACCGTAGTGCCATATCTTCACCAACCCTAATGATAAATTCGCACTTTGTTCGGTTTAGCGGGCCCACCGTAGATACCGTGATCAACTCCGCTGGAAGGATACGACGAGTATACTAAACAGGACTGTAGCACATGGGGATTGCCTTACTTCTTGCAGTGTTGTAATATCTTGCATTCTAGTTGACGAAGAGTCGTCAGCATCAACATTGGGCGTTCCCATTCTACAGCCACGAAGTCAAATTTTCTGGGCAGGGGGACATGGGACAAAAACATGCTTTGGACCTGACGGGCAGGAACTGTCTTAGCCGGCATGATCTTCAATTTATCCAGCGGCGACTCAGCCATGCCTAGGAAACAGAATATGCCCGCATAAATCCTGGTTGACCCAAAGCCATACATAAAGTCGACTTTGGACTGGACATTAACATTCTGCAGATATTGTAAGGTATAGAAAACAACAAATTATGAAGCCAAATTTCCATTTTGAAAAGTGCCCAACGTAGGCGGAGAGTGAGGGGCTGCCTAACAATTGCGTTGTCGGCACCTTAGCATTGTCTTGCCTCAACCAGGTGCGTTAAACCAGATGATGATATGGATAAGAATAAGATGTCTCTTGATTATGGAGGTTTCCCGAAGCATCTCTGCTAGATAGCATACAGGACAACGACCATTTCACCATGACGATAAAGAGTGGAGACTTGGGGCTGGAGTAAGACTTGAGCCCCTGGGGCGGCGAGGATTCGCCAAGTTTCTCACGACCCTGCCAGCCTATCTGCCATTCACTGCGCCTCACTGGCCATCGCAAGCACCGACTACTCCGTACATCTATTCAAGATATCGAGGGAAATATGATGAGCGACCAATAAGTGTCGAGCAGCCCCGTTGATTGTGGCATTACAATGCTCACGGGCAATGCCGTTCGATTATTATTCGACGATGACGTAGATCTCGGGAGCCACCTGGGCAGCACCTTCTTATATTTTCAGCACCATGTCATGGTCTGGACTAAGCGACACAAATCAAGTTCAGGACATGATCAAAGCACCATCCATGGATGGGAATTTGCTCGAGGACACGGGTTATCATAACTCCTTTGTATGGCACGGATCCTAATGGACATCGGCCGCTACGGGACAAAGCCGAGCAGCAAGATGGTACACCGAAGGGGGGATCGGCTGTCGTTCATATCAGTATTCCCGAGATAGATGATTTGGGACGAAAGCAATTTGAAATTACGGCAATTCCCGTGGCATATTGGAAGGTGCTGTGCCTGCCTTCGCTTCAAGACCTCGTGATATGGAGGCTCTACGACCAATTCACGGATCTACAGACCAAGGGGCAGTTGACGGAGAACTACCGAGACAAGCTAAGCTGATGGAGACAGATGACCCTGGAAGTCTGATCGCCGTTTAGTTAGGCCAACCTGCGAAGAAGGGGGTGTTTCAGAGATAGCCAGGAGAGCTGAAAGGGAGCAATGTACTCCGTATCGATCACAAAATTCGCCTACTTTACATCTCACGATATGGGCCGAGGTTAGCGGGGGTTTTTTTCATTGTGACACGATCACCAGCTGGCCTAATGAGCCCCAACGGTGGGAATTTGACGATTGGCGATTTGATATTCCAATGTCTCAGCACGATCTCATACCGGTTGGTCCCGAACGCAAGGGCGTGTCTATTTTTGTATAGGTCTTCCCTTGCTGCAAAGGGACTCGTGCAGTTCATCTCCCACGATCGAAAGTCAATAATGAACTCAATAATGAAGTATGAATTCAATAAATGATTGAAATTTGAGATTTGAGATTTGATAAAGGGTCTAGCCCTGGAGGCGAAACGGCTAGGGATCTCCCGGAGAGCAACACGATCGCCGTGGAAACGATTTAAAACAAGGGCACAATATAAAATGATTGGTAGACAATTGCAGACAATTTGCAGACAATCGCAGACAATCGCAGGTAATCGCAGATAATAGTCAAGATCGGCAATATTCTTTTAGTAAATTCCAAATAAAAGAAAAATCTGATTGAAGGAGAAGCCGAAGTTCACCAGCCTCCACATCAGGGCCACGCCAGCGTTTCATTGCTTGGCGTATAATAATAGCCACTTTTGTAGATGTCCAAGGCTGACGCGCTTTGTCCTTTTTTTCCTCATTCCTCGACTCTTTTGAAATCCGGGGATTTTATTCCATGCCTTCCATTAATCTCTAGGCCGAGTTGCCTGTCCCACATTATGTACATTCCACAAAAACGTCAAGATGAAACGAATAAGAACAACATTTTTATTATCGTATGTTGTTTCCGATCCTTCCGACCTCCCCTATGCTGACCTCTTATCTCTAGTGTTCGGTGAGCATCATATTTGCAGTCGCACTCGGTGCGGGCACCTACTTTCTATCCCGCTATCTACGACAACGTCACTACGAACCGAAATACCTTCCGGGGAAATACCTCAAGCGAAAATGGAAAGAATGGGGCCCAGGGAGTGCATCATACGGCCAGGTCCCGAACCAAACGAGTGGGCAAGATACCTCTTATCGTGGAGCTGGCACAGCACCAGAAATGCAGACCAATGATGGCGTCCGTCGCGATACCTCAATCCGTTCGATTATGACCCTACCCCCTTATTCCCAAAGCCCGAAGCCGACCGAGCAAGTCATCGCCCGAGAGGGTGAACGCGGCGGAATGGATATGGTCGTGGAATACCCGGAGACTGCGGAAGAACAGGAAACCCGCCGCGAGGAACAGATGGACTCTATGTACCAGATTCGCCTGCAGCGCCGTCAGGAACTTGCCGATCGTGAGGCACGCCGTCGGGAGCGACGGGAAGCCCGGGCGCGTGGGGATTCCACTCGCCTTGAACAGCTGAATGCCGAAACTCGAGCTCGGACTGAACGTCGCCGTGCAGGAACCAACAGTGCAGCCGACGCATCCGCGATCCTAGCCGAGCATCAGGCAAGAGAGCGGGACCGACGCATCGCTAGTGTTAGCTATGCTGAGCTTGGACGTGTTCGCCATGATGGATCGCGGCTTCGAGCCGACTCGCACAATTCTGACTTCCATGATTCGGATAGCCGACCGCTGTTGCAAAGTGACGCTGTTAGCTCCACCGCGCCTTCCTTTGAGCCATCCAGCCTCGACTCTCGAGGCCAGTCCGTTGCTTCGTCGATTATGAGCGAATCACATAATTCTACTGAGCTCGAACGACTAACTCTGGCTCCGACCACGACACACGGCTCCAGCCGACCAGCATCACAAACTGATGACGGAGATCTGGGGATGCTCAACATTCCTCCACCTCCCGACTACGAGCACCTGGACTGGGGTGATGCCCCTGCGTATCAAAGTCCTGTTACGGAGCAAGGTGAACAAGCGCGGCAGCTCCCACCCATCAACCGTTTGCCTTCAATCCACGTCAATTTGCCCAGTCCCATGACCGTGTCTCCCGTGACGCCGACTCAATCACAATTCCAGACTATCAATATTAATGATGGGCCTCCAACGCCAACAGAGCGGACGTCGGGAATCCGAATGGTGTCATCGGGATCGGCGACTACCACCCGTGGTCCACCACCCATACTGCATGATTCGACCACTCCTGAAGGCAGCCATTGAGTGAACTCTGCCAGGAAAAACTCATAATATATCGCTCAGCACGCGCATGATTCACGACCTGTATTAGCATTGGTTTTGGGGGCTTTAGTCCTCTCTTTCGCTCGTTTGATTTCGTCCTTCCCCCCCCCAGCGCCTCTTCCATTTTATGTTATTTAATCGGCTAGCAAGGCGTTTTGAGTTTAGGTGGCTAGCGAAGAACATTGCTCTATAAAGATATACGGGGTCCTTGCTATCAATGTATCTACAACATCCAATATATGTGGGAAATGAAGATCAATCATGCAATTGACTTATATTTGCCAGTTCCTAGGCGTGTACAGTCCGCCAGACCTCTCCAGCCTGTGTTAAATACCCATCCACGCTTCACAACCGCGTCGCACACCACCAAATCATCCCGGGGTTCGAATCACCCTAAGGTGGGTTCTGCGTCTGCTCAATCTTTAGCGAAGTAAAGTCCCGCCTCGAGTGCCCACCGCGTTCCCGTCGCTTCACCGACATCCCACCAAAATCCCTTGATTGACTCGATATTATGACAATTGCATAGCTCCATCCTCGATCCCCTTCATTTCATAATGTCCCGCCAAGATACTCCCCCCCCCCCTTCTTTGACAGCAAACTGCGTACGGAGTAATAGTAGGATCCAAATGAAGAGAAGAGAGATACAACATGAATTGCTAAATAAGTCCAAATTTGCGCTCACGACCATGCTGGCTTCACTGGGCGGCCAAAACGAGAACAGCGGTATAAGTTGACGCAACATAAGTATGAATCTGTTCCACACGCAAGCCCGCACTTTCTGCAAGTGACTCCCACTGGTGCCTGGTCCGCTCTTTACCAGCAAAGGTCATCATGGCAAGATCGGCCAAGGCCGATTGCCAGTTAGCGCCAGTATCCGGCAACACGGCATCATCGATCAGGACCCGCGAGTCGGGGCTCATGGCCGCGCGAATATTGCGGAGGATAGTTGCGGCTTTGTCATCGGGCCAATCATGCATGATTCTGCGGAGGTAGTAGAACTTGGCGCCTTGGTTAAAGGAAAGGTCAGCTTTCGATATTATCTTGTATCCAATGGACAGATGGAGACAAACCAATGATGGGCTGCTGTTGGAAAAAGTCATAAGCCTCAGCCTTCACACCATCAATGGGAGCGAGATTTTTCACTGCTTCTGGCAAGTCCTGGAGCACAAGGTAACCTAGGAGATTGGGATATTTCTTTCCAAGCTCAATACATTGGTGGCCATGACCACCGCCAACGTCGACGAAGAAGGGTTTCTCCGAAGGCTGTGGGGTAGTGGACGAAACCTTGTATGGAACCTTACGGGCTTCATCATCAAAAAGATTGAATCCCTCGGTCCATTCTGATCCTTGAAGAGCAGTCATGATCTTTTGCAGATTTCCGAAGTGTTCTGGCTGCTGGACAAGCCACTCGAATGAGCTGAGTTTGGTATTGTGGGCTTTCTGGAACGGGGTGTCCGTATTGACGGTGACATCTTGATAGTTGTTTTCAGCGAAGAAGGCAGGCATTGCTTGCACGACAGGTCCAATCGTGTCGAACCTAAGGTTGTATCAAGGATACTAGGTAAGCAGAGATGTTTGCTTGGCGGAGACTATGTTGCTTACCCGTGATATATCATGGCCTCACCCTTAGGGTCAGCCAAAACATGAGTGATACTGCTCGCAGTGTACTCATTGACTCCAGTCTCTTTAATCATGTCTGTTGCAGCTAGGTAACGAAGAATCCTCTCTGAACAGAACAATTGTTTTAGAATTTGAAGTAGAAACGGCCGTCTCAGAATTCATTACCTAGGAATGGAGGAGACGATCCCGTCAGCTCCGCAATTTGCGTGACAGTCAAGGATACATCACTTCTTGTGAGAGAGCGAAAGAGTCCCAGATCTGCACCGATTCGGAGCATCGCACTCGTTAGTCCCTACAACTGTCAGTACTTTAGGTACCTCCGAATTATAGTATGTGACCACCAACCGGCACTGCAAGCTCCATGAAAGTATCGGTTGGAGATTGAAGTTCAATTTTCACTCGTTTGAGTGACTGAATGATGTTCAACCGACCAGCTTCATCGGTGTTTTGGGCCATGGCTTGGATCTGAGCAATGATGGAGTCCATATTGACACAAATGACAAGAAGATTTTTGGGTTAAATAAGTAAGTGAAGAATAAAGCCAAACTGATGGGTCATTATGAATTTCCTAGTGAAAAGAGGTTCTTATATACCTCTTGTCTCACACATAACTTCCTATAGTAGAAATCCACGGAGGCCGCGGAACTTCCGCGGATTCGCCGGCCGTTGATTGGTCAACTTCATAAATGACATCTCGCCCCCATTTCACCCTCGTGAACTCCCACAGCTGAACAAACACTGCGTCAATAATATCCAGGGGCAGAGATGCATCGAGTCGAGAAAGAGCGTGTTAGATCTTCACGCTCGCGACCTGTATCTTGCCACTTCTGTCGATCGAGGAAGCTGAAGTGTAGTCGGCAATTCCCTTGCTCCAACTGCACTAGTCGGGGCAAGACCTGTCAGCTTTATCCTACTACAACATTGCCTGCCAGTCCTCGGTTTCAGGCTGATCAATTGCCTAACAATGACCATACAGATGTACTGGCCCGCTTACGGAGGCTGGAAGAGATAGTGATCACCAATGGACCAACGTCTAGTCCCCTAGGACAAGATACTACCCAGGCTTCGTCACTCCCTTCTCCTCCTACCCCAAAGTCGAATCAACTATACATAATTCACGAAGGGCAGTCATCAACAGCGGCTGTGACTTGGCTGGAAGGCGAGATCACGTCGTCAGGCTCAATGGTAGGCCTACCTTGATCGACTCAAAATTATGGGAAATCAACCGCTGACAAAATGTACAGGGTAATCTTTTGAAATATGAAATTGAATTCAGAACTTGCCCCATTCGTAATGCAGTGGGACCTGCACCAATGGCATATCAAGCCCAGTCCACGAAAAGATGTATCTGGCTACCACTCCACGACGAAGCGAAAATACTAGTGGAAAAGTACATCACAGAGATCACCTTTCTCCACCATGTGGTTCACACCCCCTCAGTGCGTACCATGATAGATGAACTCTATTGTGATCTGAGAGAAAGCAAGCCGGTCAAGATTGGGTACGTTTCATTGCTCCTCAGCATTCTCGCCAGTACCACGTCTTTCTGGACTGAACGCGATATGTGCAACCCCATATTTCCGACTGTTGAAGAGGCAGTTGCGCAGTCTACACAGTGGATGAGACTTGCGATGGAAGTGGTCGATTACTCGCGTTACAAACACTTCGAGTCAATAGAGGATATTCAAGCGATGGTCATCTTAATATTTGTGACTGCCAATATCGTGGGAATTACATCCCAAGCCCGGCATATGGTTTCAACAGCTATCTCATTTGCAAGAGAACTATCGTTGCATCGGATCGACTGTCCACACAATTCCAACCTAGATGTGCCCTCGCCTTCCTCTGCAAAAGCAGAGATATGTAGAAGGGTGTGGTGGTATCTCGTGGCGACTGATTGGTAAATTCTCCTCTCCTTCCCCTCTCCCCCTTTCAAGAATGTGTGTTCATTCGATAACAGGCAAATGTCGCAGATATCTGGCCCACAGAAGGGCACATATTCAATTGATCCACGCCACATGATGACCAACAAGCCTTGCAATGCGGATGATGAAGATATTGTAGACGAGATGGTTGGAGTTGGAAAGCCACTCACTCAGCCCACATCAATGTCGTACTGTCTCCAGCGGATTCGACTGGGCGAGTTTTGCCGCGAAATTACAGATTGTGCTCCATTCGGAATGTCCGATCCAGGAAGCCCGGACTATGAGCACACGAAACAGATTGATGGCAAGATTTGTGGATTCGCTGAGAGTCTACCCTCGTTCTTTTCGTTGGCCCATAGGTCGGACGAACTGCCAAAATCCGATCCTCGGAAATCTCCCGGGATAATCATACAACGGTACATCATCAATTTTCTGCTTCATACCCAAAGGTGCAGGCTTCACTTGCCTTACTTGTCGCGAGCATCTAAGGATGCTACATATGATTATTCACGGAAGGCATGCCTAGAAGCAGCTCGAATGGTGATCCGAACCGAACGCCAACTCTCGGGAGAGACGATCCCATTTGTATCGGCGCGATTGAGACTTCCAGGCTTGCTACATTGTGTTTGTGTGGCGATCATTGTTCTCCTCATAGACTTTTGTGGGAGTGGTCATCCGCAGGAAAAGAACTTAACGGAAATTTTGGAAGCATTTTCAATCCTGGAAAAAGCTAGAGAAGAATCCCCTCTTGCAGGAACGCTGCTTGAAACCTTCAAGACGGCCCTTCGCCGGCACAGTGCTTCGGTTTCAGCTGCTGAGGAAAATACATCCACCACTCAAGATCCCGAGGCTTCGCCAGGACTTGCCTGTGGCTCTCTGGCATCTACAAGCATGGTATATCCGACAGGCAGTAACACCGGTGACTTTCTAATGGATCCCACATTGCCTGCTCTAGATGACCTCTGGCAGGTATTTGATGACAATGTGGACCCAGGAACAGTGGACTGGAACCTCTTCTTTGCCGAGTCGGATACTGCATTTCTGTCTATGTAGTTCGTAATTAAATGACCGGTCTCGGCATGGGTTGACTAGGATTTGAAACCCACGACATTATGACGCATGATATGTCGATTGATTTTATGTAAGAACTTTCGTCATTTCTACAATATACTATTACATTGAACCTTGGGTATCCAGTCATGTCCATATTGGGATCGACATGGCACGTCATGTTAAACTTCGCAGACATAAAATATTAACGGGCGGAGGAGATCAGCTTAACGGCGAAGAAGTACACTATAGTGTATAATAATTAACAATGAAAGTAGTGGCTTGCTATGCATTTTGAGTCTGGCATGTTAATCTTGGATTTGTCCGGCATATCCAAACCCATGTCATAATATTCAATTCAAGGCAACCAACCTGTTCTGTGGCAGTGATGCAGTTTTGCGATCGATTGATCGGGTTGCATGGGAAATAATGCTGCCTGGTTCCGGAACACATTCTTACTTTGTGCCCTACATAGCCCTGGACACTGCCTTTTGTGTCAGCTCCTCCAGGGATCTTTACCGTATCATATCATCAATCTACAGAGTATATTGTACAACATATGTTATACAACGTCTGCGGGTACATGATAGGATCAGCGGAGGTCTAGAATCTCAGATTGGGGGCCTATCGTCTGTGCGATGATCGTCTAGGTCCAATGCCCCAATATAGACACACGTGCACGCATTGCCGTAGATTGTTATGCAGATCCACTGCGGAGTAAACTCAGTTATATAAAAAGATGTCTACAATGGTGCAAATGGTGCAAATGGTGCAAATAGCATGACGTGGGTAATAATTCCACAATGAGAGAGTTTTCCACAATGAGAGAGTTTTCCACAATGAGAGAGTTTATGTAACTGTGCCATGGTTGAGCAATATAAAAATAGTCGGACGTTGTTGTTGGCCGGGTCCAATTCGGGGGGTCCACTTCCATATTGTTCAATGATGATTAATTGTCGGCTTCATCTCCGTGGACAATCCAATCCAATCTCTTTGTGTCTTCTTTTCGATTTTTGTCTTTCGTCATTCTTATGAATGAGCTGCTCTATGTTGTACTAGTGTCTCTGTATTTGTTACACAGTAGTCCATATTGTACAACATAGCAATTAGTATCCTTTATATGTATCATATATATCACAATTTCACCTCAACTCTATGACCTAGGATATAACGGGCTATATATGATATATGCATAGCATATAAGACACTCTAGTCAAAGGTCTGATGGTGCCAATAAGGAGACATCTAGCCCTGTCGAATCATTTTTGTTTCTTGTCTTGTTTATTATACTTTACATTATACTCAGTATAACGGGAAAGTTCGAAGTTTGTAGCTATATTCCATAATCATACTAGATAGGATCACACAACTGACTGTTTATATGTACAATATACTAGCTGCTAGATCAAAAACTGGAGTACTAGTAGTCTCTTGACGCATATGCTCCCGACTACCTGGTAACAACAATGGGACAGTCTGCATCACACATTGAATGAGTTGAGCCTCTCGGATGCAGTCCTCCATAAGAAATTGTATGTTGCCACTTTCAAATGGGTTGCCTGGACTGTAGACGATAAGTCCACATCCCTCTCATACTCAGTCAGTGACCGTTGTCCATGTCTTCAGATCCTGCTTTTAAGTGGAGAAACAAGCATACTCTCATACTCCATCTTACTCCACATCTCAATGAATTGTACCTCTGTTCAACATGACGTTGTGCAATTTGCTACGCATCTCGCTCCGGCTGGTTCGGACCTACTATTGTCTACTCTCCGAGACCAGGGTATTGGTCCATCGGAGTTCTTCCCCACGGTAAACGGCATGAATGGCTGACAGCATAGAGTCTCTATTGTTTCTTTATGTTTTCATCTCGGGGACTTTTGCCGGTCATGGGTGCCCTGATATTACATTTTTCGTTGATTCGTCTGGAGCTTTAACCCACTGCTTCTTATAAAGATGCACTCTCCCCCAAAATCTTGCTCCCTCAATTAAAGTCACACCTGCCACCACAACTCTACCGGTGGATATCATCAGATCGTCCAATTTTTCACGAGCTTCTTAAAAGGGGGCGCTGTGTTCATTCGCTAGTTGATCAGCCTATTCACATTCGCTGAACAGCAATCATGAGGAACTTCATTGCCCTCGCTGCATTTGCTGCTGGCTCTAACGCCCTCGTTAGCCGCACTGATAGCTGCTGCTTCCACCTCACCTCTTCCGGCGGTGCCTCCGGTAAACTTGGCCAGCTGGGTGATGGCCAGAACCGCATTGGCGACGATAGTTTGCAACCCGCACAGTACTGCATCGACTCTAATGGCGCCATCACCGACTCCAAGGGCCGTGGGTGCATCCTCACCCGTAAGTAAACCAATCAATTCCCTGTATATCAACTGCCAAAAGATGTATATCTGACTGTATAACAGCTCCCACCACACAACTCCAGTGTGATGAGGGTGTGACTCCTACCCCCGGTTTCTCTATCAACTCCCAGGGTAAACTGGAGTTCCGCAGCAACCCCGGCTTCGTTGCATGTGCCACGGGCCAGAACGGTGGTCTGAATATCTACACGACCCCCAACAAGATGGATGTCACTGGCTGCGTGAACGTGGAGATGTCTGCCGACTCCTGCTCGGGCACTGGTTCCGGCCCCGGTGCTCCAGGTCCCGCTCCAGGCCCTGGCCCTGGCGCTGCTGCTAGTGGTGGTCCTGGAGGTGGTGGTGGCCCTGCTCCTAGTCCTGCTCCTGGTCCCGCTCCTGGCCCTGGTGCTGGTGGTGGTGGCCCTGGAGGTGCTCCTGGTTCCGCTCCTAGTCCCGCTCCTGGTCCCGCTCCTGGTCCCGCTCCTGGTCCCGCTCCTGGCCCTGGCACTGGAGGTGGTGGTGGCCCTGCTTCTAGTCCTGCTCCTGGTCCCGCTCCTGGCCCTGGTGCTGGTGGTGGTGGCCCTGGAGGTGCTCCTGGTTCCGCTCCTAGTCCCGCTCCTGGTCCCGCTCCTGGTCCCGCTCCTGGTCCCGCTCCTGGCACTGGCCCTGGCGCTGCTGGTGGTGGTGGTCCTGGAGGTGGTGGTGGCCCTGCTCCTAGTCCTGCTCCTGGTCCCGCTCCTGGCCCTGGCGCCGGAGGTGGTGGCGCTGGAGGTAGTGGTCCTGGAGGTGGTGGTGGTGGCCCTGGTCCTGGTGCTATTCACACTGCCACAACCACTATCACTGTCACTGACTGTAGCTGCCCTACCTCCGGTGCTCCTGGTCCTCTGCCCTCCGCCCCTGGTGGTGGTGGTGGTGGTGGTGGTGGTGCGCCGCAGCCCTCTGCTAGTATGCCTGCCCCGTCTGGTGGCGCTGGTATCAAGCCTTCTGTTACACAACCTGCTCCCGCCGGCGGCGGCGGTACTTCGCAGCCTGGTGCCTCTGCTAGTGTGCCTCCTGGCGGCGGTGGAGGCGGCAGTACTTCGCAGCCTGGTGCCTCTGCTAGTGTGCCTCCTGGTGGCGGTGGAGGCGGCGGTGCTTCGCAGCCTGGTGCTTCTGCTAGTGTGCCTCCTGGCGGCGGTGGAGGCGGCGGTACTTCGCAGCCTGGCATCTCCGTTAGCGTGCCTCCTTTCTCCGGCGGTGGTAGTTCGCACCCTGGTGGCTCTTCTAGCGTGCCTGCTCCCACTGGCGGTGGTGGTTCGCAGCCTGGCGTCTCTGCTAGCGTGCCCGCTCCCACTGGCGGTGGTAGTTCGCACCCTGGTGGCTCTGCTAGCGTGCCTACCCCAGCCGGTAGCCCACAGCCATCTGGGTCGGCTTCTGTTCCCGCTACCTCCGGTGTCCCTCGTCCCACCGGCTCCCCCACTGGCTCCCCCAGTTCATCCGTCCCTATTAGCTCTGCCTCTCCCACCGCATCAGCGACTGGCACTACCTCCGGCGGTGCTTGTCCCACTACCCTCTCTGGTAATTACGAGATCCCCCACCTTATTGTCGAAGTCGACTCGTCCTCGCCCGACACCACCGCAGGAACTGGCCTCAACGGTACCGTGACTTCGACCATCTCGACCTTGTTCAACTTCGACATCCCGAACTCCGACGCTGGCAAGACCTGCAGCCTTGTGTTCCTCTTCCCCAAGCTTGAGGATCTCGAGACCTCGTCTTTCAGCTTCAGTGGTGATGGAAAGATTGACTTCGCTAAGCTCTCTTCCACTGCCGATTCCTCAACATCCTTCAGCAACGTGCCCTCGGTGGCCCAGGACCTCGGCACCATCGCCGTCTCCCCCGGCAACTCATACGTTGTCTCTACCTTCTCTTGTCCAGCTGGCCAGGCTGTCGCCTATGAGATGAAGAACGCTGGCAGTACCAACTTGAACTTCTTCGAGGACTGGAACCCCTCTCCGTAAGTTTTCTTCTACTTTCCCTTTTCCCTGTATATCAGCTAACAGCTCTTTTTAGTCTTGGCCTGTTCATCACCACTTGCTAAATGAGGAACCTCTTGTGTAATTTGGCAGTTTGCGACTCTGGACATGTGATTTCTATGGCCATTTTTTTATGCCTTGTAAACTTCCATTGATGTCTCCTTCACGTCGATATGTATTTTCTTGATATTTCTTCTCATTTTCTGTATGGTTTTCTTGGCCCGGTGTCCATCTCAAAAGCTGAGTGTCTATTTGGTGGATCGGAAATAGCCATATCTGGTTGATGTTGTAATTGAGGCATGCCTGGACATTCCTTCAGCATTGTGTATTAGTAGATTGAATTCACTCCTTCGGTTTTTCAAGTAGGATGAGCATAGGATATGTAAATCTGATTTGTCCACCTAGGCAGCAAAAACCAGGACCTCTAGGGCTTTAGAAAAAGAAAAAAGAAAAAAGAAAAAAAAAAAAAGAAACTTCGATACCGGGAATCGAACCCGGGGCCGCGGAGGTCATTGTACTGAAAATCCGCTAGGTTAACCACTACCCCATATCGAACTTGGATGACAAATTGACCCGTTAAATTTATGTTGACCCTGAAATAAGACAATGTGCCCCCTATGGAGCCCTTAATTACCTTTAATTTACCTACGGAGGCTTGTATTTTGACAGGAAAGGCCCACCCGTGCACCTGTCAGCTCAGCCCCTTTGAGATAGCCAATCACATCCCTCAGACTGGAAAAAAAAGGGGAGGCCGCTAAGGGCCCAGGTGTTATAAATGCCGATGCCAAGCAATGCCCTTTGACTAGGCAGATATGTTTATTTTCCCGTCAGATATTCAGATCATTTGAACTTCCAACTTCCCCAATTTTATAATTTCTTGGGGAAGTCCTAGAGTCAACATGGAAATCCCTGCAAAACTCCCCTTCTCTAAGCGGCGGCTCCGACCGCGTGTTGTTATCTCGTGTGTCAACTTTCCCCAGGTCTCCCCCGCAAATCCCTGAACTAACAATTTCTCAGCTACATCTTCGACTATGTGATCATTGTGTACGGAAATCAATTTCCCTCTCTGTCTACTCCATACTAACCCCTGGAACAGGGCCTGCGTTGCCGGCTTCGCGATTCTCAACACGATTGAGCCGTTCCACCAGCACTTCTCCCTCAACAACATATCCATTCAATATCCTTACGCCGTCCATGAACGCATCCCCATGACCTATGCCCTCTGCATCTCCGGTGCTTTCCCACTCGCTCTCATTATCATCTACACCTTGTTCATTGATGGCTTGTTCTCGCACAATAAGCCACAGGACGCGGCGTCTGGGAAGCGGAAGCTGAGAGGTCCGCATCGCTGGAAGGACAGACTTTGGGAACTCAATTGTGGAATTTTGGGTCTTTTGTTGGCTCAGGGACTCGCGTTTGTCATTACACAGGCGCTAAAGAACGCATGTGGCAAGCCGAGACCTGATCTCATTGATCGTTGTCAACCACGCGCTGGCAGCAAGGACCTTTTCCCAGGATTGTCGAACTCATCGATTTGTACCGGTGATCCCGCATTGTTAACAGATGGGTTTCGGTCATGGCCGTCCGGTATGCAATATGACCCGACACTGCTTTTCAGAGTCGCAAATGCTAACATTGATTCATCTAGGCCACAGTAGTTGTGTGTATACCCGTTTGCGATTCGCTAGGTCTTTCCTATTACTAACACCCAATCAATAGCCTCCTTTGCTGGTCTCGTTTACACATCGCTCTGGTTAGGCGGAAAGTTGCACGTTATGGACAATCGCGGTGAGGCCTGGAAAGCCCTTCTCGTCATGGCTCCTCTACTAGCAGCAACCCTTGTGGCCGTATCACGTATCATGGACGCGCGCCACCACCCCTTCGACGTGATTACGGGGTCAATGCTTGGGATCGCCTGCGGCTTTGTCGCTTATCGCCAGTATTTCCCACCGCTCACCGAAGCCTGGCGCAAGGGGCGCGCCTACCCAATCCGAACCTGGGGGACCGATCCTGCAGGACCTGATACAGTTCGGCTTAAGGGCTCTCGAGGTGAGAGCTCGACTGCTCTCCACAACCTCGAAGAAGAGCGCATGGACCAGCCAGATATCCCCAGCTCGGAACATGCCAGGCCCGACGCATCTAACTATCTTCATGGGTCCAACCCGTACGCATCGAATGTTTACAATCGCCGCCCACATGACCATGCCGCTGACGGCGGTGCTTGGTCGTCGAGCGAGGACGATGTTACCAACGGGTATGAGATGCGACCTGGTCATACTATGGGACAGCATCCCGGTGCCGGCCACCATGCGCCTCAATATGACCCCAGCAATGCGTATGTGTCCCAGACACAGCCGCTGACGGCTAATGCGGGAATCCATGTCCCTGACGAGATGTCGGGTCCGGGGCGTCCGTTGACGGACATGCCCGGTCGGGCCATGTAAAGATAATTGATGGGATTATTGATGACTGCAGTCTAGTTCAGAGCGGTAATTGCCCGTGTTATTTGCTTACGATTTGATTAACGGATTATTGCGGTGGCTGGTGATACAACTCTGTACTAGTATGATTATGAGCGTATTGGCGTTGAAAACAAAAGAATCTACATTTGTTGCCATCGAAACCAAGAATACATTCAACAAGAGCCCTCTAGCTCTTTAAACAGAAATACAGAAATAGTGATCTATACAATTTGTCAGTACAATGAAGTCAAGTCCAGCACTCCCCCATAGAGTCCCCACTTAATGTGGTTGGCTTGACAACGATCATCTATATTCTCATGCCCTAACCTATCAGTCCGAGGGATACGGAGTAATCAAATGCAAGACATAGATTAAAAAGGGACGGCTCATGCAAGTGCCTGAGACTAATCAATATACAAAAAGCGTCGAGGCCAGCAATGGGGACTCGGGTTACCCCAGCCACCGACATCGTACATTGTGAGTCGCCCAGCCTCCTCAGCCCAAAGATGACACTGGATATCTTTTTTTAATTTCCCCCTCTTATTTGTGTTCTTTTTCCTTTTTTTTTTTCATTTCTCTTCTGTATCCCTCTGCATCTTCTACATCGTGCATACTGCACTGTAATCGCAACTGCCTGTGCTTTTTTTGCGAGCTTGTGTAGCCCCCCACGATCTTTGTTACTGTACCTCGGACATACCCCAAGCACATCGGGACAGTTGTACATTCCAGAGATCTGAAACCCAATCTCTCTTTAAACCGCCGAGATGATTGGCAGCGTGTTCTTCATATTCAACCGCCTGGTTGAGATCGTCTTCCTGATCCCAATCATTGGCATGCTGGTATGTCAACTGTCAACCAGTCCGATCAGCAATACCCCTCCGACTCTCCCGCTAATGATGTCTCTGAACTTAGGCTTACTTCGTTAACGGCTACCTGAAAGCAAACCAGCTGACCCCACCATACATTCTGGTCCTCTTCATCGTCAGCGTAATCGCCATCTTCTGGGCCCTCGACACGCTAATCCGCTTCTCAACAACAAAGCGATCCGCAATCTTCGTCGCGTTCGTGGACCTGCTCTTCTTCGGCGCCTTCATTGCGTCCGTCTACCAGCTCCGCTTTATTGCCAACGCAGACTGTGCCAGCTGGCATGGCGGCTCTGTCTGGATCTCTCTGGGTCCATTCGGGTCTTACGGCCAGCGCACTGATAATCCGCTCTCGTTGGACGTCAACAAGACTTGCGCTATGCTGAAAGCCTCTTTCGCATTTGGTATTATGGAGACAGCATTCTTCTTCTGGACTGCGCTGCTTGCGCTGTTCTTGCACCACTCGCATAAACCGACTGTTGTTAAGGAGACGACTGTTCGGAGACGCAGTCATTCCAGTCGTCGTGGCCATGGCTCTGGCTCGCACTCGCGTCACCGCAGCTCCAGTCGCAGACCCGCGCCTTATGTCGTTTGATTTTGTTCTATATGATCGCTTTTTCTTTTCCTTTTACGCGAGGTGCTTCTCATGATTTTATGAAGATCATATGCCTTAATGAGATACGGATTGGGATATTTCCTTTTATGGATTGAAACCAGAACAACTGTGCAATCGCAGCAATGGATATCATATTGAGATTTTCGTTGTATGTGCTGGAAAGATGGTCATTTCCGGCATTTGAGACTGCGGTCTCCATGCTTTTTTCATGCTATTGTTTAGTTTTGTTTGCAATGCCAGCTCCCTTATGATCAACACATGATATTAGACTTATATCTCTGCGAATTATCTGTATATTCAACAATGCCCCTGAATTCAAGTTGCATCTATGTTAAGACTCTTCTATGGTTAGACCCAATATGAAATACGAGGAGCCAAGATCCTATTCTGACAAAGATCTCCTCGGCCTTTCGTATTTCGTCCCGCGCCGCCCCTCTCTATAAATACTACATTAAGTATTGGCTTGCCTACATGTACCTACTTTGCAAATAAATCTGCACTTTGCAATGATTACTACCCAACATTGGACGTGGGGTTTGAAACCGGCTGCTCTTATACTTGCATTGATTGTTCTGGTGTTCAATATCCAGCCTGTGCAAGCGACGATTCCTACCTCTCAACGCTTTGATCTGTCAAAGCCTTCATACGACCTCTTCCGCAGCAAGTCCCTGCATGATAAGACTGTACAACAAGGCTTTGCATTTGACAATACCAATCGCCGACTCTTTGTCGCCCAACGACGTGATGGTTCCTCTGAGACCTCGGGGGACCTATGCATCACCCAACTTGACTTCGATGGCAATTACGTGGGATACATGCATTTGAAGAGTTTTGGTCATGGTGTCTCCTTCGGCGCTCAAGGGGTCGGCTCATCATCCTACCTATGGACAGAAGTGGAGGCCAACTCGAACGGATATGGCAAGAAACTTGCTCGGTTCAAGTTTGTTAGCGGAACTACACTCTCCTCGTCCTCGTCGTCACTTGTAAAATTCGTCCCTATCGCTAGTGCTACAGAGCATACCTGCTCCATTGATCCCGTGAGCAACCGTCTCATTGTCCGTCACAGCCTCAGTGACGGTAAACACATTGCCGTGTTCAACTTGGACGAGGCAACGGATGGGGATTTCTCCAACCCTCTCGCGAACTTCAAGCATCCATCGCTAGACACAGCATCCGCTACATTCCAGGGATATGCAGCGTATGGCCAGTATATCTATCTTTTATATGGCAATTCGTATGATGTCACCGGTGGTGAGGTGAATTCAGATGTGACCACTGTCAACATGAATACTGGATCTGTCGTCCAGGGTCCTCTCATTACAAAAGCTGGATCAACACTATCCTTCCGTGAACCTGAAGGATTGGCCATCTATAAGACTGCGGCCGGGGAAGTTCGTCTTTTCCTGGGATTTGCATCGGGTAACAGTGGTGATCGGCGATCGAATTTATTCTACAAGATTGCTTTGGTTTAGTCTATATAGTGCGATTGTGCAGGATCTTTTACATTCCATGATATGTGAGTAAATAGGTGCTGATTAGAGAGGTCTATTGAGAAAGAATCATATTCGAAATTGTATCCCAAGCCCTATAGCTTAGCGACACCTATATATCCATGACAGGACACCCTGGCTGGCTAGCTGCCTTGATATTTTCTCATCATGTCTTAGCCTACAGTAAGGGCCCTTTGTTTTAATTGCGATCCTGTCAATTCCTCCATAATTGATTGTCACAGGATATACACGTATAGAAGGTTGGGTTCGTCAAAGCAAATCACCCATGACTTAACCCGGTGCTACTAACCTCAGCCAGCTCGCCGTTATTCGGGATCAAAAACACCCCATTTGGAAGCAAAACACACAATTCCAAACATTCCATATTCAACCAATCCTTGGGGAGGAAGTAGTGTCGCTGCACCTGGTCTGGGGTGAAGTTGGAACCGAGAATCCAAGAACATACCCAGTGGCTTTTGTTAAGGAACACAAGACGTTGACGCGAGAGGATTCCAAGGGGAATTTCAATTTGGCGCTGAATTTCGGGTGGAATGGTCATGGGCGTTTCGATCGACGGAGATATGGTTGGCGTGGTTGGTAATTGGGACAGAGAAGATGTTTGAAACAGCAATGTGACGGTTTCTCTGCGACCGTTGGTCGAAAAGATAGTGTGGATGAGGAAGTGGGAGCCTGAGCGAGTATGGCAGATGCGCTGGATTTTTGCGTTTTCTTCATTATGCAGGTGGTCTTTGACGATATCTGGAGTGACCTCTAGATCTGGTTCCGACAGTACCGGTGGTCTCTCCAGATCCATGACGGAGATTTCAGAGAGATCATCCCATCTGTAGACACGTATATGACTGGAGCTAAAAGACAATAATAGTTTTGAGTCTGTTGGGTGTTTGACCCACTTCGTATCTGGCGATGTAATAGCCAGAGGTTCTCTGCTGGGATGAGTCGACATCACCGGTTGAACGGTGACTGAAGGCCCGTTTTTGACTAAAACAATTGCCCCGTTGCTATTGAGGAGGACTTGTTGAACGCCTTCAGGACTAACATCCATTGTCGCCTCGAATGCTTGGTTAACAGTCCAGGCTCCGTCGCTGTCTGTATGAATCTCCTTCACGACGACCCTCCCTGCCATCTCGACACTGGCTAAGAATCTTCCATCAGACGACCAATCTAAATGTGAAATTGGTAGCTCCAATGATGACCTCCAGAGCTCAGATGTCGCATGCTTGCCTTCCGAGGATTCTATTACGCTGACAACTCCCGCTTCATTCCCAACAGCGTGATGTTGCCCTTTGAATTGAATGGCAATTGCGGTTATCTGCGCCCGTACCTCTGCAGAAGCTTCGGAAACAATGGCCGTTGGAATGCTAGCCGCCTCGCTCCCAAGGTCACTATCATCGCCATTCTCATCCCCTGCAAGTAATGCATTTGGCTCCCAAACATTGCACCATGGGCCACGGAGGTCATATAATCGTTTGCTGTCTGGACTGAAGCAGATATCGGTGATCATCTGATCGCAGGAGAGCTTGTAGATCAGGGCGAAATGATGAAAGCTATACAGCTTGATCGTGCCCTGGCTGTCACCTATTGTAAAAAACTTGCCCTCAGGACTGCATGCAATAATTGATCCCTCGGCTTCCATTTCCTGCTGGCTGTTCGTGTATGGATTCCATCTGAATACCTGCCCTCCCTGGTACAGACCGAGGATGTCCTGGGATTTCGGATGCCATATCATTTGGTCCACAACCGTCCAGGAATTTCCTGCATATTCATGACTGCGCATACATCGTCCCAAGAGTGTCGCATTTTCCAGGGACCAGACACATAGAGGAGAACCGCGGTACGCGACAGCTACACAGGTCGCGTCAGAATTAAACGCCATACGCCAAGGCACGTTATGCACAGGCCTGTCCAGAGCAGTGTCCAATGTCAGAAGGCTGCGATGCAAAACCGACCAAGCGGGAACTTGGTCCATCAACCGGGCGACTCTGAGGAGTCGATCCGCTGACCCGATTACAATCTGGGTATCCCCGGAGGAGAATACCATGGCCAAGGCTGTGCTGCCAATGGGGTTTTGGATCCGGTGCATGACTTCTCCCGAATCGACAGACCAGACCTTTGTCGTCCGGTAACCGTATGTCACGATAAGATGGGAGCCGCGACTGAAACTCATCGCAGAAACCTCCTCCGCATGTTTGAGCACATGTCTAGTCTCGAAAGTCGTAGAGTTATACAAAGTAATTACTCCTCGGCCGGTTAACACAGCAAAATGTTCTCCGGCGCAAACAATTATGAGACCCTGGGTCGCGGGTTGGAGAGAAATCCTTGCTAGGCCATCATCCCACGTGGACTTTGATAGTCCATTGACCACTAGGGAATGTGGACGGGGGCCGGATTGCTCGAATTGGCGGTATATCATAGATGTTCTTGGGCAGAATGGCGGAATTTGCTGGTAGATAGAGGTAGGGGACTCAGTCAGATGCAGTCCAAACTTCCCAATGAGTTTGAGCAAGTCTGTTGCCCATGATTCCACCAAGTCTAGCTCTTGAAGCCGATGGACCATTGGGTGTGTCACAGCATTGCGACCTCGTTTCCGGCGGACGTATAGATTCATGCTCTTCGCAGAAGACACAAGAACCCGCAATTTTCTTGTTTGAGCCAGAGCTACAATCCAGTCTAGAACGTGATTGCCTTGGAGGAATTTGGCCAAAAGAAGTAGTGGTGCATCTGAATCAGGGGATACTTTATCCAGGTGATACGCCCACGACGTCATTGCATAGTAGACGAATTCTCCCCTCAAACTATCTTTCCGGTCCCCGGGCCGAAGATGCAGATCTCGAGGTTGGTAGTGCTTCTCCAAGACAGCCAGGCACTTGGTCAACAACTTCTCATGGCCTTCGAGTACATTGACTCCTAGCTCTGAGTCCGTCGCCACTATATGATCCCTCGCGGTTTGATGGACCATCACTAAGCTACCAGTAGCAGAGTCAACGATGACAAACTGCCCACAAACACGGTTGATGAGGAGGCTCATCTCTACCATGGGCAAAAAGTCGGGCTCCAACGCTTGTGCCAGCTCACTAAGGACCAGCGGACGCCGGGAGCATGTTGCCCACATCAAAATTCTCTGTCCCAGTTTCCTATCGCGTGGTTTTGTGTTCGTAATGATTGTGCGCTCCATGCGTTGATATAATTGCTCCATACCACCCGGGATGCCACCCAGCGTTTCGTCGACGTCCTCTTCTGTGTTGCACTCCGCCACCTCACGCATCGCAAGACTGGCCCATAGAAAATTACCATTCGCACATTTCACCATTTTGTCCACTAGCCGCGCTTTGAATTCGGGGGCGGCACGCAAGTATTCTACTTCCCGTTCGACATACCGCCGTATGTCTCTTTTGGTACTCTCCAGTGGTAAATATGCGACCGAGAGCACAGTCGACAACCGGTCAAACGTTGTGATGAGTCCTGATGTTTGCCGACTAACAAGGATCACCTTGATGCGCGTCAATGAATGCGACACACTCTGCATTATCTCTACCAGCTGCTGTGGGTTGTCGGACTCGTCCAGTGCGTCGATAACACAGTAGATCGTTGTAGAAAATCTCATTTTGAACAGCAGTTGAACAAATATTCTCTCCCAGATGGCCTTGGGGTCCGTTTTCTCTAACGTCTTTGTGGCAGATGGGATGTTTTTTAATGCGCGGCAAAATCCAGGCAGCTGCTTTGCAATCTGAAAAGCAATGCTCCTCAAGCAGGCGCTCAGCGAGCGCTTGGACTCGTCACTGAATCGGAAGAAATAGTACACACAAATTTCCTGTTCTAAGAGCTTATGTGTAACAAAGGCTGATAAAACCGATTTCCCACTCGCTGGCAACGCGTGCAACCACAACATGGTTGGGGCATCCTCAGCTTCATCCATCCAATGAATGAAGGATGGATGAAATATAATCCAGTCGCAGGTCCCAGGAGTCCACCTGGAATGAAAGAATTCGAGGTCTTCATGAAAGGCCTCCGACACTGCCAGCAGAGCCTGCAACTGTTCGAGGTGTGTTTTCCCCTGCTCTCTAAATAAAGATTGTCCTGTCGGATTCAGGTCAGTACGTGTTTAATATTAATAACAACAAAAGTACAGGTCGGACTCACCTGCCGAGCGAATAGATGAGACCAAGGTTTTCAAGGCGTTCCTAACACTGATGTAATTGGAGTCCTGAATGCTATCGAACTTGCAGACCGTATGGTGATCGGCAACCAGAGCTTTTGAAATCTCCTTCGGATACCCAAGAGTAGCTGATTCTTTCTCGACCACCATCTACGAGCGAGTCAGCACGTATAGAGTAAAGGTAGAGCCGCACATACCATTTTCTTCGGACCAATTGAAGTCTGCAGGGTCTCATAGAATGAAAGTATGTCCAGGTTTGGAGCAATGTGACGGAATTGCTCGTTCAGAGCTGCTACAGTCTGGGACCCGACACTCAGCTCCGATATGTATAATTTGGGACTATGATTGAACAGTGACACGGTCAGGATCTTGTTCAAGATATCCGCCAGATTAGATCCGCGATGTGGAGTCGCCAAAAATAGTATCGCACTGATCGATGATACGATGTCAGAATACTGATTGTCGTTTTGGCCAAGAATATATGCCTGCTTAACGACGAGGCCCCCCATAGAGTGAACAATGAAGATAATGGGTCTCTAGTGATGCGAGGCGTGAACACCTCTTTAGAAGTAGAACAGGGGAAGGTCGGGGAATTACCTGGCCCAGCTCAAGCTCTTCCAATTTTTCGCCCTTGGCAAACTTCATCGAATACAACAGGTCTTTCGCGAAGTCTGTTATGCCCGTGATCGGAGCTGAGGCACTGGAGGCCCAGCTAGCGTTGTAGCCAAAGGACAGGATTCGTGCCATTCGAATTCCTGGCTCGAGAGGAAGCCATTTCTCCGGCCAGAAGTACTGTGGATCTCGACCTCGTGCCCACGTAGCTCGGCTGGTACCGCCTAAACCATGAACAAAAATAATGTCGAGAGAAGGCGATGTTTCTGGTTCATAGACAATAGTAAGGCCGAGAGGGTCGTTTCGTCGATCGGTAGCCACTGACGGATTTCGCGAGGGGAGTCCGAATGTCGTGCTTGCTAGGACAGTCCCGGCCAGAGAGGGCTTTCGGTTCAGGTCCGTTGTGGTTTGTGATGGATCACCAAGTTCATTTGGGGACCACACAATTTCAGCGGTAGCAGACGGAGGGAAAGGGGTCACATTTAGGCCTTGTGTGGCGGTCTCGTCAGGTGGAGTCCTTTTTGAATCCTTTCTGAAGGGAAACTATAGGCAGGGTTGGAACCATATTAGCTGGAAATCTCCTTGTTCTGCCATGTCTTCACCTACCCATTTTTCCAAACGATTTTTCGACATTTGTGGCGAAGTTCAGATGTTTGCATCTCTCTTTCCGCTTGTGTTTGAGATGGAATGAATTGCAGGGGAATGGATTGGGGGCCGCGACTTTGGGAATCCCCTCTCCCCCCGCCCCAAAAGACTTGTGGCTCAACAGGTCAGCCCCATCTTCGCTTCTAGTTCACTACTTACAATATATGGTGACTGGGCTCATGCTGGCAGGATCGAAGGATTGCCGCTTTTCCTTCCCCAGATCAGTCTACGCACAGGTTGTGGCGGCTTATTATGTACGAGGGTAGGACCCGTCACGCGAGAGCATCCAATCCCCGAGATTCCGCCACCTGCTCGTGGTATATATCATGGCCTACCCCTCACCAAGCGGCTTTTATCTCATTATTATTGGTGCGAAAGATATTCTATTAATACGTGGCAAGGCGTTGTCGACGGGTGCATGCATCATCCAGCGAGCCGCCGGTGTCGTCTGGGGGTTCTGCTTGGCTTACAGTTTTCTCATACGGGGTATATCACCAGCCAGGCCTTGTTGTCTGGTATTATATACTTAAAGGAGTCTTTATTTACATGAATCCTGTCTGAAACGATCCAACCTACCCTTACTATTACAATTAACATGGCGACATCAACTGAAAAGATTGTTCCTCAGTGGGAGCGCCCAACGTTTTCGGCGGGTAAAGTGCCTTTGGTAACGCCAGCGCAAAGCGGAGGCCAAGATATTGAGGGTGACTTTCCATTGGATCAGATAGTAGTTGACCGTCAATGCTCCCTCTGTCTTCCAGAAAGCACAAGTGTCTTAAGCTAACTCCTCAATTGCTTTAGACTTCCCCCCAGGCACCCAAGTCTACTCATGTGATCGCTATGGAGCTTCGGCCTGGTCGTTTACTGCCAGAATTGTAACCACACTCTCAAATGGGGAGCCAAAGCTCTATTTTCTCAAGGTATGGGGATATTGACGATCGACGGCATAAACTGCAAATTGACTGATGCATTCGTCCACAGTGTGCTGAGGGGGATCAAGGGAAGGTCATGTTGGAGGGAGAGTTCAATTCTATGGTTGAACTATACAGAACGAGCCCCAACTTTGTCCCAGAGCCTTACGCATGGGGCAAACTTAGTGTCTCCCGCCCTGCCACGTATTACCTCTTGAGCGACTTCATCGAGATGGGCAGCAAGAATCCAGATCCCGTCCAGCTCGCCACCAAGCTTGTGCAGTTGCATCAGGCAAGCACATCTCCCACTGGCATGTTTGGTTTTCACATCAATACGTGCCAAGGCGATCTTCCTCAGCAGACGGCGTGGAACCCAAGCTGGGTTGACTTTTATATCCAGCTGGTCAGGGGAGCGATGGCACTCAACACAGAAAAGAATGGCAACTGGAAGAACTTGGAGCCACTTGTCGATCGGCTCATTACACATGTAGTCCCTCAAGTACTGGGACCTTTGGAAGCCGATGGCCGGGTCGTAAAGCCAACTTTGATCCACGGCAACCTATGGGATGGAAATATTGGAACCAGCCTTGAAAACGGGGAGGTTTACATCTTCGATGCGAGTGTCTACTATGCACATAACGAGATGGAAATCGCTATGTGGCGTGCGAGGTTCTGCAAGATCATGAGCGCGAAAGTGTACCTCAATTCCTATCTCAACCGAATGGGCATCAGTAAGCCTGTCGAGCAATTTGAGGACCGCAACCGGATCTACAGTTTCTATCTGACGCTACATGAATCAGCTTGCCATAATGGCTCGAGCTTCCGGGAAGAGTATGTATCAATTTCCCAATCATTCCTGAATTCGTACTGATGGAATGTCGTTGCAGGTGCTATGAGAATCTCAACTACCTGGTCAACAAATACGCTCCACTTAACGAAGAAAGTAGTTAGAGTGGCATCCTCTAATATTCAATAAGTATTGTTTATTCGCACATGCATGGATTGAAAGCAATCTAGGCTTTGTAGCGGCCTTTTAGCGGCCTTTCTGAGTGCTCTATGCCAACCTAATTTCGGTTAATTCACTTATTAGTATGTATTTGAAGTAGCAGGAAGACTGTTTTTCTTAAAGCATGATACGCATTTAAGTCCTTCACTTGTAACGAAAGGGTTCAAAAATCGTGGCATATTCGATCGAATGAATCACGGTGACCGCTCAAATATGACACTACCCCTGCTTTGCTATACCCAAAGCATCCATATTTACCCCTCACAGTACCTAATATTTGGCCTTAAGCCTCTTCCACGCAGCCTATCCATGTATTTAAAGCCAGCATCACTGCATCAAGGTGCAGACCTACCTAGCCGTCTTTCATCCCAACCTTCTACAGGGTTCCACCATAGCGTCGCTACCATATCCTTCTCTCGCGAAAATTTACCACTGTTGGTACAGATATTTACCATGGGTAATGAAGAAACCACACCAGGGCATACTAGAGCTTCAACCGAAAATGTTGCTCAACATGGGTGTCCTTCTACTCCTGCAAGCTTTCTTCGACATAACTCTGAAGTCTCGCTCTCAACAAAAGGGGAATACTCCCAACCTCAACAGGAAGCTTATTCCGTCTTCAGCAAAACAGAAAAACGTACAGCGGTTTTTCTTATTACATTCGCTGCGACCTTCTCTCCCTTGTCCTCGTTCATATTCTTTCCTGCCATAAACGCCCTATCTGCGTCCCTTGACGTGTCAGTGGAAAAGATAAATCTTACCGTCACATCTTACATGATAGTTGCTGGACTCGCGCCGGCAATTGTTGGTGATATGGCGGATATGACTGGTAGGCGGAACGTTTACCTCCTCACTCTGTTCATTTATGCTGTTGCCAATATAGGATTGGCGGTGCAGAACAGTTGGATAGCGCTGTTCCTGTTGAGGATGATGCAGAGTGCTGGTGGTGCTGGTATGTTTTGCCTTCTATTTTCAACTCGTCCTCCATCCTTCGACCTAGAAAGGTCATTTATGTAGAGAGTATCAAGTTCGCTGATGGAGAATAAGCAACTATTGCGATGGGGTATGGGGTGATCTCTGATATTGCACCACCGTCCGAACGTGGCGGCTATGTTGGCGTGGTGCTTTTAGGGTAAACCGACATCCTCACTCCTTCATCACAAATCATCTCAAAGTCACATCATAACTCGTTTTCCTTATAGTCCCAATATTGCAACTGCGATTGGCCCAATCCTCGGGGGAGCCTTGAGTGAAGCTCCCGGGTGGCGCTGGATATTTTGGATCCCTGCTATAGCTTCGGGGATCTGTCTCTTGCTCATGGCTCTTTTCCTACCTGAAACATCCCGTTGCATTGTCGGGAATGGTTCACGAAATGTTTCAGCGCTCTATCGCCCAATTTTCCGCTACCACCAGTCAAGAAAATCCATCCCCCAGCAAGCCCTTAACGAGGAAGAGACCATCCCGCGGAATTTCCGGATTCCAAACCCTCTAGCGACTCTGAAAGTCCTCGCATCCAGGGACAGTCTTCTCATCACTGCTATATATGGTGTATATTACATGAATTTCAGCTGTCTTCAAGGCTCCCTGTCAACCCTTTTCATTGACATCTACAGACTCTCAGAGCTCAAGGCAGGATTAGTCTACCTACCCTTTGGTGTTGGGTCCTGTATTGGCGCATACTGTTCAGGTACCACTTGCCTTTTTGTTGGCTGGAAAAGAATGGCATTTAAATTTAACTACTTCTCGACTAGGAAAAATTATGAACCGCGACTACCGCCTCACAGCTCGTGCGCATAATCTGGTAATAGACACCACCCACGGCGACGATCTGACTGGGTTCCCCATCGAAAAAGCCCGTTTCAGGAGTATATGGTACTACATATGCGCAACAGGGATCTCCACCGCTGGATATGGGTGGGCAATACAGTCCAGAACTGTGAGTAATCTACCCAGTTTTGTAAAGAATCAATCGTGATACATGCTCATTGATCCCTAAAACACATAGCATATAGCTGTTCCGCTCATTCTACAATTTATCATAGGATTCGCCATAGCGATCACTTTCAATGCAAGTATCTGCCATTGCACATATGTTGCCCCTCCTAAGGAGCGTCACTAAACTTTATTATTCTGAACTAGTGCTGCGGTACCCTCCTAACAGACCTGAACCCCAAGTCCCCGGCTGCAGCACAGGCAGCAAACAATATCGTCCGTTGCTCGCTTGCGGGTGCAGGACTTGCTTTCCTCCAGAGTTGCTTGGATGCAATGGGGCCGGGATGGACATTCACCTTATTTGGTGGACTATGCATGGCCTGTCTTGGCTTGGCGTGGTTGGAGTGGAAATATGGGAAGAGTTGGAGGCGGCAATAGTTCAAGGGTAACAATATTTATTTAATAATAACATATTGAGAATTACCATGGATTTTGCACAATTATAGTCATGGCCATTCGTCGCTAACCCCAGTTTATCCTTCCCGGCATGACCACCGAACTCCGTCGGTGGCCATTCGAGGCTATCGACTTCATGCAGGTATGGGCTTCGTATGCACTTTGCTGCTTCACTCCGCACATCCATGGATACTCTATAAAGCGCTAGGCCTAGACGGGACATTAAAATGGGCCCTGCTGTATCTGTATTTTTGGGAGGAAAGGGCGGCTCCCTTGTAGTCCGTAAATAATAATGGATTGGATCAGATGTTGTTCATTTATTTTCATCAATAAAACCATAGTAAGAACTTTTTTTCATACTACCTTTATAATTTCCACTATAGTATGCTCTTATTTCAAGCCTCACAATTTTGAGACGTTCTCATACGACAAGGTAAGTATAATCACTTGAATCCCCTTCTGAGGAATTCCCCCGAGCCCTCGAGAAGAAGTGTGAGCGCTCCGCACAGCACACACCTTCCATCCATGCCAACACACCGGTGAGTTGGCAGTTGGGTGACCAGCGAAACCTCACTATTGCTCAGTCTTCTTTTTGATTTTATTTCACCTTTTAGTTTACGGCAATTTGATTCTTATATTCACCGTCTTCCTCTTGCTTTATATTCTTTGGTCGAGAAGTCTCTAGCTACTACAAAATCAACCTACGGGGAGATTCCTTATACTAGTAAAACATTCATCAATTTATCATATTTAGTCACATCAAACTAAGTATTTGAAACAATCTGATCACAAGGCCAGTGAAATTAAGCTGAGAACATTCTCACATATCCTCCAGATCGGATCTAGAACTTACATTTTCAATATATTGACTCAACTGAATATGGACCTTGCGAGATATATACAAGTAACCCCCATTACGCAACAGCTTATAAATTGAAAATTGGCAGTCCGAAGTGTATAAATATGAAGTGTGATTATGATCAACTTATCTCACAGTTGCTAATAACTGGTGGGTCTTCGGAGTCGGGCCGATGTGGGTTTCCACGCTAGCGCACTTTCAAGGTAGATTTTCTGTGAGTCAACCGCATCGACCACACAAATGAGCACTTCCTAAGAGAGCAGCATTGAAATCATACATCAACATGGCCACTGAGGGAGAATTTGTAACTGTGAAGGCATTCTTGCCCACAATCCCGCTTCCCGCAAATAACGAGCGGCCAGCAATAACAACGGATCGCTTACTTGTCCGCGCCCTCCAACCAACCGACTTGGAAGCGTTACACGTCTTACGCACACAACAAGAAGTCATGAAATGGACGAGTGCTGGGTGTATCGACGAAAGTATTGAGAAGACAAAATCCAAACTGGATCCTTTCCTACCACCAAACGATCTTATCACCGCCAATTGCGCCATCTGCCTGAAGGAAACGGGCGAGCTTATCGGTATCGGTGGCTGTCATCTTTACCCCGGAACACATGGGTGGCCTGAAGTTGGATACATGCTTCGGACAGACGCTTGGGGGAAAGGCATCGCGACGGAGTTCTTAAGCGCCTGGCTGCGGTTTTGGTCAGAATTACCCCGGACAGAGCGGGAGGTCAGAGTTCAGAAAGAAATGGTCATTGGAGAAGGTGTAGTGGATGAACATCTTATCGCTATCACAGAAGCAAGCAATAGTGGAAGTCAGAGGGTCCTGTTGAAATGCGGGTTTGAGCGATTCCGCGAGTTTGTCGAGGTGGACGATACCAAGACCGTGGATCTTGTTGCTTTTCGTTTTCTTCCAAAGCGATAGATCTCATTATACCCTCTCTGTACGTAAAAGATAAGAAAGCGTTGATATCACAATTCAGAGGCCAAAACCTGATCACATCATCAAAGGTGTTCTATGTTTAGATGAACGAAAAACGGAGAAAATGCAGTCTCGGCCCACCTGAGCCCACTCCAACATTCCATTATACAATCTGTCAACATCGGGCCCACCTCAGTTCAAGCTGCCAAGGTGCCTCCCTAACGTTGCACATCTTTGATTATGGGGGGAACTGGCACGTGAGCGGACGTCACCGTCCTACCCGGTTATACATCACTACCACTGAGCATGAATGGAGATCATCCCATGACTTGATTACTCTAGTAGGAACTTCACTGACAATACTCCAAAAGATTTCCATAAACAACGGAACATTTTGACGTTGCAGTTGTTGGACTTGGAGTGCTTGGAAGTGCGGCTGCGTACCAAGCCGCTCTAAGAGGCAAGAAAGTGATTGCGTTCGAGCAGTTTGAGCTGGGCCATGTGCGCGGAGCCTCCCATGATACATCGCGGATTGTCAGAACAGTAAATGCAGCACCTCAATACGTCTCTCTGGCAAAATCCGCCTACAAAGACTGGGCCGACCTGGAAAAGGCTACAGACCAAAAGTTGTTAACCATCACGGGTGGTGTTATGTTTTTCCCCAAGAGCGCAAACCCTCCACGCGTTGATTTTACGACAAGCCTCGACGCTAAAAATGTGCCATATGAGGTTCTGGATTCCAAGGAAGTCAACAAGCGTTGGTCCCAGTTCAACATCCCGGACACGGTCGAGACGGTATATACGGCCGACACCGGCATTGCTCATGCGACCAAGACAGTCCTAGCTATACAAAGTCTGGCAAGGACAAATGGTGCAATTTTGAAGGAGCACACGCGAGTGGACCGCGTGACGCCGAACAAATCAGGCACGGGTGTCGTGATCGAAACATCCAAGGGACAGTTCCACGCAGCCAAAGTCATCCTCGCCACCGACGCATGGACCAACAAGCTCCTTGCTCCCCTTGGCGTACACATTCCATTGACGGTGATGCAGGAGCAAGTGACATATTTCAAACCGACGGAGGAACAAGCCTGGAAACCCAGCCGTTTTCCCGTATGGATTTGGGGCGGCGATCCCTGTTTCTATGGGTTCCCATCTTTTGGTGAGCCGACTATCAAGGTTGCCCGCGATACTTCAAATAATTTCATGGCACCTGAGCAACGTACCTATGTACACTCGCCCCAGCTGCTGGAGCAGCTTTGTTCGTTTATGGGAAATTTTATGCCTGACAAGGGCCGCCAACCACTTCGCACTATCACTTGTCAATACTCTATCACACCTGATCGACAGTTCATTATCAGCCCGTTGGAAAGGCACCAAGATATTATTGTTGGTCTGGGGGCTGCCCATGCGTTCAAATTTGCGCCGGCCTTTGGTCGCGCTCTTGCAGAGTTGGCAATTGATGGAAAGAGTACGGAGGATCTTTCGAAGTTTGGGATTCCGAATAATGCTACTTCTACTAGCAAACTTTAGGATATTTATGATTTATGATATCTCAAATTCAAGCCTAGGATCAACCCCCAGGCCAGTGTTTTCATCAAGAATGACACATGGTGCAATAAGAGTTTCTATTGAAGGTTATTAAAGAAGCTAGGAACTATGGAGAAATCTAATATAGTCCCATTAAATGGCCTCGACGTAATACAAAGCGCACCTCCAGGGCTGGGCAAGTAAAACAGTCATCATCCTGGAAATGGCCAATGTCTAAACAACCGGCACTGTTAGCATATCACGAGCAAACATAATATCTCCAAAGAAGCACTACATGCAAAGATCTAGGTCGTTCGCGAATTTCGTGACTGGCTTACTGATTGTGCCATTCTCGTTAATTCGAGTAAGAAATGGGACAAAGATCATATGGCCTTCAGGTTCACGCACACCTACTATCTCCCAGTAAGATTCAATCATTTTCCCTCACTTCAAATCAACAACCAAAGCAGCACAGGACAAGTCTTATTGGTCTTGCAACTAGAACAACAGATAGCTGGCAATACTGCTGGCATGAAAGCAACCCCTAGCTGCCTTAACAAGCCTCGCCCAGTCCACCATGTCCTGCTACGCAGAACACAGCGCCTGCCTCCAGATATGAGAACTACAACGCTCATGTAACCCTAAGCACCCTGTCCAGAAGACAAAGCTACAAAAAGCCGTCAGAAGCTTAGACGTGTCTGCTGTCTACGCCTTATATACATACTACCATGCCAATGATCGGACGTCCGATTGTTATTATGGTATTCTGCCTCCAGTATGTCCATCATCCGTATGAATGCATCTATACAGGAATGAGAGGACTCAGCCTTCATTATTTCATCATCTATAATATTTTCGGGGTTGCGAAACTTGTCATACCCATTGTTGCCGTATAAAATCCATGAGTGTCAACTTCTGAAATAAAAGCTCCTTCCAAGCGCCCTTCGTCCGTGGCTCAGAAGTGACACCTAGTAGCATCTATGGCTATTTTGTGCGATTTTGATCGACATGTATATCTTCAATCTGTCATGCCGCCTGAAGCTATCAACTCTCGCTGACACGCTGTTGTTCGGATGCCCAGCTTAGCTCGCAACTTTCAATCCACTTTCACTTTCACTATGCTCTTTGGCATCTTTTTTCTCGTAGGCCTCTTTCGATAGATGCACCAGCTACAACGCTAAGAGAAGTCCCCCAAAAGAGAATGTGATCATCCAACATGGTATGACTAGGTGTATAGTTGGTGCCGACTGCTATCTCGAGGCTAGGTGGGTCTTTTCCTGGCTTTGAGCGTACAACTCAAGCTTTTCAGTGTGCTGCTTGCCTTCCTGTTAACAAATGTGGGAAATTGAACATTGTTGATGGGTTGTGGGGTCAGCAAAGTGATGACTTCCAGGGTCCCATCATACAGTTTACTGAGTGAATGTAGTCGGGCTTGGTTGGGGTTATCAGTTAAAGGCAAGATCATATCTCTGGCCAACTTGAGGTCATACGGTCATACCTAAGATCACCTACGGCTTAAGCCCTGGAGAAGCTGTTACTGATTTATTATCCCTCATTACAGATGGAATGAAGTAAAGAAAGAACCAAAATTGACTCAAATTTGTTAATACATATCTCAACACCAAGACCTGGAATCATCTATACAGTACAGAGTCCCGTCGTTTTAATGCAATCGACCGGATACTAAAAGGAAAAGGAAAATGCAATCAGAAGACAGAAGACACAAGACACATGCCCCTACTTCTTCTGCCCCCCACTACCAGCAGCCTGACCCGTAAACGGATCAAGACGCAGCTCCTTGGCTGTGATACGGGTGTAAGAAGTCTGACCGTCCTGTGCCATCTTCAACCGACGCAACTGACCCGCCTCACCAGCACGACCAAGAATTCCCGCAATAAGACAAGTAGCCCGCAGACTATCATCATTCGAGGGAATCGGGTAGGTGACACGCGTAGGATCCGCATCGGTATCAATAACACCGATAGTAGGAACATTGTTAAGCCCACACTCATGCAGCAAGACAACATTCTCAAGCGGGTTAAGGCAAATCACCAAATCAGGCTTAATCACCGGGCGATCAGCAAGATCAGACTTGAATTCAGGCAATTCCTCGTCCAGCGCGTTGACAACCTTCGTCTCACAGTGGCCGAGAATCTGCTCGCCGTTTGTCAGAGAGCCCGGAATCCACCGCTCGAAGATGTGGTAGCCCTTTGCTAGCGACGCCGCCTGGACAACGGCCCGCTTCTGGCCCTTCCGTGTGCCGGCGAAGAGGATCAGTCCACCGCGGGCAGCGACTTCCTCAACTACTTTTGCGGCGCGGCGGAGATGCGCGGCTGTTACGTCCAGAGAGATGATGTGCACCCCCTCGCGAATACCGAAGATGTATCGCGAGTTCTGAGGGTTCCAGCGCGAGGTCGAGTGGCCCAGATGTGTTCCTGCTGCGAGCAGCATTTCCAGGGAGATCTGGGATGGCTTGGGGGGGTTGCGGATGACATTTTCGGGGTCGTAGGAGGATTTCACGCTTGTGCCGAGCTTTTTGAAACTGCTTCCTGGGGGAAGAAAAGAAAGATAGAGTTAGTTGATGAATTGGAGGAGTCTCCAGGAATTCGCGGCTCACTTTGCGGCTTGTCTGATGTGAATTCTTGTTGTGCGGGTGTGCTGGCCTCGGATTGCGCCTGTACCATCTCAAAGAGGGGATTTTCTGCGCGAGAAATCTCATCTCTGATAGATGTCTGCAATGTCTCGACTGGGGTTTCGGGCAATGTCGATTGGAAGCGACTCGAAGTCGGGGCTCGTCGGCTCAGAGCAAGGAGCTGGCGGCCTGTGGGATATTGTTAGCAGGGGTATTGGATATGATAGCAGTAATTGGACCACACTCACTCTGGCGCATACAAAGCTTCCGTATAATCATTTTGGGAATGCTAAATTGCAGATGTGTCTGACAAGGAGATTACTGGGGACTTGTCCGCTTGAACTTTTGTCGGGCTTGGCAGTTGATGCCTGAGGCCTTACGCTATTCCACTTGGGGTGGTGTTTTGACCTCTCCGCCTCTGCTACACTACTTCTCACGGACGGCAGTGTCTATTATCATTATGATTTACCGTTTACTGTTTGGTTTACTATTTTCTACAAGGAATGGCTCAGCAAGGTAATCACGTTGCAATTCTGAAAATTATGGTCAGATCACGCAAAGGTGATTTCCGTTATCAACGCAGTTCTGTCATGGTACAAGCCCCTTGAGGGTGAAGAAAAAACCCCATGAAAAATGAAAGCGATCTGGCGGAAGGAGAAAAAAAATGCAAGCCGACCCATTGCGATAATAAGAGCAAAGAAAGAAATTCATGAAAGCCGTGTCATCAGGCAGAAAACGTAAGAGGAAAGTTCATCGGAAACCTTCTACTTCTTGAAGAAGCCACCGAGCTGATCCATCATGGAGCCGCCGCTACCACTGTTGGAAGGAGGGGCGCCATATTGACCATTGGGAGGGGGGGCACCGTACTGAGGAGGAGACTGGCTGTTGGTGTTGCGGTGCTTCTTGACGGCGTCTTCAGCGATGCTACCAATGATGGCTCCACCGATTGTTCCGAGGAAACCGTGGTTGACCTTGTGGCCAGCGAAGCCACCGGCGGCACCACCGGCGAGGGCACCGGCAAGACCACGCTCGCCCTCCTGGGCCTCACCGGGAGCACCCTGCTGCTGCTCGTAACCACTGTGATCTGTTAGTACATGATGAACGGAAGTGAAAGTGAGAGAAGTACATACCCCTGACGGTTCTGGTCGTGCTGGCCGTAGCCTTGCTGCTGGTGCTGTTGGCCGGCGTAGTAGTCGGAAGAACCACCCTGCTGCTGGCCGTAGCCCTGCTGCTGGTGTTGCTGGCCGGCGTAGTAGTCGGAAGAACCACCCTGCTGCTGGCCGTAGCCTTGCTGGCCGTAGCCCTGTTGAGGCTGACCGTACTGTTGCTGTTGGTCGTAACCCTGCTGGCCACCGTAACCTTGTTGGCCGCCGTAACCTTGCTGCTGGCCGTAACCTTGCTGGCCATAGCCTTGCTGGCCGTGGCCACCCTGGTTGTATTGGTCGTAGCCGGACATGATGTAATTTAAATTGGCTTGATGGAGGATTGATGAAAGATGGAAGGTAGAGTAGTGTAAAGGTGAGGAGTGGTAAATGATGAAGAGAAGTTAAGTGAGGGGGCAACCCTTTATATGAGGTGACTCCAAGTAACCACAGGGCTGACCTGACGGTAAGAACCCCACATGGCAAGCGAAAACTTACGGAACGAGGGGCGCAGCGTTTGGTAAGCGTCAGCCTTCTCAGCCCTGTGCATCTGCATCTTTGTTTTTTACCGTCATTTTACTAGTTCGAACCTGAAATCGAATCCCCCAGAACACCTATCCGAATGCACTCAGCCTAATCAAGATAATTACACCGCCACAGTCCGCGCAACATACTACTGTATTTAGCTGTGGCTATGCGAGGCTGAGCCTCGGTTTATACATTACCAGATCGGTGGTCCCCAAATAGATTACGCGGATCTCTCGGCTTCCACGGATCTTCCAGAATCTCTTTCTCCGCTACTGCACAATGGCTCTCGGCATTCTGTATTAGGGCAGATTTATGTGGCTGCCTACGCTAAGCCCCTTATTTCATTTCTGTACCCATAATACAACAAAATACACCCGAATTTGAAGAATCGTTGTTACTCCGAAGTGTTGAAGGGGGCGTCATCCCACGGATGTTCTCCTGACAACCTGTTGACATCACGAGTCCCTAATTTAGCACCTGAAGCCAAGGTTATATAGCTGTGGTATCACCCGTCGACCTCATATTATAATATCGATGCTCCATCAACATTAGCGAGTCCACAACCATTCGACGTTATAATGTATCTAATCCGTGTCCCCAAAACAAGTCGAATTGTATTGAAATCATAATGATGACAGTGTTCAAGTGACCTGCGGGCGAATCGGGAGGTAACAATGTACAACGTAGATCACTTGTATACGTTGTACAATTTAACTTCGGGGTGTCAACAATATATATCTCGAAGAGCATACGGCCAACAATTACAGAATATAATAGACACATATTGCCTGCAATAAATATTGACGAAGGGGATCGTCACCAGACCACCTTTTGTTGTAAAGGGACAACCCCATCACAGCCCATCTCTTGATCCCGTGGACCACTCAGATGCTCTCATTTCTGGTGTGTGAGATGATCGATTATGATCGACGCATGACTGGTTTAAACATTGGGCTATTACATGGGACTTAATCGGGTGATAGTAGCTTAATCCATCACTGGAGTCCTTGTATATATTCTATGTTGTACAGCGTACGCGCTAACCACTGCTGAGCGCAAGAGTAAATCACATCCGAGATATACTCCGAACACACGGTCATGATCATCATTAGATCCGATTTATATGTTTCTAAACTACATCGTATGTTGTACATATTCCATAAACTTAAACCAGTGAACACTTTGATCTTTACTACTCCGGATAAACCACTATATACAAATCTTCGAGATCATTCTCAACCCCGAGCGGATCAACAGAGTGCAGGTGGACATGCAGAATATGCTAGACCAATCAAACCGCCGAGTTGTAACATGTCGACCGAACACCCGCCTGTAGTTTGTCAACTGCTCAATCGTGCTCCAGACCTTTATGCCCCTTTCAGCCCTGTCTTGCTGCTGGATGATCATTGGAATGCTATCTGCTGATCCACTCTTGGCTTTTTTATTGTGTTAGCCCTATTTTTCTCTTCGGTGTGAGACTCCATAATAGGATCTGGGTCATAGTTGTCCTGCATTTATAACTAGAGCTAAGGGTACCCAATCGGTATGGGCAAAGTTCCATGAGGTTTTGCTTTTTCCACACTTTTATAATTGTTCCTAGCGATCATTCTTCTTGGTTCTTCACTGCTCCGTTGTCTAGACAGTAGCTATTACGCGCTTACATTGTATATGACTGGGCTATATTTAGTCTATGTGCCAAAATGCTACTGCAATCGGTCCTCTCAGCTCTGTGCCTTTGTCTCGGCATCGCATTGGCCAAGTCCCACCCAACGGTCTACATGATTCGACACGGTGAGAAGCCTCAGGATCCAAACGACTATGGTTTGACTCCTGACGGGGTCAAGCGGGCACAGTGCCTGAGACATGTTTTCGGTCAAGGCTCGGAGTACAACATCGGGCATATCATGGCACCTCGTGTGAAAAAGGGTAAGGTTACAAGAAGTCTCGAGAGCAAACCGATACCACAGTGCCGAAACGAGGCGCGCGGGAGGTTGAGTTTCATAGACATCGCTGACAATATGCTTTCTGTCTGTAGATGGCAAGCATGGCCGTGCGTTTGAAACCGTTCTACCGCTTGCCAAAGATTTCGGTCTCACAGTTGACACTCACTGCAAGCGGAACCAAGTGAAATGCGTGGCTAAGGCGATCAGGTCGTATGATGGACCGGGCAACATTTTGATTGCATGGCGGCACTCGAAAATGGGTGGGATTGAGGAGGAGCTTGGTGCTTTGGAGCCTATTGAATATCCGGATGAGCGGTAGGTGATTGTATCTTAATGCGTCTTCTTGTTAGTATGAGTTTCGCATTGGGAGAAGTATGCCTGGGAGACGGTTGTCCAATGGAATCTTCGATTCACGACCGTCTTTGACAGAAGCTCGTTTGTTTGCCTTGTGGTATGTCCTGACGCTGACAGTTACAGATTCGACCTTATTTGGACAGACCCTTGGCCGTATGGGAATGTCACAAGTATCAAAAGCGAGGAATGCCCTGGACTAGATGTTAGGACTGGTCTCGTGGATCAGGTCTGATATTGAAATGGAGAGAATATCCATTTTATTTGTCATCGAGTGTATATTCATGGATTGAATAAAACATGCATAATCAGGGAATCAATGGAGCAGAAAGGTAGAGAAACCAACAATCAAAAAGAATGAATAGAGAATAACACGGTAGAGGGAACAATCAACCGACCTCCAGGAACCTCTCTATCAACGCACAGACCAACCCAGCAAAATTGTTGTGGGAAGGCGGTGAACCAGCCGAAGCGGAGACAATTATAGCGCCAAGATTTCGTCCCCCCAAATTTTTCGTTGCGCTTGACTGTCGAGCTTTCCCTTCCAGATTACAATTTCTGTTTACGGGAAAATATTATGGATGATATCGAGGTTTGTGCACTCGGAGAATGCCCCGCAAGGATTGCGAGCTGACTGCCCTCAAGGAACGGCTGCGCAGCCATGCGCAGGCATTTGACGGTCTGCTGTCTTTGATCCCCGCCAAATACTATTATGGCGAAGAAGATACAAGTGTATGTAGCCCTGTTGCATTTCATAAGTTGATGGCTTTGGGATTGGAGTCAGCTTGTGTTCTTGCCTTTATCGTTCATTCTGAAGATTTCTGTCTGACCATCATCCTCATTTTTAGGATCAATGGCAACGCAAAAAGCAAACCAAAGAACAAGCACGCGAGGCGAAGCGGGCGAAGCTGAACCCCGAAGCCGCTAAGACCGCCAAAGACGTGATGGATGAAAACGCACGCAAGCGAAAGCGGGAGGACGGCACCCTCGAGTCCGACTCGTCCGACGGAGAGATGGGCACAGAGACCCCCAAGGAAGGTCTGAACCGCGGAGCTGCCAACATCAAGAAGCAAAAGCAGGTTGAAAAGACTGATAAGCCGGACGCTGCCAAGGCAGCAGAGGCTGAGGCACGGAAAAAGCAAAAGGAAGAGAAGAAGGCCCAGAAGAAGGCCGCCCAAATGGAGAAAAAGAAGGCCAAGGATGCTGCCCGGAAGGAGAAATCTCAGCAGGGCAAAAAGCCATCGACCACCTCAACTGAGGATTCGGAAAAATCTGCAACCAAGCCTAACGGCAATGCAGCAAAGGACACTGAAGCGTCCGAGGATGAAGAGGATGACGATCAAGAAGATGACGGTGTTGCCGAGGAAGGGTTCTCCATTGAGTTCAACGTTGAACAGGAAAACCCTTCTTCTGCCCCTTCTACCACCGACTCTCCTACCTTCGATGCCTCAAATTCTCAATCCGGCACCTCCTCCACTTCCTCCATCGTTCCTCCCTCCGCCTCCACCGAAGCCAAATCCTCAGAGCCCAAACCTCTCAAGCACACACCCGAAGAGCTGAAGCAGCGTCTACAGAAGCGTCTGGATGAGCTCCGGGCCAAGCGCCACGCAGATGGACTCAATGGCAAGCCTGCACGCAACCGCCAAGAGCTGATTGAAGCCCGCCGGCAAAAGGCCGAGCAAAGAAAGGCACACAAGAAAGAACTGCGTGAAAAGGCCAAGGTTGAGGAAGAAAAGAAGAACGACGAGGCCATGGCCCGCCGCTTCTCGCCCGGTGGCTCTGGATCCCTCCTGGCATCCCCCCGCTCCCCTGCCGAGTCCGTCGGCTCCACCAGCAACAACTTCTCCTTCGGCCGTGTGATGTTCACAGACGGCCAGCAGACAGATATCACCGGAACCAACGTGCGCGAAAAGCCGAAGACCGGCGGTGCCCGTGACCCGGCTTCCCAGCTCAAGGTCGCCGAGGCCAAGAAAGCCCGCCTCGAAGAGATGGACCCTACCAAGCGTGCCGACGTTGAAGACAAGGACCTCTGGTTGAACGCCAAGAAGCGTGCTCACGGCGAGCGTGTCCGCGACGATACCTCTCTGTTGAAGAAGGCCCTCAAGCGCAAGGAAACGGCGAAGAAGAAGTCCGAGCGCGAGTGGAGGGACCGCATCGACACCGTTGCCAAATCTAAGGAACAGCGCCAGACTAAGCGCGATGAGAACCTTCGCAAACGCCGGGACGACAAGGGCACCAAGGGCGGCAAGAAGAAGTCTAGCAGCAGTGGAAAGAAGAAGGCTGCTCGACCTGGATTCGAGGGCAGGGGTGGTGGCAAGAAGAAATAAACAAGCTTCTATCCGGTGGCTTAATTTTATTTCGTTTCTCACTTGCTTTTACATCAACCCGTCTTCTTTTATATTCTTCTTTTTCTTTTCTCTGCATACCCTTCAAACCGGTCTTTGTCTCTTGGATGTTTACATCTCTGAAACAAGATCGCACACAGAAGCCCCCGAACCAACAAAAAAAGTGTTTTGAGACTTTGAACAGGGAAATATCCGTCCGGAGATCAAGGTGCCTGGTGTTTGCGTTTGTGTCTTTGGCAGCTTGGTCTGTCAATTTATGTCTATGCATGACAGCATCGGTAGCGATTTGATTTATCTGTGAATACAATATCATTTTCTTATCGAGCTGTATATGTGTTCCTTTTGTCTTTATGCCTATGTAAACCTATAGATCCCAAGATGCACTTATATATGCGGTTAGCGGAAAAGTGTTCAGCGTAGATATAAGATGGGATTGTTTGAATTTATATATTTTGAATTGAATCTCAACCAGAAGAAAAAGAGCTGCTAGATTCCACAACATAGGAAATAAAAAGAGACAAGGGAGCCAGGGTTCCAGGGAAAGACATTTCCTTTAGGAATTGACTAGTACAAGATGATAACACAGTCGAGGGCAAGTTATGTACAGTGATGTGATGGGGCTTAAAATCTTTCTTGTTTTTCAAGGCACTAGTGGTGCCTCTTGAATGGATGGGTATTGCGACCAGCATCTTCGTGTCCACACATCTAACATCTTGAAAGATGCGGATTTGCCTGAAGATGCCAATCAAATTGGAGGGAAAATAGATTATCGGTAGGGAGCATCTGCACGAGCAGTAGCTGCAATCTCAGGCTCCCACTTGTCACCGTTGGAGAGGAGCTTCTCCTTGTTGTACAGAAGCTCCTCGCGGGTCTCAGTGGCATACTCGGCGTTGGAAGCTGAAAGACAAGATATTAGTAATCCGGTCTCATGTCAATTGAGATGTAACCAGAGGGTGTTGGACTCACTCTCAACGATGGCATCCACAGGGCAGCTCTCCTGGCAGTAGCCACAGTAAATGCACTTGGTCATATCAATATCGTAACGGGTCGTCCGGCGGCTTCCGTCCTCACGCTCTTCGGCCTCAATGGTAATAGCCTGGGCCGGGCAGATGGCCTCACAGAGCTTGCAAGCAATGCAGCGCTCTTCACCAGTGGGATAGCGACGGAGGGCGTGTTCACCACGGAAACGGGGGGAGATAGGACCCTTCTCGAAGGGGTAGAAGATGGTGTAACTGGAACATGGCGACGCAATTAGTTGATATGTTTCGATGCCATTGATTTTGGATTGCGGTCCGCATCGCCGGCAAGGTTGGGGTGGGACAAGGACTTACGGTGGTCTGAAAAACTGCTCGAGCACCACGTACATGCCGCGGAAGATCTCTGCCATGAGGAAGTATTTGCTGGCCTTGTCCAAGGCGGACTCGGAGTCCTGATCCCAGCGCTTGGGCGGGGGCAGGCGGAACCCGGCCTGAGGGGGTCCCGCTGGGGTTGCTGCGCGGTACGTCGAGGAAGAGAAGTTTGCGGTTGAGCCCAGCAATCCGAAGGGGGTCGGCCGACGGTAGGCGATTAGCCTCGCGACCGAGCGGGTGGCGGCCATGGTTTTGGAGAGGAGAGTGAGGTTGGATATATGGGGGAATCGAGGTTCAATTGGAGGTGGAAGGGGAGCAAGTCTCAGGTTGTGGTGGTTTGCAGGTTTCGGGCTTAGGTCATTCCTTTCTGTCGGGCGTTGATTGGCCCGCAGGATTTTGCTGGGCGCGACCTCACATCTTTCCTTTCCTGCGGCAGCCGTCTTCCCCCAATCTCTACCCGTTTACTCTCCACCATTTCCTTTTAATACTTTAGATCTTTTCAGCCTTTGCGCTATTCCGATCAATCTATTCCATCATGTTCCGCTCCGCCATTGTCCGTTCCTTGAAGGCTTCCGCCCCCCGTGTCATCAAGACCCCGGCTCCCTTCCACATCCGCAGCTCCCCCATTGCTGCCCAGGTCCCTCAATTCACTCCCTGCTTCGCTCAGGGTGTCCGCCTCTACTCCGCCCCTGCCGGCCTCAGCAAGAACGAGGCCGAGGGCCGGATAGTCAACCTGCTCAAGAACTTCGACAAGGTGCGTCATGTTATTTTCCCGGGGAATCTCGCCATCTATCGGCTATAGACGAAAAGCAAAATGCTAACTGGGTTTGTTTCATATCTAGGTCTCCGATGCCAGCAAGGTCAGTGATTATCTATCGGATGCACCGCCGTGACCTTTATATCGCCATGAGCTATAGGAGGGGCGACCGAAAACATTCATCAACTAAACCCGTTTGACCTGCAGATTAACGGCGCTTCCCACTTCTCGAACGACCTTGGTCTGGACAGCCTGGACACCGTCGAGGTCGTGATGGCCATTGAGGAGGTACGCGCCCAGTTTCCCTCGGAAAAGCATCAATTGTATTATTATATGAAGGATATCTAACTGGTTCAACAGGAGTTCAGCATTGAGATCCCCGACAAGGAGGCCGACCAGATCCACAGCGGTACGTTGGGACTTGATGACCTCGTTATAGTTCGTGAACCGGAGCTGACATGAATATTGCGCATAGTTGAGAAGGCTGTCGAGTACATCCTGGCCCAGCCCGATGGTATGTGAATCCCATAGCCTCTCTTCTTTTTTAACATCTGCTGACTTCTTGACAGCCCACTAAATATTTAATTTGAAAACTTGGGATCGGTTGGAGAATCGGATAGAAAAAGAATCGGGATGTTGGCATCAGTAGGGTTCGCTGGACACAGCGACACTCAACCGACATGCTATTTTGTATGCTGAATACATGCCAGTGGCTTTTCTTTCCTATATCGTGTATATCATTTGAGTGCAATTTATGCAATTTTGAAGCAGTATTGCTACCACGTGGTGATAATCACCAAATGCGTCTGGACATTTTTGGTATATCTAGGGATGTTTTCAGCTTAATGGTTCATTGGGCCAGTTCTTTTTGATAAATAGATAGATACATATGTACATGTTTAGGTATACAGTTACCTCTGTATATCATATGATTGTACATGGATGTAGCCTCTAGTGTTGGCTTTGTAGCTACATGGTTAATTTTAATGAACATAGACAAAAACACAAGATACATGAGCATATGGAAATGGAGTAAGAGATCATAGATATATGCCAAGTAGTCTAGATTGCCAATTTCCAAAAAAAAATAAAGCCATAAAATAGAATCATCATGGGGAGATTACCATGACAATGTCCTTTGACGGGCGTTTAAGCACCCGCAGATACTCAAAGAGCCACATCACCGAACCAACTAACTTTGAACTTCACCCATTTCGCAACTCCATTCATTGCAGTCGCCTATTCCTCTCGTACTTAGGCGGGTTTAGTTCAATATACCCGACACTGTATCGTTTTGGCTAAGCCCACTCGGTCCCTGGTTTCCCCTGACACCGAAAGTCCCACTTCACCCGCAGACTTTCGGTCTGAACGGTCCCTCTCAACATCTCACCAACCCAGACAATTCAAACCACCGGCATATAGATCGGAAGCGTTTGGTCATATCCGGCCATATCTCTCCCCATCCCTTTTCGATCCCCCCACCCAACCCGACCCGATCTCATGGCCTCAGCAGCCGGGGGCTTGACTCGCCGCAGAGGCGCCGGTCGAGTCGCTGGGGCAGACGATCAAGATGACAGCCGAGTGTCATCGCCAATTTCCCGAAATGGCTCTGCGATGGAGAACCGTGGACCGGAGACGTCGTTTACCAGTGCAGAGAATGGCCACAAGATCGCGTTCGACCCCCGCGACATCAGCGAAAACGAGGAACGGGGCAAGCAGCCCAAATTGACTCTGATGGAGGATATCTTGCTGCTGGGTCTGAAGGATAAACAGGTGAGTCTTGATGGATATTATCTCATGACCGATTTGTTCGATTTGTGGTTCCGATCGCTGATCTCGTGCCCGCGCCGCAACAGGGCTATCTGTCTTTCTGGAACGAAAACATCTCCTATGCCCTGCGAGGGTGTATCGTCATTGAGCTCGCGCTCCGCGGTCGTATAAGCATGCAGAAGGATTCGTCGCGGCGACGTTTCCCCCTGGCCGACCGCATCATCGAAGTCATCGACGATACATTGACTGGGGAGGTCTTGCTGGACGAGACACTGAAGATGATGAAGTCAAGCGAGAAGATGAGCGTCAACTCATGGATTGATTTGCTGAGTGGTGAGATACGCCCGTAGCAGAAAGTTGGGTTGCGACGTACTTACTGACGGGCGCTGCTTATAGGCGAAACCTGGAATTTGATGAAGATCGGATATCAATTGAAGCAAGTCCGGGAACGACTGGCCAAGGGTCTTGTGGATAAGGGTATTCTCCGAACCGAAAAGCGCAACTTCCTTCTCTTCGATATGGCGACGCATCCCGTGGCCGACGGCGGCGCGAAAGACGAGCTCCACCGACGGGTGCGCAACATCTGCAGTAACCGCACTGTGATTATCCCCCCTAGCCCGTGGCTCCCCGAAGACGCCGAATACCGATACCTTCGTTCAATCACCATGGTCTGCGCCGCATACGCCGCCAACGTCCTCGAGAACGCTTTGGTCACCATGAGCCATGAGGCTCGCGAGAGAGCGTTCGCGCAGGTGGATGAATTGCTGGCAGAGTATTCGCAATGGCCGTTTGGCCGGAAGGCTGGAGGTTCGCAGGCGATTGGAGCCAATTTGGCTCAAGTCGTCAATGAGGAGATCAATCGGAACAAGGATAAAGAGCTTCAGATGGAGGTAAGCTGCACCTCATACCTTGCTAAACACTTGACTCTTGCTACGTGCTAACCAACAAACAGATTGTCGCCGCATGCTTGAGCGTTTTTACCAGACTTGATTCTTTACTTTAACGGAGGTACCGCGTAATACACTTGTCTTTTGTTCTTCACGACTTCTTCTCGCCTTCTCTCTCTCTCTCTCTCTCTCTCTCTTTTGCCTTGCACCTGGGCCACAAAACTTCGGTTTCTTCTTCTGTTCATGTAGTTTGATCTTGTGGGATGGGACAGAGCGTCGCTTTTTTTTTCATATGGAATCATCGGGTCAAAACTTATTCTTGTATGGGATATCTCATTAACTTTGATTTACTTCACCCTTTGTTTTATTCTCTTCTTTTCTTGAACTTGGCTTTTGGGACGTGGCATTGCGAAAGTTCTCTTTGGCCTAAACTTGTAAGTGGCCCAATATTTTCAAATTGATACACAACCCTAGGTTGCTTTTCCTCGACATTGCTTCTTCTTCTTGGGATGCGCTTACTTTTGATATCTCTTATAATAAAAACGCATAGACATGACAATCTAAGTACAGGCAACACTATTAACCCTTACAACCACCATCCCACCGCGCCGACTCCCTGCCGTCCCAGCAGCTCCAGCAGCCAAAAGATCTGCCGCGCGCGCAAGATCAACAGTAGTAATCTCTCTACCACAGAGCAGACTCTCCTCCACCAACTCCGCAATCCGCTCCATAGCCGGCGCATCGGGATTAACAGGCACAAACCGGCTCCTAATTCCGCGCTTCTTCTCGCCCAGCACATCCTTCTCAGGAACAAGCGGAGACTGCAACGCAACCTGACCATCCACAACAGTCAACACAGCCCCGTAATCCTTAACCACACCGGCTGCATGAGCCGCCCGGAATACTGAGCCGCCGGCACAGTCAAGCACGATATCGACCGGCAGCCAGCGGCGTGCGCGGAACACTTTCTCAATATTACACTCGTCCGGCGACGGGAGGTGCGGGATGATGATTATCTCGTCAACTTCCCAGTCCTTCTCGATAATGTCGGCCTCGACTTGAGTGCAGGTTACACAGATCCACGGCCGGACGGGCATTGGGAAGAGCGAATCTGCTCGCAGGATCTGCACCGCGATCCGGCCGATATCATTGTCGCGAGCGTTGGTGACGAGCACTCGGATCTTGGGCAGTTTTTGCTTCCCGTTGCCATTTGCATTCGTGCTGCCAATTATGCTTCCTAGCAGGCTGCCGCGCCGTCCAGGGCTAGAGTTGCCGCTGACTAGGTTGATAAGGCTGCCGCGGCGGGTATTGTTGTTGGCATCGGCATTAGCAGTAGGATCGACTGTGCTGGCAGCGGGAGTAGCTGGAGCGTCGGTGTTGCCTTTGATCAGGCCGATCAAACTGTTGCGGCGGACAGTACTCTTGGGATTGGGGTCAACTGTGCTGGCAGCGCGAGGAATGGTTTTCTTGCCACTGGGATTACCGCTAATGAGACTGATCAGGCTCTCGCGACGCACATTCTTAGGATTGGGAGCGGGATTGACCGCTCTAGCAGCGGGAGGGATGTTGTCAATGTCAGCATCATTGCCGCTGGCGGTGGCATTGCCGTTGAGGTTGGAACCGCCGCGATTCCACTGCCAAATCCAACGCCCGTTCCCATTTCCGCTGACACTACCACCGGTAGTACCATTTAGCAGACTGCCGTTCCTGCCTCCAGCACCAGCAACCGTGCTTTTGCGGTGCCCGTAGCCATAATCCTTGCTACCGAGCACGGACTCACGACGCTGGCGCTGCCAAAGCCACCCACCCATCCCATTTCCACCATTCCCAAACTCATCATCGCCCCCCTTCAACCCGCCAGGTACGTCGGGATCAAGCCCGGCATACCGAAAAAGCGCCTGCCAAGCCGTCAACGCCGGCAACGCAAGGGCCGCCGCCCCAGCAACAGTGATATTATCCGGTTTCAGCGCTAGCTCGCCCTCAGTCGCAACTGCATAGTCTGCGGCTCCGCCATCACGCGTATAGCTCATCACACCGAAGACTACATCGCCGATTTTGAACTTCGGGCCTTCTTCCCGCTCGTCCTCGTCGCGCGGCGTGCTGATGACCATCCCGCAGATACTGTGCAATGGGATCTGCGGGGTGGTCTTTGGGGGTTGAGTAGTCCGGCGAGACGGATCTCGTCGTGGCAGAAGGCTGCTGTGGTTATCTTCAGCAGGTATTGCTGACCGGAGGGCTGTGGGGTTGGGAAGCCAGCGTCGAAGACGAGGTTTGTTCCTTTCTGGCGGACGACGCTTATGTTTGTGTCGGGTGAGATAGCTTCGCTGATTTTTCCTTCTGGGATTCCGTCAAGTGTGTCGGTGTCAAATTCATCTGGGGTGTAGTAGAGGGCTCGCATTGACAGTGGTGTGAAGGGTGAGTCGTTTAGCGTTGATGAGGTGGGCTTTGCGGGATGTGAAGTGTGCTTTATGTCTTCTGAAGTGCGTCCTGTCGCTTCTGAGGTGTGTTTTGAGGGTTCAGCTGGCTGCTTCATGGCTTCTGGGGTGCGTGTTGAGGACTTCGATGGATCCTTCGGGTCAGGTTCCACGATGGGCTGCGTGGGGGGTATGTCTGACTGCATAGTATCATTGGGATCTTGATGCATCTTCTTAGTTTAGGGAGCTTTGAGTCTTTCCAATGAGTTGCTTGTAAGGAAGTTGAGGATTTGGAAGTAGGGTCTTCTCTTTTGCCATCTCATCTATAGATCGGAGGCCATTTCCTAACCTTGACGTATGTAGTAGGGCTTAGGTCAACATCGCCACTTGACAATCCCGATCAATTCCATTGCAATGAGCAGCAATTCAATCTTATCTTTGTATCTGACTTGGTTTGACATGAAAAAAATAGTATATAGAGGCTGTGTTTCATGGAAGGTGGATAGTGCAATGGAATATCAAAATCAATGACGAACCGAGATCCTACGGGCGTTATAGCTCGTTGCTTGCCCTATTCCTCCAAGGTACGGTGGACACCATAGTCTAGCGGGTTGATAGTTTGCAGTGTAATTCTTATCCCTCAACCTGCTTGCTATGGTGTTGCCTGCCTTCCGTGTCGCCTGGACCTGGCGTGCCGAGTCTGATCGCCGGTCAATCCAGGCGACGACTTTTTTTTTTTTATTTGGCCTTCCTTATCCTTATCCTTATCCTTGTCTCTCATACCTATCTTCATCAGTTATCTTTGTGATGGCACAGGAAAACGGTGTTCCTGGGTATGTCACGAGGGAAACGTAGATTTTTGAGAGCAGTTCAAAATAGCCAATCCAACTAAATATGTACAGAGTATTATATCTATAAAGCCTGGTCTTCCATACCCAGCCCATCAACAAAATCATACAACTCTTCCGGATCCTCAAAGACCGTCCAAATATGCGATGGCACATACTCAAACGCCTTCTCAAACCTCTCCGGTTCATTCTTCTCTTCCATATGCGCCACATCCCTAACCTTGCGAATAATGATAGCATGAATCCACTCAGGATGCCGACTGTACATCTCCGCATAAGCCTCTGGATCCTTCTGCGTCGAGTCCCCTATACAAAGCACCCTCCGACGCGGGAACCACCGCCGAATCTTCTCCATCCGATCAACCTTGTATTCCTGCGTCTTCTCAGTGAACGATTTGATAAGCCCCGTAATATCCATCCACGAGTAATCGCGCAGCACCAGCGTACCCGGACAGTAGTGTTCATCCAGGAAGTCGTGCAGAAAAGGGTAAAGATTATACGGCGACGCAGAGAGATAGAACCACGCAGGAAGTAGCTCAGCATGAACATATCTATAGAGCTCCGGCATACCAGCAATAGGCTCAGGGACATCCGCAAACGTCGTGCGAATAACCCCCGTCGGCTCAAGCGTCATAGTATGCTTAATAGTATCGTCAATATCCGAGATGACCAGCCAGCCCTCAGGCACGGCAAAATTCGTGGTCATCGACACAGCCTCGTCGCCGAAATGCTGCAGACGCGGCCGCACAACCGCCCCGTCGTATATTCTCACATCGCCCATATCAATCGTCTGGCTGACGATGCCGTTGCGATCGGACGGGCCGAGTCCGTGCGACTGCGCCGGCCGGGATAGGGGTACCTGCAGCGTGACCGTGCACGCTGGTGAGACCTGGTTGAGGAAAGGCTGGACGCGCTCTGCGATACGTCGGCGTGTCTCGTCGTCGCCGCCTACATCACCGTCCAGTCCGATGTAGTCGGCGATTGCGGCGACGAGGTTGCCCACGTCTTTCCGGCCTTCCGTTTCGAAGATACAGGCGACTACTTCGGCGTGCCAGCACAACTGGTTCTCATCTGTCTCCTCATTTACCGGCTGGTACGCTGTATTGTCTAGCAGCCACACGGTGTGCTTGCGTGGGTCTGCTGGGTGCGCGAGTGGGTTTTTGGGACCAAGAAAGGACGAGAAGAAATTTATCAAGGCTGAGCCGCGTTTTTCCTGTGCTGGTGTTGGAGATGTGCAAGTAGTTGCCTTATGAACCTCCTTTCTGGCCTCAGCGACCGTTAACTCGTCTGGTTTGTGGTGCGGCATGATATTGGCGCCGAGTTAGCTTCCAGTCTCAAGGTTGAGGCGTTTTCTATGATAAAATAGTAGTAGAATCAGTACCGAGGAAAATCCCCGAAAAGCACATGTCAGGGCGCAAATGCAAAGAAATAAATGAAACTCATCAGGGGAGAGACGATCATATAGCTAGCCCCTGTTAGTTGACGATCTAGTGTTAGTGCCATCCGGTGCCCTTCAGCCAAGAGCCTCCATTCCCACCTGATCTTGTCTGCCTTTGAAGACACTCGTATTGATGCCATATTTTAAGTCAAGCCACAACATTTAGGTGGGTGACAGGGGCAAAGCCATATCAGTTGTCAGTTGGTCAGGTCAGGCGAACGGAGCACGTTTTGCGGGGGATGGCTTGGCAGTAGGGCTGAGCTTCTGGCTTCTGATGAACTTGATGAACTTTATTACTTGATGAACTGGTCGTTTTTCCCCGGGTGATCTGAATCCTCGATGCGTTTGTTGGAGTTCTGAAGTTATGACGTTTTCTTTTCTAGTCGTGTAGGTAAATGATCAACTTTCTCTGCAGATTCTCCATGAGTTTATACAATATTTATCTCATTTACTACTAGACATAGACAATTAAATATGCATTAATAGACCACTCGATGATATATTATACGGATTGAGGCTTGGACTATGAATATTCTACGACCACTGGAGGTCATTACGACTACGAAGGCCAGAATCTCCATTGACTCGCTATCACCATGTATCAAGTATATATTTAGTAACCCTCCGGTTAACTTCGATGAAATGTACACTATCCAGGCATATCAGATCATTCCTGCAACGGGTATCCGTATCCAACCAACATAGCAGGCTCATCAATGCTATGATGCTGATAACTGCAAATAGGAAAAAGGTCAACTGCCAGGTCACTGAAGTGGGATGAAAGAGGATTACCTGAGGACGCCAACGGCGCCAGGGTCGAGCATCAGAGAAAGAGGGAACTCCATAGGATATCCCAGCCAGCGCTTGGTAAAGGCACGAAGCAAATGTCCGTGTGCAACCAGCAGGATATCAGAAGGGTTCTCTCCGTGCATGTTGTCCTTGTGGGTGGCGCGAATCTCTTGAATGAGGTTATCAAGACGGTCCGTCACCTCTTGCGCAGACCTATATTGACCTGGTCAGATATACTCGATCGTAGCCGATTGAACATAAATTCAAAAGAGATTTAAAAAAAGACTTACTCTCCATTTTCGCAGCCGTCTCTCCAGATATCCCACTCGCTCTCGGTATCCAGGCCGTGGTCCTTTCTCAAGGCCCGGATTTGTTTAGTCAACAGACCTTCGTACAAACCGTAATCCCACTCGGCCAGTCTGTCTGTCTCAGAGACCTTCTGCGAATCTTTAAGCGCCTGTTTATCGGCATCAGAGAAAGCAATCTCAAAGGTCTGCATCGCTCGCCGGCGAGGGCTGATATAGACATGGGCAAGTTTAGCCGGGTCAATCAATCTACCGGATCCGACAATCATCTTGCCAGATGCATTGACCTGGTTAACACCATCTTGGGTGAGCTCAAGCTCAGTGATTCCTGTGTAGCGTCCATTCTTGGACCATTCCGTCTGCCCTAGAATCTAGTTAGACCACAGAAAGAAAATATTGATGCTCTGGGACATACCGTGTCGGTAGAGGAAGACACGGGGTGTGCTGGAATCTTTATCGGGCATTTTGGACTATGGTTCAAGGGTAATCCAAGGGTGGTTGTTGAAAGTGGGTTGCGGGATTGTGGGAAAAGTGGGAAGGATTTCCGTCCCCGGTGAGTTTGAACTTCACCCGCCACGTGTACGAGCTTAACTTAGAAGTAGAATATTGAACTTTGATTCTATCTATTTCTATGTAAATAAAGTGGGTCACGTAAAAAAGGAATTGCTAAATGGGTACTTGATATCTATGATATTGGGGGCGTTTCTGCCCCGCCATCGCGGGGTGTAGTGCTTTTATAGTAGGATTTTAGAAATGACGTCTTGAACAATACAGAACAATTCAAAATTCATATGTATTAGACCTACATATATATTTAGAACTTCAGTCTTGATAGCCTAGGAAGTATAGTTCTTTGTTTTTAAAACATCTATGCCACTAAACGAGCGCTGAGATACTCATAGTATTTATTGGATACTATGTCTCATTGACAATCCCCTTATGTTGAACCATGCAGATATATGCCTTTTCCTTTGTCTAGTCCATCCTATCAAAATGTCCCTTCGATTTAGAAAACAAATATTATATGCGGAATGATACCACAATAGCAATTGCCCAAACCAAGATTAGCTCGAGTTCTGTATTTCCCACCTCAATCATCAACTTTTTTTTCGCCTAGATCAAATCTTAGACATGTGTACAATGTTTTGTATAGAGATTCTCATCCTGTTGACACCTTGCATATTCGGTTCGATACCAAAAATGAATTTATTCTAGCCCTTGCATATTCCAGGTCTCGCGTTTCCTAGAGGTCCCATCAAGTCCTTTTATTATGTTTGCCCTAGCAAGAAAAAAACATAAGCCTAATCAACTTAACATCTTAAGCCGATGAATCAGATTGTATAATCTATTTGCATTCGACCCGAAACGAGACTTGAGCAGGTAGGTCGCATGTAAAAACAGTTACAGAGCGAGACTAATTCTAACATAGCTTTACCAACATTCCAACATGCCTTCAACAATTTCACCCATGCTACCCATCCCATCATCATCTCAACATCAAAACGCCCTCCGATACTCTCCTCGCCGGAAGTACCGACCCAGTCGAGCTACCATCCGTCCGGTCTATACAGAAGCAAACCCGTTCATCTCTCACAGTTCCTCACACTCGTTAACGCACTCTTGGCCCAAACATCGTGCAGTCGATTGCCCGCGATGCCATCGCCACCACAGCATCAGTTTCTGCGGGAAGCAACGGCAGTGAGAATGATTTGAGCTTGGGAGCCGAACTTTGGGATATAATACGATTGTAAAATGGTTAGGCTGGGCAGCATTTAAATATCTTGTTGTGCAATCTGGCTGGCGACCATTTGACCTTCGAAGTGAAAATAATGTGGATGTTACTTTTGATTTAGTGGAGAAAGAGAAAATGAATATCTCATTTTTGGGATTGCAAAGAAAAAAGATCATTGACGAAGAACAAAAAGGCTCTGCTTAGCAAGGGAGTAAAATAGGCTTGATGGTAGGGATGGAGGAACACTTGTTTTAATAGAGTCAAGTGAGAGTGAAGTGAGGTCACTTATCAAGGAGAGTCCAGGGCCCTTCAAATGAGGGTGAGATGAGGGCGAAATAGTTTATGATCAAAGACAAATATCACTCTGTCAAGCTTCTCAGTCTCATAGCTTCTTAGCTTCTTCAACTATCCAGTCATCATCTCACATTCCACCATGCACCTGGAGGTCTCTGTAGACCTCTCTCCTAACACACACACTTAAATTTAGGATATTCGGAGAGAGGGCTTTATACACGCGGGAAGGTTGTTAACCACTTGGTCTCCTCAGCGATATGAGATTCGCATCTGACAAGTCTAAGCAAATAGCTCTCCTCTTCTGTCCTAGTCCCAGACAGAGGTGAATTCTCGACTATCCCCTTCAGAGGTGCATTCTCGACTATTCCTTTTTAAACATTCGAGCATTAAAGCCACCCGTCCATTTTGTTCCTCAAGATCGCCAGCAATTTTTCGTTTCTGCGCCTCAAGTTCGAAGATAATGCTCGTTTGTTCGTCAATCGTGCATTTCTGGCTATTGAGCATCATTGTCTGTATTTGGAGCTTGTATGATTGTTCGTTGAATCGAGACAACAGTTCTGCATATAGCTGTTCATACTGCGGCTCATCTTCAAGATTGAACATCATATCTGAATCCTCGTCGTTTCCTGTTCATTGTTCAATTATTTCAACCAGATGCTTTAGGGTATTGTGGCTTGGCTGGAAACACTCCCCATCATCTGGTGCCATCTCGCTGATCAGTTCTTCTTGGTACTCGAGCTCCAAGAACATTGTACTCGCAATGTTACCAAAGACTTCCTTTATCTTCGTATCTCGCTTTTCTAGCGCAGACGATATTCTGGTTTGTTCCTCGAGATCACGAACCAGCATTGCTTTTTGGAACACGAGGTCGGCCATCTTCTTCTTCTGTTCCTCGAGCTTGTAGAAAATCTTTGTTATGTTTTGTTCAAATTGGCCCTCGGCTGCTTTGTGCTTTTTTGTGAGGCTGAGGATAGTCTTCTCCTGTTCCTTCATCTCACCTCTCAGCTGTGCATTTTGTTCCTGAGACTTTTTAAGTGTCTCGTCATGCCATGACGACGTAGAGTCACATGCAGGTGGTGACCCAATGTCATTAATCATGCACTGCGGATTAATTGCAGATTCTGTCCATTTGGGTTCCTTGAGGAGCAAGCGGTTCATGTTTTGCTTCTGCTCTTCGGAGTCGCGTGCCATCTTTATGTTTTGCACTTCAAGCTCAAGGATGGTCATCATGTCCATTTCGTTGATATGGGCTGACCTGTCACCGGCGTTCGGTGTTTGATGGACAGATGTGGTTCTAGTGAGCATTCTTTCTTACTAGATGGGTTTGAGTGGGTTGACAAGTGATGAGAGTTCACAACTGACGGGTATTTGAAAGGGACAGGCCCGAGGGTCTCTTCCTAGGTTATATTTAACTGATCTTGTTCCGATTCCATATTTGGCCCGGAAGGCACCACCATGTCCTTTGGGACCACACACTATAATTTTTAGGAACTAAACCAACCTTAGAAGAAAAACAGTGAATTTGATGTGTGCCATCCATGGATGATATCTGGTGCTTTTCCCATTCCGGTGTATATGCCGAGTACAAAACATAGATATCGTTGCAATGAGTCATAACACATAGAGCATGAAAACAAACATATTTGCAGGCCCTCAGTAACCAAGGCGCGGATATAGTTGCATGGGTTCAATGGTCTAGTAAAAGGAAATTTGGTGATCCCGTGAATTGACCGAGGCGCACTTTCAGAGAAATGATCACATCCCAATGACGAGTGGCAATACTGGGTAGTAGAATGCCACACTCAAATTGAATGGACCAAGTGCACTTGCTAGGGTAGTGCTCGCAAGCAATAAAGGTGTCTGTGGGCGTGGCAAGAAGACTCCAGAAAATGGTGATAGCCTTTAGAACAAGATGCTAATCAAAGTTCATTGAGTTGGTGGGTAATGGTACTCAATAGACCTCATTTTCACCATTTCTTTGGGGCAGAAATCTCCGCCCGAGAGAAGGAGGCAGAGACAGTCTCGCTTCCTTTCCGCTGCTGAATTGCTTTGATTCCGGTGCGGTCAGTGACCGTCGTCGCATTGATGATATTGTCGAATGCCTCGTCCTCGCTTCCTCCTGAGCCGGACTCAGCATCTGAGTCGACGTACAGCTGCTCCGGCCGAGAAATTTTCTCCGGCTGCTGCTTTTCCTCCTCTGCCGAATTCTTGAATGATTTAGAATTGAGGATCTTGCGGCGGATTTCGGCCATTTGCTCTTCATCTTCGGAGTCATCGGAAATCGCGAATGGATCCTTGTCCTCATCTTCCTCTTCGTCACTGCCCTCATCTTCGTCATCTTCGTCTCCGCTTTCGTCGTCGTCGTCGTCTTCAGTCCGTGCGGGCAAACGATTGGTGTTTCCTTTGGTCCACATATCATCACCTCCTTCGACGCGATTGTCTTCGTATTCTTGTTCGATCTTGGTTAGCCATTCCTCTTCCGTCCTCTTTACATCCTCTTCCGTTTCGCAGGCGGCATAGCGCGCCAGAAGTTCTTTGTTGATTTCCAAGAAAGACGGCCCATAGCTGAAATGTCTGAGTAGATCTTCCGCCCATTCCAAGCGACGGCAGATGGCGAAGCAAGCGGCGAGCGCCTCGACACAGTTCAGACGCCATGGTTTGCCGTAGTTAACGGTGTTGGCGGCGATAAGGTAGGGAACTATATATTAAGATAGTTAGCATCCCATACTTCAAGTTCACCATTGCCCAACTCTTATCACATACGAAGGCGTTCACATTTTCCGCCGATCCGCGACCAGGGTACTTCCTTGACTCGCATCCAAGAGCATTCCACCACGGCAGCACCGTGCTGTTCCATGATATCCTTGTCTGCGGGAGAGATAATTCGCTTTGCATTTGGACTAGTCAATTGTCAGTATGCAACCAAGACGACCAAAAAGAGTACTGCGAAACATACGAGACGATCACGCCGGGGTGCCGCTGGCCGATGTGAAGCTCTCGCATCAGACCGAGCTTCATCAATCGCTTTCCTGAGCATCGCTTAGGATCGCAGTGTCCCATGTCCCAGCAGGCAGCCTTGTAAGGAGGCCTCGAGGAGGTCGCGCCCTCAACTTCTTCATCACCGCGGGGCACTCGGGGGCGGGGGTTGTTGAATTTCTTGCCTCCTCGGGCGAAGTTGTCTTTTTTGTGGCGGACCATAGTGGATGATGAGATCGAAATATAAAGAGAATATTCAAGATCACCCTACTTGGAGTATCTTGAAGTATTCCGTAGTGGTAAATGTAGTGATTGAAAAAAAGAGAATCCAAGGCCAAGCACAAGCGCCACACGTGCAGGCTAAACGGGTTCTCCGCCCGCCTCCCCGTCCGCGACTGTACACATCTCCTCTGGATCCTTGTGCTTTCCAGTACCTCCCTCTTATCTGAATAATACCCCTTTCCCTCTTGTTTACTCGTCTACCGTCATCCTGGAGGCTGCATCTGCACGAATGGCGGCTAGGGACCGCTTCGGCGTCTACGCTGAGCCAGGCGCTTCACCGTTGCAGCGGGCAATTCGTGAGTTTAGTGTTGAGATGAATGTAACACAAACGATTATACTGATGCTTAACTATCCATAGGAAATGCCTGCGATCCTCAAAACTACGAGCCGAACCTGGCCCTGAACCTCGAAGTTGCGGATCTAATCAACTCCAAGAAAGGCAATGCGTGAGTGAGAACACCCATGTTGTATGGCGCACACTCATAAATTCACTTCTTAGGCCCCGGGAAGCCGCATTCGATATCGTTCATCTCATCAATTCCCGAAATCAAAATGTCGCATTATTGGCGTTGGCGGTACGTGGGGAGCTCAAATGACAGCTGGCGCGGGGGATGCTGACAACCGCGATTTCTAGCTACTCGATATTGCCGTCAAGAACTGCGGATATCCATTCCATCTCCAGATCGGCACAAAGGAATTCTTAAATGAATTGGTCCGCAGGTTCCCCGAACGACCACCCATACGGGCCTCCAGGGTCCAGCACCGCATTTTAGAGTCGATCGAGGAGTGGCGCCAGACTATCTGCCAGACATCGCGCTATAAGGATGACCTAGGATTTATTCGGGACATGCACCGTTTGTTGCTTTACAAGGGGTATATGTTCCCGGAGGTCCGCCGAGAAGATGCTGCGGTCTTGAACCCAAGTGATGTATGTGGCCCCCACATGGTATTGTTTTCGGAGTCAAATTAACGTTGCCTAGAATCTCCGCTCAGCTGATGAGATGGAAGAGGAAGAGAAGGAAGCACAGTCTGCCAAACTCCAAGAGTTGATTCGCAGAGGAACTCCCGCCGATCTACAGGAAGCGAACCGGCTCATGAAGGTTATGGCAGGATTCGACAATCGGCATAAAACTGACTATCGAGCAAAGGCCGCCGAGGAGGTTGTTAAGGTGCAACAAAAAGCCAAAATCCTGGAAGAGATGCTGCAGAATCAACAGCCCGGGGAAGCTCTCCCCGAAGGCGACGTTTTTGAGGTAGGTGATGAAACGACCCGCGTGTTGTTTGCCAGATGATTGGCCTCTGACGATCTTACCAGGAACTTGCGAGTGCTTTGCAGAGCGCTCACCCCAAAATCCAGAAAATGTGCGAGGAAGAATCGGGTGACCCCGAGGCCGTCCACAAGCTATTGGAGATAAATGACAGCATACATCGCACAATCGAGCGGTACAAGCTGGTCAAGAAGGGTGATCTGGATGCTGCATCTCAGATTCCCAAGGGTACACTGGGCACCACGACCGGAGTCTCAACAAATGCAAACAACGAGCTCTCTCTTATCGATTTCGACCCGGAGCCTGAACCCAGCTCCAACGGCAACGAGGCTGGGCCATCCCAGGGCGGTAGCTCCTTGGAGAATGACTTGCTCGGCCTTTCATTGGGTGAACAAGCTCCTTCTCCCGGAGGTGGTATCTCTCTCGGATCTTCCAGTAAGTACCACGACACAATATTCCCCAAAGCATCACCACTGACCAATATCGAAGTAAATTTCCCCTCTGTGTCAGCAAGCTCAACACCGCCTGTTCAATCACAACCTCAACAGCAGGCGCCAGCAGCCTTTAAACCCAATTATGATATTCTTTCTTCTATGAACAGTTCGCGACCTGTCTCTCAATCTCCCACCCCCGTCATGGGGGTCTCGCCCCAAGTCCAGTCCACAGCGACTCCGCCACCAGCGGCTGACCCATTTGCATCGCTCGTCTCTGCCAGCCCACGGGCAACATCTAGTCCCTTCCAACCACCGGCACAAAGTCAACCTGCTCCCGCTTCGTCGTCATTGCTTGACCTGGTCGGAGGCACGGGTCCGTCCCCGCAACCGGCGCGGCAGGCCGCTTCAGTGGAAGATGATGAGTGGGATTTCGCATCCGCATTGCCAGCGAGTAATGCACTTCCATCGACCAACAAGATCCAAGTCCTCAACTCTCAGCTCCGTGTTGATTTTGCTGCGCGCCGGGTGCCGAACCAGCCACGCCAGATCCACGTTGTAGCCATCTTCTCAAACACAACCAGTCAACGTATTGGAGATCTCCATTTCCAGGTCGCTGTGGAGAAGGTAAGCCATTTGCCACTACTAACATAGTCCACTTTCCAGATGAGTTCGCTGACAATTAATTAGTCCTACACACTACAGCTTCGGCCGCAATCGGGCCGAGACATTGCACCTCAGCAGCAAAATGGGGTCCAGCAGGAGATGCTCATGGACGGAATTGATGTTGGAAAGGGCAACTCGGTTAAAATTCGATTCAAGGTGTCTTACAAGCTGGGTGGCGAGGCCCGTGAGGAACAGGGGATGGTGCCACCGCTGGGAATTGCCTAAGTAAAGCCGCGCCGATCCCAAAACTTTATCTTGCTGTTTTTTGTTTGTGTCCGATATTTCCCTCCAGATCCGTCTGATGAGAGTTTGCCCTGAGCGGACAATCTAGCATCCACTCCCGTTGAATCGTTGTCTTATGTATTGCTGCTGGCTACTCCAATCCAGCGCAGCATCATCGGCGGATTTGGCTCTTCTTTACCCTTGATTGATGTCCTTTTTCCCTTGGCTTTGCACTCATTGAGAACTTAGCGTCTTTTACTTATCCATGCTGTTTATAAACAATATTTCATTTGCAATAGTTTTTCTCTCGTGGCGAGGGGACGGTGTGCGTGTTGTGTGGATGGATTGATTGATTCGCAATGTTGCAGATATGAAGTAGTCAGGAATGAATCAATCAACCAATCCCCGTCCTCTCCATGCGAAAGAGAGAGAGAGGCCAATGTCCTTCCCATACCCCATTCTATAGCATCAAATTTTCCAGAGTGACGGTACCGTCCTACCTAACCAAGTAACCACCGCGAACACCGGACATGAGGAACCAGCCCTAGCGCCTAAAACCCAGGTGCCTGCAGGCACATTCGTGGTAGCACCCCGAACAAGAAAACTCAAAACCAGGAAATCAATTCCGCGGAGATTTCCCCTGCATAGCCTATCCGGCGCAACGGCCACGGTGAAACGGACAGCCACACCTTCCATTCCGAGTATGCAGTCTGCCGATCTCGGTGCGGCGCTTTCCCACGGCCGTCCTGGCGGAAGTATGCGACATAAACTGTGATTTGGGTTTATACGGAGTTTATATCGTATCGTGGCTGTGCCTGTGGGGTTCTCTATGGAGCACTTGTTCGGCCCCCCGATCGTTCTCCGATAGATCGACTGCTAACCTTTTGGTGGAACCTGGGGATTGGTTATGTACATATGTATGTATTCACCTTGGCAGATACTGAAAATTTGGGATCCTTGGGATTAATTTTGATTTTTACGCTTTCTCACACGTTCGGAATACATCTACGGAGTACTCCGTATGTCGGGCATGGATGTGGGCGATCAGCGGGGGGATCGGGTTGATCGCCGAGTCTCCACTATGTACGTTGTACTAGTTGATTAACGATAAAACTTCAATTGGAATTGTTCATATGCCAATCATATTAAGACAAAATATGACACGGGTAATAGTTGATGTGAAGAAATGTGATATCGGATTGTTTACGCGGTGGCAACCTTGGAGGCAGTTGAAAATGCTCGAAATGGCCTAGTCCCGGCCGGGAGGAATTCGGTAACCCGGATGTAGGCAGGTGGCGAATCCCCCTCCTGGCCTTTTCAATATGGCGTTGTTTTTCCATGGGAGATGAGGCTAAATCAGGCAGGTATATGTCCAGAGGTCAAGAGAACGAAAGATTTGGATACAAGTTTGCGTGCATATGAGGCGAATTGAGTCCATATCTTGTATTCTGTAGTATGTGGTATCAGCTACTATGTACATATGTAGTGTTGGCTTGCGATGGTGGTCAATTGGCGGCGCACGGCTGCCTGTGGTTTATGCCTCGGTTGGTTCGTACTATGGATGAATTGTGGTATAGATCCTACGCATCGCAACAAATGACCCCCTAAGCGCAGCCGTACTTTGTACCTAATAGCGACAGATCAAGACCTATATTATACTTACGCTAGTAGTAATATAGGTTGTATCTTTCGAGCGTATGTATACAGTTAAGTTGACCACGTTGAATACTATAGTATTGGTAGATGACATACTGGGATTACGCTACACTGATTAGAGCTACTAGGAGTCTACGAAGAGGAATTCTGAGAAAACGTGCCGAGGTAGCCTGGAGCCTGCCCAGCCCTGCAGGGGGAGGAGGTACGCCAAGGAAATCGCCTAATTAGGAACCTAATTAGGAAGGCAGAGACTCCCGAGTCCTTCATATTCAATGGAAACCTGGAGTGAACAAAAAAATTAACTCAGAATTTTCAGTTGGAACCATCCTGCACCAGGAGTTTCCCTCGGGGAAGCGTCAAGAGTAATTTGCCTGCCTGTTCTTCCCACTTAAGATGTGATCGGAGTATCCGAAATACTGCACCGGGTCCGATGTGCAGTAACCTTATCCTTAGATCCGACAAAACGATCTTTGCTTGACTAAATTTGTGTAATCATAGTTTTGAATTTCAGGTCGCTTACTAGTAGTAACGTGTGGTGTGGTCTGGCCCCTTCCTGATCTGGCTATCACGTGGTACCATTCCCCTGCGTGCTATCGAAGGCACCTCTCACAGAAGAGAGAAGAAAAAAAAAAATAGGTGAGATCTAACGCTTCAGGAAGATGATCTGCAGTGATTCTCGATAGAGTGACATCTATCGAGAATACATCTATCGGGATCTGGAGTACAGTAACGCCGCCCCACTTAATAAGTGTGAATGGTCTAGACCTCCAGGGCTGATCTGGATTCAATTTTAATCTCTTGATAACTACACCTGGGGTATCCTGCAGGTTTACTTGCAGAAGTTGGAAAATGGTAAGGAGGGGACTAGACATGGGCTATGAGTGGCACCATATCGAGCCACTCGTATTTGGCGGTTAGTGGCGCTCTCGAGCGGACTGGCCTAGGGACGGGGCAACCATGGACCGAGCGGCCGTAAGTTTTCCAAGCGCCCAAACTATGATCGGCTTGGTTCCGTGGTTCTGGCCCCGAGCTTGGGCTTAACTCAGTAGAGTTTCCCCTCAGGCCTTTTGGTATTTAACTTACCTTCCCCCTCTTCTTGAGTAATATACCCTTCTTACATAAATCTACCTTGCCTATTAGGTATATCCAATATGCCTCTGTCAGATCTAGACCAGGATATTACACCTATCCCCCGTTCGCGGGAGGAGAACCAGGAGAGGTATGTGAACTACCATAGCGAGGGAAAAAAAAACACAACTTACTAACAACCTCCCAGAGCCTTTATTGCTGCATCACGGCGAAAGGATCGCAGCCTAGATGCTCGCCTGGAATCTGCTAACCGGGCTTCTATGTTGCATAAGAAGCGTACGGGCAAGGCCTTCCACATCACTAAGGAGATTGTTGAGAAGGAAGCCATGTATGAAGAGGTCGATGAGCGGTATCAAGAAAAACGCATTCTCATGCTGCAACGCCAGAACGAGCAAATCGAAGACCAATTCAAAAACCATCTACTGGCCGCCTTTGCAGCCCGCGCTCAATTCAATGCGTCCTCCATCCACAACCGGCGAGCAAGCCACATGACCCCACGCCCATCAGTCAATGGAGTTAATGGTGGTCCGCGCAAGATGAGCTTGGATCTGTCTAATATCCGCTCTTCCTTCTCCCAGGGCTCAGGCTCAATGGCAAGCCCAATGCCAACCGGTGATGGCTACGTACTTTCGCCCACAGCATCATACGACCAGAGTGGCCAGTCCTATATGGCGTGCATGAGCGGTTCCCAGACACCATACTCTGACATGTTCTCTACCTCAACTGGGCCCCCATCGGGACAAATCCCAGCCTACATGAACCAACAAGTCTCAACACCAGCATCAGCCTGGAACTCCCAAGTACCCGCATGGGCCCCGATGCAACAGCAGAACCCAACCCCTAGCCAAACCCCCACGGACGCGCACGCCGTGCAAATGTGGCAGCAGCAAATGATGCAACAGGCTCAGATGCCCAACACCGCAGCCCAAATGCATCAGTTCAGAGATCGCCTTGCGTCCGCGCCAGAGTTGCCTCTGCAGCAGCACACGGCTCCACCCATTCCCTCAGCATCCATCTCAGGCCCCACCGTCCACGGCCCTACCCATGGTCACTCGCGCGGCCAGTCCCAGCCATCGAACAACTTCCACAACCTCAACCTCCTTAATCAGACCACGCACCTTTCCCACTCGCAGATCGCCCCCTCCAGTCTTAGTTCTCCTAAGGTCGAGGCCCTCTCAGCGGGCACTCACTCCACTCCGGACTTCTGTCCCACTCCCAATACCCCCCTGTCACCGACAACTGCTACCGCGCATGCTACTGTGTTGCCGGGTGGGAAGGTCAACGGTGATGGCATTATGGTTTCGCATGAGGGGATGGATCCCGATTTCACAGATTTCAGCCAGTTTGCTTTCCACTTGGGTAACTCGACTGTTCCACTTTCCGATCGTGATCAGCCATTTGGCTTTGACGATCTGCTCTCAGTTGATGACTTCACCAGCGTCTCTTGTTAACTTCATCTGTCTTATCATGCCTATTATGATCTATGATACCTGATATACCTAGGTACTTGTTAGTTTTTTTTTCTTTGGTTCTTTTTTTGGATTTGGGGTGTATATCGGGTTGGCTTTGCACATTTATTCCTGTATCATATTTTTTATTTATCTTCTCATATCTATCTCTCATTTTGATATCCTGAACAGGGGTCAGGAGGGTTGGAGATGTTTGTATGTATCAGATGAATCCTTGCTCTTCTTACTCATTCCTTTTTTTTTTAATTAAGCTTTACTCTACCTTTCTTCAATGTATGTACAGTGACATGAAGAGATAAATTGTATCCACTTTTCTTTTTCACCTTGGTAGATTTTAACGTTGCAGGATTTTATGTTATGTTGCATTCATCCGCAAACAACTCTCGCCAAGTCCGCGTCCTAATCCGGCTTCCCCACTATTCCTCTAATGACTGCGCGATTATTGGCATCTCATTTTATTTTATGGGATAAACTTGGTCCAGACTCTATTCTCCATCGGGCCGTGCCAGTACAGCTGTAGCTATAGCTATAGCTTCCCCCAGTGCAGTCCTACCCCCCACCCATTACATAGGAATGATTTTTTTTACCTTTCTCTTCCTTTAACCGGTAGTACTACTTCTTTTGTCTTTAGCTTCGAGACAAAATCCTAACCATTGTATTCACACACTTCCTCCCTTAAAAATGCCGCATCTAGTAAACCAACTCCACAACCAACATGCACCCTCTTGGTAGTAATTCTCTAGCCCTCCGTACGTAGGTCTATCCCACAATGAAAAACACAGACAAAACCTGTAGAGCTATGAGGTATTTCCTAACCCACCCACGCAGTTCCTCACGGACCAAGTACCTAAACTAGTTCCAGCGATGAGACCATCCTCAACCGTGGAAACCCCCTCCTTAATTTGTCACTTCGTGACCACGGTGGTATGTCATAGCCCTGGAACGCTCAGTAGATCCTAGGCTAGGCCATGCGTGATATATGGAAATAGGTACTTTTGTCCTCTGGTTGCAGGGAAGGGGAACTCTGCTTTCTCTGTTTGGTCTTTGAAATTTCCTTGATCTCGTGTCTCGCTCTCCGTCCCGTGTGTTACCTCAGGATTGTTTCCGACTCGTGCTGACCACGCGGTGGAATAAACCAGTTAACTTCCTTAGCTAAATTGCAAGTCGGGAATTAGTTGCCTGGTGTAAGTGATAGTTCCTCGTGTAGATTTTAATTTCGTGTTGAGGAAAGTAAGCTGAAATTGAAGGGTCCCGTGCCCTGCGGAATTGGCTGTTATCTTTCCGCCCCTGCTTGGACCGATGAGGCGTTCCCGAGATTATGGATCAACGGCGATCGTGCAGGATGGACTTATCCTTTTTTACTTCTGTTTTATCAACGGTATTACATTGATCTCCTATCAGCACCTAGTAATGCTATTATAAGTAGTAAGTAGAGTAACTGAAATATAATTTCTATACACAAACTTCAAATCAATAACCCAGAAACCCCAAAAGTAACCAACTGTAAGACTGTAAGAAAGAAAAAAAAGAAAAGAGTGAGCTGCAGGATCCGAGATTGCGGGGTTAAGGTTGCAGCTCAGCCCAGCCTGGGAAGGTAAGCCCGGACTCTAATTGGCCAACAACAAGCTAGCAGCCGCACTGACCCATGAAAAGTATAGAGTCCATCAACAGCTATCCCACGGTCGGAAGACAATTCCGAGGGCAGGGTACCAGCGGTTAAGACCTGGGTATTGTCGGCACACAATAAATCTCCCAAGGTTGCAGGTTAAAAATCCGACCTGAATCATAGAACTCTTAACTCTTCTCGCCTGGTGGAGTAGAGGGGGGGAGGGGGGGGCGGTATCCCCGTGCAGCTCTAACGGGGCCAGGTCCAGCATCTACCCACGGGTTGTGTGGATTATCGCTAGGGTTTGTATAATTGGTTCAGGTTGGATTGGACTGCAACGCTGGCCCCGTGCACGCTTGCGGAGGGGTGATTGGTGGCGATTATCTTTTTCTCTCTCGCTTGTTCGTTTTAGCGCTGGTTTTGTGGCTTAGAGGTGCAGTGGGTGTCCTGTCAGATTGCTAGGGATGGGAGTGATTTCCAAGGTTGGTGATAGGTCCATGGGTGGTGATAGTGATGGTGAATGGACAGACGCGTGGTAAGCCTGGAGGTGATGATTCGCGGGTTCTCGACCCCTCGTCTTTGTTGGCCTCGTTCGGGCTTGTTGTGTACCTGCGTTTCAGGTGACTTCTGGCGGTGGCTGAAAAGGCATCCTCCTTCTATCAAGCCCAGTCAGACTATGGAGTCCAGATCGGTCTATTTGGAAATCGTACTAGATCGATTGGCGCTACCTATCCTCATGTGTTATTCGCCGTTAGATTGATTGGTTATTTGTTATATACATGCCAGGTGGCCAGGGCTACCCAAGTAGTAAACGATAAACGATCCATGTCCATACCTCAAATCGATCAGCCCGGTACCTCAATATTCTCCAATGGGCTTACGCTGAAAATCCTGCCAACTTCGGACATGACCCGAGCTTGAACTGACCAAGTATCATCCTCTATGAACCACCTGGACAGATGCCTCCTACGTCCTTCCCAATCGAGACAACTCTACAATATCGCCTACCAAGGGGTGTATCGATGATCGCCCAGTCCTGCCTCTCGGTGCGTGGTGGAGAAAAAGTGGCCTCAGACGAGACCCGACCGGATGGGCGAAGTGGGGAAAGAGGCGAGGTGGCTGAGGATGCGTTCGTGGGATGGATGTTGCCCACCTGAGAAAGTGGAAGGACCTTCCCCGGATTTTAGAGAGTTGAGAATCTTCAGGATTAGGTCTAAGCTCACTATTTCTCTGAGTTTAGTCCATGTAAAGATCCTCAGTTTTGTTTTATTCTTTATCGTATTATCTCATTGAGGACTCTGGAGATATCGATATCACTGGATCTTCGAGTAGAATCAATCTACCTACCTAGGTAGGCACCGTACTCGTGACTTGATAGAATAATCATCTTCGACTAAGCCTAATTCCAATAAGCAATACCTTCCAGTCCAAATAAGCCCCGATCAAAAACGCGACCGACACCACCCAACCCGGCGATACCGCACACGCCACCGTGCAAACAGGAGGATTAGCTAAAATATGACTGGCGAGTGAGAGGCCAGGAAGAACCCAAATCCCCGGAATGAACCAGCTTACAGTAGATCCCACACGAGACCTGCAGCTGATCAACGCCCCCTACCCGAGTCATGCTCAAACGCAATTCATCAAGATTTTCAGTTGGCGGGGATGTTTCTCCGGGTGATGGGTTGCAGTGTAGGATTAGGGTGCGGTTTTCTTTCTGTGGAGCCATTCTTGAAATTGGGTAGATATTCGGTTTTTGTCTGGGCTACAATGGAGAGTTTGCCTAATCGTCGTGGAGACGTAGGTTTGGTCGGCTTTGTCCGCCGAGTGCTGATCTTAGCTTGGTGTGGGTGTTTAGATATGGTTTATCTGGTAAAGTAGAGACTCAAAATTCAGACGTGACAAATCGCAGTCTACCAGGATGCAAGTAAGAGGCTACGTAGGGAAATAGTCAATTGAAGTTGTTTGGTAATGCTGATTCACAATGGAAATAATATCCGCTGCTAAAGACGATAACGAGAGGATGACCAAGTCTGAAGGTCCATCAGCTTGCCTCCTATCTTGTAGGTATGACTGATGATGAAGTGTGACGAATATTCATAACTAGTAGGGGTGACTGACATTGGGCTTGCTACATATGTACAGACCCAAGCACGGCAGACAGAGCGAGTGCGTATGCCGGGGTTTCAATATACAGGCGTAGTGAGAATATGCCCTGCAATAGAGCCCAAGAACAAAACGCAGTGTATGCTTTTACATGCCACCACGGCTGAAAAGCTCCCGGCCAATGTCACCACTGCGGTGGACACTCTGGCTCGACGAACTACTGAGTCGGCGGCGGCTACGAGACTCCGCGGGGTCAGCTGGGTTCAGCCCACTGGCTCGGGCATACAAGTTCAGGATGTCAGTCAGGCTGACTACTCCGGCTAGGCGCCCGGACAGTCGGGCTCCATCTAGGGCGGAGGAGGGAATAGAATGCGAGATGGGCGATGGCACTGGGACCGACACGCCTGTCGCTGGGTATGTGTAGGGTAGGTTAGGGGTTGGTAGGTGAGGGGCGGTGTATTGAGAGGGCAGTGCAGAAGGTGTCACGAGTGCAGAAGGAGACGGTGGTGGTGAATTTGCAATATACGGTCCGGTAGCTGGGATGACGCTGTTGGAAAGAGGGATGTGTACTGAAGACTGCGATGGAGTTGGCGGTCCTGATGAGTTTGGAGATAATGGATCGGTCACCCAGAGCCTAAGGCAGCAGTCAGTACATCTTCTGTTTATATCTCAAGTGTGCAGTAGTTACCGATGTGATTTGGTTGCCACGAGCTTTGCGACTGTGTGAGCTAATGTCGATCCAGGATTGACGTGGAAGACCGGGAATGAGTCTTTACCCTCAATCAACCCCCGTGTGGACAGAATGACCGAGATGAAGTGAGTGCAAGTGTTTTGAAGAAGTGGCAATGAAGATGATCGGGTCAAAAGCTGCAAAATGGTGAGTAAATTTTGCCAGCGAACATGGGTCGTCACATACCTTGACATCCGCCGTGGAGATATTCCCAAGTACGTTTAAGTAGTTATCAACAACCACGATCGAGGACATTCCCTCATTGTTCATTACATGAAGAGCATCAGAGAGGGGTTTATCACCACTGCAAATGACAAAAACGCGGTTAGACTGCTCATCAACAATTTACCAAAACCACTTACTTGATGGAGATTACTTCATGAGATCCAATCACCAGCTCACGCAGAGCCCTTGGGTAGAGCTCTTCAATGATCGGGAAGCTGCGGCCATTTTCCCAGAGGAATTTGACAAGTCGGAACTGGCTGAAGATTCCGACCACTTCTTGGTCATTTGACTCATCGACCACCACAACCCGGTGAACACCACCACCGAAGACCTCGACTGCGGTCAAGACATTGGCCGACGTTGGCAGGTTGATCAGTGGCTCCTTCTCCATACCGAACTTCTTCACATCTCTTAACGGAATTGGCACGCCGTCGTGAGCTTTCTTGGCTAGCTCTTCATATGACGCTTGATGCGCTTCGTCGGGGTGTGTCAGGCCCGCTGCCAGCAGGAGATAGGAGTTGAGATCGGCATAGTCGAATGTGCCAACGGCAGAAGTGGCTTCAGGGGTCTCGCGGATCAACAGCACAGCCGCACCTGAATCAATCAAGATCTAGTTGGACGAGCATGTTAGTCCAAGGACAGGGAGTGTTGCCTCTGTGATGTTCTCACGTTCGTCGCCTCTTCAATTCCAGTATCAAGCTCGACAAACTTCAGGTCATCCGGGCTGACCAGCTCGCCAATTGAGATCTCTCTCCAATCACGACCAACAAAGGCAGGGTCGCTATTCTTCGGTGGCGGGGGATTGTCGATGAGGCTCTGGATGGCGGACTGTGGGAGGGACGGCTGTCGGCGTGAGCGGGGAGAACCGGGCGGGCCACGAAGTGACTCGCTCAAGCTTTGTCTGTGTTGGTGGTTTCCTGAAACGCGGAGTTGGTTTCGTGTAGAGTCAGAGCGGGATTCGGTGCTGGATCGCGAAGCAATGGATGCATTGTTGAGGGAAGTGTCGGACCCTTCGCGGGAGTGCAAGCGGTCCGCCATGTCAAAAATTCTCAGTAGGTTAGCCAAAGACAAGGATCAATAATATGTTGCGAAATGTGAATTGCAGTTCGATCCGACTGAGGTCATCAGGTGATGTTGATCATAATAAGTGGGTCCGTAAGCGGGGTAAACAATTGAGCCAATCAAAACAGACTAATATCAATCTTGTCGATGTATACTTCCGAAGTACAAGTCTTCTCTCTATCTGATTCTTGAAAGATATTCCTGGCTTAGGGCTATGATATGCTGTGAGCGTGCCGACGATTTGGAACACTCGTCGGACTACATAGCATGTACTTCCCAATCAGAACTGTTCTGGACATGACAACGCCGATGTTCAACCGAAGCCCACAAACTGGAGTACCACCGACAACAAGAGGCTCACTGAATTTATAGATCAAAACTAGACTACGAGGCATATGTTGAAGGCAGGATGTCTACGGATGAGCTCGAGAGGCGCGCCAGATCATCAAATGGTTTGAGGAGCACAGCGATAGCAACCAGTGGATTGTGGTGCTTGGTCTGTCAACAACACCAATTGACACAGTCACAAGCGACCGCAGCGGTCTCGCGGAAATCACATACCGATTTCAATGGGAGGGATTTACCGGGCTTATCAAAGTCGTCCCCACAGCCGAACATGAGATCGTCACGGATGAGTTCGTTGAAGCAGTTCGCGATCAAACAGGATCATGGGCATCTCTAGCAGGAACTCGGCCTGGGCTGGATCCAAAACTTACCGATCCGGGAGGAGTAAGGGTAAAGAAGCATACGATGCCTATTTCCCCTGCTCTCGTTGCCCTCGACCGACTCGAAACTCTGGCTACCCAACACTTGTTATCGAAAAGGTGTGTCAGAAGCGCTTGGCCGACTTCTCCCAATGATAGATGACTTCCCCGAGTTCAATGTGTACCTTCGCCATGTTAAAGAAGGCAAAAATAATGTCGACGACCGAACAATGGGTGGCTTTCAGTTGGTGATGCAGTCACAACGCAATGACTGCGCGCATCAAGGGATGTTTCACGGGGGCTAATATCCGCGAAATCTTCGCCATTGCTGAGGTGAAGCCAAACATTCGAAGCCGCCGCAAATGGCATCAGCTTCTATGGCAGGAGACGGCAGAGATGGCTTCCTGGATACTGCACGATGAGTGCTAAGACTGGGAAACTCGTTCTCATCCTTGTTAGGGATAACTTTATCTCCTTCGAGCAGTGACATTTGGCCCCGAGTGGTGCTCCCTCGTCCGCTAAATTAGAGGTAAATCTGTTCCCTCTGCTCACAAACCCCCAACATTCCACCGTTATTTGGACAGCCGGCGCAACTTCAGCAAGTTTATTGTTCCCATCAAGTTAATATCACACGAAACGCGGTTGCGGGAATGCCGAACGTTATAGTTGGGGCTCTCATGGACTTCCCCTTCGTTGCAATCGAGGATCGTCCCCCAGGTCCAGGACAGCCCCGGCCAAGAAATACGGAGTTGGGAGGGGAAACGTGGTCAGCCTGGAAAGAAATTCACTGCCATTGCGCAGGTGGCGATCTTCAATGCGGCGTGGGAGTCGAAGCTGGTCGGGTTCGAGAGCGAGGCCCAGACTATGTGGCCCGCGCAGCTAACTAGCTTCGGTCTCTTCACGACGCCACCACCGCTCAGCAAGGACAACACATACCTCCGACAGCAGATCCAGGCGGCCCCAGACATCTCCCACGAGCTAACCCAGCAGCAAGTGCGGGATGCCGTGAGAAGCACAGGGGAATTTGTCGAGTAGTAGCATGAGGAGCGTGTCAATTCGCTGAAGCAGACTTATCTCAAGGAGCTGATAGCAGCCAAGGCCGACTACGAGGGGAAATTGGCGAAGGCAACATCGGAATTCGAGGCAGAGGTAGAGACCGCGCTGGCCCAGCAGCGTGAGGTGGCCGAGAGAGCGGCGCAGGAAGCGGCCTCGGAGGGAGACATTGTTATTGGGCCACAAGACTTTGATGAGATAACGGCGTCGTTGCTCTGATTTGAAGGATGTCTCCCAACAATGAAGCTGCTATTGAAGTCTCGACGCCCCGGGCAAAGCCGTCTTGTTATTTCTTGTTTATGGTCCTTTCAGTAGTCTTTCCGATAGCCTTTTCGGTGGTTTTTTTCGGTGGTCTTTTCAGATGTCTTTCTTTTAGTTATCTTCCCCTGTTCTCAGTTTTATAGCTAGACAGCAGAAAATGGCTAGAAAAAGTGTAAACCACACAGAGGACATTTTTATGTATACCCAGGGACCACAGTTACTTAATTTGCCTACGTCGATAATCTTTCAACTTGATTTTCATCGCCAAAGCCGGTCTTTGCCGCATATAGCGCCCTGTTCCCTGCGTCAACATTGACATAGGCAACACAACCAGAGTGATCCGCGACAGCTTCGCTTCCTCTATAGAGTTCATCTTTTTCAATGCCCTCAAGGGTTCGATTCTTGGTCTCGGGTATCAGCAAGGTGACAAGAGCAGTGAGCAGCATGATGCCCGAGAACAAACCAAGGACACCCTCCAAGCCGATTGCGTCTTCAACAGTACCGAAAGCAAATGCAGTTATAATTGCGCCGCATTTTCCAGCAGCAGCAGATATTCCGTGCGCTGTTCCTCGAACACGCGTTGGGAACACTTCTGCGGGAATCAGGAACGTCGTGCAATTAGGACCAACCGTCAGCAAAAACTGCGAGAGGGCAAAGATAATCATCAAGCCCGCTGTCGGGGTGTGTGCGCTCTGTGTGCTGATTCCGGCCCATATGGCATAAAGCATGCACACCATGATACTGGTCCAGAATTGTTGGCGCACACGGCCGATACGATCAGGAAGGAAAATGCCGACGTAGAATCCGGGGAGGTAGCCTGCTGCCTGTATGATTATATTACCCACAGCGGTGTTGTACAGGGTCTTCCACGGTGTTGCGCCATTTGCATACCCGATTCTTGCTAATATAATGCTTTGGTTGAGATTTATACCATAGTATGCGATATCGCTATGTGTATTAGTTTGGGGTCGTTTTTTCAAAGGGCATTAACTTACAACAAGAACCAGGAAGCTGCCGTTGCAAATAGCACCTTGGCATGTTTCCAGTGACCGAAGTACTCGCAGAAGTCTTCCCACTGCTTCTTGAATGTGCGTTTCTGCCCAGCAGCGTCATCGCAGACATCTAAACAGCATTAGCTATGTTCAAAGTACAACACTGAGGCACTCTCACATTGCTTGTAGGGCAGTGTCTCCGTGATTGTCAACCGTGCATAAAGAGTGAACACCGCTGGCACAATTCCAATGCCCAATAGCAGACGCCAGACCCATTCGAGGTGGCTCAGGTTGTTGGCTATCGGCCCCTCGAATGCCTTGAGCAAGATCAGAAACACGATGCTGGCTGCAATATTACCGAGGCCGATATTCGAGAAGACAGTCAACACTTGGATAGCACGGGAGCCAAATGGTGACTTTTCTGCGGATAAAGATGAAGATAATGGATAGTCTTCCTCACGTTAGACTCATTATACCTCCATCCCAGAGGAACATGACGTACCAGCTCCTATTCCAACTCCAGTCACAACACGAAATATTGCAATCCATGCCGTCACAGACTGGGTCGACATTCGGTTCCAAGGCAACAAGACTACTATCAGGGTTCCAAATATAGTGAGGAGGAGCTCCTTGCCATAAATAGTGTGGCGACCCCAAACATCACTCAGAACGCCAAAAAGAAGCTGGCCAACTACCATTCCCAGGCTCAGGCCACCTTTCATGATGTCGCTGTCGACTGTCGGTACCTTGCCATCTTGGAAATATAGGTAACCCAGAATTGGTACCACTGTTTAACATTAGTCTTCGGCCTTGTCAAACTAATTGGAGTCACTCACCAAGTCCAATTGTCAGGTTGAGATAGCCATCCGCGAAGAACCCAACGCCCGCAGTGACCACAAACCTCAATTTGGCTCCTAGAGATGCCATTGAAACGAATCAAATGATTCTTGAGTTAATAATAGTAGAAGTGATTGAGAGGGATCAAAATGCGATTCCACTGTCGAGCTGCACACCAGCAGATATACATTGTTGTCTTTTTGCCCGAATAGTGAAATTATATACTATTTAACATTGCGTATAATAGGAGGCGTAACTATCCAAGATATTAGTATATCGGGGAGAACTACCGTTAGCCTTTCTGTGGTACACATTTATGTCGGACATGTAAACTCATCATGAAGAATAAAAGAGGCAATGAGCAACGCCAAAGCTACCACGGGGGATGCACAGCTAAAATGGGCCGTGCGGCGAGGGCCAGTGAGGGTTTCCCATAGCCCCCACGTGGAGCCGGCCGTATCCCGCCAGGTGTTCCCCCCATAAGTATATCTTCGGTGCGAAGTCCGCAACATTATTCACATGTGAAAGGTCATACTCATTGTTAATTCTGGTTGGACATTGGGATTAATGTCTGGCAGATGCAAACACTGCAAATTCGAACAGTAACATTCCACTCTGCCTTGCAACCTCAATTGAACACACATTATGGACATCGAACTAGCCTCTCCACCGGCCGTAAGTGCCTTGCGAGAATCATTTGGGGATCGAAAACCCCCCGATATTACTCGCAAGATTACTGCTTGTGTAGCATGTCGAAAGCAAAAGGTTAGTTTTACTGCCGGAGATAACGAAGCAAGCAACTGACATGCGGGGAAGGTCAAATGTCATATGCGGGAGGGTCAGATGCCATGCTCGCGGTGCAAGAAGAGAGGTCTCCCTTGTAGCGTGAACCGAAGCTTGCAGACGTTACTAGAAGACGATGTCACGTAAGTACAACAAATCTCTTGTACTAGCGTTTTCTGATGGGAGCTAGATGGAAAGGCGCCGTGGTCCAAAAGATGCGGCGGCTGGAAGAGGCTGTTGCAAAAATTGCTGCCAAAGTTGACATGCCCGAGCTGCAAGCTTTGCAAGCCGCTCCTGAAATACAAGATGACGTTTCGAGTCCACCGGTTGAAGCTATCAATGAAGAAGTCATTACGGGGGAAATCTCTACCTCAAGTCAATCATCTCAATCAAAAGAGAACCATGAGCCACTGCAGACATGGGAAGTTATAATGGATCCCCGGGGTGGCCCGGCTTCCATCCCGGCCTCTTGCGTCTCAGAAAGTGGGAAGGCAGGTCTACCAAACAATTCATCAACTGCCCGTCGTCCAGATTTGATATCCACAGGACTTATATCGTTACGCCAAGCTGTTGCATTATTTGAAACATATCATCTCAGACTTGATCATTTCCTCTATCGCATTCTTGGGGACCATATTAGTTTGGACTCGGTTCGAATCGCATCCCCACTGTTAACGACGGCTGTCTGTACCGTGGCTGCTTTACATTCCCACTCCCTCGGTCATCTCTTTGAAACCTGCTACAGTGAATATAAGAGCCTTGTCGCGGCCCAAACTTTCTCAAGATACGTGAATGAAGATGACATCCGTGGCTTGTGTGTTGGTGCGTTTTGGTTGCATGAAATTTCATGGGCCTTGATCGGAAATGGTATGTGGCTGTAATCTTGTGTTGAAGCCAAGCTAACAGAACTAGCTGTCCGCATTGCATCGGACATTAATCTTCATAGTGGAATCTACAAAGCCCTCAAAGGAGATCGCGATGGCTATCTTCAAGCTCGACTATATTATCTCGTCTATGTATGCGACCACCACTTCTCGATCGCCTATGGTCGACCTCCGATGTCTAGAGAAGGGTTCATAATCGAGTCGGCTAGTCGAATACTAGAAACTGAGCATGCCACAGAAGATGATGCTAGATTAATCAGCCAGGTCAAGGAATGGTCAATCCTAGGTCGAGTCTTTGACACCTTCGGGGTTGACGTTGATACCCCTATTGCGCCTCAGACACTGCCTCAACTGCGTCGATACTCCATTTCTTTGGATACGTGGTTTGCAGATTGGAATGAAAGCTTCAAAGAGAATCAGAATGTTGGAAACTATCCGGCAAAAGGTGTTGGTTTTCACTTCCACTTTGCAAAGCTATACCTTTGCTCGCACGCCTTTCGTGGTGTACCGATATCAGAGAGTTCACCTCGATACATGTCGCCTGAATTAGAAGAGATCGCCAATGCCGGCGTATTGTCAGCTATGTCAATCCTTCGGATGATTGTCTCTGATGCCGAATTTCGATCATTCATGAATGGGCTTCCTTTATATTTCGATACTATGCTCGCCTTCGCCGTTGTTTTTCTCCTCAAAGTTGCCACGAAATATGCATTCATGATTAGAATTGATACGGGCAAGATCCTTTCCTTGGTCACTGAGACTGTGGCTGCCCTTCGGGATATCACTCAATCTATGCATAAACACCATATCCTTGTGGTCATTAGCGAAGGCTTGGAACGGCTGTTGAGTAAATGCCAAATGTCCACTCACACAGTCCACAAGACAACGTATCGTCCGTCTCCTGCCCAGGAACAGTCCCCAGTCTTTGATCCCATTTGGATGGAAAACATGGCAAGCTTTGATTTTCAAAGTAACTTTCCTGATATTGACGACTGGTGGCTACATTATAATGCATCGATGGGTCCCCCTCTTTGTCCAGAGGCATCGAGATAGACAAATATCAGATTGACCAGTTGAGCACAAGATCAAGCACGTCATAGTTTCTCCAGTCTTTAGCCTCAGCCCTGCTCCCATTGTTCACCGGTTTTGACATTATCAATGGGACCTCTTGCTCGCTTAGACCTCCGTGTGACCGTAATGGATGGTCTTTCACCTTTGAAAGGTCATGATCTGCTTTGCAGCTGCCAATAACGGCATGTGGTTTGGAAATAACCACAATATCACCCTCTCGATCCAAAGGCATCTCATATCTTTGGGCAGCATCTTGGCCGCTGATAGCAACCTCAACCTCTGGGAGCGACTCGCAGAATGAAAGTATCAATCCAAGCCGCGTGATTTCTTCGAGGTAAACGCGCACAAAGGAACCGAGTGCACCATGGTGTCGAACGAACGGATCCGTAATGGGACAGATAACCCTGCAGGCATTCGGCCCAAACTTGGCGTTCAGAATTTCCTCCAGGAATAGAACATTGGGCTCTCCAAGCTCATTCGACTTTTGGCTCATGCCATGGTCACCAGTTATACCGATGACAGGGGCTAGAGCTGCGAGCCTCTGCAAACGCTCGTCAATTGCTCCCATGAAATTATCAGCCTCATTGCTGCCAGGCTTATACTTGTGCTGAATGTAATCCGACAATGTCAGATACAAAAAGTCCGATCTCTTCTCCTGGAGCAATTTAATGCCAGCATCAAGCACAAACAGAGACAAATCGCCCGAATATTGGCTAGGTGCAGGCTGACCGAGCCACTGCTCTACATCGGAAATCCCATTCTCGTCCAGAGTGCAATCCGCTGCCCTTTCCGAGGAAAAGCAGATGGCTCCCTTTAAGCCGTGAGCAAGGATTTTGCGCAGTTTGTCTTTGGCGGTGATGGCTGAGACTCGTACACCACGCCGGAACATCTGCTCCAGTATTGTTGAGCCCCGAAGTAGGGAGTCGTCGGTGATCATCTTGGTCTCGCCTGTCTTTCGGTCCAAGAAGAAGTTTCCGGCAATTCCATGTGTTGATGGTGGTACGCCTGTAATGATAGACACGTTGTTCGGATTGGTGAATGAAGGCATACAACTCTTGGCAGTAGCATGGAATCCATTGTCAAGGAATTTCTTGAAAGTTGGGAGAAGGCCCCTCTCAATACCAGACTTTAAGTATTCTGGATCGAAGCCATCAACACAAATTACGACCGTGGGCTGTGTTGGCAGGCTATATTCTCTCGAATGTAGGGTAAATTTTGACCGCGAGTCTAGATTGGTGTTTAGCATCTGTATTGGGTTCGTAGATCGCGATCACACTCACCAAAAAGACATTGGTAGGCAATTTCCTCATAGGCTTCCAGCTCAGGGACTTTGAAATCTGGCTTTTTCGCGAGATCATCCCATCGTCTGACCGAAAGCTTTGCCTCAAGCAGGGGATCCTGTTGCGCCTCCCGGACCTGCTCGGTATTGTATCCGCCACCCTAATCGTCGTTACTAAAATTCAAATGTTGGGAATATAAGAAGTGAAAGGTGACCTACCTGGAACTTCAATGTCCTCTTACTGGTCTCGCTCAATGCATCATAATAGCTTTGATCTGTCGCGACCAAATACCGCTTAGCCATTACATGCGCACCAACCAACGTGCACACCTTCTCACTGAACCCAATGTGGCGCAGGTAAGACTCCCCAAGAGCCTCGTGGCTTTGTCTTCCGATATACTGGCCGTCCGAAGTGATCATTCTCCCCATCTTCTCGGCCGCGGGGATGAACCGTCCGATATCGTGCAAAAGTGCAGCCAGGATGACCTCGGGGTCATTTCCATGTTTGGAGGACTGCGTGGCAAGATATGCACACTGTAGCGAGTGTTCTAGTTGAGTTACTTGCTCGCCGAGATAGTCACCATGACCCTGTGCGTGCAGAAATTGGAACAATGTTTTAATGGTTGCCCGAGTGTGTTCCTCGACCGAGGCGAGAGGTTGCTCAGTCTTGGGGATTGTCATCTTCATGTTCATGTTCATTTTGATGAATACTTTGATTGTTTTCAAGAAATGGTCTGTCAGGGCTTAAATAGATCCCTTGGTCGTTCATGCTTTGTCTTGATGACATGTTAGAAGTGCTTGTAGCATTGGCGAAATTGAACAAGGCACGAAGTCCGTCTATGCACGTGCATTTGGTAATCCGCTAATTTAACCATCCGGTAACTCATGATATCCTCCAGGATTTGTGAATGAGCGAATCTCATCTCGGCACGAAGCCCGTTGGTCTGTGCTGCATCCCAAAGGTTTTTGTGTGGCTTCGGGATGAACACCTTCACTCAATTCCCATGCAACAAAGCTCATTAGGAAATACCGCAACGTAGGTTAACTCATGGGGGAATTGAGCGCCGAGTCATCGGAATGGCCCCGCAGTCTAAGAAGCGAGAACTTGACGCATTTCCAAACTATTAAAAGCTCGTAGGTTATTACACTTTCACTCAATCATCCCATTATCTGCTTAATCCTCTGGTTTCGACCAAATTATTCAAATATGTCACCTCTCACACCTGAACAAATAGCTTCTTACCATGAGAATGGTTACCTCCTCCTACGCGCCGACGAGCATAAACTCGTTGATCCTACAGAACTCAAGCGATGGACGCAAGAAGTCCAGGCCTGGCCTCGTGTCAAGGGCAAATGGATGCCCTACGACGAAATCAACATCAATGGCGAACGCCAACTGATGCGCACGGAAAGGTTCATTGACTACCACCCCGAGTTTAAGTCACTGGTCTGCGGCGAGCAGTTGGCCGAGATTCTGAAGGCAGTCTCAGGCGATGTATATTCCCCAAACCCAAGTACCAAAGCTCTATTAAAGGAGCAAGCTAACAACAGGCTCTCAACCGTAGGATATGCTCCTCTTCAAAGAGAAGATCAACTACAAACAGCCACAGGGAAACGGCTTTCAAGCGCACCTCGATGCACCAGCCTACGACCACATCGGCCGCATCGAACATGTTACCGCCAACATAGCCATTGACGCCGCGACTCCCGAAAACGGATGTCTAGAGGTTGTGCCCGGGTCACACAAGATGCAAGTTGAATTTGCGGAAGGTGGCCGAATCAAGTCAGAATGGGAGCACGCGCATGAATGGACTTCTGTTCCACTTGAAATGGGTGATATGCTGATCTTTGGGTCACATCTTGCCCATCGCTCGGCTGAGAACAAGACTGACAAGAGTCGGTCGAGCCTTTATGCTACCTTTCACTCGAGGAGTGACGGAGAGGATCTTAGGGGTCAATATTACAAGCATCGAATGGAGATGTTTCCACCTGAGCATGGTGAGTTATTCTTTGAATGTTCAGATGTTCAGATTATTGAGGGCCGGTTTGCTGATATATATCTCCTAGAGCGTGAGGAAGGCAGGGATTACTCTAAAGGCTACGAGACCTATGGCTTTGCGGCGCCTTTCACCAAAGCCCAGGACAAGGCTGCTGCAACTGTTGATGTTGTTTAGTAGGTACTAGTATGTATATCACTTTTGAGTGTATCAAATTCAAAATGTTCACCTAGGCATTGGGCAACTATTGAATACCAGCCAAACATTTAATTATGTTTGTAGCTAAAAGACTCAGGGTTCCGAGTCTGGAGCAGTACTTAGAATGTTCTTGATCAATCTGTCTTAGGCAAGTCACAACCACAGTATATTTGGTACATACAGCTGTATGCAAAGTACATATGTACATATGTAAATAATGGCACTATCAACCACCTAAGTCCACCCAGAAATACCAACCAAATACCAACCTGAATCTCACAATGCAGAAAAGAAATAATTCAAATATTCAATCATCCTGATATGGCACAACCACATCTCCTACCATCACCGTCCTGCGATCGGGTAGTTCCGAGTCAAAGCCCTCGAGTTCTTCGGGAGAAAGTGCGGAATATTTGCCAAATTTGACCTTCCCATCAATGTTTCGCGTCTTGGCAAGCGTTGAGAACGGTTCAGCACGTCGGACGCCGGTGAACTGGTCTATACAAACCATTTGACATCGCTGGCATGCATCGAGAGCATCGAACCGAAGTTGGTCAGGTCCAATTCGAAGGGATGACCACCGGTCCTCCGCATATGGTTGTTCCACATCGCCACGGTGAGCAAGTCGTTCAGCAACAACAATGTTACCCCGGAAGACGTCTGCAGCAACAGTCTTACTGCTTCCCTGCTTGTTGTTTGCTTTGATGGTCTCATTCAGTCGGTTGACAGATGAACGCGAGACAATTAGAATTGGCGACTCGTTGGATAACGTGATTTGTGTCTGGCCACCCTCACGTACCGGGGGAGGGAAGTCAGGTGGGAATGAGCCTGGCATGATCAGCTTGCGGAAACGGTTCTTCCACGTATTCGGTGTCCGTTGAATCCGTGAGTACCGGTTGGCGGTCTGTGTAGGGAACCGTGCAAGAGTACAGGGCACTCCCAGGAAGTCCGAGAAGAAGGCCGAGACCACTGGGGACGTGTAGGCATGGAGAGAGATTCGGTCACCGCAGACAGTTGTAGGCTTTTTGGTCGAGCTTGGACAGAAGGATGTGGAGATGAGACTGGTGTCCTCCCAGCCAAGCGAAATCTCCAGGCTGACCTGATCTGGTGCGCCGATTGCACCACAAGTAATACGGAGAACTCCTTTTTCAATCTCGATTGAGGGTCGGATGAGGCACATTCGAGGGTATCTACTAGTGTTAATTGAGGAATTCGGATACTTTGTTTGGGCATAACGTACCTTTTCTGATTCAGGGCTGCACCAGTCCCTTGATGAATCAAACACCACTCTCTATCCCAAGCCAGTCCCTCTTTCTTCACTTCCCAACGTCTTCCCTCGGGTATCTTGAAAGCACCGCAGCTTTTGATTGGGAACACTGCCAAGCTTTCAACATAGAAATGAGGGGCAACGACCTCATTGTCTTCTGTCAGAGGATCCAGGGCGACTATAGGTGGACACTTCTCCACGTAAAACTCCTCGATGAAGTTTATCAAGGAGTCTATATCCTTCATGTTTGTCGTGGCACCGATACTGACACGCAGAATTCCTGTTGGTCGCCCTCCCAGAACATCATGGTTATCACCACAGCGTAATCCCGCAGAGTAATGCCGGCGAAGCTCGGGTCCAGTCCACCCAAGTGACGAGGCAGTTCCTCCTGGATTGCAAACAGAACCAGTGCGTATTTGCAGGTCTTGCACTGTGGCCAATTTTTCCACCTCGGTTTTAGGAACCCATTCGCCGCGACTATTGCAAAGATTGAACGCAATAATCGGACCTTGGGTATGTGAGCCATATGCCGTGTGGGATTGATAAATTTGACAGACTTTTCTCTCATTGAAATGCGCCAATGAAGAAAGCCTATCATAGACTTGCTTTGCGAGGAACCCAGTATGGGCCGAAATGTTCGCCATTGAACCGAACAAGCGTTCGTGCGTGTCCAAGGCCGTGTCCAAAGCTATGATACTATGGAACGGGAGAGTACCATCCTCCAGCCGCTCATGGATGGAGGTTTCTTTTTTCGCATGCCATTGCACGCCAGTGGCCAGGACCATGTCGACGGTGCCTCCGCCAAAATACTTCCGTCGCTCAAAGGCCCTTGCAGCACTTTTGCGGACAATCAAAGCACCCAAGTCAGGAAACCCAAATATTTTGTAGAAGCTGAGGACAGTGAAGTCCGGAGCAGATGAGGACGGGCCTAGATCAAGTGGAGCGGTTGATACCAGCGACGCAGCGTCAAGCAAGGTGTATACATTTCCTCCGCTTTTGTTTGTTGCGGATCGGACTTGCTCGCACCATCGAATAGGCAGACGTCGGCCGTTCATATTCGATTGGGCTGGGTATGCAAGTAGTCTGGGCGCCTTCGACTGGTTGCCAGCCAACTTTGAAATCTCAGCCTCCATCTCATCATCATTTTGAAAACACTGATAGCCCATCTCGGCCAACTCTCGTACCCCGACGAGACTGGTATGAGCATCAATATGGTAGCCATACCAAAATCCTCGGTGGTCGGAGTCTCGGAGTGAGTCTGCGACTAGCTTAATGCCAGCAGTTGCGTTTGCCACAAAGACAAGATCGAATTCATCCGGGTCCGCATTGAAGAATCGCAATACGCGGACTCGGACATCTTCTGTTCTCTGTGTAGAAAGCTGCGACGATACAGACATCGAATGAGGGTTTCCAAACAGATTAGATGTAAGATCACGCGAGAAAGACTCGATCATGGACTTGGCATAGGGAGTTGTCCCCGCATAATCTAAGTATGTTGTTCCTAGTAGAAGAGTGGTTAGCATAAATTGAGTGATAGCAAATGGGCACTTGTACCATTTAGTAGAGGGTACTCTTGGTCTCTGATTATGTCCACATCGGCAGAGTATCCTTGACTATACTTAGGATGCACAGATCCCTGAAAGCTTGATTCCGCCATTGTTGAAGTTCAGCTTTAAACAGACACACTCCAGAGTGCGTTGTACTTTGTTGTACTTTGTTTGAAATCAAGGTGGCAAATTGTCGAAGATCGGACTTTCTGTATATATCTAGCAGCACAATCAGCACATAATGAATATTTAATAGATCCAGCCCTGGAGAGATAGACTGTATAGTTGTGCGACTGTATAATATCAAATGGATTTGAAGAAAGAGGGGGAGGCCTTACCACATATAAGACAGCAGATAGCTATATTCTCATCGGAGGTTACCGATGCCAACAAATCAACTAGCCCGGGTATGATTTCCAGTCCACTGCAAAGGGATAGGCTATCGGAGGATTAGAGAAAAAGCACATTCCCAAATTCTGGTAGATGGCTTTTATAGGTTATTTTCAGCTCTTCGAGGGCGTGCTGTGAAGTGACAAAGGATGTCTCGAGATGACCTCGGGAGATTCCCCTCGCACGTGGCCCGTGATGTATCGGAAGTGGCAATAGTTGTTTTGGTATAGCCTTATCACCCCGCGGATTGTTGTCACCCTATCACACGCACTAATCGGCACTATATACACGACGATCTACAGGTACCCCACTACATCGTGATGCTCATGCACTGCATGCATAATATCAGAGTCACTATACCTTTTACGGTCAACGAATATCCTCATCGGGGAGACATGGTTACATCAGCCGACACGTTCATGACATGTACTATTGGAACTAATAATTAAAACCCCCACATTCTAGTACACAACCACATTGATCGCTATGAACTTCCAACCAACCATTTTGCCTATGTGGCACTTCTTTGATCATTATATCTCACAGATTCCAATAGCGCCCCCCAATGCACGATGCGCAACCCAACCTGCATGGGTTTCTAGGATCCTGTTAAAGCTAAAGCACTGCCTTTAGTCCCATCACAATGTCAGCTTACCCACTCAAGTTTATTGCTAGTTATTCATATACGAAGAGTGCGCCTAATCTTGTGGATAATGCGTTGGGCTGAAAACATTTACCCACAAGCTGAGCGAAATACGCTAAACAATCCATGCTAGCACAAACTAGACACGTCAATCTTGTAATTGTGAAAAAAAAGGGCCTAGAACTGCGCCACTGTAGTATTCCGAATTGTTTCCGAGGCTGAACTGAGGCTGAACTGATCGACGCCACGATGATCCGTGGATCTTCGTAGGGTGCTTACCTAGGTACTATATTATACTAACATTGACTATTGTTTCTTGGGGTTTCAGCTCATTCTAGGTACCTATGGGCCCGCTTGGGAATTGCTCGCAAGATTGAACGTGTTTAGTGGGAGCAAATATGTTTCTTATTGGTGTTAAAGATGATGAAAGGTAACACCGGCCGGATACATGTAAATGTTTTTCTTAGGTACCATTTGGCGATGTAACCGTAGATTGTATTGTACAGATGGGGTTGATAGTATACTTCAAAGACAAAACTCCGTCCCAAGCTCCTGCTATAGCTCGTACAAGGATGTGTCAATCCGGTTCGCGTTGGAATCGACAGAGCATTGAAAAGCCAGAATGAACAATCTGGCCAAAATAAAGAAGAGAAAGAAGATGCTGTGATGTGTGGCGGTAGGGCATTCCCATTACCGCTTGGGCCATTGTCTCCAGCCACGGCCATGACCTCTCTGTTGCGCCGAGTCAGCATTGCTCCAATCGCTTTGGGAAGGACCAATCGAGTACTAACCTGCTTCCACATGCGGACCATTTCCGGCATTCCCTCCATTGCTTTGCGACGGTCCTCGAGACGTGACTCCATGGTACGCTCCCACTTGTGACCCTTAACCTTATGGCCAACACCAGTTCCCTTAACCTGCAAACCACGCTCTGCACGCCGTGTCTCCTTGAATTCAGGTGATTTGCGACTAGGAGGAAGAAGAGCCCCCACATTGTATTTGATGGCAAGCTTCATCAGATCGGCCTGCTGGCGCAGCCCATATTTCGGTGCTTCCCATTTGCCGAATCGCTTGTGCGGAAGAAATGGATTGCGGACTTCATCGCTGGTCACAAGGAGTGCGCGTGAAGGAGTCCAGCCATGCTTTTTCTCTCCCGGGGCACCCTTGGCGTCACGGTCTGGTGTGTATGGGGATTCTACCTTCGTTGGTACATAGCCCTCTCCGTTCGCAGGGGCAGGGCGGCGGACAGCTGCGGAGTGGGTTTGAGGAGGATACCGAGAAAAGAAATTTACCAGACGTTGAGGAAGGTTTTCCAACAGTGTACCCGTCTGCTTCGAAACCGACATGGTGGATCAAGATGGGTTGTGATCCTAGCGTGCACAGGTGGTTCCAGGTTGCTTGTGAGTGTTCTGGGTCAAAAAGTTGATACCGCCCGGGCTCACGCCAAGACCTTGACATTATGCCTCAGGCGTCAAGGCACTAAGTGGCCTTACGCCTTATCCCTAAGGTGTCAATAGTTGTTCCAACCTTCTAAGGTTCCAAGGTTTCTGCCACGTCTTACCTAAGCCCGAGCTTAATTTTTTACACCGCCTTTGATCACACCGCCCTCGGGGATTGAGAGCGGTGGGCCAAAGGTTCTCGCCTCAGGCATCAATCAGGACTTCCTATCTTCGGCTTGCTTTTCAGTCTCGTTTCAGCCCCAAGAATTTCTTCCCCTCAGAATCTTCATTGTTACCATCGCTGCTATCTTATTCATACCTGCAATCTCATCCCTATTGTTTTATTCCGGGGTCTCAACTTCTCGCGCGCATCCTCAGCACTGCGACGAACATGGCCGACTACCAGTACGGAGGCTCCGAAGAGGAGAATGCGGAGATTAGAAAGCTCGAGACCGAGCTGGTACGTGTTCCACACTTATTTACGAATATGTCCCTCGTCAACTGACGTGTTTATCTTTTACAGCTTGATGATCCTGATAACTTCGAAACTTGGGAGAAGCTGGTTCGCGCCGCGGAGGGCCTTGAGGGTGGAATAAATCGCAATTCCAGCCCCCAGGCCATCACAACCGTCCGCGCAGTTTATGACCGTTTCCTCGCCAAGTTCCCTTTGCTCTTTGGGTACTGGAAGAAGTATGCCGACCAAGAGTTCTCTATCACCGGCACTGAGGCGGCCGATATGGTATGCATGCACACTCCTTGGGCACCAGCCTCTTCTTTTCCATCTTTGTACTAATCTCGTCGCTCTAGGTCTATGAACGAGGCATTGCTAGCATCTCGCCATCTGTTGATCTTTGGACCAACTATTGTTCGTTCAAGGCGGAGACCTCGCACGATCCCGATAATATTCGAGAGTAAGTGAGAGTAGAGATGGTCTTCTTCCCTTCCCTATAACCGTTACCGACGCAGCTCGCGAAAGTTCTCGTGGTGCCGGTCACATGTTTCTGGATATTTCAAAATCCAGTCAGTCTCATTGTTGATGGGTGAGAGACCGCTCGCTGCTTTGCTTCCTTGATCCAAGTGGAGTTTACTTCTCACCCATAGCTCACTCAGGCTGCATTTCTCCTCTGGTTGGCCAAATCACCACCATGGATTGAAGGCCAAGGAATAGTCTCGTTCGATGGCCCTTTACGGAGCTCTGGATGCCCACCTATCCCTTAGCTTCATCCACCGCACTCATTTGATTACTTGGGTTTTCACAAACGGACAGAGTTTACTGCTCACGTTTGCCATCTTCATTATCACGTTCCTATCTCCTACCCCTCCTATCCCACCCATCAGACTCATGTGTCCGCAGCATGCTAACTTAAATACCCACCAGGCTTTTCGAAAGGGGTGCAAGCTGTGTCGGCCTCGATTTCCTCTCCCATCCCTTCTGGGATAAGTACATTGAGTACGAGGAGCGGGTTGAGGCTCACGATAAGATTTTTGCCATTCTTGCACGTGTCATCCACATCCCCATGCACCAGTATGCTCGCTACTTCGAGCGGTACCGTCAGACCGCGCAGACCCGCCCTTTGTCCGAGCTCGCCCCGGCAGAGACCATGGCCGCTTTCCGCGCCGAGATCGAAGCTGCATCGTCCCAGCCGGCTCCTGGTGCCAAGGCTGAAGCCGAGATCGAGCGCGACCTCCGACTTCGCGTGGACACTTACCACCTGGAAATTTTCACGAACACTCAGACTGAGACGACCAAGCGCTGGACTTTTGAATCGGAGATCAAGCGCCCCTACTTCCATGTCACTGAGCTCGATGAAGGCCAGTTGGTGAACTGGAAGAAGTATCTTGACTTTGAGGAAGCTGAGGGTTCCTTCTCCCGGACTCAGTTCCTGTATGAGCGGTCCCTGGTTACTTGTGCCCATTACGATGAGTTCTGGTTCCGATATGCTCGCTGGATGGCTGCTCAGCCTGACAAGGAAGAAGAGGTGCGCATCATATATCAGCGTGCCTCCTATCTCTACGTCCCAATTGCCAATCCCACTATCCGACTCCACTATGCCTACTTCGAAGAGGTATCAGGCCGCGTGGATGTGGCGAAGGATATTCACAATGCTATTCTCATTCACCTCCCCAGCCATGTCGAGACGATTATCTCACTCGCCAATTTGTGTCGTCGCCACGGAGGTCTTGAGGCGGCCATTGAAGTCTACAAGACACAATTGGATTCGCCAGAGTGCGAAATGGCCACAAAGGCTGCTCTCGTTGCCGAGTGGGCCCGCCTTTTGTGGAAGATCAAGGGCAGTCCTGACGAGGCTCGCAAGGTTTTCCACGAGAACCAGCATTACTACCTCGACAGCCGACCCTTCTGGTGCAGCTATCTCGTCTTCGAAATTGAGCAACCCACCAGCGCGGCTACCGAGTCGGTTCAGTATGAACGTATCAAGCAGGTCATTTCTGACATCCGGTCCAAGAGCGTTCTTCAAGTCGACGCTGTCAAGGATCTTGTGCAAATTTACATGACATACCTTCTCGAAAGAGGCACCAAGGATACCGCGAAGGAATACCTGATCCTGGATCGAGAAATCTATGGCCCTTCATCTGTGGCTTCTGCTCGGACTGGCGGAAATGTGGCGGTGCACCCTGCCACTGCAGCCGGACAGTTTGCTTCAATTCCTCACATGCAGCCCACACCGGATGACGCCGCGGCGTATGCCTACTACCAACAGACGGTAGCGAACGGTACAGCCGCTTGAAACCCCAAAGTCATGTGCATGTCCCCCAAAGCCAATGACTGCAGGTATGGATACGTTTCTTCACGAATGGGTTCGTTTCTGGAAGTTCTGCTGGTGCCTTTTCTTTCGGTGTTTTTATCTTCGTTACTTACCCTGGCATATTGATTCACCTGGGTGGGTGAGTTCTTTTTTCATGTAGTATCATCCCCGTTGCCCGCGCTGGGCAACCTTCCCTTCCCCCTGCTGTCTAGCGATTTTGACCCGGCTTAAAGACAGCTTCTTCTCACTTTTGTCAGATGTACTGGTCTCTAGTCCCTTCTTGGGGCTTGAAAGAGGCTTGTGGCCAATTCGAGATTGGATCCTTCGGGACCAATTGTATTCTAACGTGGCTTGTTTTTCCACCGAAATTTTAATTCAAATTGTTTCAAATTGATTCGTCTGCGAGTGTGGTAGCCTTTTTAGACTTACACGCAATAAGTGGACTTCCAGTATATTGTGGTTGCATATGTATATTCCTCTCGGCCTAATGTATTTGCCCCAGTTCCACTACTCCGCACAGCGGCCCCCATGATTAGCCGTGATTACATGCAGATAGGGAGATAGCAGATCCACGGATAGACAGGCGCACGTGATAAGATCCACGTGACTACGCGTTTGGCTCTTATCATATTCCGTAGAAATTCAATATCACTCCCTTCTCGTCTATAGTCCAGTGGTTTCATTAGCCATCATTTCTCCCACCTACACAAGTCATGACCAACAGCTCTGAGGGATCCCTTCCGCTCCCTCCCCCAGATCCAGTGGAGCGCCCGCCCAGCCCGCCTCCGCCTCCTCCAGAAGATTTGGCCGCCCCTCCACCGCCGCCAGACAGCCTCGCCCCTCCACCTCCTCCCGATGATGTGCCACCCCCGCCGCCAGTTGAGGCCCAGAAGAAGCAGAAGCTAGGATGGGGCGCAAAGAAACCGGCTGTCACTCCGCTGAGTGTCGAGGACTTGATACGCAAGAAGAAAGAAGCAGATGCGGCAACGGCAAAGGTAAGCTTGTTCTCCTCCGGGGATGGTGGAATACGTGACGCAAGATTTGATAGCTTTTACTTACATTTACATCTTTCTATAGCCTAAATTCTTGTCTAAAGCTCAACGAGAGAAACTCGCGCTGGAGAAAAGGGCGCAAGAGGTTGAGGCAGACCGGCAAGCCAAGGCCCGCACCAACGGAGCTGATCGCAACGGTCTCATGTCTGCACCATCCTCGGTGAGGCCCCAAGAACCTCGCAATATCCGGGAGGAATCAGGGCTTCGTCATGTACCCACCGGGCCGCGAGCGATGCGCGACGAACCTCCAACTGGGCCTGGTGGTATGCGGAAGGGAGGCCGACAGCAGCACAATCAACACAATCGAGGCCAGGATATGCCGCCACCCCCATCTAAGACTAAAGGCGAAAAGCGTCTAACGGAAGAAGACGAAGCGGCAGCGCTAGCCACATTGACCAAGCACCGATACATGGGAGCCGACCAGACGTCTAACTTCTCGGCAAAGAAGAAGCGCAAGCGTACCGCAGACAGAAAATTCAACTTCGAGTGGAACACCGAGGAAGACACAAGTGGCGACTATAACCCCCTATACCAGCGCCGACAGGAGGCCAATTTCTTTGGCCGGGGGCGCTTGGCAGGCTTTGGCGATGATGTCGCGGATGAGGTCGCGCGCAAATACGCAGAGGCACTGGAGACCCACGACAACGAAGCTGGTAGCGCGCGAGCTAAACAAATGTTGGAGATGGAACGTCGGCGACGCGAGGACAGTACGCGCACGCAGATTGACAAGCATTGGAGTGAGAAGCGCTTGGACCTCATGCGCGAGCGAGACTGGCGTATCTTCAAGGAAGATTTCAACATTGCCACCAAAGGCGGCAGCGTGCCCAATCCCATGCGTTCATGGGAAGAGAGTCTATTGCCGAAGCGCTTGTTGGAGCTTGTTGACCGTGTCGGATATAAGGACCCAACAGCTATTCAGCGCGCGGCAATCCCCATCGCTATGCAGTCGCGTGATTTGATTGGTGTCGCCGTGACAGGTTCCGGTAAAACCGCCGCATTCCTACTCCCCCTTTTGGTCTACATCTCGGCGTTACCGCGGCTTGACGAGAATGAGTGGCGCAAAAATGACGGGCCATACGCTATTGTTCTAGCACCCACACGTGAATTGGCGCAGCAGATCGAGATCGAAGCCAGAAAATTCACACAACCCCTTGGATTCAATGTGGTCAGTATTGTCGGTGGCCACTCGCTTGAAGAGCAAGCATTCAGCCTGCGCGATGGCGCCGAAATCATTATTGCCACCCCTGGTCGTCTGGTCGACTGTATCGAGCGTCGCATGCTGGTCCTCAGCCAGTGCTGCTACGTGATTATGGATGAAGCAGATCGCATGATCGATCTTGGCTTCGAAGAGCCCGTCAACAAGATCCTGGATGCCCTCCCCGTCACGAACGAAAAGCCCGATACAGAAGAAGCTGAGAATTCAACCGCGATGAGCCAACACCAGTACCGCCAGACAATGATGTACACAGCCACCATGCCTGCAGCGGTCGAGCGCATTGCTCGCAAGTACCTCCGTCGACCAGCCATTATCACCATCGGTGGCGTCGGCGAAGCCGTCGACACAGTTGAGCAGCGTGTGGAGATGATCTCTGGCGAAGACAAACGCAAGAAGCGCCTCGGCGAAATCCTGCAATCGGGCGAGTTCCGTCCCCCGATTATCGTGTTCGTCAACATCAAGCGAAACTGTGACGCTATCGCTCGCGAAATCAAACAAATGGGCTTCTCCTCGGTTACTCTACACGGATCCAAAACCCAAGACCAGCGTGAAGCCGCGCTCGCCTCCGTGCGCAACGGCTCGACAGACGTTCTCGTCGCAACTGACCTCGCAGGAAGAGGTATCGATGTGCCGGATGTGTCACTGGTCGTTAACTTCAACATGGCGACCTCAATCGAAAGCTACACTCATCGCGTTGGTCGTACTGGTCGTGCTGGAAAGAGTGGTGTTGCCATCACCTTCCTGGGCAGCGAGGATAGCGATGTTATGTATGTTACACCCGTTCCTCTCCCTTTTACACTTTGTCGCGGCCTCAATTTACTAATGCTTCTGCAGGTACGATCTCAAACAAATGCTGATGAAATCACCTATCTCGCGTGTCCCCGAGGAACTGCGCAAGCACGAAGCGGCGCAGTCCAAGCCCTCACGCGGTCCTGGCGGGAAGAAGATCGAGGACAGTTCTGGATTTGGAGGCAAGGGAGGGTGGGCATAAGCCTCTCTACCATGTCTCTCTTCTTTCTGTATTATCTTCCATTGATACCATCCCTCTTTTCCCTCTTTAAGGTGTTTCAGTGTACGTTTTGAGGCCAGGATGGCCATATGAGGTGTTTTGTTCGCAATCAAATACACCATTCATGACCCCAGGAGGCTTTTATGCAATTTGTCTCCAAATCTAGTCACCTGTTGCTAGTATCATGTAGTTATGTAGTTATTGCAATCAGGGCGGATATTTATCTAGCTAGCCCTAGTCCATACGAGTATTCACTCTACAAGCTGTTGGATAATTGAGTAGAGTATGATTTTAGCTCAAAGAAGCACATCCCGCGTGCTTTCTGTAGATGACAACGTAGAAACAATGTGCAGTCGAAGAAAAGTTCGAGCTGCAAGCCCTAAAGATAAAGACCTCTGTGTATCCAAGAGACCTATGAACATTGCTCGGCCACGCACTTTTTTTAGATTTATAGCTTGCTCTGGAGATAGCTGTTGCTGCTCAGCCACTGTTCAACATCGTCGCGGTCACGCTTGAGCCAGTTGATCTTGGCGCGGATGGCGTCAAGGCTCTGCTCAACGGCGCGGTCGAAGCCCTGCAAGAAAGATTCGAATTAGTAAATATTACAAAAAATGGATTTTAGGTGAAGCCTTGGTGACGGCCTTGGTGAAGTCACTAACCTTAGTGTCCTTAGAGGCGAAGAACTGCTCAACGTCCTTCAACTGCGCCTCAGTGCAGAAACTGGCAGTGGTCAGCTGAACAACGGTGCCCAGCATGCCGAGACCGGGAGGAAGACGCTTGTAGATGTCATCCCAGTTAGACTTGAGCCAGTTCCAGCGGCCCTCGATACCAGCCGGGTGGCTGCGGAGACCACCAAGGGGCATATAAATATCCTGGCTCTTGACCTCCTCGCTCATGGCAAGGCCAAGGGTGCGCTTGATAAGCTCGGGGTCCTCAGACGCACCGAGGCAGCGCAGGGCGGTAGTCTTCTCGTCTGAAGTCAGAGCATGGCGGGACCGGTCAAGGACTACTTCGTACTCCTTAAGACCACCGTGCTTCAGGGCAATGGTGAAAACACTACCACGGATGTTGGGGTGGACGGCGGAAAGGTCGCCGGTAGCGAAGCGGGCGAACATGTCCAAGGCGGCCTTGACGACAATCGGGTCCTCGGCCATACCGGCAGAGCCGAACATGAGGGCCTTGAACTGTTGCAGAATGTGGTCGTCGTTCTCGGGGAATTCCCAGCCGATCTCGTGGGCCTTAGGGGCAACAAGCGCACGCTGGAAGGCCTTGAGGGCATCCTTTGTCTTGTCGTCCTCGAAGAGCCAAGCAGCACGCAGGGTGCCAATACGGGTAAGGATCTCGTTCCAAACGACGAACTCTGACTCGGTGTCGAGACCCTGGAGCAAGGAAAGCATACCAGAGGTACGCTGGAAACCAGAAGCTGCCAGGGCACCCGAGTCTGCAATCATGCCGGCACGGTCCTCGACACTCAGGCGGCCATCACGAGCAGCCTGACCGAGCTTCTTAAGACGCTCGGGGCTGTATGATGTGCGGAAGATGGCAGAGTGGTCAGCGTTGAGCTTGAAGAAGTCCAGGTCAGGAACGGGGAAGTCACGCTCGCGCTCAGTCAGCATGGTTTCTTCATCAATACCCTTCTCGGTGCGCAGACCGAGCATGACAGGGAAGAGAGTCTGGTCTTCCTCGGGACGAACGTCACCGGTACGCAGGAAACGGTTCTGCTTCACGTGAATGGAAGAATTCTCCTTGTTCTCCGTAACACTGAGGACAGGGAAGCCAACGTTCTTGGTCCAGATATCCATGACCGACTGAACGGGCTTTCCGCTAGCATCAGCAAGAGCAGCCCACAGGTCACCGGTCTCCGTATTACCGTAGGCGTGCTTCTTGATGTAGTTGCGCACACCCTGGAGGAAGACATCTTCACCCAGGTACTTGGAGATCATGCGTAGGACAGAGGAACCCTTGGAGTACGAGATAGCATCGAAGATCTGGTTGATCTCATCCGCACGCTTGACGGGCACCTCAATGGGGTGGCTGCTGCGCAGCGAGTCAAGCGAAAGAGCACTCTGCAAGTTATCGATAACGTAAGTTTGCCAAACCTTCCACTCTGGGTAGAAGACGTTGCAAGAGTACCACGACATCCAGGTAGCGAAACCCTCGTTGAGCCACAGTCCATCCCAGAAGTCCATGGTGACCAAGTTTCCGAACCACTGGTGGGCCAACTCGTGCTGGACGGTCTCAGCGATACGCTCCTTTCGAGACGCGCCACTGTTCTTCTCGTCCAGCAGCACATCAACAATTCGGTATGTGATAAGACCCCAGTTCTCCATGGCTCCCGCGCTGAAATCGGGCACGGCCACCATGTCCATCTTTGGCAGAGGGAAATCATTGTCAAAGGCCTTCTCGTAAAAGGCCAGAGTCTTGGCAGCAAGCTCCAAGGAGAAGCGGCCGTGCTCAATATCCTGGTCGGGGGTGGCGTACACACGGATGGGAACCCGGAAGTTCTTTGTCTCAATGTAGTTGAGCTTTCCGACGATGAAAGCAACGAGATAGGTGGACATGAGGGGCGAAGTGGTGAATTTCACAGCCTTCTTCGCACCACCCTGGACCTCGGTCTCAGTATCAACATCCATGTTGCTCAAACAGGTCATGCTCTTATCCGCAACCAAGGTCACAGTGAACTTGGCCTTGAGAGCAGGCTCGTCGAAACAAGGGAAGGCCCGACGGGCATCTGTGGGCTCCATCTGAGATGATGCAATGTACTTAGTCTCGCCATTCTCCTTGTATGATGATCGGTAGAATCCGGCCATGTTATCATTGAGAATACCAGTGAAGGTGAGCTTCAACTGGGCATCCGACCCCGCGGCGATAGCCTGGCCGAACTTGATGGTTGCGGTCTGGTCATCCTTGTTGAAGGAAATTTTGGGCTTGGAGTCTACGACCGAGCCCTTAGCGGAAACAATTGCGCTGTGAATCTCGATCTCGTTGGAATTGAGGGAGATGAAATCGGTGTCTTCGTTCACATCGAGGCTAGATGTAGACGTTAGTGACTGATATATAACTATGACACTATGCACAAATGACGTACTCGATGGTGACTGTTCCCTCATATGTAAACTTCTCAAAGTTGGGCTCCAGTGTCAAATCATAATGCTGGGGCTTGACGTTTGTAGGTAGGACCTCACGGCCCTGGACGTTGGTTGACCCGGAGGCGTCGCGGCGTGAGCTACACATTCTGCGGTAGGAACAGTATCGTTTGGAGGTCTGTGATAGCGGAGAAGGAGAGCGGCGTTGAGTAATTGATCTAGGAACTGAAGCCTGAGGAGAGCGAGCGGAAACAAAGAGGGGGAGGGGGGATCTGGCGGAAAGAAGCGGTGGCTTTGCTTGCTGCAGAAGCACACGCGTGGAGAAGCGGCGCATCAGCTCCACGAACCCGAATACCGGGAGAGAAAAGAAAGAAAAAAGAGAAGGGGAAAATAAAGAGGTATTAGTATTAAATAATTAATTAGGACCAAATGCGAGATCAATTGAACCACGGACTCGACAACAACGGTCAAAAAAGGAAAAACATGAGATCAGAGTCCGGCAGATGGGAAGGCGGTGAATCCCAGTGGATCTTCTGCTTTTCTTTTTTTTTCTTCTTCTTCTTTTTCTTTTCTTCAACACGCAAGTTCACCCAGTGGATGTCTAAATTCTATATGACAGACAACTGATTGGAAATGGCTTTTATGCTGTTACTTGCAAGACAATATACCAGCAAGTTTGAGGGGCTCATGACAGTTTCAATTGATTCTCTTGGGTGGGCTACCATAGAAGACTGGAACATACAGCACCGCGGTTCATTGCTCTGATGTCACAAGCATGACAGGGCAGTTGGTAATGAGGTCTTTTCAATAATGAATGGTTCTTTCCGATATTACCTATTACTAGTAGCGTCTGGTGGGAATTTCTTCCAAGTCACCATGACAAAATCTATCTCCTGAGTACATAAAGATTCAAAATTAAGCAATCCGATTCAATCTCACACCCAGTATCTCTAAGAATGCACTGCCTCAGCCTGTGGCAGCTTCGTAAAAACACTGCGAGACCATCCATCGGCATCCACGACAGACTCCTTGACAAGCACATACCCACCAATCCGAGGCAGCAACACCGCCCAGACAACGTAGTAGATTCCTCCTGCTGCGAAAAGTGCCAGGGCTACCACACAGTGCAGGTAGTAAGGTAGCTGTTCATACACATTTTGGCCACCGCTTGGGGGCACATATGGCGCAATCGCGAGGTACAGGTTCGACAGCATGAAGAAGATGGTGACGGGTAGCGTGGCACGGACTCCAGGATTCCAGTTCGGGTAATTTTTCTCTTTGGTGAGGTATATATGAACGAGGCCAGCGGCCACGAAGAAGTTGACAATTGAAAGGGGGTAAGAAATGAGGCTGGGACAATTGGTCAGTAATGATCTTGCGGGTGCCTTCGGAAATCACATACTTGAGGAGGAAGTTGTATGCGTCACCGGGAGGGGGGGCGAGCATGATAATGACCGAGACAATATAATGCTCAAGCAGGCCAGCGGCTGGCGAGTGGAAAGGCCAGTTGCTAGCCCAGATCTTGGAAAAGGGCAAGACACCTTCACGGCCGAGCTCTTGAACAACTGTATCGAGATCCTATTAGTATACCGTTCCAACGTGCCAGTGAGAATACATACTTCGCCCTTGTGAGAAGATGACGGATAACACATTGCCAAATGCAGAGAGAGCCACAAAGACCGACATGACTTTTTCGGCCTGTTTGCCAAACATGTTTCTGAAGAACACGGCCGCCACAATGCTGCCAGAGCTGAGCATTTCTTCTTTCGATACAGCGGCGAAATAGGCGATGTTGACAAACATATACAAAATGCCAACAGATATGATAGCAACGGGGGCTGCAATCTTCAAGGTGCGGGCTGGGTTCTTTGTCTCGCTCAAGGCCTGTAAATGTAATTAGCAATTGGGTCAATAGACGCAGCTCATATGTTCATGTCCTTACATAGTTGGCATTCGAATAGCCAATAAAGGACCAGATAACGTTGTACAACGCCATGACAATTCCATATCCACTTCCCTTGGTGCCTTCAAAGGCATTAGTGAAGTTATGCGGTGTCTCAGCCTTGGTATGGCCACCAAGTGCCACCCAACCAGAAACAATGATGAACACAACGATAATCAATTTGATGATACCAAGCGCATTCTGAAGACGGATACCCCATTTGAGGGCAACGGAGTGAATAATAAACGCGGCAGTGAGACAAGCCATGCCAATTCCACGCTGATTCCATCGTCCGACCTCAATCTCTGCTGCGTTGAGGATATATTGACCGAAGACAACGCTGTTGCTGGCTGCCCATCCGAGTAACACGGCATAGGCGGCAAACATGGCAGTGGCCAGGAACTTGGGCTTTGTATAAACGTATTCGAGGTAGTTCTTCTCGCCTCCGTTTCTATACAGAGTCAGGTTAATCAGTCATGTCTTCCATTTGGTACCTTCGTTCAATAACATACCTTGGAATTGCAGTGCCCCATTCTAGATACACTGCCGTTCCAGCCAGAGCAATTATAGTGCCGATAACCCACATGAACAATGAGAGACCGACACTACCGGTCAATGCAAGGATAGTGCTTGGTGTGGCAAAGATACCGGTACCAATAACCCGGTTAAAAATTAGGAGGGAAGCACTGAAAATTCCAATCTGACGACGACTGTCGGGGGTGGTCTCGAAGACATTTCCTTCATCTGAAAATAGAACAATTAGAGGTGTCACTCACAACCATCACTCCATCCTCATAAGGAAAATAACATACACAGTCCCGAGATGCCATCCGCTCGCCGGAGGCCATCATCTCCGGCTGCCTTTGTATCAAATACTGGCGACTTATTGGAAGCCTCAACAACAGGATCAACCCGTTCAGCCATTATGTTGGTTATACAGATCGAGTCACAACCCACACGGTGCAACTGATCAATGAGTATTTGTATTCAGCTGAGCTTTGAAAAGGCAAATTTTCCACGGCTAACAACGGCGCGAAAATGAGGTGCTGCCACTAAATGTGATGCCATAGGTCATTGCGGCTGGGCAGTGTCTTATACTACCTTGGAAATCAAATTGCAAGACCCGTATCACCAGTTGGAGGCAAAGGTCCCACCACAGTTTGTGGGTTTTTCCCGCAGAATCCGGCCCACATGTCTGGAAGAATTCCAGAAGCTTTGGACAAGGCAACGGGCTGCATCGCACCATTGCCTGGCCGGGCCGAATATAAGTTCTAAGGTTACATTACATAGAAGTTGGCAGCCCAATTAGACACACATTTCTCTTGGAAAGGAAATAACAACACATGATTCATGTCGTCTGTATTAACCATCATGGCGCAATATAAGAAAAATAAAAGAAAAGCCTCGGAGACCGGGGATCCCGTGGCCAGTGGGCTGCCGAGAATCCATATATGTACATTGGGGCCGGGCCGTGGTGAAACTACGGTAAACATAATCCATATAAATCCATTATTCTGTTGGTCAGTTGTTCGGGAATGCAAGATGTTTGAAACATAGAGTAGGTACATCAAAGTTGAGTCAATCGTTTAGGGTACTCAAGCACGTGTCGGACAAATCCTCTAAATATCTTGAGGAAATATAGAGTGCCTAGAAAAAGCCAAGAGGTAAAAACCTAGGTTAAATGAGAAAAGAAGAAATTCTGAAACTTATGACACATAGTTAAAGCACGCCATTTTTAGGGTTATTTGCGTTTGATCGTAGATCTGTGCCAAGCTTACATAGTCAAACCTCTACCTCGGGAGCACAATATAACTCCCTACTCCGTATACTATATGGCTTCAACTTGTCAAATGTAAATGAGTTTCCGCGATTTCTCTATGTACAATACATCTGGGAGTATCTGCAACAAATCCAATCTTAAAGCACCCCCCCCCAACGCCATGACCTTGTGCGTTCCCAGCCCAAAAAGAAACTCAGTGCCAATCTGTATACCGTGGGTCCCCGGGTCAAACGCCAATCCCAACGAAAAGAGAAAACCGTAAAGAAAGAAAAGAAAAAGACAATAAGACATGACATGACAAGAAATAATATGAATAAGAACTCCCCTGGTCTCGTGCTGTAGGATATATGGCAAAACGTGAACTGGAAAAATAGATCGACAAATATGAACGAAGAAATTAGTATCTCCGTAGAGACAGACGTAAATGGCAGTAAATGGCAAAAAGAGGAACATGGCCCTGGAGCTAGCCAGAGGTTACCTTATATAAAAGGGCGGGAATAAAAGGGGTCAATTGTTAGCATCGTGAGTCAACCTTATACATATAAGGCTATGATCATGACGCTACTGAATTGAAGAATGTCGTAATAATCCTGATAGATTTGGTGGAAATTGGGGGAACAAAATGCTCATCTAGGCGGTGTCACCCCGGTGGCATATGCAACAGGAGAAATGGTGGATGTAGGTGTCTTGCCCACCGTTGGAGTCGACGCCGAGGATCGCTTGGATAGAACAGCTACCTTCTTCCGGACAGATGCGAGGCGGCCACGCATACTGGATACGACTAAATCAAGGTGTGAGTTTTGGATGAGTTTGGTAACTGGATTTAGATGAGACTCACGTTTGACAACGACCTGCCGATCCTCCACCTGCAGCTCGTCCAGAATGACCTTGTCACCAGCTTGCGAACTGCTTTGCCGTTCGATGTTGCTACCTGGCATGGATCGCGTTCCGTCATCCTCAAGCACAGCTTCGAGCATGCGAATCGCAGTAACATATGTAATCTCACAGTTGGCAAGATCTTCACCAGTCAATTCATTGATGGCAGCCGCCCGGCTCATCTCAAGGGCGCGGTCGTACATTAGCCTCTCTGCTGTGACGCCAGGGCTCACCACTACGTCGGCAGTTGAACTTGAGCCGGCGGTGGAGCCAATAGAATGGTTGTCCGGATGGCTAGGATGGTCTGGTGGCAATCGCCGTTGGCCCTCGATGAGTTTTAGGCGCACAAATTCGGCTTTTTCGATGACCTCATTGAACCGACTGCGCACCCATTGCACAACGTAGTTGATCCGAGTACCGGCAACTGCGCCCATGCTGTCTTTGGTAGGAGACTCCCCATAGACCTCTTCCCTATTCTTGCGCGTCCACCAAGCTCCAGCAATGTCCATTGATTTTGCAAGCAAAGACAAAGCCTTGACATATAGTACCAAAGCTTCCTCGGACAATGTAACAATAGCATCGACTGTCAGGCCATCGTCGGAATCGGCAGAGTCTGGTTCAATATTCGTGTCCATAGGTCTCGCAGATGGGTCAGTCGGTGCCGAAGGTGCTAGCGGGACAAGCTGCTTATATTTGACCTCAGCAAATCCGAAGACAACGTCACTACGCGTAGCACATTCCTCGATTTCCTGAACTGCCTTGCAATCTTCGTCGACAGTTGCATTGGGTTTGGAGCCGTCTCCGGTGATCAAAAGACTAGCATGGACAGGAGGATAGGCGGGGAAAGGGTTGTAGGCTAGAGGCGGAGATCGCCCACCTTTAGTGATGGCAAGTGGAGGAGAGAAGCCCATTCCGAACAGACGACCGCTGGCCATGTTGAGTGCTTTCGAGATTGCCGAGGTCGCCGACGTAGGACTTTGCCCGTAACGTCGCTCGTAGGAATGCTGGCGCTGGTTTGTGGAATCTGCTCGTGAACGACCCGAAACAACCTGCATGGCTTTGGCCGCATTGGCATGCGGAGAAGATGGTGACACTGTAGGTAGACCCTGCGTTGTTGCCCGACGGCTTCCGGCGCCAGGTTGTCCTGGTCGAGAAAACCCGCCTTGAAGGCGTGGGCTATGAGCCAGTTCGTCTGCAAAGGCGTTGACCTCCACGGCCCGCTTTTCGACCACAACATAGTCTCTCTCAAATGCCACTTCTTGTGCAGCGAGATCCCGTGCCTCCTGGGCACGAACTGTTGAGTCGCTCACTTTGGGAGAGCCAGTGTAGGTATTCCGATTTCTCTGTCGATCCATGGCTGCAGTAGTTGCGTTACGATCAATAAGCTCCTGGCGTCCCGGGGCAGTGGCAAGGCTGACAGGTCCAGGACGTTGAGGTGGTGTACCTCCTAGTTGTTGTTCCCTGGAAATGCCTGGAGCAGGCCGGTCAGCGCTTCCCATACGGCGCATGTGCGTAGCAGTCGGTGGCGTTCCTGATTTTGGACGCGTTGAAGCAGGTCTTTGACCGAGAGGATATGCAAATTTGTCCTCAGGCCCAGTATCATAAGGAGATTCTTCGGCCTTCGCGACGAGCTGGCTTGGCCGTGGCGATTGTGGTGGCCCTGGAGCGTCATCGGCCAGCAAGCCAGGAATCGGATCATTTATCACATTGCTGTTGAAGAACTCAGGGAAGTTCAATCGTTCCACTGGGTTCCGTTTTAGCAGGCCTCGAATTAGCCTTTTGATGTCGTCTGAGGCGGGGTTATCTTCAGGAAAGCGGATTCGATCTTCTCCCTTCTCGATCTTTCGCAGTAACTCGACGTGATTTGTGGCCCGGAACGGGGGTCGGCCCACCACCATCTCGTAGAGCACAGTACCTACCGACCACAAGTCGGCCTTGGCATCATACTTCTCATACCGGAGAATCTCGGGTGCCATGTACAGCGGAGATCCACAAAGGGTCTCTGCAAGTGAAGTGGCGGGTAGAGATCGGGCGAAGCCGAAATCTGCGATTTTGAGCATGGGGAGGGACTCGAGTCCCGTCGTGGGATCGTAAGAGTCATCGCTTCCTTTATAGGGAATGACCTGAGCATTCCCACTGCGATACGACGAAGGTGAGGGACACAGCAAGAGATTCTGTGGCTTGATATCTCGATGAATGAGGTTTCGGTCACGAAGGAATTTCAGTGCGCTTGACAGTTGTTTGAGGAAGTGCCGGGTAACCACCTCATTGAGCGAGGCGCCGGGTGGATTTGGATATTTTGCAATCATATCCCGAGTGTACTTATGTGATCCAAGAGTATCTCGGCGCTTGATGAACAGTGACAGATCCCCCAGCGCACAGTATTCCATAACCAGGTGAATGTGAGATGTTGATTCATGGCAGTCGATCAGGGCCACGATATGTGGGTGCTGAAGGCCCTTGAGGATATCGATCTCGGACGAAAGGTTCTCTTTGAGCTTTTTGTTGAGCTTCGACAAGTTCACGGACTTGATTGCTACATAGGTTTTCGTTTTCTGTGTGATAAGAAACCGATTAGCATCCAGCGGTCAACATATTAGAAGACGAGGTATGACTCACTGTATGGACACCTTGATAGACCGTCGCAAAACTACCTCGCCCGATCTCATCCAGCCGCGTATAGCGACCGATGGACATTTCTGGGCGGGGGGGCTCACGCGATCTCCTCGAATGTTGAGACGCCATAATGGCGGTGGGCACGCCAATCCCTGTTCTGTCTCAGGTAGACTAGCTTTGGGGGGAAATAAGGCTCGAGTCACACCCCAACAACCACAACTACCTCAGCAGCAGCAATGGAAACGGTCGACTCGAGAGGCCCATCAGGGGAGCTGTGGAAACGATGACGCTGTCTCCGGGAAGCCTGGAAGGACGAGGAACCGCCGGGAGAATAGGTCTGGGAAAGTACTGAAAATAGGTGCCGTGGAACGAGACTGGTGAACTCAGGTAGAATATAAGAGATGATGTACTTGTAGGAAACAAACAGTCAAGTTGATCCAAAACACTTAAAGCGGTGAGAGGTGTGATGCAGAATAGCCAGAATGGCGGGAGGTTAAGAGATTCGAGTATAATATGGAGAGAACCAAAGATCTAGGGGGGCAAAATGGCAGTTCTCATGAAAGAGCAAGATGATGTGATGGTGGAAGCGGGAAGACGACCCCAAGACCCATGGATACTCCACGATTGGGGGGGGGGTGTGACCCAACGATAACGAGTGACAAGCGGCGATGATCGCGAAAGGCGGTCAGAAGGGCGGAGATGATATGGAGTCCCGATAAGATGGAAACGTACGGAGAAGCCTAAAGAAAAGGAGAGATGAGAGATAATGATAGATGAAATGAAGAAATAATCGAAATTATGAGAAATATAGGATACAACCCTCTTTAAAACACAAGAAACCTGCGAAAAAGCACCTTGGGAGTCCAAATCGCAGACATATAGGTCATGTGCTTATCGATTAGATAAGGCCGAGATCGGCAAGGCAGATACCGAGATCTCCAGTATGGCCTGTTACAATATACCGGAGAGTTGTGTGTAAAGAATGTACATGTACGTATTCTGTGGGGTTAGATTAAATATATGTAGTGCCTAGGCTCTGTCAAGGCTCCTCTATATATGTCTTCCCCAATATTCCCGCATTTTCCTGTAAATACTATGTACTTCCAAATCGCAAAGTGGGTGACTGATCACAAAACACGATGAAACTGTATGGTGACGGACCCCGGGAAGCTTATCTGCAGCCTATGACTCCCAGTCATGGCGCATCGGTTGGTCGAATTGAGGAAAAGGGGGGAAGCTAAGGTAAGGCAGATATGCAATAACGCGCCGCTAGTATAGGCATCCAAAAACGGTCTCTAGTTAAGTAGTCGAGGTCAATCTATACATCCTCGGGCTATGTACCCCACCATACTATACAAATGCCGCATGGAAATGATAGGCAGATAATCACACGCAAACCTCCGAGCAAAAAGGAAAGAAAAAAAGGGGGAAGAAATAAAAAAGCAAACAAGTCGCGCATCTATGTTGTATACACATCAACGTGGCACATCAAACGCCAAGACCCCGCACCAGCAGCCATAACACCACTGGGACCACGACGTTGTCATTACAGCCAGTAAGGATCGCCTCGGTGGCGCTCGTTCCGGCTGCCGCCAGAACCGCCTTGAGCGAAGTCCAGACCCAGAAATGAGCAGAGAAAGTCCCTTCAGCTGATTCGACCCCAGACACGGGCCAGCCACCGAGCACCAACCAGGCACGAACCGCGATCAGCCCGCAGGTCACGGCTGCGACAAAAGCGATGCTGCCTTCAAGTGATTTTCCGCCACCCCAGAACCATTTCAGTCGACCGTACCGACGGCCAACGAGGGATGCGGCCGCGTCGCCCATGCCAACACAGATAACTCCGCTGGCCATGCTCACATCTCGTGACGGGATCTCCCAACCAGCCCAGGGGCCCAGGCCAGTCCGAGGAAGATCGGAAAGTGACAGCCAAAGGGGTATCGAACATCCAATTAACAAGAAGATGTGTGAGATGATGACCGGGCCACGGTGATCACGGCCGTCCACATACGGGGCAAGAAAATAGGTGAGTGGCCGCGAAATCGGAGGTAGTTGAGACGCGCGGAACAGGTCCAATAGAAGGAAGATGGAGAGAACCAAGGCTAGCGCCATGGCGCAGAAGGCTGGATCTACAAATATAGCGGGAAGGAACATAACCACCATCATGCCGTGGAAAATCTTGCGACGCGTATCAACCTCAGCAACAGAACTGAGCTTAACCACAATAGCCAGGCCTGTCAGTAGTATCAACACGCAGTAGCCACTGAGTAGTAGACGGGTGATGGCGGCCCCAAAAGTAGCCTGGCGAATATGTTCGATCGATCCGAAGAAGCAGGAGGCACTCAGAATATCTGCATCAGGGCGAGGTGGCAGTTCAATCCAGTACTCAAGGTTCAACATAAGGACCCAAAAGCGAATCCTCGAGAAATTTCCCAACAAGTAGCCTATAGCCCAACCAAACGGATCCTGGCCTTGCAGTGCGTGCTCTGCCACGTACGTTCGGATAGGTCCAAGGATGATAATCAAGGACAAAACATAGACGTAAAAGGCGTACAGCCATTTGCGGACCTGTGCCTGGGCTGAAGTAAGGGAGAGGAAGGAGGCCAGACCAGGACCCATCATTTTCTTGCGTCTACCACCAGGGGTGGTGCGAACACGTTCTTCTCGAACAGCTTCATCGAATGTAGATATGGTATGGCGTCGTCGATGCACAATGCGAGCATGCTGCTCAAAAATGTCTTCCGTCGTGATCTTGTCAACTGCAGATGCCGGCTCTGCCGGCGGGTGGGAAGAGCCATTCTCTCGCATGGTCTTAGTCTTACGCGGCCTTGAAAACGGAAACCCATTGGGCCCATCACTGTCCGACGAAGTATCGTCCGATGGGACATGCCCCGTTCTACTCAACTTCTCACAAAGTCGATGGTCCATCATGTTCAGGAATTTGCGGGGAGATTGCGAGCCATGCGGAGCGCGGCGGAATTTCCAGCTGGGGATTCTGGCCAAAGAAATCTCCCAACGCAGTATATGTCGACAAGAAGCAAACAAACACATGCCTCCAAGCCATAACAAGGCTTTGAGTATCTCCATCTGGGGAGAGGCCGCAAACAAGTACAAGTTGATCAAAGCAGTTGTCAAAAGCTGCAGCTCAGCGGGAAGAATGCTGGTCGTCAACAAAAAGTCTAAAGTGGGTATCAACGCTTGATGCAAAGGGAAAAGAAGTATTAAAGATTCCGCGTCGAGCCCGCGAAGCGTCAATGGTTTGGGCACTGTATGGTCCAAGGAGAAATGCTCGGCAACGAGAATGGGAATCATAGAGATTATCCAATGGAGAGTATTGAATCCATTGGTCCGGTTCTGGAACGGTATAACAGGCGTTGGTAAAGAGGACAGGCTGAGAATGATATTGGGCATGATAAGTGGCGGAAGATGGTTGGACAACGACAACGAAACGAAAATGGGGATAAGGATCGGATAGAGAAGGGGAGCCGGATCGAAGCTCGAGGGTATTGAGAAGTAGGTCCGTTTCGTAGACCAAATGCGCCAGATGCGCCAGCTTCGGCCCTGTGATGCACGAACAACGAGCGGATAGGCGGCATAGAGACCCAAGACCACGAGGCCATGAGCAGCAATTTCTGCAAATCAATTAGCGCATTCCACTTTATCGGTGGCAATGTCAGTTTCCCACATACCCTTTCGCCATTCCCAAGCTAAAGAGCGCGCCCCGTCTTGATACAAGACCACACCACCCACAGACAGCAAAAGCGCAGTCTCCAATAACCGCCGGAGGACCTCCACCCGTCTCTGGCTTCTGGACCTCTGTCTTTCCTCAAAGGCCTCTTCCTCGAGTTCCTCCTCCGAGCTCCGTCGCGATGTCCGCAACATAGGCCGCACAAATGACGGCCACGGTTGCAAGCTCGGCAGCCAGTCATCGAGGTCAGTGGGACTGACTCCACCAGATCGTAGGCCTTTTCGAGGACGGAGCGGCGGGGCAGGTAATCCCCTTAGGATACCGGTGCTTTCATCGTCTGCCTCTGTGCCACTGTCGCTGGTTGTTCGCGAGGACCTGGAGTTGGAGGAGAGCGGGTGGAGACGGTCGCCGTGTTCGGAGGGAGTGCATGATCCGAGGCGCCGGCTTCTGTGGTATGGATGGGGGGAGCGATTGAATAATCGGAGGTCTTCGGCGAACGCTTCGGGGCTCAGAGGTGTACTGGTGCGAGGCGTCGCTTCTTGTTCTTCTTTCCACGGCGAACTCATGGCGCCATGCTTATGTCGATGAGTACGTCATGCCGCGATGGGATAGTGATGTACAGTGTATGTGGGGGATAGGAGAACGCCCGGGAAGAGAGCAGGGTACCTAACGATTTAGACCGTTTAAGTTCGATGTCGGAAATATTGAGAACGTGGCAGAGGCAGAATGACACTGGTGTTATCTAACCTGAATGCGGAAGGGATTTTGCCTATCACATGTGAGCGGACAGTGCGCCGTACATCGATCATCACACGGAGGACGGAGTATGACATCGACGTACAACGATCTCCTGATCTCTAAATATTATTTCCCCCTAATGTTTGGTCAAATCGAGTGGTTTTATTCTTTGTTAAATAGTTCCTAACTAAGCTGCTGCAGGACCACACCTGCACTCAACCTTCGACCTTCTCGCCCCCACACTGATCTGCACGGCACAACCTGTACTGGCCACAAGGCTTCAGGCACTGGGTATGTGGTATATAACACAGCCTGAGACAGACTGGAATCTCGACTGTAAGCCTCATTCACTGATCTCAATATTTGCTTCAATGTATCGTCCGACGAACCCGCGTCGATCTCGATATTGGTATACTTGTATTGATTGTCCATGGTGGTGGAAGATGTCCCTCCTTTAATGTCGAGCTTGACCTGCTCACATCGGCCTCCCAGCCCTTGCCATTCAATATCGCTTCCTCGTGGTAGTTCGTCCACTTGAACAGCCAAGAATGGTGGAATGGATGTGTGAGACTCAACAAGAGCAGTAAACTGGGGCAGACTCGACACAGGGGCATCGGTCAGCTCCTCTGTGCGACGGCCATATTTGATATCCCACGCATCCAGCTGTGGGCCATCATCATCATCCTCGTCCTCATTGTCAGGCAAAGCATGCATTCTTTCCCAGAGGCGCCACGCCAGTTGCGCTTGGGTATTAGCGTGTTCTCCGCGGGCCAAGAAGGCCACCGCACCGAGCCACCAGTTTACCTGCATGGCTTCACCAATTCTCCAGAGGTGCTGGAGGGCCAGTACAGCTCGAAAACGGTAGTTTTCAATCCATGAACCTGGCCCCTCCACTTGCGCCAAATTCATAGAACCAGGATCTAGGGGAATCTGGCCAGCAATGTACACGAGTCTGCTAGCGTTCTGCAGCGGAACTGACAACGCTTGGGAATATGGTCCAATATTTGCGGGGGCCCAGTACGACCTAGATTGAACATGTAGGCCCTGGCGCCGGTCCCTCGCACCCAGGTCAACCACGAATGTGACCATCACCTTGACGTTGGATGGGAGTCGGTCTCCGCATGCCACTGTAACTCGCGCGGGAGGATTGGGTTTCTTGAATAGCGAGACGTAGATATCATTCATTGATCCAAAGTCGGCCATTGAATTTAGCAGCACCGTAGCGAAAACAATGTCGTCTGTTGATCGGGAACCGGACTTGGGGTGGGAAAAGGACTTGAGCACTTTTTCGACCTTGTGTGCAATCCCTTTCATCTGCTCCCCTGCCCCAGGACCAGCCTCGGGTGCAACAATATTCGAAATAGTCCACGTAGAACCAGACAACCGATGCACCGGCTCACAGACAGGCCAATCCGGCGACCGAGCGTTACTCGTCATCGCCCGCGATTTCGGATCATCAAGCGATCCAGAAAGATCCGATGCAGATCCCAAGACACCCTCAAAAACTGCATCTAACAGTCCTGGCCTCCTAATATCACTCGGTGCAATCCCGTCGCCAATCTCCCACGCACTCTTAGCCGTACACCTAGCACCCCTCAACCTAACAAACGCAACACCCCCCTCTCCAGCCTTCTCCTCTCGACTACCAACCTCAATCCTCTGCTTCCACAAGAAACCAGGCCCATCCAGCGCAAGCGTCTCATACTCCCCACCTTCACCCAGCACCGCCCCACGAATATCTTCCGCAGCCGCAAACCGACTCATAGCCTTAACAAGACACCTTCGCATCATGCGGCCGCCACTCCCGGCACCAGACACATTCTCCCACAGGAAGCCCTCGTCCAGACCGCCGGAGGCGACCTTGATAATACGAGCATCGCATCTAGCGGCTGCCATATCCTCCAAGAGCCCCGCCTGGCGTATTACCAGAGTATCGGCGGATCTGGCAGCGGAAGCGGGGAGGGATGGGTACATCCATAGCCAAGCGAGGGGTACGAGGCCCAGGCGGTTAGCGACGTTCTCGATTCGCGTACGCTGGTATGTAGAGAGGATGGCGCCTGCGGAGACGGCGTTTGCTTCTGGATGGGCTTGTTTGATGCGTTGGAGTAGTGGGACGAGGGATTCGGTCTCGTCTTTGTCGGTTGTTTTGGTTCCGTAGATGCGGTCTGTGTCGACTGCGCCGCCTGTGATGGGTTGGCGGTAGAGGGGGATTTGGAGGGCTGTTTCGTAGAGAGGGATTATGCTGTGACCGATTGTTTGGTACATGAAGCTGTCGATGTCTTCTTCTTCTTCTTCTTCTTCGTCATGTTTGGGTCTATTTGGATTTGTGTTTATGGTCTTGTTCTGCGGTTCTGGGTAGAGGTTGGCTAACGCGACCACTTTGTGACCGTTGCGGATGCAGTGGAGGATCGAGTAGAGGGAGTCTTTTCCGCCGGAGATTAGGGCAATCACGTTGAGCCCTGGGGCTGAGGGTTGTGCTGCAGACATGACAACTGTATGCCCTCTGGAGTCCAAGGTCTCTTTTTCGCGGATTTGTTGGATATTGGGTGAGGGTGATGGGGGGTACTTTTTGCAGTCCCCACCTTTGCCCGGGTGAGTTTCCAAGGTTATCGCCAATCGATAGAGCGATAAGATCAGTACATCCCGAGGTCACGGGATAGTTACTTATTTCATACATAAAAGTCTAACTATCCTAAATTGTCTGGGTATCGAGTTGGGGAACTGAAAATATCTTGTAGAAATCAGTGGAAGGCCAAAAGCCCTAACTTCCAAGTTTCTCTACTTTTACTATGCTTATAAGGGGATTTACCAGGAAAGAGTGCAGTAAGATTATGCTTGTAATTTGATGCATGTAAATCAATATCTAGAGATGTGACCTGGAACCAACTTTGAACACAAAGGGGCAATGCAATACAAGAAGGGGGTATGAAGTGATGGGGAGGGAAAATGGGGGCCAATTAACTTATACACGAATGTGACCAGCACAAAAAGAAGCAGATAAAAAGCAAAAAGAAAGCACCAAAAATATTACATCGAATAGGCAGAAACAAGGATGAACGAAACGGTAGAAGAAGCAGAAAAAGAAGAGGGGAAAAAAAAAGAATGGTAAAAAAGTCACAAGAAGCGAAGTAAACAGGGAATACACGAAGGGAAAAACCTAAAGGTTCAAAGTGTGAGGCACATTGTTCACGCCGAATGTGCTGGTCCAGGAGAGATTGGAGAGAACAAGTGAAACAAAAGGAAAAAGGAAAAAAAAGGAGAAAAACAAGGTGACAAAGGAAATAATTTCACTCAGCACTGCCAACGACAGATGCCATCATTCGCTTTATATGTCGTTTTTTTTTTCTTCTTCCTGGACTCTTCTGCGCCCATGTGCCTTCACCAAAAGAACCGTTCGAGGCAATCCCAGCCTGTGTGTATGTGTCCCCGTGCGATATGTCAAAACGCTGAAAATAAAAAGGGAACCCAAGTTGCTGTGCACCGATGATCCAGTTTCCGACACCAGTATAAATGCCCGGACGCCAAACCCAATCAAGACCAATGTGGTCGAGCTTCCAATGAAAGACTCCGACCGAAGAATGTGTGTATTATATATGCAGTAGGAAGTCTCCTGGTCTCGTAAAGAAAAAAAAATCATGAAACGCGAAGTCCCTTAGGACAAGTCACGCTTGCGCTTCTTCGCCGCTCGGCGATCCACAGAGGGAGTACCGGTGACTTCAGTCGACCGGGCAGCCTCGTACATGACTTGGCCAAGGGCACCAGCGTCATGTTGATCATCGAAGGAGACAGAACCGGCATCGCTTGCATCCAGGATGCCCATGACAATGGAGCCACCACCATGGGTGCGGGCGTGCTGAGCGAGGTTGTCACTGCGGGAGAACTTCTTGCCGCACTCGTTGCACTCGAACGGCTTGTCCTGGGTGTGGAGAGAACGGTAGTGGCGCTTGAGGTGTTCCTGGCGACGGAAGCGACGGGAGCACAGGGTGCAGACGAAGGTCTTGGAAGGGTCCTCAGTCAAAGACTGCTTGCGACCCCGGCGGTTGACCGAGATGGGAGCAGACTCTGAGTCATCAACTGATCCGTCATCAGAGCAGCAGTCGCCAGAGGACTCGCAGGCGGCCAGCGCCTTTGCTTCAGCCTCTTCGTCAGCGGCAATCTTTCGGGACTTGCGGTTGCTACGCTTCTTGGTCTTAGGCTCCTCAATAGGTTCGTCCTCGCTCTCAGCCTGAGGCTGGGCAGTCTGGGTCCACTCGAAGGATGGCAAACCATTGGGCATGAAATTCTCGGAGTCATCCGAGTCTTCGAGGCTGTGTTCGCTCAGGAAACCATCATCCTCTACCGGGTAGGCGTGCACACGCTGGCGCTTGCCACCCATGTAGACGGCATTAGCGGCAGGGTGGAATTCCACCAGGCGATTCAACTCATCATCAGAATCGAGGTCTGAGAAGCTGTCGAAAGTCGGCAGCGAGCTCAGAGGGTCCTGGGTCGAGGAGCTGAAAGAAGGAGATGGGTTCTCGTTGACGGGGAGCGTCACAGACGCACTGCCAACAACGGCGCGGGCTCCTCCTCCTCCTCACATGAGAGATTCGGCAGAGGAGGCAGATCCTGTGCATGAACATTGACACAGGGCTCAACGGTGAGCTGACGCGGATCGCAGAAAGACTGGCTAGACCCAAGAGTCTGGGAGGAAAGAATGTCGGTGGGCACGGGTGAGGGGGAGGGGGAAAGCGAGGGGCATGATGTTGCAGACAGAAGGTCTGAGGAGTGGATGTGAGTAAGAGAAGGTGGGTGAATGAAGACTGCATGATAATTAGCCTTTCGCCCTTGCTTCGCAATACCCACATTTCTTATCAATGTGTGATCTATAAAAACTTACCAGGCGTCATCGGAGGCGAATCGGAACGCGCCCACTCCGGGGTGGCCAGAATTTCCTGGTGGACATCGGTCTCGCATCCCTCCTTGACACCCTCCACCTTGTCGAAGGTAAAGAATGTGTCGTGAATCGGGGTTGGTAGCGCGCCATGGGCAGACGGGGGGCTGCTGATGGTGCTTCCGGAGGCTGACAGTGGAGGAGTTGAGGGGAATGAGTACATGTCGTGACCAATAAAGCGAGTGTCCAAGGGCATCAAGCCAGGAGAGCCCTGCTGCACAATGATGGTGGGCTTCATTTGCGAGGGCTGGGGAGAGGCAATTGGTGTCAAGCTCATGGTAGCTCCTCGGAAGGCATTGGTGGTGGCCATCTGGTGCATGTTCATCATGGGCTGGGGAGAGTAGAGTGGTTGCTCTTGTCCATACTGCATTTGGCTGTAGTATGGGACGTCTGACTGGTAGTGACCTTGCTGTCTCTGTGAGTCGGGATAGTATGCGAATGGCTGTCCTTGCACCGAGGTCGGTCCCATGGTGTATGTTGAGTCCATTGTGAGTTGTGCTGTTCCATGGGTTAGAAGCCAAACAGGAAATGTGTATAGATATATACACACCTGTATGAGATTTGGAAGTCCAATTGCAAAGTTTCCCGTTGTATATTAGTAGGATTATAGTGATTCAAGTCCGAATGAATGAATGGACTAGCAATTAGGTGTATAGGTGAATGAGTGTGTCGAAAAGGAAGGACAGGTTCTGGGAACCGGGAGACAAAGTACTTGAGGAAGGAGAGTGATATAGAAGAGAGGATCCCAAATAAATCCAATAGGAAACCCCAAACCCAAAATAGTCAAAATAGTCAAACAAAAAAAAAGATTGGATAGAGAGTGTGAGTATAAGAAAAATAGACAGCGGGGAAAAATAAAATAAAAATAAGAAGAGAAGAAGAGAGAGAGACAGAGGGAAAGATAGCAGGTTGCGGTGGATAAATGAGTGATCTGCTACTATTTTCTACTTGCCGGGTCACTAGTTTAGGTGTGGGCCAGGAACCGGGTGCTTTTTTTTATTATTTTATGAATTAAATTTGTCTCAAGAATTATGATTTAATAGAAAAAAATAATAGAATATTAGGATATTAGAATAATAGAATAATAAGAGATGGGAATTATGGGTATCCCAGTCCGGGGCGGGATTGCGAAAGACACTGCACATCAAGTGCTCAGTCCCGTCAGAAGAGACCAATCGCATTGATTGAGGAGTTTAGTGAGTGACCTCAGTTGGTGGAGACCCTAAGAGTTAAATAAATATATTTGATATATTATTATTATACATAAATCTTTTATTAGCTTACCAAAAAAGTACCTTGTTTTTCGGTCACCCTCCCAAAAGCAGTATGGCGTTATACATGTACCTACCACTAACCATAATATTAACATTTGATAATGCGGAGTTGTTCACACTGTGTTAACCTTGGAACTCCTTTCTGATTTGCACATGTATAGTTTTAAGAGGCAAAAATTGTGGCCCGAGACCTGATCCAAAAATTGAGGTGTGGCCACGAGGTGCACGACCATTGGACTATATGATGGTGACAGCGACAATCATTTACTCAATTAGTCTTATCAAGGCGATGTCGGACAAATAAGAGGCCTTTAAACCAGAAGGTCTTCTTTTTCATTGCTTTTTTGAGGACCAATAGCCCGGAAGGATTAGGGCCCACGCATCCCGTCCGGTACCACATACCATGTACTCCCGGAGTACCCTAGGTACCTGGTAAAGCTTCTAATTATTTCTGGTAAATTAACTACAGGATCCAAATAATACCTCGACTGCTCCGTTACCATTTTCCCTCAAACTCCAGCATAGTGATCAACAGGTGGAAACTTAAGAAGGGCTAGCCGCCAATCAGTTACCAGTTTGGGCTGCACATCCCAAGTCGCTCAGGACTTGCCGATCAGGCTATCAATGGTGGCAACCACCGTGCAACCATCTGGCTTCGATCGTGAAACGGTCGGCATTGGCTGTACAGCGCTTACTAGGCACATTCTTACCTGGCCAATTTCATATGATCCAGGCTGTCCCTCGGTGATGACCGCATCAAGGAACAATAAAAAAGGCTGTTAAAGCTCATTAATTGGTCTCAAGCTATCAAACTCATTCGTATTAAGATCATCATATGGAGTATAACGTTCGTAGTTCCCAGCTTGGAGTTCGTATGTACCAGTTTGCCACATGGGTCCTATATCGCAAGTAAACAAAACCGCGTTTCTTTCCGGTCGCTGCAAGGGCTATGCCATGGCCCATACAAACAAATATCACATGGTACACGTCAATGGCATCGATATCCAGGCAGGACAAGACATCAAAACCCCAAAAAAATTGACCATGCAATATGCAAGCCAAAAAAGATTGCGAAATTCCAGTTCACTGTGTGCGGCCTACTGCAGGAACCAGCCTGTGGGGGGCAAAATCACACAGGCAGCTACATAAAACACGCTTATTGGGTGCTTGGCTCTCAGTAAAAGGCAAGGCTCAGATGCTGTTTTCTTTGAAGGTCAAATCATCGAGGGTTTACTCTGTACCGGATGGGGTCCGGTTGCGCTAAGTCCATTGATTGGAGAGATAGTTAGCTGTCCCCAGACTATCCAAAACTATGATCGGGGACATGGTCAGGCCAATATTGGTGCTTATATTTTGTGGCCCAAATTCCAGTACAGTATGTTAGTGTGATATACTCGTTAATAGGTCTCACCTATGATGCATCTTATTGGGTCAAAGTCTGGCCGTGGTCGCTAAGTGATGTGTTCCGATTGCAGGGTGATGTGATAGTACTTTTTGTTCTCACTAACCTGACCTGTAGATCCGGGGGAAAGTGCGCTTAGTATATGTCAGAGCATCACTACATGGGCGTTATTATTACTATGGCATGTGTTCCAAGGTTGCCTGTGACCAATCTCATCCGAAGATTGGAAAATGGGAAGCACAGGCAGATGCATAATCCGACACATCGACTAACACAGCCCAATGACAGACAGCAAGTGGCCACGCAAGCAAGGTCCATTTCTATTCTTACCAGGTCGTGGCACATTCTCTACATTACAAATGGGCTATCCACCGAAACCATTCAAGTCTTCTAATTTTTTTCTAAATCTTCCAAATCCTTGAAATCCTTAATCTCCAAGGTCCCTTTCTCCCTCCAGTCCAGACCGGAAACAAAAAGTAATATCCCGGCATTTAATGGGAAGTCGGGGGCCGGAGCATCTCCTGCGTAATTGGCTGCTTCTAAAGATAGCGCGCCCCTCCAATTGGCTACTAATCCGTTCGCAGGCAAAGCGTCGGGGCGAGCGGAGACTTGTCTTTATCCGCTGCCAATAAGATAAATATAAACCACACCAATGTGGACTTGGGGAAATTGGGGAGAGTCACTGATAGATATTCATTACCGTTCCACTCTACAAAGATAGCCCACGGTTAAGGTACTCCGTACACACTGGAGATACCCGGTTCTCCGGGCCTCGAGTGTTTCCTTGCTGGGCTTAGATACTTCCCGTGGATTTGGAAAGGGTCATGCATGGAAGGCTGTCAAGTCCTTCTTCGAGAAATCCTAATGTCCACTTTCTAATCTTGAAGCTAATTACCTTGCGTCACCCAATTTCATTATTTCATAAGCTTACTAACTCAACATCTCAAAATTTCGCCCTGGCTTTTGCGACTATGTATTTACTTTGCGATGGTCAATATCCTTGCCGCCATCGTTGTCGCACAGACGAATCGACTTTTTTGCTTTTGCGCGGCCCACGGGCTCATTATCAACGCTTAGAGAAAAATGGTGGAAAATAGAAGCCGGAAGCCAAAAGTTACGCGCTATTGAATTGAAGTCCACCATTTCCTGATCGTCAGGATTGCTCCAGAGCTCCAACAGCTCCAAGTTCAAAATCCTATCAAAGAGCTTCGACCGAGAGAAGTCCAGGAAAAAAAAATCCAAGACTTCACACGGGATAAAACAAGCTACTTCCAAATCACTTCTACCAACGGCCCTTCTAGCCTCGACACCAACTCTTAGCAGGAGTGGAGAACATGTTGATGGAGGCGGGCGGGCAGTGCCTAGTTTCCAACTAAAGGCCGCGGAAGTCCCTCTTGGGAATCCGGACCCCCCAAGTGGCTCTCGAATGGAGACCCGAGTGGGTGGAGTGTACGGAGCACGATTTACGGTGTACACTCTCTGTCGAGAGAAAAAGGAGGAAAAAGCAAAACAAAGAGGCAAATTGATTAAAGTTGATCTACTAATTCCAATACCAAGGTCAATGGGCTAGCAATGATCACAGAATCGACCGTGCGATTTGAAAAAAACCGTGCTTGGTCTGGGATGCGAGCATCTTCCCAGTTCCCCGACGAATCATGCTCGGCTGCTGGCGGTTAACTATGGGGATGTCTGTGAGAGCTCCCGTCTGCGATGCGCGAAACCGTTTGACGATCATCATGCCCGTATCCGAGTTTAAGTCCTGTCATCAAAAGTTGACCAGTCTATCTGTCATGGTTGACCCCAGACGATATATATGCATAGCATCAAACTAGTCTTTCACCGGGGGTCGAGACCGAAACATCCCGCAGCAAGGGTTCATATTCGCACGTCGCGATAGGTACGGGAGTAATTTACCGTTGGGATCTCCCATGCATCAGTGGGTTTGGGCAAAACGTCCTGGTCCACCAGGGATTCACCGCACATATTCTACACATCCAAACCCACAATTTGCAATTTGCAATCCACAAGGCAAAGAAAATAGAATTTCGCAAGCGCAGCTGTCACCGCCACTAGGATTCGAGGTGGGTTTGGACACATCAGACGATATGAGACTTAATATTTCGCAAAATGTCACAAAGAGATGTGGATAGCAGATCCGCAAGGAATTCACGGCCCTCTGTTCTGCGCTTGCGTCTCTGTCAACGGTTCTTGTCGGAAGACTTGCAGGGATTAGTTCGCCATCGACTAGGACCATTGGAGGTCATTCACATGGGACCACCGAGGCTTCAAATAAAGGCAAAAAAAAATCATTCACTATGTGGAGTGCATCACTCATTACTCTGTGCTCGGTGCTATCAACAACATACATAGTACATCGTACGTTGTTGGTTGTTAAGTAAAGAATTGAAAGAGTTGGATCCTCAATCATGCCATTGAGCCAAAAAAAAAAAGCTTTTTATTCGAAGTCCCCATGTCATGTTATACTGTCCACACCCTCGGGAGGGTCCCGAATCATGGGCAGACCCAGCCACCCAGACCGACTACTATGTCGCTCACATATCTCTACTGCTACGGAGTAGGGTCATCAAAGCCCGAAACCAGCGCGGGTACCAGCGTCGGAGCGCTTGTAATTACAAGCATTATAAAATGCATAGGAACGATTCCAATTCAGTTTCCCCAATTCAGATTCAAAAACGCAAGGACCCCGGATTATCACCGTTTGCTTGTGGACGCTAAACATGGCGAAGGAGCGAATTAAGTCGTGGTGCCGCATGTACCTAAGAAAAAAGAAGCTAAAGCCGATGGCAGTGACCTCGATGGAAAGTGTTCGAAAAGTAGCGAGACTTCCAAGGTTTGTGACGTACGAAGATCTCCGGTACCCCCAAACTGACTCGGGAATGGACTTGTGGGGGGGGGAGACATGTACCTAGTGGGTTCACTGGGAATTTTTATTTGTTTTAGATTCGCAATTAATTGTCTCTGTACGGAGGACGGAGGATAGAGAGACAGGATAATTTGGCGGGCACTTCCGCACGTTGACTAGGCTAAAATCTGAAACACAGTCCAAATCACTCGTATCTGGGCATAACGGGTAGGAACACGCGTTTTTGGGACGCTAGTGTGCGCCAGGGGGGTCTTGGCCTCTTGGCTCTTTTTTATTTTTGAGCGAGTTTCGAGTTTCGCCTTTCGAGAATGGATCCTACTTTGGGGGGGCGTGGGATTATTGTCGATGGTCGCATTTTTAGCGGAGCCTATACTTTGTACTTTGCGGTGTACACCTCTCTTCTGGACTTGCTTCCCGTTTGGGGAGAGCACTGGCCTCAATATGGCCTGTTAGGGGAATTTTGGTCCAATGAGTAGGAGGCTGTTGGAAGAGAAGAGCAATGGAAATCACCAATAATAACAAATATAAAATTAATTAGCTGTTAATACCTAAATACCTCTAGGGTAGTAGGCAGATAGATTCCGAATCAGGAAATATGAGTCCGAATTGAGAAGTATGAGGTCTTTTCTATATTTTCTACGCCTCATGGCACAGTAGTGAGATCTTGTACCAGCAGTCTCTAATCTCACTATCTCGCTCTCTGAGATTGAGTCTGACCAAATCAGACATCAAGCCTGTGTCTTAATCGGGTGGTTTAAGTTGTCTCATGCGACCGTTGCGCCTGTTTTTAATATAATCATACAACATAGGATGGGGCATAGCATAGGGCACTTTGCCACAAAGCAATCTCGCTATCTATACACCAAACATGTGCCACACTGCCACCTCTACTATTAGCGCGCACGGGACGCCACTCCTACTCCAATAGAGACACACAGTTCCTACCGGAAAAAAAAAAGATCCTTCCAAAGGTCCTCGTGTCTCAAAGCGCAAACCCTGCTATGTTACATCCACAAAATTCCAAGCGAGCAAAGTGCGGGGGGGAAAACTCTCTATTAACCCAGTTCCACACAGTCGCACAACCATGGTTAAGGATGTGCGCACCGTCCTGCTCGCGGGTAAATCATCATTGTTTGCCTGATCGGGAATTTTAGACGGCCCCGCAATCGCTAACACTGTGAATGTACTCTGTACGGAGTACGAGGTAGTTATGGTACTGCGTTGTACTTCAATCCTATATCAAATTACCATTTTGAAGGAAGTGTGGTACATACAATTGACCAGAAAGAACCAGATTGTATACCAAGTTACATCAAGAAACTTCAAGGGACAGAAAGCACTGTCAAAGTGGCGTGCTAGGCATGTGTTTCAGATATGTTCCTCGGTATCCACGAACAATACTCCGGACTCCAGCGTCATATCGCGATCTCAGTTCCAAAGTTCGAGGACCTTGTGTAACTGGCTACGCGACCCGAGACACTAGACCCAGTGTGGTACCCAGTATGGTTGCCCAGACCCTGATATGATCGTCTAAAACTGGGATAACCTTCAGTTGATCAGCCGTACTATCGCTCGCAACTTGCTGTTTGAAGCTCTAAAGAGCTCTTCAAGGACGGCACGTGTGTCTCCATGGTAGTATTGACCATTAAACCTACACCGTACTAACTACCGAACTATAAGGCCGGTGCGAACGTGGCTGGAAGAACGTGGGATGAAAGGGTTCGTTTCAGGTAAGATCTGCTGTGCATCGAGTTTGTGATCCACTTGGGGGTTATCAGCTCATTCAATTTCTATGGTTCCTCTCTCATTTCCCAACCTTGGAAGGTTAACACTAACTCTATATCAGGTAAAGTCACAAAGTTACATGGCCAATGGAAGTTTCTCGATGTTCTTAATATTATTCTCCTATCGCAATCTTCAGGCACAGAGTTTTATGAAGCTTCGACGATATATATCCAGGTACAGAATGGGGAATGGTGCATCGAGCACCATCCCCACTTTCCACTGAGGGTATGGATCGGCCTTCAGCCCACATATTAGACATATTGGACAAATTAGAACAAGCGAGCTTCGATCGAAGGATTTTTGAATTCGGCACGATCCTGCGACAAAACAATATCCATATGAATGCGGAGATAGCTTACCCAGCCCGCGGTGAAAATATGCATTAGCGCAGGATTCGTTTCCACCCAAACCGGGGGCCTCACCAACCGGATAGCTCACTGGATTTCAAGTCCTTTTCAAATTCCCGTGGAACCATGCCCATCACCCTTGACCCCAAGATCAAAGGGAATGATTGCTTGGTTCAGGTACCATTACTCCAACATACTCCGTAGATTGCATAGTTTTACCCAATTATCAGGCTTCTCGCGAGAGACAAGGTGGGTCAGAAAAATACTTTGGGTCCTCATACGAGATATCGTTTCGGACGTGGATCTCTGGTACGGATGGGGGCGTGCAAAGACTCCCGAGGTCCAAAATGATGTGACTCTCCGGGCCCTAACTATCTGATCTAATCTTGCAAGGTTTCCCTGGTACTAAGGTCGCTGTGTATCCATCTGGCGGATATTCCCGATGAAGCCTAGCAACATGTCGTACGTGGCTTCATGATTATAGAAAAACATTCTATACTTTCCGAATATGACCATGTAGCACGTTCGCATGGCGTGCAAACCTTCTCTAACAACATCGCGCTATATTCCGTGGTCTATGAACATCAGACCCCACCCAAGTCGCCAGAAATCCCCGAACATACCAATCTAGCGTGTACATCATGCGGAGTATGCAGAATGTTCTCCGTAATTACTACATATCCGGTAAGCGTGTAAGCGTAAATGCGTATCTAGCTCGGAGAGGTCTGGTTCAGCGACTACATTCGTCCCTGAGCTATCAGGATCGACGACCGGCCCCATTTCCTATCGTATATAGCCCAAGGCTCAAAACCAAAAAAAAAAGTGGCTCTTTCCAACGTTCAACCCAGCCCGCGCCAACACAAGCAGATCACCTTCCCGCGCAGTATTTGGTACGTAACGGATTTCACTGGCGGTCTCCTTCAATTCAGCTGCTCCGTAGTGGTCACGACTCTGGGCTGAGAGATAAGCCCACCGTGCCCCGCATGCGCTGACTGTCTCTTGCGGTCCAGTGTGTGTGTAGAGTCCAACACAGGATCTCATCAATGGCTTTGGAGCTAGTTCTGGATCCATGAGGTGAAACCACAGCCTGAGCTGAGATGAAACTTGTCGCAGCGAACCTCCCGTGGCGGGCATGTTCGGTGAGACCATTCGAGATGAGAACTAACTTTTCATGAGAGTAATTATTCACTGACAAGTCGGTGTCTTGCCTTTTCTTGTCTGTTGTCCAGCGCCTAATCAACCCAAGTCTGTCCAGTCCTAGCCGCTGCTGAAGACACGCCATCGGCAGTGGATACATAGTCTGAATGGCGTGCCTCATTAGCAGCAAAACACTGGACAGTGCTCATCTTCGGGCGGGCTAGAGCGGGTCTTGATCCCTTCAACGGAACTTTGACCCAAGACCTGTACCGTTAAGAAGCCTCGCTACATCACACAACGCGACTAACTCGTTTCCTCAATTTAGTTAGTACAAACCTCTCCATGCCAGGTCCACACACAAAAGCCCACCAGAAGGTCACCATCTTCTACCCACACAAAACAAGAGAACTCGCAAGCAAACCTAGGTTAGGGAAATCACCGTGGAGTCCGACAAACCCGAATATTCGATGACGATCATGCAATGTACATCGTACAATGTCTCCAAGCACCACATTGGATATTAATTCATGAAACAACGACTAAATACAGATTAACGCATCCACACCAAGTCGCAATCTGGTACACCTCGGTCGGCCAGCGCATGGAACATGCCACTCTCTGCCAAACCTATAGTGGAGATGGATACGGAGCATGGAGATGAAAAAAAAAACAAGAGGTACGATCTCGGCAACGTGCCTGCGAACTCCTACGTCTCAATGGCCAACAGGACGAGGCGGATTGCATCGCCTAAATTGACTGCCAAGAGCTCCAACTCCATCTGCGGGTCACAAATGGAAATATCGTGTCCATACGGAGTACAGCTGCTTGCTATATCCTCATTATTACCTGGCTGGGTACTGTATGTGCCTTGTGAGAAGGCGAGGATGCCGGGTGCATCCGGTCGCCGACGGTTTGGCTATCGGGCCGAATTTGTTATTGTCGCGGCTCGGCGAACTACACGTGTGCATGCCAGTGTTCGGCCCTGATAATATGGGGGCTCCATGGTGGGTTGAGGCTTGAGGTACATTGTCTTATTTCTTCTCAGGTGGATGCAATTTTTATATTAACGGCGATATTCGGCTGACAATGTGGCCCCGAAAGTTGTTGGGTTTCTGCTGAGATATTTCGTCTATCCGGTACGGTCCAAGGAACAGGAATTGATGTTCTGCTTATGAATTTGGAATGAAAATGCTCGTGAATACGAGATACTAACTCGAGTTGCAAGTTTTGGAGACTAAAACATAATCCCCAAATTGAAGATGGAAAGCAATTATTGCGAGTTGATATTGAAGCTCGCCCTGGTTGCAGGTCGAGCTCCCCAACAACACCAGAAATAAACAGCAAAGGGCCTCAGGAATGGTAAATTTGAGATCACGCCCCCATAAGGAGTCAGTCTCTTCCTATCATAGAATCCATATTTCTCATCATCGACCATGTTTATGGAAGAAAGAGAAAGAAGGAAAAAGCTATCAGATGAAAAGAAAAAAAAAGCTCCTCGCATATGGCTTACATAATGAAAGTTTCTGTGTGCCGAAATCCTTGGAACCTTCCGTTAAAGGCAACCGGAAAAACCAAATCCCCGGGACTCCGCATAAAAGGAAATCTCAACCAGCAGCTTTCCTCTTCTTTTCTTTTCTTCTTCGTGCGGCGGCGCAACTCGATAACCCGTGTTGCCTGGACATCTACGGCCATTAGTCTGGCTTTCAGTGATGTTACCCAGGTGTCAGTTGCGCCACAGACGAAGGGAATTGCACATTGATTCTTACCTTTATGGGTCTTTCTGATTTCACAAGGATGAGACCTTCTGGTGGGAGTCAAACATACTTTTTTTTATATCCTCATGGGTATTTTCTATAGCATTAAACAATGGAATATTATCAAATTTTGCACAATTCTCTACAGCCGGCTGGCTCTCATTAGACGTTGAACTGTACTCTCATTGACATAAAGTTGACACAATGTTGCTCCGTCCAAGCTCTCTGTCTTGAAAAATCAATCGCGACACCTCACAGTTCTTATCTCCATAGCCTACGTAGGCTTGTTTTCTTCAAAGTCTATGTTGTTTACTCGCCAGGCTCGTCACCAATCTTCTCCAGCTTGCCCATAGATCGGTTTGCACCCGCCTCGCCAATAACGCGAATGCGATCAACGCGCAGCTTCTCGCTGTCCCCATCCCCATCAACGAAGAACACAACCAGCGATGTCACATTCTGGAAATTAACAAAACGCAGGGCGACCGTCGCAGTCCCAGTCTTCGCATCCCAATCTCCAGACTGGATCTCCACTTTCTGCACGGGGGGAATACCATCCGCCTCATCGAATCCAAGCACGTGGGAAGTATTCTTGTAGATGTGCAAGTTCCTAGGCCGCATGGGTGTCTCGTCATCATCGGCATCGGCATCCGCAGGAGGGAGGGAAGTAATCTGAAGCGAGTGAACCTTCAGTGTCGAGTTGAATGGGATATACAGCATCAGCTGCTCGTCGGTGTCGCTCTCGGTCCAATCCGCCTGGCCAGCAGCCTTGCCCTTGCCCTTTCCTGTGAGTCCCGAAGGCTTCGAGGTGTTAAACAAAGCGCGCGGCTCTGCCGTGTCCGTGTCCCGGTTCAGCAGCTCCAATCCCTTCACGTCAACCTGATCTGTGATATCGCTGTAGCCCTTGGCCACTGTGCCGCCGAGCCAGAGCTCGCCGGAGCTGCTTCCTTCGCCGGCTCCTGCTGCGTCGTCTGACTGGCTTGCCTCGGATGCGAGCTTCTGGACGATCTGGTTCAGCTGTGCAGGGTTGGCGCCCTTAACTGTTTGGTTCACGCGGCCGTTCTTGAAGACGATGAAGGTCGGCATTCTATGTATCGTGTTTGTCAGTAATCGAGGTAAATATTGTATGATTAGACACGCGGGTTGAGCTGGTTTCTAGATATTTGAAATTGCACATACGCTGTGACGCCGTAGGCTTGGGCGAGCTCTTGTTGGTGGTCGACATTGATCTTGGTGAATGTGATGTGATTCGGGCGGGAGAGCTTGGTCGCCAGCGCGTTATACGCAGGCGCAATAGCTTTGCATGGTCCACACCAATCAGCGTGGACTATTCAAGTATCAGTCCAAGGTTAGCGATAGCTCTGGTCGTTCGGAAGACAGGGTCTCGGCGGGGCAGGGTCGCGCGGCAAATACTTACAGTCGGCGACAACAAGACGGGAAGAGGTAAGAAGCGATGAGAATTGCTCCTTCGATGAGATCTCAATGACAGACATGGTGAAGTTGGGAGGGGAATGAGTGTGGAATGGAAGGTGGAAGAGGATGGAAAGATGTGAGGTTGTGTTTTGCTACCTCCGCATATGTCATCAGCCCCTCTACACAATCAACAATCTCATATAGACCACGCCAGGGAATGTGTACTGCCTAATTATAATTTTATTTCAACTGGTGACTATTAGATTCTCTTTTGAATTGCAAGACTACGCTGGAGCCAACTCAGCTGCCGGGGTTTCGAATGTAGTTATTCTGGATGTTTTGGATATATATTGTCGGTCACAATCCTTACCATGCGATCGAAAATGATTCATTGTTTATTGCGAGTTTCGTCTTTAACCTATTTTTTAGGTAAGGTAACTATAAATATATACATAAGAAGTGTATCTTCATCTAGAAGTAGAAGTAAATGTTGACAAATAGCTCTATGGTACAGCATTCAGTCTCATCGTTGGATGCATGAGGCTGAGCCAGGCTCAGCCGGAAGGCAAGAGGTTGAAGTTCAACTTTACTAACGATGCTTGAGCTTGAACTCAATCAAAGTGAGATAAGTTCAAAGCAAGGATACCACTTAGTATGGGCTCTTGGGTTAGACAAGGCCTGACGAGGTTGGTATGCACAAACCAGAAGAGATTGGCGGCGACCCAACCTGCAAAAGAGAAACCGAGCTCGGGAAAGATAAAGCTCGTAACAGAAGAAGAATGAACGTCCGAGCCGGTACCCTGCCTGAACCGAAGAGCCTAGTCCCTGGACGAGACATAGACCAACACAGACATGGGACCACGGGATGCCATCCATCACACAGTGACGAGGCATGAGCTGCACAGTGGGACTCAAATTCTAACGGTATGATAGACCAGAGATGATCAGAAAAAAATACCATCTGACAAGCCATCTCTTCATCCCTCATCTGCCTCAACAGCAAACAGAATTTTCAACCAGAGACTGCATCCGCGACACCCGATAATGATCTCGCCATGCTCAGCCTCCCTCTCCAAATCCTCCTCATTGACGAAGAAGCCGCGCTCATCACCGCACCGACATCCGCGATACCAGCAATCGCCGTCGCCGCCTTCCGCCTCCTCGCAGGCGAGATCCTCCAAATCCACAACTTCCAAGCCGGTATGGAACACGTCGCCGGTTTTCTCCCGTTCCGCAACCTTCAGCCTATCCAGAAGTAGAGAACGGTTATATTCGGAGCGGAGGGCGGGGTCGGATAGGGTCTTATAGGCGGTGGTAATCTGGTCGATGGTATACAGTTGTCGCGACGAGTTGCCATCGGATCTGGCAAAGAGAGGGTTCGGAGTAGATGTGGATGTAGAGTTAGTCGAGCCGCCTAGCCCGGTCTCCCTTGCGACAGCACCCGCCTTGTCAGGGTGGTGTTTCAGTAATGCTTTATGGTATGCGATCTTAATCTGCTGTTTGGAGAGGACTGTCGACGAGGACCCCGTGAACGGCAGAGACAGGATCTCATAGAGATCGACAGCGTGTGTCGTCCTCGTCATGTCGAAAAATTGTATTCCTCTTTCTGTTCAGGGTCTGTTCGTCGTATCTGGCCGGTTGCGCTGTTTCCGTGTCCCGCGCCGGGTCCTCGAGCGACCAGTCGGAGGTGCGCGCCAGGTTGTAATAGTGACACCTCGGAGTCTAGCGGAGAGGTCCAATCGCGTGCACCCCAGGGAATAATTGTGATAATCTGGGGTAGCAGGGGTGCTGCAAAGCGGGGTTGGTGAGTTTTCTTACTGAGAGGTTTCCATGAGGATTTAAAAATGGCGGGTCGCCCTTGCACGCCACTTTGGGAGACGGCCTTCCGGACCCAAACCTGATGGATGTTGAGCGTTGGCTACTCCGTTTCTTTCTTTTATTTTCCTGATACCAGGCATGAATATATGTTGTTTTCTAATATTCATGACCTAGATGAGTATTCTCTGGAGCTATGCGATACAGCTCTACCAAACTGTGCCTGATGGTTCTATGTGAATAGTGCTGCTAATGCTACATCCTACCCAAGGCGAAACTTACGTGCTGCGAATACAGCTAGGACTACTGGTGCATGCAATTATGGAAGGGAATCTGAAGTTCCATTGGGAACAAGAAAAGAATCTTAGTGAGTAATGACTCGGATATCAAGATAGGTATATGAAAGAAGACGGGAATATTAGGCAAATTTTTGAGCAATTGCCTTACTCAGAAGTCTTGAAAACGAAGCGATCCTCAGTTTTGAAGGGCACACCGAGCTCAAGGAGCTTGACAAAGACGTCAGAGAATTCCTTGAAGAAGACATCGCTGTCCTTGCCATAGCGCTCGACGTGCTTCTTGAAGCCCTTATCCCTGACAAGAGCCATATCACTGGGCAACATCATGAGAGTGCCGGTGGTCTTGTCGGTGAATTGAATCGGGCCGTTCCACTTCTTCTGGGTCCACTTCTCCTCGGCAAGGAGGCGGAAGAACTCATTGCTGAAAACAGTAGGGCTGAAGTTCCAGGGGCCGTCGAAACCGGAACGATCGGTGTGGCAGCGGCCCAGGGCATGGGCGCCAATCAGTGCAACCATCTCGCGGTCATCAAAGCCCATGCGGGAGAAGATATCGCGGACGTGACGATGGTCCTTGGAGGCGTCAGGAAGACGGCCGTCGGGAGTGCAGGCGGCGACGTCTCTGTCCTCACGGCCGGGTCTCCAGGGGATCGAAGGGCCACTCGCCTCCTGGACGGCGCAGGCACCACCAAGAGTCCACAGATCGGAGTAAGTGATCCAGGGGAACTGAGCCTTGATGGGCTCAAGGAAGTCGCGGGCAGTCTTGAGACCAGCGTTGGCGCCGTGATCAGACTCCGGGGCGAATCTCATAGTGGCGCCGTTGCTGCCACCAGTGCCGGTCTCCTTGTCATAGGTACCACTTGCGTGCCATGCGAGACGAACCAGGACCTATTGAGAGCAACAAAAACGTCTAGGTTAGCTCATTGAACTGGATGACAACATCGAACGAAAGTGACTGCACTTACGGGGCCATAGCTGCCATCATCATAGTCGGTCTCGTCGGCCAGACGGGATGCGATAGCGTCGTACACCTTCTGGTAATCGGCCTGGGTGGGGACGAAGGGCCCCTTGGGGGAGGAGTCGCCGTTCAGGTAGAGGTACGCTCCACCTGCGGCACCGAGGGCACCGAGACCAAGAGCCCAAAGGCCAAAGGATGAGCCGGACTTCTCAGAGCCAGCTTCTGAAGCATATCCGCGACGAGCAGAGGAGCGGAGACCATTGGCGGGGATGGCGAAACGCGTGCTGCGCGCAGCAGGACGGAAAGAGGAGGTCGCCGGGGTCGAGCGCAGGAAGGCCCGGGAAGCAGTTCTGGCAGCCGAAGCCATTGTGATAGGACAGGGAGGGTGCGAGATAAGAAGAGTCTGATGGGTTTTCACTAAGGGAAAGGAAAGTAAAGGTGGGAGTACAAGTACAAACGAAGAGAGAAGGGAAGAACCGGGGGATTTGTACTTCTCCTGTCCCAATTTCTAATGCCAGTACAACCCTGAGCCAATACTTCGGTACATCGTACAGAAGCTGATGGAATCACAGCCAATCAAGGGGGCCACATATGCTATTGCCTCGGCGTTTCGTCTCGTCTCCGCATTCCGGTACATCACCATACATCACCCCCAGACTTTCACGACTTTCAATTCTGTTAACTGTTGTATTCTTCACGGTCTCTATATGTAGATACAATCCCAGGAGATCGTACTCATTGAATTGACAGTACAGACTGATACCAGAGGCGTGAGTAAAAGCTACCTCGGAAAGGTATTATTAACAGCCAAGCGCTGTTTGGTCAATGCCGGCCCACTCGCTTCCTACCTGCTTACCTGATCGAATGGTATTCGGGCCTAGGTGACTTGCTCTGTAATAATAACGGTCTAGATACTGTACTCCGTACATCTATATTTATTGAATAAGAAATCAAATAAGCTATTTACTAATCTTTGAGTTCGAGATCCCTTGGAAAAATTGAACGTTTTTAATGGTCTCGATCTTATTACCCATGGTTCTAGCCATCTGATTACTGACTATGTATGTCCATGGATGGTACGTCGCTATGACAGTGATCCTGCCGTGTGATTCCTCGAAGTTCGATGAAGGCCCAATTTTACATGTATCAATTACTGTCATCGGAGCGAGGGTTGTCGTATTAGCAGTGTGGAAGAAAGAAGTGTATATAGTTCTTATGTGTGACCAAAATATGCCGTATTCTCTTCTCTAATCTTGCAACGAACTACTCAAAAGCTTAATCCCATTACTTTCTAGAACATCCAGGACTTGGTTTTCTACATTAATTATACTTTCCATATTCCCTTGCTTATGGCAACCAGGCCCTTTTGCCTGATACTCTCGATAAATCCTCCAAACGCATCACCCATGGACAGTATCACATGTTTATAGACTAACTTACTAGTTAGTTAACTAACTAACTAGTTCGTCAACGCTGTAATGAGAAACCATATTGCCCTCGCTTGCCTCTTGCATTTTAGTCTCGACGACAGCATCAATATCTATCCACTCTTCTGTACAAGCAGACTAAGTAAAGTTGATCTGACTACTGTACCGCAAGAATGTTGGAGTTCATTTTGCATGCGTTTGGACAAGGATGTATGAAAGCAAGAGTTACTGAGTAAACACTGCCTACATAGTGCCAAGGTTTGGGTAGCGGGCTTTATCGGAAAATCCTTTTAGCTAGCTGGTCATGTGACATATAAACCGAGGCCAGAATGATCTTATAGAATGGTACTCCATACAGAGGTCTGTACATGAGGAAAGAAGTACGATGAGTAATCATCTAGGAAAAGAGATATAATACAATAGAGACCAGAGTAACTTTTTAAGATAAATTTCCATTATTAGTTGGGGGATGTCCGTCGTAAATAAGTCCTGCTGTTCAATAGATATGAACACCAGGGTGGAGTAGACGCAGCTCTGCTAAAAACTGTTTGGTTTTGATATTCCACGAACGAACGATTAAAAAATCACCCAAGAGACGTCCAGTGCCACAGGTAGGCACCACGCGGGTTATGTGGTTTGAAGTTTATATATATCTCAATGTTGGATCCAAGTCCTCAACAATCCCCGACATTAAAGGATTGGATTCTCGAGTCTCCAACACACGAATGATGGTTGAAGAAGAAGACAAAGTGTGAAGGGAAAAGTTTTTATCTTAATCCCCGTGGCACGTGATTTAACTAGCGCAGTCACATGACCATGTCCTTTTGTATCCAAAATTTCCGCGCAAATTGTAGAGTTTTCTTCTTTACACTTATCCGAACGCATAATCAACCGCCAATTCCTCTATCATAGGATGGTAGGTCATATTGGCGTACTAGAAGATATTGGGTAACATTATGACTTCTCGACGGCTCCGAAAAGGCTTCGGCCTTTAGGCGCATTGGTAGATGCGAGTCATTGCTGTCCGGACATGCCATTTTATATTTTCTCTCTTGCTAGTATTAATATACATAATCTTTGACTCTCCTTCTGAATACCGTATGGGCCTGGGCTCGGGCCTATAAGTTCCCAAGTATCTAGGACTTCTAAAGTGTTCTAGAAGACTGAGCTTATGGAGAAAACTATGCCGAAAGAAACGTGGAACGATCATACAGAATGAGATTGTCAACTCAATTTAACTCGATTCTACCCAACCTTGGAACAATTGAGCTAAAATCTTTAAGTCCTGACTATCTACTCTACTCTTTCTTTACTCGCTGTACTCCGTATACCCCGTAGACTAGCACATATATGTCTCATTTGGAATGATCTGCCCCTCGGACGTCAATTGAACCCTTCTCCGCCCTGGGAACCAGAATTCTTCCCCTATTCCACTTTGTATTACTGCCACTCCTTCTATTTATTATTCTTGTAATTATTTTTTGCATCATGGCCCCCGGTATCAGCAAGCGCCAGCAGGCGCGGAATGAAAAGACCCTGGCGGAGCTGATCCGGACCGTTCCTGGCAATGACCGATGTGCCGATTGCGATGCCTTGACCCCAGGTTCGTCCCTAGAGACCCTTTATTGTTGATCTCACTAATTTTTATTTCAATAGGATGGGCAAGCTGGAACGTATGTCGATACTTCTTTTACCTTCGAGCGAATCCACAAACTGACTGTTCATCTCCGACAGATGGGCATCTTCCTTTGCATGCGTTGCGCCGCATTGCACCGAAAGCTGGGCACACATATTTCCAAGGTCAAATCTTTAAGCATGGATACCTGGACATCAGAGCAAGTTGATGTGAGCACAATCTGGCATCCCGGAATAGCAAAGGTCATGAGCTGACAGTGTGAATTTTACCAGAACATGAAATCGCACGGTAACATGCTTATGAACAAAATGAACAACCCGCGGGGTATCAAGCCACCAATTCCCGCCGACATTGACGAGGCCGATGCATGCATGGAACGGTTTATCCGGCAGAAATATCAACACCGTTCGTTGGAAAATGGGAAGCCAAAGCCCCCGAGCAGGGAGGATTCGAGTTACTCCAACACTAGGGCTATGTCCCCCGTGGAGCCAAGAAGGAATGACTATAACATATCCCCCGAGGGTTCTCCTCCTCCACTTCCGCCCAAGACTGGAAGGTTTTTCAAGTTTGGTCTACGGTCGTCATCCTCTACCTCGAACCTCCGCCGATTTGGTGGCAAGCCCAAGGTGACTTCGCCAACCTCGGACGATGGAGCCTGGTCACCACCATTGCCATCCAGGAAGACGACAGGACTTGGTGCGCCTGTCGCCGATGTGACAACGGCATCTTTCGAGTCCAAAATGGCGGCATTGCAGCAGATGGGATTCACTAATGACCGACGAAACGAGATGGTTCTCAAGGGACTCCATGAGGATCTGGATCGAGCGGTCGAAACACTGGTCAGGTTGGGTGAGGGGGGCAACCCTGCAGCAAGATCCAGGACCCCGGCCGGGACAAGCTCTGCTGCATCCGCACGCGTAGTAATCCCGAAGCCTGAGACGTCCAAAAACCCATTCCCTGTCACAACCGACAACACATTCCCTGAGGTTTCCAACAACCCATTTGACCGGGCTGTCTCAAATCCTGTGGCCCAGTCGCAAACCCAGCAACCACAGACCGCTTCGTACAATCCATTTGACCAAATGAACTCGAAGCCGGCATCAACACAGCCTCTAGAATCATCTTTCCAGGGCCTGCAGGTTTCCCAGCCCTTGTTCCCCCACTCTACTGGTGGATACCCGAACCAGACGAGCTCCATGCAGCACTCTGTATATCAACAGTCCTATACGCCTCCGGTCACATCGACATTCTCGCAGTCTCCCTATGTTACATCGCCTCAGCCAATGGACAACAGCTACAATCCATTCGACCAGGCACCGCCGCAGCCGCAGGGTGGCTTGGGTCAGACATATCCCAACCCCAATGCGCCGCAAACGAACCCTTTCTTCAACACTGCGCAGCAAAATCAACCCATGCAGCCACAACAACAGCAAACGACCCCACTCGTAACGCAACCAGGGGGCTTTGAACCCCCTCGCCATGCAAATACCATGCCGGTCATGTCTTCCGCCTCGCCATTTGGACCAACTGCTTCTTTCCAAGTACAGCAACAGCAGCAGCAACAACAACAACAGCAGCCGCAGCCGCAACATCAGCCCTCAAATGGTCTGGGTGCTTACAACCCGTTCCAGCAAGGGTTGGCGCCGAACACAGCACAAAACGCAGGCGGCTATTCCAACCAATTCCAGTCCCACCTGCAACCCCAGCAGGCGCAGCAACTCATGCCTCAACCCACTGGAATGGACAAAAACAGCATTCTTTCATTGTACAATATGGGTCCTGCACAGTCTAATATGACATCTATCCCCGAGCAACCTCGCCAACTTCAACAACATCAACAACCTCAACAACCTCAGCAACCTCAGCAACCTCAGCAAACTCAACAATACCAGCAACCTCAACAACATCAGCAACCTCAGCAGTTCCAGCAGCCACAGACCCAACCCCCACGATGAACCCCTACTCTCAACCATCAAACCCATACACCTCCATGCCCCAGACCCAGCAAGCCACAAACTTCCAGCCTCAGAACCAGAGTCAGCCCCAGCCCCAGCAAAATTTCCAACCCCAGCAACCTACCGCCAACGCCCAGCCCGCCACATCCAACAACCCATTCTTCGGCACCGCCCCCACAGGCAGCGGATCCGGCCTCGCCGCTCAAGCAGGCATCAACCCATACCAGCAACAATCCTCAGGGCTAGGAATTGGCGGCATGAACGGCCAACCCGGGGTCGGAACTTCTCCCGGAACTACCCCGGCCACGGGAACGAACAACTCCCCATTTTCGGGAATGAGCAGTCCCCCCTTTGCAGGAGCAAACAGCTCCCCATTTGCGGGAGGCAAGTCCCCCTTTTCAGGCCCGCCGCCTACGAACTCGGCGTTTCCTCGGACACACATGAGCCAGCCGAGCGTCGATGTGAGCGGGCTGCAGAATGGTCGCCATAGCCCTGATGCCTTTGCTAGTCTGAGTGCTCGCTATGGTTGAGTTCGATGACTTCTTAGGCCTTGGATCATACATAGATAGATGGCCGAGCAATGTGAATATGGATATTGACATGGACATTGGTTTTGGTTTCCATTTTCACTTTGACTTTTATACTAAGCTGGATAGAGAAGATTGACGAGACGTGTTATGTTTGTGCATGTCCGGCGCATTTTCATTGTCTGTTTGCCACTCACTAGATTCTTGTTTCTTTTCTTTTCTTCGCATTCTCTGTTGCCAATTTCTTTTTGTTCATTAAAATATTCCTTTCGCTTCTGGTTAGCGAGTCAACGAGTACATAGTTAAATGTTGTTTCGTGTTACATATGAGTTTCAAACTAGTATATTACTGGTGAACCAAGACAGATTATCGTACTGTAGATCTGGGGCTATATGCCCAAAGAAGAGGGAAAACACAAAAGGGAAAGAGTAGGGGAAGATAAAAGGCATGAAGCTGAAGGGGAAGGAAAATCCCCGCAGCATCACATAGATAACACAAAATAGCTGGAGACCAAAAAATCCAGGCAAAGAGTCAGGAAGCGGTGATTTCAAGACCACAACTCTGTTTCCGTAGGTCTTCTTTCAGCTCCGCCCAACCAAGACGGCAATACGGGAAGCCAATCGGACACCCAGGAAGGAAGCCAACCTGGCTTCTGCTTCGAGAATGACAACCTTGCTACAACTTTCTCCCAACGAGAGGGGGTATGCCAAGGCCAAGAAATCGATGATTTTGCAGGTGACGAGAAAAGAGACTCCACTGCATGTCGCCACGAAGCAAACAACGAAGGAGGCGATGCGGACCAAGGCATCGAAGACACGTGGAAAGCTGTCCATCCCTTCTTTTTTGCTTGCGCCCCTCATTCTTGAACGCTTCCACGATACGATCGAATTGCTTATCTCGGCTTTGCTGCAGTTGGCGTTCGGTATTGGAGCGCCAGGCGTCCTGCTCTGCCGTGTCTAGGCACCAGACTACGATGTCGCCGCGACGGCGATGGTCGTCGTGCCAGTGGGAGTTGAATGTGCGCCAGCACTCGCCATAATAGGAGCCGCGTAGTATGGTGTAGAGGGTTGGCTCGAGATGGGCAAAGAAGATGAGGTAGTCGGGCCACTCATGTTGTGGGGCCTCATTGGGGTTCTTTCCTGATACAGAATAATCTGCGGAATAGGTGTAGCTTGGTCGTCGAGGGAGGTGTCGGAGACCACCAGCCATGTCATGGCGTAGAAATTGGAATGGGTCGTCGTAGAATTGGTCTGCTTCATCTCGATAAACGGCTTTCTGGGTTGCATTGAGATCGATCGGTGGCTCGCAGGAAAGGGCCCAAGCGTTAATTGTCGGGTAGACTAGATGAGAACGCCAGGGTGTGCTGTGGCAGGGCATTAAAAAGCCGGCAGATATTCCGGTTTCGGAGACGGAGTTTGTTTGTCCTTTTGTTGTTGGCACCGAGTGTGCTTGATGCTGCTGACGGAGATAGGAAAGCACCTTAAGTGTTCCTGATGCGTGGTAGAGAGTTGTATATAGTGCAATGACCACATTTGCAAACACGAGAAAGATGAGAATCAACCTGCGGGGAGTATGAAGTGGGTATGATCGTGAGTAGATGGCTGGGTAAAAGAACTGCACTAAAGACGGCGCAGCTAAGATGTGCAGACAGGGCAGCAATGGGTAGATGAAGCGCACTTCCTTATGAGAGATTAAAGAGAGGACGAATGGCATCAGAAGGCAGACTGTCGCCAATTGCACTCGGATCGCCGCCTGCAAACTGTCTCCTACTGTGGAATTCCGAGTCGTCAAGGTTCGGTATAAACCAAGAAGCGCAAATGGCAACAGAGTGGTGAGTAGAAGCGGATAACCCTGCGAGATATAGTAATGCCAGTCATTGCTGCCATAGAAGACAGCCAGTGACTGCGCGATGTTGAAGTATAAGAACCTGAGCGGTGGGAAAGTCCAAATTCCATAGAAGAGACGGTCCGCAACGGAAGACACCGCGAGAATTGCCGATCTGCCAGAACAAAAGGTCAGCTGGTCCCTTATCAAGAGGTCGGATAACTTACCCGCAAACTATAACTTCAAAAATGAGGATCTTGCGCTGAGACCAAGAGGTCCGAAGCCAAGCGAGGCCAGCCAGGGTTGCCCAAACGAGAATGTTGGTCGGCCGCAGTATACATGCGAGCGCCGCCAGCGGCAGGCATTGGTGGAGGCTGCAGGCAGCGTCAGTGACTGTTGTCCTAAAGTTGAAGGTCCAGTCATACCCAAGAATCGCACTTCGATCCCGGTCCGTGCCCCTCACTTGATTGCCGGTGATTTTGTCGCGGCGGTCGCCGGCTGTAGGACCTACCGACCATTGCCATGGCCATAGTTCCAACGCGACAATGGTGATTGTTGTTTCGAGACAGTTCGACAGTGTCCTAGTCGAGCAGAACCATTGCCAGGGATTTAGGACCGTTGCGATCAGCTGTTGAATAATTAACATGCGCTCTTTTCTGCCCAGAGAAATTCTGAACACGCGACACATGATCACGTACCGTTGTCCAGGATCCACGGGAATCTTTTCCATAGACGCGAACTGCAAGCTTCCATGTGTAGAAATCACCAATTGCCGCCACAACGGCCTGCGCTGTCTTCGGAGCGGCAATCAGGAGCTCTGCGCGCGTGGCGGGAGACACGCTCAGGGCGGATGCGAGGAAATCGGCGGCTTTATAGAGAGCGGCGAAGAAGAGAGGGTGTAGTGAGGATCGGAGTTGGTGCCGCCATTCCTAGGAGTAATATTGAGGTTAGCCAAAGCCATGTGCTCACGCGATCGCATTCACTCACCCATGTCACCCAGGCCCCTTGGCCCTGGCCGAAGGCGATCTGCCAGGCTGGCTCCAGTGACTGAAAGTATTCATCTGGCTGGAAAAAGGTCCGAACTGCGAACGCATTGACGAGACGAAAGGCGATGAGGAAGAGGAGTATGTTTTGAGTCGGCGCGCGGGGGATTTGTGGCGCGCGGCGCGGAGAAGTTGGTTTAGACATGATCAAGGGTAAGAATATTGTAAGTACTCATTCATTCCCTCGTACATTGCGGCTCAAGATGTCTGATCGCAAAAGCGCATGAATGAAGCATATGAACAAAGGAGAGGGCGGAAGAGGGTCTCCCCCAACTCCGACTCGAAATACTCTACTCCGTATGGAGTACTCGAACTACCCTGACATTTCGATTCTTTGTCTGTTTTTTTTTTTCCTTTCTTCTTTTTGTATTTTGTTTCCATTGTAATTAATCTTTATTTCTGCATAATCCTTTATTTTCTTATATATCTCCAAGGTCCAAGTATATTTTTCTTCTCCTTCAGTAACCGAAGTATGACGTGTATTTCTACTTCGGTGACTCTCTCTTTTTTTTTTTAGTTGATTTAAATTAGACCAATAGTTAATACCTGGAACATAAGCCTAGAGCATATATAACCAATGAACGAATCAGAAATGGTGGGTTATAAAAGCTAATGGAGCCGTGTAGGGTAATCCTGCGCATAGGGAACAGCATCGGCACGACCTGTACTTAGCGGACATCCGGTCTAACAAGTCTAACACTTAACGGCATAGCGGCTGTACAAAGGGAAAATCCCCCGTACTTATATAACTTCTTCTTGTCTTCCATTTATTTTGCATTGGAATTTCTTCAATTTCCTCAAGTCCCTCAATTTCATCTTCTATCCTTCTTTCTCTTCCTTACCCCATTGCCGATCCCCATTGCCTCCAACTTCCCCCAACTTCTTAGCTCTCCCCGCAATCCACCATGGCTACCAACGGGCCTTTCTCCCACTACCATGCTGCCTCTTCTGCTGAGGCTATTGAGTCCGAGAAGGAATATGCTGCCCATAATTACCACCCTCTCCCCGTTGTCTTTGCCCGGGCTCAGGGTACTTCGGTCTGGGACCCCGAAGGTCGTCACTACCTTGACTTCCTCTCAGCCTACTCTGCTGTGAACCAAGGCCACTGCCACCCCAAATTGATTGCGGCACTGGTAGACCAAGCTTCGCGAGTAACTCTGAGCTCCCGTGCATTCTACAATGATGTCTTCCCTCGCTTTGCCAAGTTCGTTACCAGCTACTTTGGCTTTGATATGGTGATGCCCATGAACACCGGCGCCGAGGCTGTCGAGACAGGTATCAAAATCGCCCGCAAATGGGGATACAAAGTCAAGGGCATCCCGGAAAATAAAGCCATTATCTTGAGTGCAGAGAACAACTTCCATGGGCGTACAGTAAGTGAATTGTGACCCCTCCCTGTTACACCCGTGAAGGTACATTGGTGGCTGATTATGATGACCCCTTGCATTAGTTCGCCGCCATTTCCTTATCTTCCGACGCCGAGTCACGCGAGAACTACGGCCCTTATCTGCCCGGTATCGGATGCACGATCCCGGGAACCGAGAAGCCCATCGCCTACAATGACAGGGCAGCTCTGCGCGAGGCGTTCGAGGCCGCCGGCCCCAACCTCGCTGCTTTCCTCGTCGAGCCTATCCAGGGCGAGGCAGGAATCGTTGTCCCCGACCCAGAGTACCTGCAGGAGGCCCGGGCACTCTGCGATAAGCACAATGTGCTGCTGATCTGCGACGAGATCCAAACCGGTATCGCGCGCACGGGTAAGCTGCTGTGCCACGAGTGGAGCGGAATCAAGCCCGACCTTGTCTTGCTCGGCAAGGCCATCTCGGGTGGTATGTACCCGGTTTCTTGCGTGCTGGGTAGCAAGGACGTCATGCTCACGATCGAGGCTGGTACCCATGGTTCGACCTACGGCGGAAACCCACTTGGTTGTGCCGTTGCTATTCGCGCGCTTGAGGTCGTGCGCGAGGAGAACATGGTCGAGCGTGCGGAGAAGCTCGGCCACTTGTTCCGGGATGGGTTGGAGGCTATCAAGAGCCCCATCATCCAGACAGTGCGTGGAAAGGGCCTGCTCAATGCCATCGTCATTGATGAGTCGAAGACGAATGGACATACCGCTTGGGATCTGTGCATGTTGATGAAGGAGAAGGGTTTGTTGGTATGTATCCAAGCCCCTACTCGTTAAATTTGTTTCGGAGATCGCTGACTTATATTTTCCAGGCCAAACCTACCCACCAGAACATCATTCGCCTTGCTCCTCCCCTTGTCATCACCGAGGAGGAGATCCAACAGGCCCTCGACATCATCAAGGAGGCCGTGACCGACCTCCCCAACCTCAAGGGCGAATCCGAGGACCAGATTATCCCTCCCCCGGAGAAGAAGGTCAAGATTAACCTTGAGAACTAGATGCGTCGGAACTGATGCGTCTATAAAGAGCGGGACCTCCACATGTCCACATATCACAGCCGCAACCCTGGAAGCCGCGTGGGGGATCCACGATCTGTCGTAGGCCATGCATATCATATTCTCTAGGTTAGGGCTGGCTACTTGAGATTCCCCTTGGACACAAGCTTGAGACGACTGAAATGTCCCTACCTGGCACATTTCCAACTGTCTTCGATCTGCTTGTTATCCCACGACGCGATGATGGAATGGCTTTCTTTTTTTTTTTTCGGGGTCAAAACTTGTATGCCATAGCAAAGAATATGATCATAACAATTTGGATTTTGAACACAGTCCGCTAGTGAAGGTATCCATGGATGAAGTTGACTTCAGTTAATATCAATAATCATAATAAATGAGCCCCTCTCCCGAGGCCCACTAGCCCCCGGGGCCATATAAACATTACTAATCCAAATATCGGCGAACGGAGTCACGAAGCCCGCGATGCCGACCCCCCGACGAGACTACTCCGTACACCTAGAGAGTGAAGTGCTAAGCGAATGCCTGTTTCTCTTGATTTAAGAGAGTGAATTGCTAAGCGAATGCCTGTTTCTCTTGATTTAACTATCTCCGACTTTTGACTTTTATGTATCATGATAGGTCCAATAAGCCCGATCTTGGGAAGCTTAGCCCTGTTGGGTGGGATATAAAGGCTCCGACTTCCGTGTCTGACTTTTTTAATCCTTCGTTTACATTGTCATATATCTATAAGCCATTAATGCCCCCCTAAAAGCTCCTGGAATCTCCTCAGTTCCTCTTAATTCCTGATCTCTTAATCCCTAATCCCCGACATTATCTCCGCTTTCCGCATTCAGCATCTCGTGCCCCCACATCGATTCTATTATTACTTCCATTTTCTTTTTCATATTCGAAATTCTGGAACACTTCCCAACTGGTGAGCTGGATTCAATATCCGTTCAAAGTCCAGCATGTCCGCGCCCGAACCGCTACATGAAGTAGGGGTGGTGGATGACAAGCTCCAGACTGACACCTCAAGGTCACCATCCGACAAAGCGGACGTGCAGTCTACGCAAAAGAAAAAATGGTATCGCAGACTCAATCCGCTGCGATTGCAAAAGATACCTCCCGTTCCAACAGAACGATCTGTGTCGCATGAACATGGCGCTTCGTTCTTTAGTGTCATTTCCTTCCAATGGATGTCCCCGTTGATGAAAGTGGGTTATCTACGTCCACTCGAATTGCAGGATATCTGGACTGTCAATCCCGATCGGGCCGTTGACGTATTGTCTGGCCGATTAGACGCCGCATTGGAAAAGCGCACCGAGAGTGGCATTAACCGCCCACTTCTTTGGGCGTTGTACGACACGTTCAGATTTGAATTTCTGCTCGGCGGCATCTGTCAGCTTTTCAGTTCGCTGTTGCTGGTCTTTGCGCCGTATTTGACTCGGTACCTGATTGCTTTTGCGACGGAGGCCTATGTCGCACAAAAGGCGGGTCTGCCGGCACCTCACATTGGCAAGGGTATGGGATTTGTCATTGGTATCACCTGCATGCAGGCACTGCAGAGCTTATGCACGAATCAGTTCCTGTATCGGGGCCAAGTTGTCGGTGGGCAGATTCGCGCGGTGCTTATTTCTCACATCTTCAACAAGGCTATGAAATTGTCTGGTCGTGCTAAGGCAGGAGGGCAAGCCACCCCAGAAGAAGTCAAAGCCCTGGAGGAAACCAAGGATGCTCTCCTAAAGCCCGAAGAGAAAGGGAAGCAACAGAAGCCTGATGCTGCGCTGCCTGCACCTGGTGGCGTTGCAGGTGATGGCCGTGGATGGAACAATGGTCGCATCACTGCTCTCATGAGCATTGACGTGGACCGGATTAACCTGGCTTGTGGCATGTTCCATATGATTTGGACAGCACCCATCTCCATTATTGTGACACTCGTCCTTCTATTGGTCAACATTGGCTACAGTTGCTTGTCTGGGTACGCACTGCTGATAATCGGAATGCCATTTTTGACTTTCGCTGTGCGATCCTTGATTAGCCGACGACGGAGTATCAACAAGATTACAGACCAGCGTGTATCTCTCACCCAAGAAATTCTGCAAGCTGTGCGCTTCGTGAAGTTCTTCGGTTGGGAGAGTAGTTTCCTCGGCCGTCTGAAAGAAATCCGCGGACGAGAAATTCGATCCATCCAGACCCTGCTTGCGATCCGAAACGGCATTCTTTGTGTGGCGATGTCTATTCCTGTTTTCGCCTCGATGCTGGCTTTCGTTACCTATGCGCTATCAAATCATAACTTGGACCCCGCACCGATTTTCTCTTCGTTGGCGCTGTTCAATTCCCTACGGATGCCATTGAACATGCTGCCAATGGTTATCGGTCAAGTGACCGATGCTTCGACTGCTTTTAATCGAATTCAGGAGTTCTTGCTCGCCGAAGAACAAAAGGAAGATATCGAGCGTGATGAGAACATGGAAAATGCAATCGAGATGGAACATGCTTCATTTACCTGGGAGCGTCTTCCGACAGACGAAAAGGATGCAGACAAAGCCGAGAAGAAGGCAGTTGCACGCCCTGAGCCAACAGAGAAGTCAACACCTCAAGACGACAACACCGATGAAACTCCCACAGAGCCATTTAAACTCAAGGACATGACCTTTGAAGTTGGCCGACATGAACTGCTGGCCGTAATTGGGACAGTCGGTTGTGGCAAGAGTTCCCTACTCTCGGCTCTGGCGGGCGATATGCGTGTGACTGATGGTACTATACGTCTGAGCACCACACGCTCATTTTGTCCCCAGTACGCCTGGATCCAAAACACCACCGTGCGCAACAATATTCTATTTGGGAAGGAGTATAATGAGACTTGGTATGAGCAAGTGATTGACGCATGCGCTCTGAACCCAGATCTCGAGATCCTACCGAATGGAGACCAGACCGAGATTGGAGAACGAGGTATCACAGTGTCCGGTGGACAGAAACAGCGTTTGAATATCGCCCGAGCCATATATTTCAATGCGGAACTGGTGCTCATGGATGATCCTCTGTCAGCTGTCGATGCACATGTCGGTCGTCACATCATGGACAAGGCAATCTGTGGTTTGCTCAAAGATCGCTGCCGAATCCTGGCGACGCATCAACTCCATGTTCTCAGCCGATGTGATCGAATCATTGTTATGGACGAGGGACGGATCAATGCGGTTGATACATTCGACAACCTCATGCGCGACAACGAGGTCTTCAAGCGGTTGATGTCTACTTCTCGACAGGAGGATATGCAAGAGGAAGAGGAAGAAGCGGTCGGCGAAGTCGTGGATGAGATGGATGAAAATGAGCCAAGCCCCAACAAGGCTGCCCCAGCAAAACCCGCCGCAGCCCTGATGCAGCAAGAAGAAAAGGCCACCGCATCCGTCGGCTGGAGTGTCTGGAAGGCGTATATCCGAGCTTCCGGCAGTTATCTCAATGCCATCATGGTATTCATCTTGCTCGGCCTTACGAATGTCGCCAACATTTGGACTAGTCTGTGGCTGTCCTACTGGACTTCTGACAAGTACCCGGGGCTGTCGACCGGTCAATACATTGGAATTTATGCTGGACTGGGTGTCAGTGTTGTTCTTCTGATGTTCGCTTTCTCGACATATATGACCACCTGCGGTACCAATGCTAGCAAGACTATGCTTCAGCGTGCGATGTCTCGCGTGCTCCGCGCGCCTATGAGTTTCTTCGATACTACGCCGCTTGGACGAATCACCAATCGCTTCTCGAAGGATATCCAGGTGATGGATAATGAACTTTCCGATGCGATGCGTATTTATGCCCTGACGATGACTATGATTATCTCTGTGATGGTCTTGGTTATAGTGTTCTTCTATTATGTGAGTACCCTTTCCCTTGAAATTTGTTCGGTATTTGTGACGCGAGATTTGCTAACCCGCTTTAGTTCGTCATCGCACTTGTCCCGCTATTCATATTGTTCCTCCTAGCTTCGAACTATTACAGAGCATCCGCCCGCGAGATGAAGCGCCACGAGAGCGTCTTGCGCTCAATGGTGTATGCCAGATTCGGCGAAGCCATCACGGGAATCGCATGCATTCGAGCATATGGCGTAGAGAACCAATTCCGTCGCACCATCCGAGACTCGATCGATGTGATGAACGGGGCCTATTTCCTCACTTTCTCCAATCAGCGTTGGCTCAGTGTTCGACTCGATGCCGTGGCAACCGTATTAGTCTTCGTGGTCGGTGTTCTGGTGGTCACTTCTCGGTTCAATGTCTCTCCTAGTATCTCTGGGCTGGTGCTGTCTTATATCTTGGCTATCGCACAGATGCTCCAGTTCACAGTTCGTCAGCTGGCCGAGGTTGAGAACAACATGAACGCCACGGAGCGTGTTCACTACTACGGTACTCAATTGGAAGAGGAGGCGCCTTTGCACCAGGTTGAGGTGTCAGCTAGCTGGCCCGAGAAGGGCCACATTGAGTTCAACAGCGTGGAGATGCGCTACCGCGCTGGGCTTCCACTCGTCCTACAGGGCCTCACCCTGGACGTGCGAGGAGGCGAGCGCATTGGTATTGTCGGCCGCACCGGTGCCGGCAAATCGAGTATCATGTCCGCGCTATTCCGTCTAACCGAGCTATCAGGCGGTAGCATCAAAATTGACGACATCGACATTTCCACCGTCGGCCTCCACGATCTTCGATCCCGCCTTGCCATCATCCCCCAAGACCCAGCCTTATTTAAGGGCACGATCCGCTCGAATCTCGATCCGTTCAACGAGCACAATGATCTCGAACTCTGGTCTGCGCTGCGCAAGGCATACCTCATCGGCCAAGAGCAAGAACTCGAAGGCGAGGAAAGCGGGCCAGCTAGTGGAGCCACAACCCCAGTCACAGGCAGTGATGTGAAAGCGCGCCCGACAAACAAACTCACCCTCGAATCGCCTGTTGATGACGAAGGCCTGAACTTTTCCCTAGGCCAGCGGCAACTGATGGCTCTCGCCCGGGCGCTGGTCCGAGACGCACGTATCATCGTCTGCGACGAAGCTACCTCTTCTGTTGACTTCGAGACAGACCAAAAGATCCAGTACACTATGGCCCAGGGCTTCGAGGGGAAGACTTTGTTGTGTATTGCGCATCGCTTGCGCACGATCATCCACTACGATCGCATCTGCGTTATGGATAAGGGTCGGATTGCTGAGATGGATGCACCAGTTGTGCTCTGGGATAAGGCAGATAGCATCTTCCGTGCCATGTGTGAGCGCAGTGGGATCACGCGCGAGGACATTCTCAGCACTGACTGAGATGATTGATGTTTTAAAAATCAGTACATAATCTCTACACATCATCAAAAAGTAACTATTAATACATACCATCTTTCAATTCTGCATCTTTACATTATTCCCTATATAACGTGAAGAACAAATTACTCCTTATCCAATTCACAAACCAATTCCATCCCCAAATTCCGCATCATCCCTTCCATCCCAGCGTCCCTCCACCCAACAAGATCCCTCTCATCCAACTTCACCTTCTCTTCCTCCTCCCACAACACCCCAACAGGCAACCCGGTAAACTTAACCGACAATCCAGGCGCCGTCCCAACAACCCTCATCCGCAACCCCGTCAAAACACCCCGCAGATGATCCGCCGCCTTTCCACCACCCCGACGTCCATACGAAACAATCCCCGCCGGCTTCCCTTTCCACTCGAAGAAGAGATAATCAAGCGCGTTCTTCAGACTCGCCGGAATACTCCAGTTATACTGTGGCGTGACGAAGATAAATGCATCGTACTGCCGCACTACCGCGGACCATGCCCGCGTGTGCTCTTTGCTGTAGTGCGGGGTGGGGTCTGCTGCTGGTAGGCTGGCGGGGATGACGGATTCATCGTAGAGGGGTAGAGATTGCTTTGCTAGGTCGAGTATTTCGAAGGTTACGTGGCGCGGGTCTGTGTCGGTTGTTTCGTTGTGTTCGTGGTGGTTTGTTGGGATCATCGTGTCTGAGCTGAGGACGTCATAGACGTATTGCGTTATCGTGGGGTTGAGGCGGGGACTGCGGGTGCTGCTGGTGACTATCGCGACACGTTTGGGGGGCATTTTGAGTGAGGAAGTACCGCCTGGGAGATACGTATGAGTTGGATAATTGTTTTAAGGCGGATTTGTGGGAGCTTATGTTTTCGGGGTTGCGGATATAGTAGCTCGGGAAGTCGGAGATTAGAAACCTGGACACTTTTGACTTCCAACCTTGGAAGGCTCTATATCTGGTTTTTACATTCACGTGTTATTGCAATTTACACGGTATATGCTCAATTAAGATAGTATCTAACAGAATAGTTGGAAACATCGCAAAGCCACTGTCATTCTGGATTTTGAATAAAACAATCCAAGGAAGATTCAACAGCATCTGCCAGGCACAGAGTTACTGGCTCCTACGACCGACCCTCTCCTTCAATTCCAAGAACCGTGGCTATATACCCAAGAATCAAGCACAAGACATAAAGCAATGAGTCTGCCCCTGCGTGCCTATCTCTTCCAACGCGGGATCCGGTCTCCGCAGCCAATTAGCCAGCATGTTAGTACAATGATCAACATGTTCCAGATCCCCAAGCATATTATCCAGACGATCACCACGCATGTGGACATCGTGCCCACGTCGAATGAGATACAGACAATGGACTAGATGCTCACGGACCGCAGTCCAATAGAAGTCCGGGTTATTGCCGAGTTCAGTGTAGTCCTTCATCTGCTGTGTGGCAGCCTCATCATAGAAATAGACAAACGGCTTGCCGTTGTTGAAATGCGCGAACTCGTGCGTAAAATCATGCGGACATTCCTTGTGCAGCCAGCAGCCAGCAAGAGGATCGTAGGCGCAGCCGAGGGCTTCGGCATCCTTGGTTGAGTTGCCGCATGAGTATCTTACTCGTGGAGTTGGTGGCAGGCACTGTCGTTGGCCATCGAGTGACTCGGGGTATGCGAGCGACTCAGAGGATGGTCGTTTTACGACAAGGACCTTGCGGAAGGGTTTCACTGTGATGGCTGTGATTATGGCGATCACCAGGAGCAGCAGGATCATGAGCAGGCCGGTGATGGTGATTGCAGCGAGGTTTCGTTTCAAAAATTGCTGGAAGCCCCGGCGGGATTGTCTGTTTGTAATGGTGGCATCGCTGTCGCCATCGGCATCCCCTTTCGGGACGGGGTCGTAGTCGCGAGAGAAGACTTTGTCCATCATGGCGAAATTAACAAGTGACGATGTGTGAATTTGCCGTCGAATCGAAGAGAAGAAAAAGATCTCTTTTCCGGGGAGAAATAACCAGCAGTTGCACATAATGCTTATTGAGATTGTAGTCTTATTCACGTCGGAGTCGGGACAAAGAACAGATGAACAGGCGAGAGCTATAGATTACCCATAGAGATATCAATAAGACTCGAAAGAAATAAACCAATCATAGGTTGATTATCGAATAGAGGCTATGTCCGAATGGAGAGTTCAATAAGAGAGACTAATGAGAAAATGGTTGGTCCAAAACAAAGAAATCCTAGAAACCCCTCGGCAACGCCATTTTTAAAGACATCTGTTGCTCATGCTCTCCTATATCTCCATGGATCTTCGAGATCGCTTCATATCTTTAACGTAAATGTATTGCTGAAAGTATCTATATATAATCAAAGTATATCTGCTAGGCTAAGCACAATATCCAAATATCCATCAACAAATTCATCTCATGGCATATTCACAAATTCCCGATAAAACATTCGCACCAAAAAGCGATATACAACAAGAATGAAAAAAAGCAAATGTACGAAGCTAGCACAATGCCGACTTCAGGCTCTGGATCTGCCACCAATCTAGACAATGAAGACAGTCTGATTGAGAGACTCCAAGAATGCGGAAGGACCGGCCTGCAATTCAACAATCAGCATACTTGAATCCCAGCAGATGCAAGATATCTACTTACACCAATCAGAGCCGCATGAGCGACATTAATCTGGTTTTTGCCAAGGGTAGCCGAGGCCGGCACGGTGACCGTGAAGTTCTCATACGGGGGCAGGCCGGATTCGTGGTACTCGGGTTTGAAAGGCCCGTTGTATAGTATTGTTCCGAGAACCTCGTCTGCATCTCTGCAAGGCGAGGATGCACATGAGGAGAGGCCGATTGCTACACCCATCTCCTTGGACGGACTCAGAGAGTTCTGAATCATAGATTAGTAAAACATATTGCGATGACGAAGTTGGAAGAGCTATAAAGCCCAGATCCTGGAACTTACAGGTCGCTGCACTTGGATGACGACTTCCTTGCCGGAATTGATTTTCTGATTCTCGGTGGGGAGTCCGATTGTGGCTCTCTGGGCAATGGCCACGGCGACGAAGAGAATCATGGAGAAGAAGGGCTTCATTTTGATTAAGGTGAAGGCAAAGAGTTATAGAGTGGGAAATGCGCTGGCAAGATGATAAGATGGTATAAGATGGTCTGTATGGGAAGTTACAAGATGCGATGATTCTGGGGTACTTATATCCTCAAAATCTGGGTGAAGGGCCAGCCCTCGCAGTGGCCCCTGGGATTCTAAAAGCATCGAAGAAGATGATTGGCCGAGTCTCTGCAAGTCTCAGATACAGTTCAAGGAAGTCACGGATAGCCGCCTGACGCTAAGGTCAATCGGGAAACTAAACTGGAAATCCCCTTTATTATAGATTCGCCTTGCATAGATATTGAAATAAGCAACCTCACTGGGTCTCACTTTAAGTCAAGAACGGACTCAGGTTTGCTTTCAAATCTATCCCCTATATTATTGGCGAGGTTTTAAGGGCTGGGGGTACATGCGGTCTACCGGCTGTCTCACATATGACCTAGGCCCATGATATTTTTTGACCTGGAGCAATGACTTGAGGAAGATCAGCGTCTACAACACAGGGCTGTATAAAATGCATTAGTTAGCTAAGATTTCTCCACAACCCCCGGAATAGAATGGTCTCCAGCGTGGAGAAATGAGGTCAGCCCGGTTTGTCCAGCCTCAATCTAAGGCCGGACAGAACAAATCCCACAGAGTGGTCAAGTCTCAAGCGTCAGGGCCAAAATTAGAATATTCAAGGTGAGATGATAGGTTCTAGTAGCAATTGAAACCCCTTCATTCATGCACACGGGAATAAATGGGCTCGTAGTAATTTGTTCACTATCGTACTTTTGAACCAAGTATGATGTATCTGCATTGAGTTTGCTATCTCCTCAGTTTTTCCTGCTTCCCATATTCAGATTGCGGTATCAAGTTCATATCCGGCATCGGGGTGGTTGGATTGAAATGCATACAAACCCTTGCCTCGTTCCTGGAGGCTGCGTGTGGGCCATTAAGGCACAAAATCACTTCGGATTTTGTTGTCTATTGGTAAAATGCGGTGTAACTATTCCATTGTTGAGTGACATTGTCTTGTTACTCGCCAGACGACCAATTCAAGCAAACTATGAATATGGGGTTTTATATCAGATTTCTTATATTTTCGCTCGTCATCGTGTTTTGATATTTATGTCACCGCTTTAAAAAAGGATTATATCACTAATAGAAGCACCAGAACCATTAGAAGAGAGCGGCTATGTTTTTCGCGCTTATGGACACGAGAGAGCCGTAGTCGAGCACTTTATCTATTTCAGTTCACCACTTCCTCTCATTTACTATTCTCGGTCGTATTTCTTGGTTCGATATCGATGAACTTCTATCTTCTATAATCGATCGGGCTTTTTTTCTTCTTCTAACCTCCCTAATTATCGTCCCTTTTAATTCATCAAGTCGTGGCAGAATATCTGTATTTTTTTCCACATCCTCAGATCGACAGGGGGTGACGTCTTGGCCCCCGGCCCCCAACTCCACATGGCTGAAGAAAACCAGGATACCTGTACTCTTTAACGATCCTATTTCTATTACTTCTATGAATGTAATTCCTAGATTTCTGTCAACTGTTGCTTTCCCCTGCAAACATCCGCCTCGAACACACTTTCACCAGTTGACACTTCACTATGGGCGAAACACCATCAACACCGAAGTAAGTCCTTCCCTACACCAAAGAATAACTCAAGCTAACCCACCACAGCGCCTTGAAAACCCTTCCCCAAGATTGCTGGGTGCAGATCCTGGATCAAACCTCACTCTCTGACACTGCATCCGTAGTGGCGACATGTCGAGGCCTCCAAGTCTCCTCGGAGAGCTCATTATATCGCCAAGTCGATATTGACTGGACAAGACCCCCCCTCAAGCGGGTCCTGACTCTATTCCGTGTTATTCACGAACGTCCAGATCTGGCCGCGCGCATTCACCATGTGAGCATGATCTCTTCGAAACTGGTGTATCCAGCAGCGAGGCGGACAGACGAGTGGGAGTTGCCTCAAATCGATGGGGACTGGAATCAGCTCTCATCTCTATTCCAGGATGAGGTGGACGCCGCGAAAGACATCATCACCAAGGCACAGTTTCCCTCATCAAAGATATGGATCCATGCCCTGGAACACGGCGACCCATACGCATTTGTGGCTGTTCTTCTTTCTCAACTTCATAATGTACGGTCGCTGCAACTTGATTACACTTTTGTGTGGCAAACCGGGTTCCCGGGGCTGATGATGAGACATGCTCTTCTCTCTGCGCCTGAGAATACATTATCTCGATTTTCCGATCTCTCCGTTGTCGAATACGGCCTCAATGTTCCAGGCCCTAGATGGTTTAACGAAACGAGGTGGGATTTCATCGATGCATTCCCCGTTTGTAACCCGGATCAGTTTGCAGGCTGGTTCTATCTGCCTTCTTTGAAATCCCTGGAAATCTGGCTCCAAAGTTTCTCAGGTGTCGGCAACGAGTTGTCCAAGCCTGCTGGATCAATCAAACTCGCGCATCTGGCCCAGCTTGAGAGACTCGTGTTGACGGAATCCTCTGTTGAGGAGGATGAGGTCAGAAATCTTTTGTCGCACTTGTCTTCGCTGAGGAGTGTTCACTTGGGCCTCGTCTACCCTTCACAGGATAAGGAGCTCGATTATAACTGTTGCTCTCCTCAACCCCCCTCTCAAAAAGCAAAATGTGCTTCTCGAAGGGCTGTTGAGTGTAAAGGACACAGTTAAACATCTTTCTATTGGCATAGAGCTTTGTCCACTTTATGGGCTTCTTGTTTGGGGCGCAATAGAACGTGACAATGGCACCCCGCAAGAAAGCTTCAAACCATTCAAAGGAATCTTGAAGCAATTCCCACTTCTTCGAACCGCGGAGCTACCTGCAGTCATGCTCTTCGGATGGACTTATGACGATGCACCAGCCTTGTCTGAGCTTCTACCGCCAACACTTCAGAAACTCTGCATTCGAGAAAACTTGTACCATGTGGAAGATTTTGAGTGGGAGACAAATAAAGTTGCAGAAGCAATTCAGAACTACCTCCCCTTTGTGCAGTCTGCGACTGCTCTGTTGAACAAAATTACAATTCGAATCTTTGATATGGGAGAAGAGGGTGTTGAACCAGACGATTCCACGGGGGCTAGATCAGCGTGCGAGGAGCTAGGGCTGGATATAGACATTAATATGATCCAGGATAATCTCTCGCCGGGACTTTGGACGACGCACAGGGAACTTCAAGAAGGATCTCGGAGAGACTGTCGGAATTACGGATAGCCTACATCGGACCGAATTGTTGAATTTTCATATTCAGATATCCTCTTCTCAATCAACTTGAGCCTAGACATTGAGGTGGTAGATTGTCGTATTGCGAGGCTACTAGATAGTAAAATACTTGGTTTTATTTAGAGGCAGCTTGCAGAAAGTAGGAAAAGAAAGATGAGGCACTTACTAGTTGGTTGTGCGGGAGAATTACGGTTGGGTACACTTGAAGCTCTATCTTTGCTTTTTTTGCCATAATTTGTGCGCTTCAGTCAGGATAGGTCTAATAGGTATTTGACCTGGGGAATTGAGCTCCAGGGCTGTTCGCTAGTTAGACCTTACGTATCTAAGGAGCGAGGATAAGAAAGGACTACACTAAACACACAGATCATCACCAGTAAAAGAATATAACATTGAACGATTTATATACATTTCTTCCTTCGCGATAAATTATTCCATGAAAGTGTCACGCCATAAATAGACTGACGATCATCCAAACATGTCCATCTCATGCTCACCCGCCGGATAGTTCATTCCTGGCTTGGCTTGGTCTTCTTCTTGTCAACCTCAACAGTCTGGCAATTTGATAGCATGAGTGGCTTGGGCTCCTCCTCTGGCTTGGGGAAATCATGAGCCTCAAGGTTAAGATTGGCTATGTTTTGCACAACTTCTAATCCCATAATCTGGGTCCACTGGGCGCACCCCCATTTCACATCACCCGGGTCGGATGAACAAGGTTTAAGGTAGCCCTTTTCATTGTATGCAGCAATCTTGGGGCTGTGATCTCTCGGGCTTTTACCCTCGTGGTCGACCATCCACAAAAGGGTTGACATGATCTCGCCACAATTTGCATTGTTCCCGTGCTGCGGGCGGCCGGTTGTGCTTTTTTCGGCACATTCTTTTAAAGCGTCGGTGACCTCCTTGAAATCGGCTGAGAGATCGGGGTTTAGTGTGCCATCGCCGCCTTTCCAAGACACCTGATGGTAGATGAACTGCTTCGGGCCCGTCACGGAAGAAGCAAAGTAGACTTCGTTGCCGATGGATAGCCCAATCATCGCGCTTGGACGGTTGTCGTTTTGCTTTTTCGAGAGGGAGATAGCTTTCATTTCATTATAGGCTGCATGGATCATCTTCAGGAAGTCTGCGTTCCCTGGTTGCGTTTTGAAGGTGCACTTCGAGTTGTAGGCTTGCCTGGCATTGCCATCGCCGATTGAGGTGTCTCGTGTAATTCCGAGCTCGCCTAATGCCAGGGCACTGCTAAACAACCCTAGGAGGAAGACGACTGCTAGGAGAATTTTGGGAAACATGTTGGTGGGCCTCTGCCAGGAAAGTTGAGAGAGAGATGAGGAAGTAAACGAGATGGCCGATGATGCCAAAAACAAATCAACTAAAGTGAAGACAGAGCCAGGATGCTTGAGTGGATGTTGAGTACTCTGTGGTGATCTGGGAGGCACACGCTCGTTTTAAATATCCCTGATGAGTTGCTATTTCAGGAGTTCTTTGCAAATTAATTGGACATTCAGAAAGCTATTCCAGCTTTTCAGGCCATTTCAGCCCCCACCCCCAATCTTCATAGATCGTCGGGTGTGCCTGGGCCGTCAGGAGCAGTGTAGGGGCCATGTAGTGGAGCAACTACCCGTGGACACGGCCCCAAGTCTGTCTCAGCACATATCATATGTTGTATGTATGAGCCTGGGGAAATTGCCCGTGGCACTTGCGTGGAGAACTTCTAGGGGCCAGCCTCAAGAGACCTCATAATCTGCTTCACAGCGCGTATTTACTGTCAAAAGTTCAGGGGCAATATGCGTCTTTTGTTTACCTGGTGATCCCTTCCAAGGTTGTTTTCTCGGTGTTATCTACTCCGTAATGTAGCAAGTTATCAAGATACTTCGAAAACTCGCAGGTTATTTTCATCGCATAGACAAATGGCAAGTCTAAAGACGTAAGTTTTATATATATTATATGCCAGGCCAAGATCCCTGCAACTTTAATGACAAATTGGCTATGATTTTACCCGATAAACCTGGCAGAAGAATTGCTCTATAGAGAGCTATAATAACAATAATGCCGAAGCTGCCCCGGATTCCAAGATCGGCAGGTGAACATAAACCACCCGGGGGCCGGGGGCCAAGGAAAGCGTATATATGATGCACCAAACTCTGCCCCCAAAACCCACTTCATGATGGAAGTTGATTGGCTTCAAGGGTTGATCGAAATTTAATAATATGGAGTCTTAGTTTGACAGTATCAGGTACATACTTTGTAATCTGGTTAGACAGTTTGAGGTCGCATATAAGACGTCCATCAGAGTCCTCTCTGAGAGCCAGTCAACAGCACAAAGGTTCACACAATGAAGTTTTCTGTTGGAACTGTTTTGGCGGCAACGCTTGCCTTGACATATCCTGTCCAAGCTAGGAATGCTCCATTGAACGGCCGCGATCCAGGTTAGTCCTTCATACCAGGTCCTCTAGAGCGCATAGTAACATCTATTCACAGTTGCCGCCGTCAATGAAGCCAAGGGCTCTCAGGACAATGTGGCACCTCATAAAGAGGCAGTTACCAAACTCATTTGGATCCGAGATGGGGCTTCCATGACTGCTACGCCTTCTGCCCATCCCAATCCGATCTTCAGACACCCAAAGGCCTCCACCCAACTTCCTCAGCCCTCAGAAGCACTCAATGAGGGACATCCCTCAAAACAGCCTTCAGCTACTATAAACGAAGGTGATCAAGGCACAGAGTCGACAGGGTCTCCGAACCATGATTTGAATCAGTCGAGTCCATCCGAGACTCCATCTCCCCCTTCAAACACACCTGAGCCATCTGTGATTCCAATCAGCCGTTCAAACACCCCAACCTCATCGGGGATTCCCCATCCAAGCCAACCGGGTTCTTCTGAGGCTCCATATCCCCCTTCAAACACACCTGAGCCATCTGTGATTCCAATCAGCCGTTCAAACACCCCAACCTCATCGGGGATTCCCCATCCAAACCAACAGGGTTCTTCTGAGACTCCATCTCACCCTTCAAACACACCTGAGCCATCGGGAATTCCCAATCCAAGCCAACCGGGTTCTTCTGAGGCTCCATCTCCCCCTTCAAACACACCTGAGCCATCTGTGATTCCAATCAGCCGTTCAAGCGCCCCAAGCCCATTGGGGATTCCCCATCCAAGCCAACCGAATTTTTCTGAGACTCCCACCACTCACTCACCCGAGCTGGGTGCGTCGAAACCCGTTGGCTCGTCCGAGACAAACACGCCCCTTACGCCCTCCCAAGAGGGCATTGGATCGGACTCCGCCACACCTTCAAAGATGCCAGAGCAGACAGGCTCGCCAAGTGCTACTCCAACTCGTGCATCTTCCAACTCTGATTCGACAATTCAGTCGTCTATGATGACTGCCACTACCAGTGGACATACTACAACTGAAGCCGTGCTCGTTCCTGTAACAGTGAGTACTTGCATAACATGTTGACTGTTATCTATCATGATAGCAACTAACCAACTTTTTCAGACCGTCAAAATTACCAAAGGCCACGAGACCAGCAGTGTCACTTTTACCGCTACCTCTGTTACTACCTCAGAGGGTTCAAAGCCAACGATTGCATGGGGCTGTGCTTCGAGTGACCTTTGTGGCTCTGGCACAACAGACTCCGGAGGAAGCAGTGGTGGCTGTGTTGTTCCACTGCTTTGTCCGTCGGACCATAACTGGGGTATCGGCGGTGGCTGGTCCCCATCTGGAAACCCGTCACCTGGTGGTCCAAGCCCTCCTCCTTCAACACCCGAAATCCCTTCGGGCTCGGGCTCTGAAGAGCCTGATGATGATCCTGAAGATGACAACACTACTACGTCGGCGACCACAACCGATAAGACAACTTCTTCGACCACATCTGCCACTTCATCCACTACCTCTCCCTCTTCCTCCAAGCTGCGCCTTTGCATGACCGTTGTTGAATCGGGTACAGTAGTATCCACTCAGACACCAACTACTAGTTCAAAGGCTACTACAAGTGCAACTTCGACCCCAACCAGTGCCTCTAAGCTACGTCTTTGCATGACAGTTGTCGAATCTGGCTCAGTAACAACTACCAGCGAGGCAGCAACTACCAGCGAGGCAACCACCACCAGCAAGGCAACCACCACGAGTGACAAAAAGTCCAACACCATCACTTCCGCACCCAAGACATTCACCACCACCACAAAGAGTCCAGAGGGCTCTCTGTGTCGTATTAGGTAAGATAAGCCCAGGTGTCAAGTATGGGATCAAGATCCGTCTAACAAAGCACTTGCAGGCAAGATCCTCATGGTCCAAGTTCATGCATCTGCACTGCTGGAACTACTGAGACTTGGCTCCCAACCCAGAGCAAATACGGCGGATGCGGATACAGCACGCTGCCCACGCCGACGGAGACGGCAACAACAAACGACCAGCCTCCACCAACACTTGGACCCGTCACGTCCACGACCACAAATGATGAACTCATCATCTGGCCCACTCAAACCATCAAATATATCGAAGCCGGATTAGGAACCATGTTGACAGAGACCTATCCTGCTGGTGAGCCCACAACCAGCACGATAACCGCCGATACACCCGAAGTTACAGGCTGGAACCCCAAGGGGTCCTCCATTTGTGGAACTACTATCGGCGACGGTTTGAATCCTCACTGTGAGGCTGCCTGGGCAAATTACGACGACGATACAGTCTACACGGAGAAGACAAAGAGACATGACTCGAACTCGCTTGGCATGGGCTGTATAGCCGAATACGCTTGCTCTGAGGAGTACGGTCATTACACGCCTGGACTGACTGGAACACAGCTCAAGGGACTGTAAGTCACCTCTCACCTGGCAGATTCACTGAGTTTTACTGACGACTCTTCCTTTTAGGTTTGCGGCTATTTACGAGACTAAAGGAAACGGAATCGGGACGTGTGGTTTCGCTGAGCTGTCTAGTAACTGTACAGTGACGCTTAACTATTGTGCCTCGTGCAAGGATGTCAACTAGAGCTGTGTCGTTGGAGCCCGAAGAGGGGATTTTGATTTGAGTTAACTATGTTGCACATATGTTAAATTAATTGTCTATATATAAATGACTTCAGGTTTCCATCATTGCATCAGAACGACAGGAAATGCAATTAAGTGAATATATCTATTCGGTGAATGTATGGTAGGAAAAAAATAGCGAAAAAGGTGAAAAAGACACTTCAATTTGTCTGCTGGAGTTATCCTAGAAAGAACGAAACTCATTTCTCATCCTTTTTCCCTCGTTCTCCTTCTTTTCGTCCCCCTTGTGTTGGTCCTTTCTCTTCGCAGATTTTCTCAAACTCAGGGGCCTGATCCATCAGGAATCCATGCGGTGTGAACATTGATGATTTTCAAAACAAAACATATGTAGCGCAAGGAGAGAACATCTCGATGAGAAAATGTCAATAGTGAACACGAAGGATGAAAGAAGAAACATAAATCCTTCTCAACAGACCAGAGGGCTTAGCCTCCTCATGACAAAAACACTATAAATTAATTCTCACCTGATTCTTCAAAGCCCAGTTACCTCTCTGACAGTCAATTCCTCTAAGAGCCCTCAGCTCTTTGATGAGCTGAACATGTCAATCATAGCTGCCTCCCTTTCTCGGCCTCGAGAGCTGCTGCCATTCGCGCCTGCTTTCGCCTCCACTTTCTCTTACGCTTCGTGTTCTGTGGGTTTCGAAAGCATTCCTCAACGGGGTGCCTCGTGAGACGCTGGTGATAGGGACAGTACTGCTTGGGGAAACTTTCAATTTGGTCCACGTCAGCGACGGCAGTATCTAGGTTGCCTGGGACTAACTGTTGGTTTCCTAGTCGATATGCCTCAAACTCCAGGAAATCGGCGAAGGCTTCATCTAGTATCGACGCCGGCAGAGAACCTTTCTCGAACTGGAGCGACTCAACCCATGGAATGGTGTTAGGGTTCACACTGACCGCAGCAAGGAACTGAGTAAGGATGAATACCGTGGGAGGATATGGGGGTCCAAAGGCCTGCTTCATCTCTTTGAGGGCTCGTTGCCAGGCTTGCACAAATGTCTCCGGTGACTTTGATGAATAGTACACCGTGTGAATCCAGTTCATGAATTTGCGATAAGCAACAATACATTCACGGGATTTGTTCTCCGGAATCTCAACAGGTTCGCCGGGATAAGAGGCTGCCATGAAAAAATTCGGGTCGGTGTAATCAATGTTCAAAGGAGGCGGGGAAAGGAATTGAGAACCAGGAAGCAAAGTACCCATCACCGGCGGGCCATATGAGGGAGGACCCGGCGGAGCAGAGTCAAGCAAAACTGGGGAAACTGGCGGCGGTCTGTAAGGACCGTAAGCAATAGGGCTAGGACCAACGGACGGAGGGCCGAAGTACTCAAGGCCAAACTGAGCTGGAACTGGAGCGACTGGAGTCAGGCCAAAGTAAACGGGCTCGCCCTCAAACGCAGATACGGAAGCTCCTGTATGTGAGACAAGCATTTTGAGTTCAGTGAGTGTATCTGTGCATCAATTGGTCTTGATATTGTCGTTACTCCAGGATATTTCGTCTTACGTATGACAGAGTAAAGATAACGGCGTTCGATGGACGTAGATTGAAAGCTGAAAAGGATATGGCCGGAGTGGTTAGAGAGTTGTAAGTTGGATGAGTAGATGTAACTGAGTTGTCAAAGATAAGTCCGACGATTGAAATATATGCTTTGTTGACGCATAGATAAATGTCTGGTCAAGTTAGAAGCTCGGGGGTGTGGTGTTGGGGTGATAACAAGGGAGAGCTGGTGCCGACTGTTGAGCTCTCTTTTATATGTAGGCAGAAATGTCACATCCTGCTGTAAATTGACCTTCCATCAGGGAAGCAAAGTACCTAAAGATTTATGATTATTAAGTCACTGAAGTTACATGCCTAGGTAGACTACATACCCTAAGAGCTCCAATGGACAAAGGTGACCCTAAGAATACTCTGAGACATAGTAATGACAGCCAAGGGCACAATTCGAGTATAGCTTAGAGAGAAGTAAGGTAGATCTTAGATAATACCGATAATACCATAGTGATATATAAGAAATTACAACGTAATGTACCTATATTCCCGAACATATTCATCTCCCTAGGTGATATGTAAAACTCGACCAGATACTTAAACTCTGATATATCTTTCTCTATGCTATTGAGAGTAACATGACATCTTATCATGTCACCTCCGTTTGCTCCAACCTAGGCAGACTCGATCTTGAGATCAAAAAAGGCTGTGCTATTAATGTCCACTGGTAAACATGGCCATCCTCCGTCCAAGTCCATCCACTTCATCTTCCTATGGGCCGGCTGTAATTTTGTGCTCCTCGGGCTCATTTAACAATGCCGATGCCGAGCGAGGGTCCAGTGCAAGGTCATCCCTGCGTGTCCGATTCTCTTTATTCTCCAGGCCGAAAAAAGATTCTGACAGATCGAGGCTTTTCTCCCATATAAATGGGTCGAATCCATGGCATTATTGTCCAAGATTTGATCAAGATATACAAAAGCGGAGAATCGGGGACAAAAAATTAGGGATGTCCCGTTCACCTCGTCAATAGTCAGGTCGACAATTACCCCTGGGGAGATGGCCGGATATCCCCGGATTCTAAGCTGTGATTCGAATATTTTATCAAGATATTTCAGTCGATATCCAGGGCAAATATCATACAAGCTTATATTATGTTAGTGGCGACGACAATCACGTGGTTCTCCTGGGCTCCAGCTAATGCCCCAGATCGCCTCTGTGATTGGAAGTTTGCCTTACTGCGCCCTCTATAATGTGCACCAATTGCGTGAGCATATCAGAGTATGAAAATAATAAATCTAAATCTACTAATTTAACTCAGACCTTTATCTGTACAAATGCGCCTAACCAGTCCCCGAACATAATTCACACCATGGCTCGGTGGTTGAACCAAAGAACCGTTCCGCCATTAGGTGATCCAGGCACGTCGATATGACTGTCAACTGGGTCCGAGGGCTGAAAGGGGAAATTTGAAAGCCTGGTTCCAAGCAATAATGACTTGGGGCGAAAGGAGTGATTACGTGTCTTAGTACCGATTTTTGTAGAATATCGGAGTGTCACTAGATGCCCAGCGTCTACTATACTTCGTAAACCTCGGCATTGATTGGCATCTTGGGTTTGCCATAAAAGCCGAGTTATGCGACCCGCATCGGGCAGCTGCAGGCATGGGAACTATAACCATGAGATGCTGATCAGCATGAACTTCCAGAAGTATTCTGGGTAATTCGGGATTGATTTAGCTTTAGCTTCCAAGGTTCCACTGGGGGGCAGTAGAGTCCATGGTTCCTCGTGTATTATAAAGGGTTTAATCATCCAATGACAAACTTAGTAGTCAACCCGGGACTAACCTCGGAAAATTTAGGGCAGAGGTCCTCTACGGGGTAGTTATGCCGACAGAAGCAAATATGCAATTATAGAAAGGAAAGCTCGGATAATCCAACACGATCCATGGATGTCATTCAACATCAAACTGCACGTTCCGATGGATTTAACAAAGCCACATGGGAAAGAACGATGGAGTGGACGCAATGGAACCCGCCGTGATCTGATAGCCACCCATTTTGGCACGTTCCACGTCCCCTCTCCACATCATTTTGTTACGCTCACATATTATACGTATTCTCTGTTTCTTAATCCCATAGGGTCAAGCCTGGGAGTATATGTACTTTTCTGCCCGATACAATTCCATGGTCAAACATGCCACTTTTGTTCCTGGCCGATCTTTTTCTGACGGGATCCGCCCGATCGTCGTACCCTCACGACTAATACCTATCCCACCTTAGCTGTATAAGACACCCTTGAGAGTCGGAATGAACTCTTTCTCTCCTCGAGATTTCCAGGAGTGGGTAGATCGACGCCAAAGCACCCAATCTGCCTCCACCGTGTCGTCTGCGTCAACGAGCATTCTCTTCCCGAGCCCTGCGACATCTCCAGGGTCCAGCTCGAGGAAGCAATCCTGGCAGTTCTACGATGAGGTCGTGCGGCTTGAGCTGACTCCTTCCGTGCAAATGTTTGTGCTGAGAGAAAAACGTTCCTTTAGACAAGAATGCGCTGACCTGTTAGTAGTTCCTTTCTCAGAAACGGCCAGCTATTTAAGCTGAAATACACATTCATCGATATCTGCAAGGACTCAACGGGCGCATTAAAGTGTCTCGAGCTCGGGGGAGGACTAGGCCAGCAAACCCCTTTCATTCATGGTTGTGAGTTGCCTCGCATATCTCTGAAAGACAACATGCTGATCATTCAAAAACATATATAGTCTCCAATACGAAACTACCAGTCCCCCACCTAGAGCATCCAAAATCAGGCGACGATTACCCTCTTCGCGTGTCCTTCATGGACCAGCAAACTGTCCAAACGTCAAGCACGGTATTCTTGACACAGCTATCATATAAATTTGATCACTGGGATGGTACGCGACCGATAAACCTTGAAATGTGAACATTTGCTCACACTCGCAGATTGTGTACGATTTCAAGAACTGCTGCTTGGCTCCAAGTTGATATTTATCGGCGGCATGGCCGAAGCCAAGTCTAAAGGCCGGGGTGAAGAGTGCATCAGCCAAAATCTTCGCATCCTCCGCGGGCATAACGGGAAACGTGTGATGCTGTTCTTTGCGAACTCGCAACGGAGGGAGCTCAAACGATACGTTTCCATACCCCGTGAGTTTCACTTCTATGCGGGCCCAGATCCCCTGCCTCTGTCACAGTGACGTTGCTAATAACCCGGCTAGTAAACTGTATCGGTTCAATTAAACCCCCGAAGAAGGCCGGGCGGCCAGCCCTACTTGATCTAAGTCCGAACTTCGAGATTCTGTGTCAAATGAGAAATCTTACGATTCAGTTTCTTGACGATGATGGTCAGTGCACATTTAAGTTTCTCTCATTTCGGACTAATCGCTTATTCCTCTCTCTCTGTTCTAGACTGCGCAACATTTTGTCAGATGTTGTCATACGACCTCACGATTGGATGAATAGTTCACGAGGACAGATCCATATAAATCCCTCAATTCTGTCATGATCATGAATTTTACATGGAGTTGGAGTTCCTAGGCAGATTGGGGGGGTATGTATCATCTACATAATACCAAGATACCCCTGGGCGTTAAATAAATACTTTTGAGAACTAGAATTACGTCCACATGAAATAGGATAGGCTAATGAAACTAATTGGAATTTATTCTTGGGAATAATAGGCTGGTGTTGATAACATTAACAGATTAATTAGAATAAAATGGCTCATTTACCCATGTGAGAGATATAATAAAATAATATAAAATAATATAAAAAGGTTCCATGTGTCTCATGAAAGGAACAATTAACCCTCGTGGTTGCCCGTTACCTGTGGGTCCTCGGGTTGGACGTGGACAAGTCAAGCATCAGAGAGGCCGCACGTGGAGAAAACAACCCGAAAGCTTTGGCTCGTTCGCCGCTTAGCCTCGCATTAGCGGGTGCCGGGATCACGGGCCTCGACTATCTGTAATTTTTCGGTTTAACCTTGGAAGCCCCGGGTCTAATCTAAGCATCTTCCGCTATTCTATGAAATGTAGGACTCAACTTGTATCTTCATCTTTCAACTTTCTAGTTATTTACCATGGGCAAGTTCCACACTCGGTTGTATAAAACCGACCGTGCCAGGGACTTCGACCATGAGCAGGTATGGAGTCCCCCGCTTTGTTAATGAACAACATGGCATGCAAGATCGCTAATTAGTTCTGCTATAGGATCGATATGTCCGCATGCGACAGATCTACGAGACTATCGACAGGCAAGGCTTTCAATGGATTGTCGTGCTGGTCGCTGGTCTCGGGTTCTTCCTCGATGGTTACACAGTGCGTTACCCCACGTTCCTAGTGGAACATATTGAAATGCTGAACTCGACGCGTATACGGCAACTGCTAATACTTGAAATAGTTATTTGCCAGTAACATGGCCCTACCGATGATCTCCTACGTGTACTGGAGAGACGACACTTCCTCCTTACGACTCACATGCATCAATATCGCAACACTCGGGGGAACCCTGCTGGGGCAAGTCGCATTTGGATTTCTAGCCGATAAGAATGGGCGGAAGAAGATGTACGGTGTTGAATTGGTACTTCTCATTACAGCCACCCTAGGTGTGGTCATGTCCTCGACAGGCGTGGACGGCAGCATGAACGTCTATGCGTGGCTTATTTGGTGGAGAATCTGTGTCGGTATTGGAGTTGGCGCAGATTATCCACTCAGTGCAGTGATCACGTCTGAGTAGGTCGATCCATCTCAAAATCATCAATCGTGGAGAAACTGACCTTGAAATGCCAGATTTGCCCCTACCAAGCATCGAGCCCGCATGATGGCCACCGTCTTCTTCATGCAGCCTCTCGGTCAGATTGCAGGTAACATTGTCTCATTGATTGTTATCGCGGTGGCTCGTGGTAATAGCAGTCCGGGTGACGACCTCACTCGCACTGTTGATATAATGTGGCGCTGGGTGATCGCCATCGGAGTCGTGCCCGGCGCAGTCGCTACTCTTTTCCGGTTCGCCATCCCAGAGAGCCCTCGCTACCTAGTCGATATCGTGGACGACCCCGTCACTGCGGAGTTTGATGCAAGCACCCTTTTCAGCGACACACCCGGTATGACTGATTCTATGGGCTGGGGAAACTCTGCGTCATGCAGTGCCGGTAGCGCGATTCAACTACCCCCGATTTCATCCATTGCCAGCAGTTCGACCTTTGACATTGATGACGATGATGAGCTCACCCGCCTCCCCCCGCTACCCTCAACTCTCACTGGCGGTTGGCACGTACCGACATCGTGCGGTACTTCTGGACAGAAGGGAACTGGCGCAGCTTGGCTGGTTGCTCTCTCGCATGGCTCCTTCTTGACTTTGGCTTCTACGGTATTGGATTGTCGAGCCCTCAATTCTTAGCCAAGACGTGGGGCCAACTTCACATCTCTGCACCGTCACCGAACTGGATGACCAACGATACACCAAATGCCGATATCTACACAATGTTCATGGAAACCTCTGTGCGCGGGCTGATTGTGCTCAATATCGGAAGCTTCGTCGGTGGCTTATTGCTCATTATCTTTGCCCATAAACTGGATCGTGTTGCACTGCAGAAGTACATGTTCCTCGCACTGGCGGCTCTGTTTATCGCCCTGGGAACCATGTTCGTCTGTCTATATTCCGGCCCTCCGGCTGTGGTGGCATTGTATATTGTTGGCCAAATCATGTTCAACTTCGGTGAGTCAAATCCAGGATACGACACATTAAGTCATTCTAACGAATTACCCACAGGCCCCAATGCAACAACCTATATGATCCCCGCCGAGATTTTTCCAACCCGATACCGCGCAACATGTCACGGCCTCAGCGCTGGAGCCGGAAAACTGGGCTCTATTCTCGTACAAATTTTCTCAGCCTACTACCACTTTGGCGCAGGGCCGGGCAACACATCAACCCGCAAGCATGGCATTGTTCTCCTTGTCTTCAGCGCCTGCATGATCCTTGGTGCAGTAGTCACGCACTTCTGGATTCCACCTATTCAACAAACACAGAATGGCAGAACTAAGCTTTGGGGTGGTAAGCCCGAGACTCTCGAAAGCTTGTCTCTTGGCCGAATGGGGCGCAGGAGTCGAGATGCCGATATTCGGAAACGGACATCACGGCATCGGGCGCTTTCAATGAGTGCCTAGGTATTGCTGTTCTCCATGTCTATCTCTAATTATTCTTCTGTATAAATTTAGAATCTGTGTTATTTGCATTTGGGAGTTCCAGCTATGTTAATAAAAACCAATAGATGCGTTCAGTCCACTGAAATTGAACTTCATAAATATATTCATAATTCAAACTAAAGAGCAGTCACCATCAAGCAACCGCCCCATAGCCACCTCATCAAGATAAAGCGCAATATCCATTCCCCCATCCCGAATCGCACTATCCATCACCTGAAGACACCCATCCATCTTAGGCATAGCAGCGTGCACATAACGTGGCTTATTCCCGCCCACAAAGTCAACATCATACAACCGCAGCCGCAACCATGAGGTGACAAGCGTATGCTCAGACCCCAAAAACCCCTGCCACAGCCGCTGGGGCGACACCTCGTGCGCAGCATCATGCAACATCGCACCCACGGCATCAACCGTAAACCCCTTCATCCTCTCTCGGATCCGACTGGCCGTCTCACCTAATATTTCCTGACATACCGAGGAGGCTGTTCCACCAACATGCGTTAGGAACAGCGGCGATCCGATGAACGTATCAGGAAGAGCGGGTGACACACGCGGTCGTGCACCGAGGCTCAAATCCATATATACGGGTCTTAAAGAGTCGGCCTGTCCGCGTGCTCGGGTAATGGCTATCCATAGGTGTGCGAGTAGAGCGTCCAGTCTTGAGATATCACATCGACTCCCTGTGTCGAGGGCCGCAGCTTGGAATTTGCTTAGTTCTGCGCCTGTGAAGTGCAACTGTGTGTATCTGACTGATTTGGAGAAATCCCATGAAATCCAGGGCGCTGGCTCTGAGGGCGAGACTCGTTTGTGATCGATTTCTGCGGGCGGCGGTCTGGAGTTCTCTGTCGTCGGTATGAAAAATGATGGGTAGCCTTCGTCGGTGGTATCCCACCAGCTATACCGATGCAAGGGCAAATTTCGTGCGACTTGTACGAGGGTTTGATCTGGCTCAGCACTATCGATATCGCCCGCAGCGCAGCTGTCCAGCAACGCGGGATCGAATACCGGCTCGCCCATTACTGGGGATTCGGGCTGGTTTCCGAATTGCTTTTTGCTATTATACGCCCATAGATGCACGAAAACCATTAAAGCCTGTGCGTCCGCTAGACAGTGCGCCATCTTGATTCCGATGACGTAGGCTCCTTCCTGGAGAAGACTGAGTTGGACTTGCATCCCTGGCAGACCGGCATAGTCGCGCAGATTGGCCAATGCCAGTGGGTTGGATGATATGAAGAGTGTTTGGTCGAAGTCATCGCCTGCCCATGCTCCGGGTTGAGAACCATTGGTCGATGAAGCCCGTTCCTCCGCTGTGGGGACAATTTCATCTGCTCGGAGGGGATGCTCGATTACTGTCCATTCAACACCAGGGTCGGTATCAGTTCCGTATACTATCAATGGACGATTGAAACGCTCTGCGTGGTTTCCTTTGGGGTTGACGGGTGCCCATTGGAGTTGGCCTGCCCATTGAGGGAATTTTGATAGGGTTTCAATGAAGGAAGTTCGCAGATGGTCGACCAAGGTCTTCTGATCCAAGTCTGCAGGTTGGTTGAAAATCCAGATTGCTCCTGTTGGAGCAAAGCGCACGACGGTTGCGTCGAGGATGGACAGGGGTGTTGATGTCGGTGTTAACTGGTTGGCTGGTCGCAGCCTTGTGGATTCGATGGTGGTCATGTTGTATGTGCACGTAAATTGTGTTCAATGCCTGTGATTTTTAGACCAATCCCATTCATTTTATCTTTCTGAATTCATGAGTCAATATCTGTCACTGTGTGCCACTGTGCGTCAATCCCACGCTAAGCTCTTAGTTAATTAAAACTAGCACAGAATAAGACCCCGACGGTCGGAGACTGGCGCCACATCTTTGTCTCAGATAAGGTACAGTAGGCTAAATATCTACACAGAAGAATTGGTATAGCTTCAACTCTACCAGGCCTGATATTGTGCAACGTTCTGGGAGCCTCAGGCATCAACGGGAAATCTCGCGGGAAATCGCGCGTGTCCACGTCTGCCCAACACCACAACCAAAATGAAAAATATACTGCCAGATCTATTCAACGAGCTGCTACTACTAGTAGCAGACAAGCTCGAATCAGAGGCTGATATATATGCTTTTGCTCGAACAACGACCACCCCAAGTAAACTCCTCATTCCATACCTTTATCGAGTCGATGCGAAAAGACCCCTAAGCAAGGCATTATTCTGGGCTGCAACACGTAGGGGAGACAGTGCTTGTCAAAAGGCGCTGCAAGTAGCTGACGGTGTTCCGTCAACCGATTTCATTTGTTAGAAACAAAGAATTGCGCTCATTGGTGGCTCTAGCCAACCATAACGCCTAGCTTGTATACAATAAAACACTATGGTACAATTATGGATATTCCAATAATAAACCCCTCCAACCAGAAAGTCAACCATGTTAAAAAGGAAAAGAGCGATGGTAGTACAAAACAAATACACTTCCATAAACAACCCTTGTCATGATGCCTTGGGGCGTTTCAGCGGGTGCCCTCCAGCATTAAAAACAAACTCATCCAAACTGATTAGGTCTGGAGAGCTGAACATGAGATAAAAGTATTTGAGGGTCTGCGACATCCACATGCTGTCCATCGAGTCTTTGAGGGTCAGTTCACTGCCCTCGTCCGTGACATCAATGATGGCCGCATTGCCATTGTTCGTCTGCGTTGCACTTTGCATTGCCTGGAGCATATCCCAAGCTGCATCGAGTAGATCCTCACGGCCACTAACGCGGTAGAGAGTAAACATACTCTCGATCGCTTCCGGACGCAAGTTATAAGCAGTGTCCGAGATTCTGATAAGCCCCTTGGGCAGGCGGTGGTCTGTAATAAAAGTATTGACGTTGAGATTTGGATTTGGTTCTGGCTCGAGGCTGTTCGCCTTTTTCCAGACCTCTTGCTTCCAAAGCCACTCGCTCCAGGGGCAGTTTGTCTGCGACGCACATGGAACCACGTCAAAGGCTTCGGGCATAATCCCCAGTGGTATAACCCGATGAGCCCAGATGCATCCGTCGACCAACTTGTGGGCGATTTCTTGGTGGGTGGGGATATTGAGTAGTGCGCCTCCTAGTGCAAACATACCCCCCGCAAAACAGGATCGGTACTGCATTTGCGACTCTAGGTGTGCTTGCTGATTCCCATTCTCTGTCATGACCACTCGAACAGTGCCAGAAATGAGCACCTCCTTGCCTTCGGGGTTCATCGGTCGAAATAAATTGTTGCCCGCGGCTGTGAGGGTGGCATTCTCATACATCTTGCGATACATGGGTACTTGGCCTCCTAGCAAGGCGTATGCCCGGGGTAGCGACATGTACATAGAGCTTGCTTCGGCACCCAACGTGAAGGCATCGTCGTCGAAAAGCTCTTCTCTAGCATTCACTGAGACAGGCCATAGACCTGCGAGCTTGGTGGCGTCCTGTTTCCTGTCAAACAATTCCATGACTCGTTGGGCCGCGTCGAAGTATTTTGGGTCACCAGTAATTTGAGACAGTCTTGTAAATTCCAATGTGAACGAGCCTAGTTCTGCACCGAGGACACTCTCCTCTGCAAACTGCTCCTCTTGGCGGGCAGCTTTCTGTGCGTTCCAATGTATGATGGGCATTCTGTTCGGGGTATCAAAGGCAGCGTAAAGCATATCACCCAGCTCGATTGACTTTTCCAGCAATTTTAGATCAGCGCTGAGATCAAATGCCGCCAGCAGACCTCCAAGTAAATGGATATTGACATCATGGGTATTGATTTCAGACGACTGTGTGTTTTCAAATTTGATATCTGTGACCGCAGCCACGGCCTTTTTGAACTCATCGTGCATCCCCATAATCCACAACGTGTCGAGGTTGTCAATTAGCGTAGCACCCCATCCCCCCAACTTATTTGTAGGACTACCGCTGAGAGGCGCAAGCTCATCTGCGCCCCGGGCAAGCGACTGGTATGACTTCCAACATCGTTCAAAGGCTCCTTTTGCGGCCGACCGCCTGCTAGTTTGGCGGTCCAGATTGAGACGAGATACTTTGAAGCCTGCTGGTTGGACCTTACGTAGCGTCTGGGATGGTGTAACAGGTAGTGGCTGGATTTCAGCAACTGGGTATCGCACAGGCAGCTTTCTCCATAGAGATTTCGGGTTGATTTCGACATTCAGAGTGAGTTTGGGTGCATCATGTGGGGTGGTCGAGAGAAGAATGCCGTCGTTTGTGCGATGATAGCTGTAAAGCAGGAGCAGTAAGAAAGCCCCGAGACAAGCGCCTAGGACCTGACGCCGGATCCGACTCATAATGATTTCACGTTATAATCACATCGACATATTCGATGCAGCAAAGATATTTTGGTCAACATAGGCGACCAGCGACAGATTCATTAAGGGAAGAAGGTGCAAAGAGAGTGACACAAAACTTTCCCCGCATTTCGAACACTCGAGGGGAACTCAGGTCTACCTACTATATAAGCTTGTCAGGTTTGCCAAGAGCGGGATAGAAGGATTTAATCTATTAAATCGAGGATTTCATGATTCCCTGCCGTTCTAGACTTATTTCTAAGTTCCGATCTCGTATACGCTTTATCCTCCTGCACTCTGCATGGACTGCCAAGTCTATATCTATCTGTCTTTCATGGTTAAGCTTTAATTATGCTAATGCCAATTATAAAGGAAATACTCTCAGGAAATCTCCAAAAGCATTTGATATGAATTTGTTCAAATAGTTGAGAACAATGTAAGACCATTATGCTCCACTCTACTCCAAAACGGGAAATTACCTCGGGTAGAAACCTGTAAACTAATCCAAAATGGAAACCAGGCCGAGCGTCTCGGCCTGTATAGGCCTGACGAGATAGCATTTAGTTAAACGGGGGCCCGGTCTGATCGTCGCTGCAGCGATATGGTTATATCAAAAGGACCAGTGAGGATCAAGATCGCATTGTCTCGATCCAAACTCTCATACTAGGGCCCCGGGGTGTCAGATGATCTGCGGCCCAATTTGGGGAAGACTCACGCGACATGATGCGATCCTTTAGCTTAATGAGATGAAAGTAGAAATAGGAAAGGCTTTTGCACATAAAATGAGAAGAAAACAATTAGGGCGAAAAGTACATACAAAAACAAAAAAAGTAGTGCATCATCCGTGAATCGAACACGGGCCTCGTCGATGGCAACGACGAATTCTACCACTAGACCAATGATGCTAGTTCATATAACATGGCCCACAATTTGGCAACATGTGTCTATGGGGATATATATCCCACTAGTGACTGGTAACAAATAACCATCTAATCTTCCCAGCTGAGAGACCAAACACTTTGGTATTCTTTTTGAATAAATCAATGGCAAGTGGAGATAAGAGCGTCTTGGGCTGCCTTCAATAACACTTTGGTGATCATATAACATATTTGGGTATGGCGTTACTTATCAGGCAAAGAGTTCGAGTTTTATATATATTTCGGCTCTCGCACCGGGTTGTCACACACAACAAGCGAACATCCCCAATAAGCAAAAAGGGTTGATAATAACATGAATGTCACAGTAAGGTTTCGTCTCCTCTAAAATTTCTCTGGGATAATCCCAAGTTGAGGCTTCCGTACTATAATAGGCTTTTTGGTCCAATATTAAAGCAACTGAAACTTGTATATCGACCATCCAAAATGATAGTAATTGAATGCCATCCAAAGGGAGGAAGTATTTCCAAATAAACAGCCGAAGTGAGAATAAACTTGATATTAATATATTAAGACCCCGGGAATGGTATAGCGGGCCGGGGTAAACTATGGCAAAGCTAGCCCCCCGTTCTGCAGTTCCATAAATTATCCATATTGTCTGGAACTTTCTGCGCTGATGTGGCCAGTAAGAATGCGGGGCTGTCAACAGGCGAAATAAGAAGTGAGGGGTTGTTCCATTGCATCTCTGCACTTCGTGTCAGTTTCCCCCCAATACCCTCAAAAATCAAATCACCAAAATCAACATGGAAAATCCCAATGACCTACCGCCATCGCGTGAGCGAGTTGTGCCGGGTTCCTGCAACATCGAACCCGGCCAATTCCCCAAGACCATGTCGGAGTCTGAGTCGGATGGTCCCTTAGACCCGAACGCTATTGCGGACAAAATCATCAACCAGCTAAACCAGAGTCTCTCAGCCAAAGACAAGGCAGCAGTTGCATCACTGTTCCTCGATAACTGCTATTGGCGCGACCACTTGTGCTATTCGTGGGACTTCCGCACCCTCGAGGGGAGTCAAGCCATTGCTGCCTTTGTCACCGAGGCACCACCCAGCAAAATTGAAATCGACCGATCGTCTGACCTCAAATCCCCACACAAGGCTCCTATTGATTCCTTTGGCGATGTTTTTGGAATCGAATTTTACCTCAAGCTCACCACCGAGAATGGACGGGGAAATGGTATTATGCGATTGGCTGAACATGATGGCAAGTGGTACATTTTTACCGTATTCACTTCCATGGTTGAGTTAAAGGGCCACGAGGAGAACAGGGAGAGGCCGTTTGGTGTCCGCCACGGCGAGCAGCAAGGTCGGAAGAACTGGAAAGATCGGCGTATTGATGATATCAACTTCGAGGGAAAGGACCCGGCAGTATTGATCGTTGGTATGTGACGATGAAGCTTTTTACTCTAGAAATATGAAGTCTGACTTGACAATGAAGGTGCTGGCCAAGCTGGCTTGACTGCCGCAGCGCGTCTCAAGATGCTTGAGGTCGACACCCTCGTCGTCGACCGAGAAGAGAGAATCGGAGATAACTGGCGTCAGCGATACCACCAGCTTGTTCTCCACGACCCAGTGTGGTACGACCACATGCCCTACTTACCTTTCCCAACCGACTGGCCCATCTATACACCAAAAGATAAGCTGGCTGATTTCTTCGAAACCTATGTGAAGTTCCGAGAGCTCAATGTTTGGACCCAAACAGAGATCAAATCGTCATCCTGGGATGAGAGCAAAAAGCAATGGACAGTTGTTCTCGAGCGCAAGACAGACAACGGAACTGAGACGCGCACCTTGCACCCACGCCATGTCATCCAAGCTACCGGCCACTCCGGCAAGAAATACATGCCCGTTTTCGAAGGAATGGAGGATTTTAAGGGAGATCGCATGTGTCACAGCTCGGAGCATCCTGGCGCAAACTCCGAGTCAAAGGGAAAAAGGGCCATTGTCGTTGGATCTTGTAACTCGGCAAACGATATCGCCCAGGACTTTGTCGAGAAAGGGTACGATGTGACCATGGTGCAGCGAAGCTCGACCTGTGTGGTATCGTCTGACTCTACCTTGAAAATTGCCTTCAAAGGACTCTATGATGCGACCGGTCCCCCAACCGAAGACGCCGATCTTTATTTGTTCAGCATTCCGTCGCGTCTGTTCAAAGCGCAACAGGTCAAAGTCACCAAACTCACGAATCAGAACGACGCAAAGACCATTGAAGGTCTGGAAAAGGCAGGCTTCAAAGTTGACAATGGACCATCGGACAGCGGTCTCTTGATGAAGTACTTCCAGCGCGGAGGCGGGTACTACATTGACGTCGGTGGAAGCCAGCTTATTATCGATGGGAAGATCAAGGTGAAGCATGGCCAGGAAATTAGCCAAGTTCTTCCCCATGGACTCCGCTTTGAGGATGGCTCAGAGCTTGAAGCCGATGAAATCGTGTTCGCCACCGGATATCAGAATATGAGAACCGAGACTCGTGTGATCTTTGGCGGCAAGGTCGCTGACAGGGTTGGTAATATCTGGGGACTTGATAAAGAGGGTGAGATGCAGACTATCTGGCGGCGGAGTGGTCACCCTGGCTTCTGGTTTATGGGTGGAAACCTCGCTCTTTGCAGATATTTCTCGCGTCTGCTGGCATTGCAGATCAAAGCGCTGGAAGAGGGGTTGACTACCTGGTAGTTACCGAGAAGTGAGGTTTTGCACTTGCGATGGCATCAGCGAGAAGAAAGAATACTTCCAGCCTATGTATGTCTATTTATGGCTGCAACCGGTCTGTGACAGTGAATCCAATACAAGCATCAGTAGCCCTAGTGCTTTCATATTTACATGTAGAAACTATTCACGATACATGTATCTTCCCCTCCGGTGATTAAAACCAATCAACCCAACCAGCCTTCTTGAGAAGCCACCGAGACACCCAATGTCAACACAAGAGTGTACAACCAAGTCTCCAAATCCGGGGAGCCCTCATAAACAGGCTCCGTCAACGCCAAACAAGTCCGCAGATGATCCAAAATTGAGCTCTTCCTCACTGAAATCTCAAACCCGCCCCGATTCATCGTAGCAATACGACTCTTCCGGCGCATCTTGCGGTCAATCGCCATAAGAACGAACTGTTCGTTATCTGGAGACCCAGATGCCGCATTTCCATCTGTAGAGAGTGCCCGTTTCTCCCACTGCATAATCATCCGGGACTGCTCGGAGGCGGCTGTATTTTCTTCTTTTTGAATGCCAAATCTGTAACAAGTGCCTTTCTCAGATCCTGCTGAGCTGGCGCTGGGTTGCCATGTGCATTTTGTGTGACGGAAGTGGATTGATGATGTGGGGTTGTCGCTGCTTGACGGTTGGCACATTGCAGCGACTATATCCTTTTCTTGGATGTTGTATGACTGTGTATCTTGTCCTTGAGAATGTTCCTGTCCGTTTGGCTGTTTATTGGTGATATATGGTTCATTGAGCGTTGCGTAGATATCCCTCGTGCCGAGCTTTGGGCGTTGCGGGAAACCTTTTGTCAATTTTGACTTGCGGAGTGGTGGCTGCCATATCTCTAGTACAGGCACTGGTCGGTGATTTGGAGGTAATTGTTGAATTTGAAGGAGTAGTTTGGGACTGAGCCGAAGTAGTTGACTTGATTTTGGGGGCGGCCGAGCTATTTGGAACTTGGCCTGGATTTTGGTGTTGACGGGTTCTGATGATTGTCTGGGGATGAATCAGACATAATTCTCAATAGAATAAAGGAATTTATATGCGCTCTTCTTCTCAGAAGTATTCTTACATACCTTTCTTCACTTGCTGTGTCGCTATCATAGTTTGGCATAGTATCCGGAGATTCCATGGGGAAGTCCATATTGTCGCGTCTCCAGATCTGAAAAGTTGAAGCGAACACAGGAAAAAAAAAGATAAAAGGCTGAGAGCTAAGAGCTGAGACCTGAGAGCTAAAAAGTCTCAAGGGAAGGTCTTAGTATAAATACATGTAAACTTCAGCCCTTGGCCCTACCCGCCGTACTCGTATCAACGTGCACGAGCCAGGGTAATAAGGTGGGTCCAGCGAATCTGGAAACTAGTACGAATACGGGAGGTTGATGTTTGAAGAGACTAGGCTGCCTGAAACATTTGACACATGGTACGGAGTATGTTGTATAAGTTGCATGTGTGCCGTGTTTTGAAACTCTGCAGGTTAGGCATCTACAATTTCTTTTTGCGAGATGGGCTCCAGGGACTGGAAGTAATATTTTTAAATTCAAAGCGATCTTTATCCACTACATACTGCATACTGCATACGGTATACGGAATACGGAATACGGAGTACTTATCCGTAGAGTAGTCCGTACGTACCTTATAGGATTTGTGGATCGACAGCTTTAATGTTCGGTGTCAGGGTTATCCGAGCCGCGCCCGACGGGGTCGGGCAATTCACAGCCTCAACTTCTCACCCATAGCCACCCCATATGATGAAATCCCCGCTCAAATGTAAATGACCTCACAGAACATGATCGTTGTTCGAACTGCTGTAAAGCTGGCCGATCACAAAATACTCCTGTAGAAGACGGCCAGTTGTAGCCCCGAAAGCCGGTCAAAAGTTCCTCCGACTTGATGATATCAGCGGAAGTTCGGTCGGGAAGGCCGAGTTATCCATGGATGCGTAGCATCATTTATAATAATGCAGACCATAAGTGTCCTGTGATCGAACATGTGTGGAGTTGAAGATCCATTTTGCCAATATTGCATGTGATTGCGAGATTCGCGAACCCAAGCCGAGCCATTGGGATGTTTCACGCTTCTTTGATTACTGCAGACGGTCGGTCATCATATCGTTTTCTCCATCCGTGATCCAGACCCAAGACTTGCCCTGTCACTATGCCTTTCAGTGTCAGGATCTGTATAATCACCCAAACGAGTACGAGCAGCAGCAAAAGGGCAGTGGAAAACACATCGAAAGCAGGAGAATCCATAATCCTCCCAAATTCAACGGCAGCATTGGTAAAAGTACCCTGGAGAAATCGGAGGATTGTTAGAAAAGCTCCCAAGAAAAGCAGAGAAATCAGTATACGCACCCACGGAAAGACTACAGACCACACAGACATGGTGAACCGTGACTGCTTCCAGCCCCCAGGTTGTGTGTGCAGAGTATAACAGATAGTCAGGATGGCAAAAAACCCACCAAAAGACCCCATATCCCCAAACAAGAAGACCAGTGAAATGGCTGATGAAAGCAAAGGGGCCAGCCGCCTTTGCAGTCAGAAGTTGACCGCGATCATACGCCGCAAAGCTACCGGCCTGAACAGCCTCGCCCAAAGCCTGGAGCGCGACCGAAGCCTGTCCGCAAGGGCCGCACATAATCATATCCTGGTACACCATGTCCGCTGGCTGGAACGGGTGACCCAAGTACTGATATAGGATAATGGTATGAAACGCAGCAACGAGGGCAAGACCAGCCCCGATTTCGAGGTAGGAGACGATGATGGCAGGGACCTGGAGGCGGGGGCTTATACGCGCGAGGCGGCATATAACCCCCCGCCTGCGGCAGATGTCAAAACCGCAAGGAATGGCAGCAACATGTCGGCCTGCATATGTCGTGCGCCTGACTGCTGCATCTTGAGGTGGATGAATGGGACCACCAGACAGGCGACTATGGCCATGCCGGTGTTTACCCACCATAAGATGTAGATGGCCAGCCCAGCTGTGTCTCCGTATTGTAACACAGACATCTGGAGGATGGAGGTGAAGGCGATAGAGATGCAGCAGAGGCAGGATGTTTCGGCGCTGTTGTTCCGCAGCTGGTGTAGGACATGTCTTCGGTATAGGAATGTGCGTATGAGATAGAGGATGAGGAATAAACCGAGCTGGACGATGGTGTAGATCCATACGATCGTGGCGAGGGTTGTTAGCCCGTTGAATTGGTATTTCAATCGATATAGTATCACGGCTATTATACCCGTTCCTTGAGGGACGATGAACCATATCGATGAGAAATTCCACAGGGCGCGAGAGAGCGGACCCACTGGTGGAGGGAGGTCTCCATGATCTGACATGTGTGATTCTGTGCGATTTACCCCGAATTGGAGCGGGAGACTGACCTGACCATGTCTTTGATGAATTCAAGGGGATATAGCTTCGGAGAGCTTCGATTGTGTTGACGTCATCCATCCCAAGCCAAAGCTCGGAGCTATCCCCAGATCTCACAATTGCTTCATTTTGTAAAGATAAGATTTTTTTGGATTTGATTGGAGCAATACTACCTTGAATATCAGATACAGATGCAAGCAAATCGACTGCAAGGCAATAATTTCAAGATGAGTTGCGCGCAGATCCAGGGTCACCCCATACCATAAAAAGTCATAATTTCGAGACGAAAAATTGCTCACCATAGCCGACCGAACCAGATACTCCTCCGAAGCTTATGCCTAGTCCCCTGAAACTAAGTGAACCCATTCACATCTCAGTACTTTTTCCTCGAGAAGAACCCATCATTGTTGTAACTCGCTGTAACCCCGTGTAACGCCAGTTTCCCCCGGTGTAACGTCCGTGTTCATTCCGTCAAATATCCATGTAATTCGTGAGAAGTTTGAGAAAGGGGAAAAGAAAAGACCAAGTTACGAGCTCCCTGTGTCTTTTGTGTAGGTGGTGTCTTCGGTGTAAGTGTGGGGGCGATAGTAGCCCGGCCCCGCTGGAGGATCTATGTAATCAACAATGAAAGTCAGCGAGATGATCAGCCCTGGAGATCAAGAAATCACCAGAACATACAACGCGACTCCAGATCTCTTCTAACCCAGGATATCTGCCTCAAATTTTCAAACCCTCTAGCTCGCACCTCGGCCATGTAGACCTTCTGCTCGTAGCCCGGACTGAACGGGGTCTCTCCATCGGCGGGCTTGTAGTGCTTAAAGAGTGATGCTCCCAGTGCGGTTGCTGCGAGACAGGCGACGAGGACGATGACAATGATGGCTGCATTGGAGAGCCCCATTGTGAATAGAAGAGAAAGAAAGCTTGAGTAAAGATCGGGGAATTGCAGATGGTGTTGCAAACGCAGTTTGGATTGTATGAGGTGTGGGTCAGTGCATGGTGGAGAGAGCCTCCGCGATCTGGGAACCGTAGATGCCTCGCGATGCTAGATGGAATAGCACTGGTGCGACAGATGATACGAGATAGACGAAGAGAAAGTGGGGGAGATGAAAGAAAGAAAAAAGAAAAGAAAAAAAAAACAAATAAACTTCTAAGGTTACAACCTTGGAAGTCCCGATACCTCAGATTTGCCAATCTGATGTGTTGTTTCCTGCGTAGTTTCTATACGTGACCATCCCATTGGCCATGTTTTTGACACATTCAATGTTTGAACTTTGGGCACACTACCCACCAATCATTACATGGTGTCGCATTTGATACAAAAAGCCCAAAAATAGCACAGACGTGGCTTCGTCATCGGCTCTATGGGTTTAGTTTAAAGCTTGGCATCGAACCTATATATCTACTTTTATTGGTCAATTCAAGTGTAAATGGCAATTAGAAGGAACAAGTTCGGTATACACAAGTCAATCACTAGAGAAGGAGCGTAAAAAGTAACAAGGAAATAGAAAGAGAAAAGAGCCCAACATCAAAGGGAGCAAAACAATGGAAGACCTCGAGTGCTCCTTAGGCAGCAGCCAAGGGCATATAATAGAGTGGTTTTGCACCGAAATTTTTATTCGCACAATAATCCGATCCACGAATCGTCTATTACAAGCTAGTATCTACATCGAAAGCCACTTCTGATAATTACGGCCAAAGAGGAGATTGTTGCGATCTGGCTAGTCATCAATGTCTATAGAATGTTCCTTATAATGTCAACTGATATTTGTATAGCTCACCAAGAGTCCACTGATCGCTCTTTATTTCCCCCTATCGGCTATATCAAATTGTCTCTTTGATACATGATTTAAAGAGTCGGAAACCAATAGTCTTTTCATAGCTTGAAAACTCAGACCAATTTCGTACTCTTTGGTCCTACGGGATGTCTCCTACATAAAATAAGCTACGTTGTATTTAAACAAAATAAGCGTCGTTTCGATTTGAAGATTTGTAGATTTATTCATGTCACAACTAGAGCACCAGGCGAAAACACTCTAATAACAATGTCAGTAATGCCCAACCAACCACTTACCAAAGAAGAAAGATCATCTATCACCTGAGAGAATCAGCTGTTGAGAGTTAGTCAAGCGAATCAAGGCGAGTATCAGACATCCTCAATATCAAACCGAAGGTTATATTCACTCCAGTCTTCGCCGCTATGGAATGTCACGATCCGTGGTATCCGTTTGACGCCCTGACCATATGCACACAAGACAAAGGCCGCGACAACTTTACCAATGGGAGTACCAAGAATACCGCAAAACTCCGGCGAAGGAGACTCCCAAGTTTGGGGCTCCTTAGGTGGAAACCTAAGCCCCTCCCGGGATTTGTAAATATGATCCCGAATGAAGGGGACGGTTTCCTTTTGAATGACAGTAGTAACAAAGACATACTTTAGGCTTTCCAAGGGCAAGTGCGACTCATAGAAAGCCTTGGCAAATTCGGACATGTAAAAATTCGTGGGATTCTGTGATCTCTTGATATTATCCATGAATATAACGCCGGGTCCCGTTCGCCCTATCCAATAGGTAAACTCGCCATTGATTTTGACAACTGATTGGAATCGATAAATAGGTTCCTGGTTGCTTGCTGGGTCATCAATTGTCAGGCCGAAAATATCGGCCCAGTACTCCCATTTGCCTGTAAGGGACTTCGGGTTCCAAGCGACATGCCAGACATTGGGATCGATGTCTGCAACAGTAAGTGTAGTCATAGGAATAGGGCATTGGGGCTCATCGGCACGCTCCATCCATCGTCGTAAGCTATCGCCCTGTGGCTCGAACTCGGGGTACTTGGGTGCCATTGCGATGAAGTTGGCTTTGAGCTTACCAAACTAGTTGAGATCGAGGGAGAATACGTAGAGTGCTTACTCACCGAGTCAAGTATCTCGAGAGCTTGTTGATATTCTTGATAAAACGATGTCGTGTGTTGTTTTTGAACTAAATGATGCGGTGCATCCAGTATGCTTATATAGTTTTAGCCAGCTGAACATAGGAACAAAGAGAAACAAAGAGCATAGTCAATGCCATTGTACAGAATCCGACATGATAGAGACCAATAGGCTTGGGGAACTAACGAAGAATAAAAGAATGAAGGAGTCAAAGAATAGTTCGAGCGGTGCTACAAGGATGGAATGAGGTCTGAGAGCAGTCTAGTACAGAAACTGAGATTGGTCGGCATTATACAAAATCATTACGACAATCCACCCACTGTATCAAATTCAAATATACTCATCTTTTTCTATTTTCTGTCACGCTCACCAGCGTGTATAACTAGACAGTCGTCATATCATCCAATAACAATGTTTCGTCCTTATTGGTGTGCTCGATGTTGGCTTTCTCGAATGCCCAAATTCTGGCTGCGGATTGCAGGACATCTCCTACTGCCGCTCGTTCTTCGTAGAACGCGGGCCTGCTTGCCCGGCTGCCATATAGGGTGGTAGCTGCGGTTGTGTTGTTTTGGCAAACATATTTGCGACGCATGTATCCTCGGTTTCGTAATACTTGGTCGGAAGCATTGGCCTGTATGTAGTGGTAGCCAGTCATCTAAGACGGTTGGCGGTTTTGGTTAGCTAGGTGATGGAATATAGAAGCTTTAATCTTGCCTAGCTTCTCTGGGATGTGTAGGAAGGCGTTGTCGGTCGAGGTTGTAGACATCGGTTTCGTATGCTGGTGTGTTCACTCAGGATATACTGCCTGCATGTGTCGTCATTTTGAAATGACGAGCTGCACATTTCACAGTAGAATCCTTTTCTGCGAGCCTGGGAATTTGGACTTCTAGGTCGTATCGGACAAAGAGCTCGTCAGTCCCTAAGGTTGCGTCTCGATCCGTATCACCATGTGCTCGCCTGACGTGGGCCCAGAGACCCCAGGAGGTATTCCAGCCATCAAACAGAACTTTCCAAGCTTATTGTGATCGGCTCCCTGAGGGCGGAACAGGGGTTTTCAGACTGGTAAAGGATTGTGGGCACGACAGAAACAGACAACAAAGGCCGTCATCGCCACAGGGAACCGGGTTGTAAACGTCCTCGACCATCCGTCGACCTGAGGAGGGAGTTATAAATAAACCGGATAATCGGCGCGTTGCCGTGTTGATGGCTGATAAGCACTGCTTGGTTGACTCGGATGAGTTGTGTATACCCCAAAAGAGCCTGGTGCTCTCATATGGGGTGATATCGTCACCCCCGCGGAGACACGTCAATGCAATGGCCATATCGACGACGAGGAAGTTGCAATTCCAGTATACCATCAACACAAGGTGGAAAGGTAGTCGGCATCAAATCAGGCGAGCATGATGCCATTTAACGTGAGACAGTCAAGAAGCCTGAGTGTGTTGGGTTTCCCACGGCATGAAACAGAGGATTTGAAGAAATTTCTCATGTCTGGCAATGCATCGAATACAAGATCTTATAATCATGCGACACGCATCAGCCCCCTACGCAGCGGTATAGGTGCCATGCGACAAAACTCCCTTTGCGGGTAATATTGATTCCTTAATGCCTGATTATCCCTAGAACCTCGACTGCTAGTTATAAAAAAGTCCATTTCACAAATTAAGCCTTTTCCCGCCTTTTTCCGCCATCTAGCTAACAAACTAAGAAGGGGGAGAAAATATCTATGAAAACAGACATCCAAAAAGACAAACTGAGAAGAATCTGAGAAGAATCTGAGAAGACCACTGAAAAGGACCACTAAAAAGGACCACTAAACAGGACCACTAAAAAGATATCTAAAAAGACATCTGAAAAGAGTATCTGAGAAGACTACTATAAAAGTCTACTAAAAAAGACTTAACAAGGCCGTATAAGCGGCCCACCATTCTTATATCTATATATTAAAATCAAGCTTTTGACACTATACTCCGTACAAATTCATATATCATCACTTTTTAGGTGGTGTATAGCTCTCAATAGTGTATATAGCTCTGCACACACCTAAATATGTAGGTATAAACATGTGTCTTATATCTAACGTATCTAAGCCGGGATCTACGAAGCCAAGTACTAAGACCCAGAGCCTGCAGCAATGGACTCTCTGGTTACCAAGCTGAAGGTTGAATAGTCGTTTGGTCCCTTTTAGTAGCTTCTGCCATTTTAGATTGAAGGTGCTCAATAGGCTCAATAGGCTCGATAGTTGGCGGGGAACAATAGGTTATCTCGTCCCTTTTTGGCAGTCGCGCCTGCCTCAAAAGGGAGTACAATGGTCGAGACACATAACGTGTACCCATTGTGCCCATCGTTCCTTCCATTTGTGCAGTGCCTTCCATTTTAGGACCCAGTGTCTCCCCCAGTGCTTCCTATAAATCTCCCCCCTCTTTCACTTTTCTCTTTCTTTCTTCTCTCTCTCTCTTCTCTTCTCAAGTTACCAACCCAGTTTTCAACAGCGCCTCCCTGCGCTGTCACCTTTCTGCTCCCCCCGCGTCCCCGGCCTCGCCGAGTTTGTTTTTCATTTTTATTTTCAAAAAAAAAAAAAAAAAAAAACATGTGGATCCCCTTCTTGGGAATCTTCGTGGGCATTACTCTCTGGAGTCAGTGGTTCCCCATCCCGGGTTTCACTGCTCCAGAGCAGTCGTTCATGCGGCGTCTGTCTGGTACGTTCCAGCTGACGATGGAGTCTTGGGCCTTCTGTGACCTGGTGAACGCTGCCGTCTCCAAGCAAGCTTCCCAGCGCGAGCATCCTGTATGGGAGTCACGTTCTCACGTTGGCCGTGGGTATGCAAACTCGACGGATACGGTTCTTAACCTTGGTACGGATGTCATCATCCGGCCTGGACTGGTCGATGATATGCCGTCCTGGTTTCCAACCCCGTTCCTGGTACCCATCCCGGTCTCGTCTTGGTCAAGTGACGGAGTGACATCTTCTGATCCCGAGGAACCTGTCGACATCCACAAGCTTGGATCCAAGCCTAGGCAAGGCTTCTTCGCCACGTTGTTGTTCATCGGCGTTTGGTGTTTCGTCCAAGTCCCCTGGGCCTTGATTGCTTACCAACGGCATTTGTATGACGGACTTGATACCTTGATTGAGTGGATTCTGAAGGTTCTCGAGGGCCAACCGCAAATTGCACGTGTGCAATTTGTGGCCGAGGATGGTTCATCTTCCTTCGACAAGGAGATGGATCTTCTGATCGCGGGCCCAATGGAAACTGACGAGGAAATTCTTTCTTGGGTCATGGCTGCAGACAACTGTCCCGAATCTGTGTCCCATGTGTCGATTCTCTCTCAGTCTGGAGGTATCTGGGTCCACCGGATCACCAAAGGCCAGGGAGATGAGCAGTCACCGGACCCAGAATCGGCGTGCAATACCACCGAGCCGGTTAACACTACGGATGACGCTCGCGCGAACTTGGTCTCTCGGAATCCTTGGAACTCGACTGATCTCTACGCCTCCGACCATGACAATTCTCCGGCTCCGGCTGAGAATCCGATTGGCAACGGTGCGGAAGATGAGCGTCCTGATTCCACCCCGGCGTATTTCAGCAGGAGGAACCGTCCGTCGCAAGCAAAGAGACGTCGCGATGCAAAGAGGGCACGTCAGGAAAAGAAGGAACTAAAGCATTCTAGTGTTTTAGCCTCTTACGCTTCCAGTGCTTCTCTTGCGATGTCTTCGAGCTCGACGCCGCTGTCGGCTTTGGCTCCGGTATTCGTCCCTGGTCGCCTGGCGGAGCAGGATGATCCGCAGAGTGGTCCTCTTTCTCCAACTCCCTTGTCCACGAATGTGGACATTGATCCTCCTGCGGACTGTGGTACGACTTCGCCCGATGACAACGCCCTTACCCAGCAGTCCCGCCGCCGCCGTCGCCGTCGACAGCGTCCTGCCTAGACGCTTCGGTGGAGGTGGGACATGTACCAGCAACAAAGTGTCTGAGTGGGACACCTTGAAGGAACTCCTCTCTTCGGAGGGTTGTTTAGGTCCTTCTTGGCTATCCTGCAGCGCTTTTGTCTGCTGGTACACAACGCTGTGTTGGGGCCGCGTCAAGCGTCCTCAGAAGCTTTTCGTATGGTGGTTGAGTTGGGGATTGAGTTGACTGGCCAATGTGTAAGTAAACTCCTATCCCTTTTTGACACACCAGCTCTAACAATATTACTCTAGGCTTCAAAAAAAAAAAAAAAAAAAAACAACGAAAAAACGAAAAAAAGAGAGAGTGAGAAAAAAATGACGACAGAAAATCGACTAAAATGGAGATCTGCTCTCACTTTCACTTGAGGTTTGAGGTGGAAGTTCTCTCTTGCGACATTACTGTCTCACGTCGCTTTGCTTTTTTGTTGTCTGGGCTCTGCGATTTGCCCATTTGATTTCTGTTCTTCGGCCCTCGACCAAGGCCACCCTTAAAAAATATTCCTTTTCTGCGCCTCATTGTTCGATTGAGGCCGCGACCATTACCTCAAGAAACGAAAGTCGCATCGGTCAATCCATTTTCACGGCGAGTCGACTGCATCTTCTCAGCCGACCATCTTGCCCTCTTCGAGTTCATCATCTTCTTCTTTCCATGGTCGTTCGCCCTCGTCTGCATCAACAATCAACCGGAATCTCGCGCGATCGTGGCTATTCATGACCTTGTGGGGAGAAGCTCGAATTGAAGACACATCTTGATCGTCTTTCGCATGTCTTCAATTCAATCCTGCTGGGTTCACATCGACTCTCAGTGAACACTGTTACATGTACTGCATTCCTCGCCACAGCCTCTTGGTAACGGGGTCCTGGCTGAGTTCATTCCTTCGACCATCCTTTTGCAGGACAACATTCACCAAAACCTGCCTGGGTCCATATTCCAACCACTTGACCCCACGGTCATTCATTTGCATCATTCATTCAGCCGACATGGAAACAGCGTCAGTTTATCCAAACGGCCTCTGGGGGGGAGGACCGGACTGGACCAAACTTCACATTCTCTGCATCGAACATCCTCTGTCTTCTACATCAGCAAGCTCGGCACATCATCAGCCAACTCTATACTTCTCTCATGATATCTGGGGGAGATTTCGGCTGGGTCATCATCTCGATGGTGCGACATTTGTGCCGTGAACACCACTCAACATCTTTTGCATTGGTTACTTCACCAGGCCTTGATTGCAAGGAGGAAAATTAGAAAGACTTCCACTGAGCTTACGGGACGGCTTCAGTTGGACGAACATTGGAAGAAAACAAAACAATTCGATCTCAACTTACCATAACAACACATTTGCCGGTCAACTCAGATTGAGCTCTTCTCCACTGGGCTATGAGACAAGCCTTTGCTGGATCAAGAACGCCATGACCATCAATCGGACCTTCGACTTCAATTATGCTTCCACTCCAATTTAACAAAGTCAAGAGTCGATCATCAATCCAATTCCGATTCAATCACCTTACTTTCCTTCCAACGGTTGTTGCACATTCGCTCGCTCAGCAGGAAGATGAACCATCATCAATGCTTTTGTACTCTGCGCAAATTCGGAGCAACTTCCAATGACAAAACGCTCAATAATGTGCTTATCAGCCAAACCAACCTGCCTTTCGGCTTCTTTTTTTTCTTCCGCGGGCCTTGAAATAGGTGTTTGCTAGATGAGCCTCCGGAAGACCATGAGCACCTTTTGCGTCTTCACTGAAAACCCACTTTCTGTGTTTATCAATGTCATTCAACACGTTTGTTCACCCAGAGTCTCTGGATGAGCTTCTTGACGTCCATCATCACTTTCCATGTGCGTCAGTTTTGCTCGATATGTTTCCCTCCTTTCAGACCTTGGAATAGGTCGTTCCTGGACAGACATTTCGACAACCTTCGGAATCACTTTCCACCTTCATCCTCCGGGCATCTAAAAGAAAGCGGCCCTTGATGAGGAACAAACAAAAAAAAGCGTTATTTCCATGAAAGCTGGAAATTGTGGTATGTCATGGTGGTCCCCACTCCCCACTTCGACTTTCTATTTACTGACTGTTATGGCTTTCCAGGACCCGTGACTCCTTCCATCAATTCATCAGTCCTCCCAGCGTTTCTTTTCTTCAACCGGTTAAACCCCGGTTTTGGTGCATGGTCTACGGATCATGATGGGATATGAAGCATGGGACACGGTACGAGGGGATATTAAAACTGGGATGAACATGCGTGCCATGTTTCAGGCGTTGTGCGGGTTTCTTGTGTTTTATTTGTACAGATCCAGCATCCATTGGAACTGGGCGGATCTTTTTTTGTTGTTCATTGATACCCCACACAGTATAGCCTTTTCTTTTTTGTTGATTTTGACTGTCTTCTCTTCACCTCGGTCAATTCAATACTACTGTTCCGTTGCGATTAATGGTCTTGTAAAAAGTACAGTTCAAGAGCAGCTGTGCTCCAATGATAGTAGACTCTAAATGGGAAGGAAACCTGCAGTAGAAAGCTGGCAACTGGTCGACTCCGCACGGGCTTTTCTCTGAAGGCCCTCTTTGTATAGAGGAGTGATCTACTACTATGACAATGGCCTTTGTGAGTGGCAAAAGTGCCAACAGCGGGGAAATAATTACCCTCAATACATAAATTATCTTGCAAACTTCTCATCAAAAGAATACAACACTATTACAGTCAGACAAAGCTACTAGTAACATGGTAACAAAATGGTAGATACACCCAGGAACTGACAGCCAGGCTGCCAGCTACAGATCCTGACAACATCTACAAAGTGGGACCAGATCTCAATCACCTTGACCAACAGCATTGACGCTTGCTGTCCTCACAACATCAGCAAGGGACTGGAAATCTGAAAGAACCCTTCTCGCCATGCAAGCGAGGGTCGGACCCAGAGCTGCCTGGTCCCTCGTAGAAAAATTGAAAATAGAAGCTGATCCAACCGGAATCTACGAGTTGAAACCCTCTACCAAAGCGATGGGATTGGAGAAATCATACCCAACCCCGGAAACTCAAGTGATCGTATCAATTCGTCCCTTCCGGTGGACCGAGCAGATCTCATTGCATTCAAAGCGATAGTACATGCGCCATTCATCACACCCGAGATACCGAGATACCTCCCAATAAGACACTTAATTCGTCTCCACCTGCCACGTTGCCTTCAGCGCAGGATTTAGGAGGGAACAACCCACAGCGGTTGGGCTCGGATGAGACGAATGACATCGCTATGGATGCAGTGCGTCATATGAAAATCTACAACCTGCGGTCCCATTTCAACCTGATTAAGTAGGGATATAAGGCTTACAATGACTTCCAGAGAGATGCTGTCGAGAAGAAGTGGGTGCAAAGGAAGTATAGGGTCTGGGACTTTGAGACGATGGTAACAGTTAAATGTTTTCATCAGCTCAAAAGAGCAGGGCATGTCCAGTGCAAGTTTCCGGGGATTAGGGCTGTGCGGCCAGGATTTTCCATGCTTATCCTGCAAAGCTGGTTCTATAAAAATTGGTCAGTACCATAATCCATCATCACTCTCGCTAAAGAATCATAGCCATTTTCTTTATGCTTCCAAGTCCCGATGCGTTCCGCGTCAGTTTCTCATCCTAAAGAGGCCTCTAAGCTGCCCGATGGGATAGCACTCGGTATATCAGAACTTCTACCTATTATGGAAACAAAGATTTGTTTTAATAATTTGACAGTTATACTAGATGGAGAATTGGACATATGATAGAAAAGGCTACATGACATGGCACTTCCCCCTTCGCTTACGACCCCGCTCCTTAATTGTGTTATCGTTCCAGTCCTGAATGCGGCGGCGCCATTCCTCATTTGTTGGTGGCGGTAAGCTAGAGGGTTCGGTTGAAACCCGCCTGTGGAACGACCGTTGCCTCTGAGGTATCTCATGGTCGTCATCTGCCGCAGTGCCCTGTCCGTCTTCATATGGCTGTGGGATGTGGAGAAGGTTTGGCGATGATACAGAGTATGGGAAGTAGGCATCACCTAGTGCATCACCCAGTGCCGAGGCCCTCAAGTATGGAAGAGGCATGGGGTTTTCTTGTGGGGGTAGTTCGGCTGGATACAAAGCAAACGTAGGCGTGGTGGGCTGGAGCGATGTAGGTGGACGCGAAGCAGATCCAGGCTGTTCTGGCGAGAAGTTGTTTGTGACCGAATCTCGGGGGACCAATTGCTCTGGGTTAAAGTCTCTTCCAATAGAATTTACCCTGTGCCTGGCGCCAGTCGTATTGCCTATTCCCTGAAAATTGACAGATTGTGGGCGTGGGCGGGTTGACTGCTGCGCGACACGACCGGTTTCTTCTCTTTCAGGCCGTAAGGTAGAATTGGCAAAATTGACTTGGGGGAGAAGCATTCGCTGTAGATCATCTGGTAATGGGTCCACTGTCTCGCGTTTGTAAGGAGGAGGAGGTGGCACCCAATTATCGGCGTCACTCTCATTAGGAATCTGTCGAGGGTTGTGGGAATTACGATATCGAGGGTCGTATCGCCCACGGGTTGATGCAGCCGCAGTGGCAGCTCGATGGAGAGTTTCACTGGAACGAGGCTGCGTATTGTCATATGGAAGGTCGATTATATCGCCTCGAGAAGTCTCGCCTGGCGAGGTAGGAATTGCAAGACTGTTGCGGCGGAAGTGAAGTGGCAGAGCTCGGGATTCTCGAGTAACTGCTGAATGGCCAATGGCTGCAAATGTTGTAGCAGTATCACCACGGTGTAGCCGTGTTCGCCTTCTTTCAAGCTCAACTTCCGTGGCCAAAGAGGAGTCCGGCTCCATAAGAATCTTGGGCGCCATTTCTCCGACTTCGATGTCAAGCTCAATCGTTTCGCCATTCATGGTAGAGCGCTCAAAGTCCAGGAGGAGGATTCGACCACCGTCAACTGGGATATCTTCTTCGCCAAAGTTCTGTGAGCGCACACCACCAGGCGCTACCGCGACGAGTCTCCGACG